GAAAGGGAAGAGTAGGCGAAGAAGATAAGATGGGGGATGGGAGGAGGAAGAGGTGGTAGGTGGTAGGTGGTTGAGGTGGGCTTACCAAGTAAAGAGCGCAGAGACTCTTGTTCGGGGAGAAAAAGAGGGAGAGGAAGAAGGTGGTGGAGGCGGAGGAGAAGCAGGAAAGTAGAGGAGGGGGAGAAAGAGAGAGAGAGAGAGAGAGAGCGAGAGACTAGGAGGATGAGACCGGGCGAAAATGAGGAGGTCCCAAGGAAGAGTAAGAATTCGAATAAATTCAACCCAAAATCCAATAATAAATCAAATAATAATAATAATAATAAAATAATACTGAATAATGAAGTGGTGGATGGGGATTGACTTGGTCAAAGGGAGAGAGGGAAAAAAAGAAAAAAAAAAAAAAAAAGGAAAGAAAAGGATGGAATCCAAAATTAAAAATCCAAGAAAAATAAAATCGATACAAAAGAAAAACTGACTTGAGACCTGAAAAGTGACTCAGAAATCATAACAACAACAATAATAATGATCTGAAGGATAATGGTACGGAAGTAATGATAAATAATAGAGACAAGCCAAACAAGGGGAGCGAGTCAAGCAACTAACTCGATTCCACAGGACGAAGGAAGTAACGGCGACAAGAAAGAAAGCAAATGGTGCTGGAGAGTTCGATTTTCATTCCTGATGAAATAACAGGACGAAACGAGACGAGACTCCAGAAGATGAAGATCCCGGCGGGAGGCGGGCACAAAAAAAAGGCGAGGACGGAGGAAGAGAAAAGGTGGGCGACTTTTTTTCTTTTTTTTCTTGCTGGATCGACTTGTAAGTTGTTGGTCGTCGTCAGTCTAAGTTAGTGACGGGAGCGGATGGAGACCAAAGCGGGCCATCGTCAGGTTACTGGAGGGTTAGTCTTTCGACCTTGACCTCTCCCTACCTGCCTGGTACCTACTGCCACTCCGATCTCTCCTCAGGAAAGCAAGTCTACACAGCGTATGTACTCCGTTCTTCTTACACAGTACGGTCTACTGACAGTCTCTCGGGTCTAGCTAGCCGACTAGTCGCGGCGTCGTGTACCTTTCGAGCCCTCCGCGCTGAACTAAGGACCTACTAGTCACCGTCTTTTTGGCAGATTATTGGCTTGGAGGGAAGGAACGGGCTCGAAGGGGACGCAAGGTCTTGCAGGCCAAGACCCGAGCGGTTTCGCAGGATAACCTCAAATCGTTCATACATACCTGAGAACCTGAGGTGCTGCCGGATTTAGAGTTCTCCGGCACTTGGACGGGACTGGGATTTTGGGGACGCAGGACTACTCATGATTAATTGACTCTCCCAAGCACTCGGAGTCTACCTAGGGGATCCCAAATATCGAATGGAATCAAATCAATTCAAATCAAGTGATAAAACCATAGAATGGTGAATACTAATATAACAGCATGACGGCCCCCTCTCAAGGCGGACTAGGGATGGGCCATTTGGGGATATTGATCTATTTCTAACTCTAATGAGTATGACGATCCTCTCTGCTTTCCCTGGTTGGAGCGAAGTAAGACACTTTCAGCCCAATCAGCGTCGGCCTGGCACACTAAACGGCCTTGGGAAGATCCACAGGGTTCTAGATACAGCGACGTACTTTTTGAGGTGGTGTCACCCCCTCCCCAAGGAATAAGTGAATTTCTTTCAACCTAGTGGTGGAGTACCTACTGTAGATACTTTTCGACTACCTGGTTGCGATGCTTCTAATTTCTGATCTACCGAGCAAAAATCCTGGAAAACGGCGTGGACCGAGGAATGAAGGGAGAGGGATTGTCAGGCACTCGGAATCTTTCTCAATGACACCTACGGCCTTAGGTAGTCGGTACCTGCTGGGTACTTCTTGGCTCTAGAGTAGTTTTGGTGCGACCGTACTAGTGGTCTTCGCGTTACCCGGTCGCGCCTCTCTCCCTTGATATTTCTAGAAGTTCACTCGGTTAGCGGGCATTCTTATGCTCTAAGAAATTAATTGCAAAATTCCAATAGATTAAACTAGAGTCCCCGAATAGGGGGTGCAATTAACAAACAAATAAATAAATTATATAAAACCAGGGAGATCATTCTAGCTTTAACTCCGTCGAGATGATCGCTCTCTAGGACATCTAATTAGACAGCTTGGCAAGCGTCGAGTTTATTTTCCTGGCCACAGCCAGCACTTTCCCCATCCACACGGGCGGAATCCAATCCCATCCTGCAGCTCCTCCCTCTTGCTTGTATAGAGCTATCTGACTCTTGTATTCCTGCTGCTGAACTCTCGCGTCCTCTCGCCTCTACTACAAACCCCGTTTCCCGTCTGCGATCCTCCCCAGATTCAAACTTAAGGGGAGGTAGTGTTGTACGTACCAAGTACCAATGACCAACCCTTGCCATCTGCTGTGGAGCCCTCATTTCGTTCTTGATGGCAAGGCGCCAAGAGCGCGACCCCATACTAAAGGGCAGCTCTACGCGTTGTTTGACAGAATCGGCGGACAGTCCAGCGGTCAAGCCATTTTGAAATTCGCTTGATCCGTTCCACAGCGTCGGGCTCCTCTTCTTCTTTTTGCTTTTTGCTTTTTTTCTTCTTTGGTTTTCTTGGTTGTTTTTGGTAGCGTTCAGCTGGCATGATTCAGATTCGTCGCGGCAACGTAGGTACAATGTTCAATACTTAATGGCTGGGTTTCCTGCCACCAGAAGTATCTGTGTTGAAGGTAAAATGGCTGGCGAGGTAACCTGCCGAGGGCGGATGCTTGAATCATGATTCATAAGTTGTTGAAAAGTCGGTGGGCCGATTTCAGATTACCTGGAGGCTCCCTGAACAACACGGTTCCACCAGTTTTTACGATGATGATCGCAATCGGCCCGATCGTTTAAATGTATAGCTTTGCCTGATAATTCTTCCCCATTGCTTAATTCCCAACTACCACGAGCGCTGACCACCAAATCTATTGTTCCTGTAGCTGAATTATCTACTTTGCTGAAAGATCAACAACGATAAGTCCCCTCGTCCCTCGTGTCTAGAGAGGTTGTTGGTCAATGGCGGGATACACGGCTGGCATGTCACAGGGAAACAAGCGCCAACATGGCCAGTGTTCAGGATCCCGCGATTGGATAGATAAACCCTCGTACAATTTGGAAGAACGTAAAGCTAGACAATCTATCGGATAGTCCGATAGAGTTCCGGGAATCAAAATTATCATCTAGTGCCCTGTAAGATAAGTGCTGTTCCCTATCCGCTCTACGGCGTGTACCTTCATACTATCATCTAGGCGTCGCGCATCGTTCAAGCGGATTAGGTATACCAACATAACCAACCAACAACCTGCGTAGCAAAGGCATTGTCAACGAGCTCGACTAAGCAACCTGCTCCCCTCCCAAAGGAAAGATGATAACGGCTGCTAAGCATATCCTTGACAGGCTGGATACTTTGCTAGTCATTTGTGGTGGCTTTGAAATTTGTGGCTAGCATGCGCCTCGTAGGCGATGTTTGAATCTATAAAAAAACTTCTCGGATAGTTGAGCGAGGTGTTCGACTTCAAGGGATCGACCCTCGAAGCGACCGCCGTGAGTGGTCAACCTTAAAGCAAGAGTACCTCGACGGAGCTAATGTAGGCCATGTCTTCATGTCGGATGTCTATTTCTTATGTGTAGGTAGCATACGTACATATAAGTAATCGCGGCCATGCCCCAAGTGCCAAGGTCGGTAGACAGTACCGATCTCGTTCGGTAGAAGAAGAATGACATTGCCCGATCGAATGCAAGCCCTGCCACCTGCATATGCCGTAGGCCTCATAAGGTTGCATGTCGTTGGTCCTGTTTCATCCCATTGTGCTACATGGGCTGAATGGATTAAGAACTCCAATCAAGGGCCTCTTGTCTTTGCAGGGATTAAATATAGAACAGGGCTGGTCAGGAGGGCGCATGATCTATTTTGGAATCATCGTGGACTTCTGGCAGGGAAGGTTTTCTGAACAAAGTGGCTTAGTATGATGAAGGAGAAGGTGAAGAATGGTCGCTTTATAAATCTTTAATACGAAGGGGTGAACCAGGGACGGCAAGTGAAACTTTTTGGTGGTACATACTGGGCATACTGGACAGACACCAATTTAACCCCGGGTGATCAGATATTTGGATGACCTCTGGGAGTCTGATCTAGGTTGCTACTACCTAGTTGCTACTACTATACTAATATCTAGTGAATACCGCCAGGATGGTCCGGAGTAGTCCTCGCCAGGGTTTGCGGTGCCAAGCGCCCCCGAGCTATTCCGCTTCGGGCAATCCTTCTTGCGACACGTGGGGCCAGGCTAACAGCATGCCGACCTGCACCGGTCTGGCCCTCTGGTCTTCTAATTAGCCGCTCACTACTCCGAACGAAGTATTTAACAAACTGACTACTCCGTATCTCTCTGGATGGAATCCCAGATGGTCGTTGACGTTGACGAATAACTTCAATGGAATAGACAGGGCCCACGGTCAAGGCCTCGAAAACGAGAGCGTCGCAAGTCGCAAATGAGTTCCTGACTATCACTTGCCCTGGCCCCTCACCCTAAACCCGACCGGGGCAAGGCTGACTGTTTCTTTTTCTGGAACCGGCATGCCGTCAGGTGACACCACGTGACGCGGCTGCTGTCGTCACCAGGACCCTTGCGGTCCCGTTATCTCCTGTCACGGAATGGACCAAGTTCCAAGTCCTCGCCTTCGATAAATTGCCCTCCAACGCAACCTGCGGATCCCCAGTCCCGTTTCTACGCATCGTCGGCGTCGCCCGCTTTATTCTTCTAACCTCTGTCCCTCTTTCCTCCTCTCCCTCTCTTCTTCCCTCTCTCCCTCCTCAACGGAGTATTCGGCAGGTTTCTCTCTCCCTCCTCAACGGAGTATTCGGCAGGTTTCTCTCTCCCCGTCATGATCACTCTGGATCGATCCGGACCCTGAATTTCTTTTGCGCTCGCTCAATCTCCACCTCCCGGCCATTCCCCAGCCATACCACCCCGACCGCTATGGTTTCAACATCGCCTATTCCCGTTGGATCTAGCATCTTCTTTTCCTTTACGCTTTTCACGATCTCCGTCCTCGTCCTATTACTGCTTCGACGTTTTTTAACGCTGCGGGCCACTCCGGCTTACCTGATCACCCCCGTTTTTCTCGCCCTCGCGCTTCCTGCGAGTGTCGTGCTTCTGGTCCCCATTGATTTGGCATCAAGCTCGCGCGATGGGGATGGACCTCGGGCGATTTGGCTTCCCGATCGGTTGATTCTGGTGTCCTGGCGCATTGCCTACTGGCTGATTTTCGTGCTAACTTGGTAAGTGCGCGCGATCGGATGGCTGTTTTCGGTCACGTCTTTCCACTTCAGAGGACTAATCACTTCCGTTTTCTTCAACTTCAACAGGGCTATCCTTCCGTTGCTCGGAGAATACATCGACTCGGGTTATCGCGATGCCAAGGGTCGCATTCAGTATTCGATTCGATCTAACGCCCGCTACCAATTGCTTGTTCTGGGCTGTGCCCTGGTCGGGTTGATCTACATTTCCATTCAGAATGGCTTCGAATTCCGATCAATCAAGGCGCTTGTCATGGCCCTTGCTTATGTCTGGGGTTTGGTTCTCGCCATCTACTTAATGGGCCACGGCCTCGTTTCGATACCTCGCACCTTATTCCGTAACGCCAGTGTCAGCGGTCGGCTACGGAGACTCCAGTCCCATGCTCCACGACTGCATGATCGTCTTATGGATGCGGTCAATGAACTCGAAAGTCTTGAGTCGCAGGTGAGACAGCTACAGCGTCGCAAAACCGGGTCTGCGCGCGAGTTCCAAGACTGGATCGAAGAGCTGGGGGAGGGATCCAGCTCTCCTGAAGCACAGGCTCTTCTCCAACCCGCAGAAGGGTCGGATACGGTGCCAGCCGTCATCACGGAACGCTACATGGCCGACTTGACCCGGCGTCTCCAGCGCGCTCGACACCAGAAGGCTCGCTTTGTCGATGAGTGGGATCGCCTGGTGCTGACCGCGGCAGACTTGCAAGCAATCATCAATTCTTCCGCGTCGAAGAAGTTGGAGTTTAATCATTCCACCAACCGCACGTCGTTCCTCCCCCGCGTGAAGCTCTTAACTCCTTATCTGCGGTATCATGCCTATGTCCACATCATCCCTAATATCCGGCTTTTACTGGGAGCGCTGTTCTCGGCGGCCTCCATCTGTATCGTCTGGTCCGAGTTGATCAAGTCCATAGCTCCCCGACTATCGATCGTGACACTCTCAGTAGTCTCGTACCACGAAACACCGGCACCTGTCAACTTTTGGAGGCAGGTGGCTGCTTCAGTATGGCTGCTGTACATGTGTTGGGCGGCACTGGTGGGAGTTAACGATGCCAAAGTGTGGGGGAACCGGGCTTTGGTGCGGCGCAACACCTACGGCGAAAGTGCCTGCTGGTACGCCGGACTGGTCGCTCGACTCACGGTGCCCATCGCCTACAACTTCCTGACTTTCCTTCCCGAGGTGGTCCGTATTGAAACTACATTCTATAAACTCCTCGGCCAGTACATCGACCTCACGCCTCTCGGGAAAGGCTTTGACTATTTCTTCCCCGTCTTCATTCTACTTCCCATCTGCGCCACGCTGTTTAACCTCTACGGCCGCGTAAAGAATGTCTGCGGATTCGGCCTATTGGAGGAGGACGAGGAAGACCTCGAGAACAACCCCGGGGGCTACGGCATCGGGGGATGGCGCGAAGGGCGTGACCTGATCGACCGCGAGCTGAACGGCCTCGGATCGCTCACTCTGTCCACCCGCAGTGGTCAGTCGCCCCGACCCACGAACCGCGTGGAGGAAGGCACTCGGGGGTTCTCGTCCTCGCGCACCTCCGGAAGCGAAGCGATCCGCCCCTCTCGGTCTCCGCGAGGGACAGTCCCCGCGACGGCTGCCCTGGAAGAGAATGAGGAGGAGGAGAACTTCTTCCAATCATTCGCGCATCGGGTGCGGAACACCTTCGAAACGGCCAGTAAGCCGGAGTGGCTGCAAGGCGATGCCTTTCGACTGCCAAGATGGATGGGCAACGAAGGCAACGATGCCAACGGGGGCCTTGCGCGATGGTTTGGAGGTCGACCCGAGCCTGGTGGAGTCAGACTTTAAATGATTATTTTCTTTTTCTTGCTGAGGCTTTGGGTGAGGCATGACTGGAAGGCGTTCTGCTTTCTTTTTTGACGAATAGATATGTGATAATTCACTTTGTATGATATAACACAACCACTAGGATAACCACTAGGATAATCGGTATATAGACCCCATACCTGGCTTGCACAAGAATTACTAGATTGTCTGTAGAGTTGTAGAGTTCAATCAGATGAGACCATTCGGAGTCTTGGGCGTGATGGCTGCCTTTCACGCAGGCAGACAGCCAAGCTGCATATGCGTCTTGTCTTGCCTGCGCCGGGACTAAAAGAGCTTCCTTTCATGCTATCTTAGGTAAAGCGAAAGTCAAGAAAAGCAAAGAAAATCAAAGTCACGTCACTAGACCGCCAGAAGGTGTTGCTCGTAAGCCACTCCCCGCCAATTGAACCGTAGTTCTCGTCCCATCGAGGGTATTCCACATGGTCCCACCCCAACTGAAGTGGCGGTCTCTCCTCCTCCGTACTCCGTGGGCATTCTTTTAGTCACTGGAAGCCGGAAGGAGGCTCTCTCCGCCTTGTTTGCCCCCCGTCCGTTGTGGCCAGCGTTTCCATGACCTCAGCAGAAAGAAAAAAAAAAAAAGAAAAAAAAAGGGAACCTCCGCAGTTCGCATCTCATTTTCTTCTCCCTTCCTTTCTTTTCTTTTTATTCTCCCCCAACCTCCCACCCCTCCTCTTCCTTCCCCAAATCCATGACCCATTTATTATCACAGGTCTCGCAGTCCTCTCTGGGCGAGACGTGTGCCTTCTATTTGGATTATATTACCGGCAACGTCCCACCGTCTCTACGCTCGCTGCAGCACAAATTTGTCACCAACACCCTACCCTTGCGCGCCCTTGCTCCCCGCCCGCACTGGATCGCGGATCTTCATCACGTCTTCGCCGCTGACCAACAGCGCACTACTATTACCCTTGTCGCCGTCACCGTTCTTCTCGCTGCTGCGATCGCCGCCGTGGTCATCATGTCTTGGCGCAGCCGCTTCACCAATCTCTGGCCGCCTCGGTCCCCTTACTACTCGAGCGTCTCGAACCCGCCACACGTCAGCGAAAGCGACTATAGCTACATCTCGCCGGATCAGATCGTCGAGCCGCCCTCTCGCGCCTACGACGACCAGGACAACGAACCCGATACTCTGCTGCTCAAGCATCGTAAGAACACCTATGAGCTGCGGTTCCCCGCGTACGCGATCAATGACGGCGTGCTCAGCGTCGGTCAGCTGAGACGACGGGCCGCGGAGGTGACGCAGGCCCCGGACCCGAAACGAATCAAATTGCTCTACAAGGGGAAGCTGCTGGACGACGATTCGCTGCCCTGCCGGGCCGAGGGGCTCAAGCAGGATTCCGAGGTGTTCTGCGTCGTGTCGGAGGTGCGCCCGGGCGAGAGCACGCCCAGCGACGTTTCTGATGCCGAGGTCGAGAAGTCGTCCCCGGCGGGAGGCGCCGACGCGTCCGAGACACCCGAGAAGAGGAAGCGCAATCGCACTCGGAATAAGAACAAGAAGGGCAAGGGCAAGAATAAGGATAAGCGTGCTGAAGGGCCCGCCCCCGCTCCTCCGCCAGCTTCCGATCGACCGAAACCCTCGTCTGGAGGCATGCCGCCCCCGGCTCCTAATTTGAAGGCTCTCTCTACCTCGCTCGAGCAGGTCTCGGCGCTGGCCGGGTACTTCTACACGGAGCTGGCTCCTCTGTGTGAGGCCTACATTGCCAACCCTCCGGCGGAGCCCAAGGTGCGCGATTTCGAGCATAAGAAGCTGAGCGAAACTATCATGGCGCAAGTGTTGTTGAAGGCGGACAGCATTGAGCCCGACGGGCAGGAAGACACTCGCAATGCGCGCAAAAAGCTGATCAAGGAAACGCAGGTAGTACTCGGAAGACTTGATCAAGCGGAGAAATCATAAAACATCAGCGAGACCATAATCTGATAGACTATTGACATGAACCGATATGATGGTGTCATGTGTCCACTGTACATTTCAAAGAATATATGTCTGGAGTTTCCTTGCTCTGGTTTTGCGTTTATCATGTTTCGAATACTGAGAGAAAGTGGCTTGCATTTCTAGCCAAGGACAACATGAAAGTGCTCGCGTTGAGTCTTTTCGTATCTCCTGTATTCAAAGCATTGGCAGTGGCTGATCCACACGTGGCAGAACCGATCCACGAGCCCTGTCAACCAAAGCATGGCCACGGCGTCCAGCATCTGTTTTGTACCCGCGATCTGCCGCATGAGCTTCTGATGGGATGTCGCACCGTATTACGTAGATCGGTTTCACGCCAGCTGGTTTCGAAATATGGGCCGATCCGGGAGTGACATGATGTGGACTGTCGACGTAGTCATGTACTCTCTGTAAACAAAACTACAGGTACATATTGTACATGACATAACACGCAGTCTACGGTGCTCTATAGCTAGATACAAAATAGTTCATGCTGCATGACATGTACACCTATGATATAAATCCTTCTCAGGCCAAAAATGGCAAAGACAAGAGGGTCAGAGTGGATCCTTGTCAACTAGTTAAACGGAAACGTCCCAGGGGAGAAAAAAAAAACCTACCTCGACGGGATGGATGATATATCCAATTCAATCAATACAATACACTACACATAGTTCCAATCCAATCCAATGATTTCGGCGAATTGACGATGACATATCACATCGGCCATGAGGCGGAGGAAGACCGACTCATGTCATTTTTGACGGATCGATCGGCGTTGGACGAAATCGTCATGCAGGACTCGGCGCCCAAACGGATGGGCAGGGCTTAGATGGCCGAGCTGGGTAATGAGCGGCAAGTCCAGACTCCAGGGGGAGATTGGGTTGCTGTAAGATATGATCGTGATCGTACATGGTTTGTTGTTTATCGTGTAGGCTCTGCGTGTCGTTAGTATATAGTAAGTTAATGACAAGGAATAGGAAGTAGTTTATTCGGCGAAGAGCAAGGAATGACGAAGTCCCTTCGAGGTAGAAGTGGGAAGCGTTCTAGGCTGTCTCCACCACTAGCGCTGCTGTCTAGCGGCGCCCCCGTGTCTCTTGCGCTTTTCTTTTGTCCTTCCGGCTTTCTTCTTCCCTTCTTTTCCCTTCCCTGTTTCCTTCTTTCATCCTTTTCTCTTCCACCCTCAACAGAGAGAGAGAGACTCCGCGAGAGACAGGAGACGGGACTGATTCATTGGATTAATTGATTGAATCTCTTTTTCTTCTAATCGTTTTAGCCCGTCTCTGACCCGACCAGCGTCCGTTTCTTCCTGTTCCACTCCTTTTTTCTCTCCAATTTTCTCTTCCCCTCTTCTTCTTCACCCCCTCCCCTTTATCTCCGTCGCTCTCTTAATCCTCTAATTTAGTCTGCATCCTTTTTGTCTCTTCTTTTCCCCCTCTAATTATATCCTTTTCCTTTTTCATCCCAAAACTACCGACGACTATTGAGGTCCTCTCCACCTTTCACTTTCCTAGTGTCTAGCCCCAGACATTCCCCTGCTAGGTAAAACGTCTTCCGGACCTGAGGCACATCCACGGTACCGTGTCCGCGACTGAACCAAGAACCCTCGCGCGCACCGGCAGACAACCGCAATAATCCTAAATCAACAGCTGTCGGAACCAAAACAAGCTAATCTCCACTTGGTTCCTATTTACAATTTACTCTTTCGGGCCGACCTCACGTCCTTGCTTCCCTCCACCCCTTTTCTTTCCGACAACGAAGCTCCGCCGAACTATCGTCAGAGAATTCTCCCCCCCAATCTACCTCCCTTGGGTCCTGACCTCGACGCCTCTTCGCATATTACCGCCGATTTGGATTCCAGTTCAGTGACACACAAGGCAGAAAAAATTGCTGGGTGGTCCGTAGTGCCCTACTGGGATGGCCTGATCGGCAAGATCTCTTCTAGTCAATCTATTTCCCTAAAAAAATTTGGCCTTCACCGTCCCCCTCCGCCAACCAACGGCTCCTTACCGTCATAACATCCGACCAAAGGTTTCAGCTGGACTGACCTTGCCTTTCGCTGAATTGTCGTTACGCACGCTGGAATGGCGGGGACAACTACTGCAGCGTATACCGCAGATGTTTGGACGTCACCCAGTACTGTAGACGGGAACCAGTGGGATTACGCCGTCCCTGTTAGACAGAATGTAAGTTGCTCTCGCCCGATGCTCTTTCCTGCCTTGCCCGGTTTGATGGTGTTTTTTGTGACGGTGTCCCGCACTGTTTGCCGGTGCTGTTGAGTTGAGTAGTGGAGGACAATACAGGTGACTGTGCTGACATGTTACTTTCTGTAGAGTTCCGTTCGTCGCCCCAAATCGAGATCGTCTCACGATTCTGCCCACGCTCGCTCACGAGATCGTGTCTCTCGAGGCTCTCGCAGTTCGTCCATGTCTAGGCATGCCTACGCACATGACACAACGTATTCGAATTCCCGTGGTCGACACGATCCGAGCCTGAGTCGCCGTGGAAGTGAAGCGGGGAGCTTGCGGGCCAACCATAGCTCCGGAAATCTGAGAGGGTCGGCAAATGCGTCTCACGATGCTCTGGGACGGGGTGACCTGAAGGACGGGATTGGACTTTATATGAATGGGTTCGATCATGAGAATTGGATCCACCGAGACAAGCTGGCCAAGATTGAGAGCGAGGAGCTGCATCAAGCGGCGATCTTCTTTCAACGCCGTGGAGGACTGGAGCACAGCCGATCACAACGCGGAAGGAATCATGATTCGAACCACGCCCCTCACGGCGGGTCTACGGTGACCACGCCGCCGACGAATGAGTCGACGGAACCTTGGCCGACAATGCAGGACGACTCGCGGGATATCACGAGCTCTCCAACTTCTTTTGAGCAGGGTACTGGGGAGGACCGCCACAATTGGGACTTACGTCGACCGGAGGAGATCGCCGCCGATAACAATGCCGCGAATTTCTACCAAAATCCCGGTATGCGTAAGAGCTCGTCTCGGATACCTGTCCCGACTGCCAGTCCGGCTCCCATTTCACCGGACCAACTTGGTCGCGAGTTCCCCAAGCAACGCGCACGGGGGCTTACCAATGGAGAGGACGATGCGTTGGCATTTGGCAAACCCCGCAGGGCCAGCGAGCCCATCACCGTGGAGAATTTGGAGGGTTCTACTCCCCCAGGTGCCAGCAGTAGACCTGGGAGTCGTGGGTTCCCAAGCGGGCAAAACACGGGCAGAAAAACGACCGGTAAAGGAGCGACAGCAACGGGTACCCGAAAGTCGTCTGCGCCTCCCGCTACGCGCAAGACAACCCCGAGGAGTCGAGCTCCGTCCGGAAACCAGCGTCCGACCACACGATCGGGCGAAGGACGTGCCCCTCACCCCGTCAACCGCCCGGAAGGTGACCCGCCATGGCTGGCGACCATGTATAAGCCGGACCCGCGTCTTCCTCCAGAGGAGCAGATGCTTCCGACCCACGCTCGACGGATGCAGCAACAGATGTGGGAGCAAGAGGGTCGGACGCCGACGACGTATGACCGCGAATTTGCTCCGTTAGCCGTTGGCCCCGACGGTGGCCCACGTCCGGTCGAGGTGAAGAAAGAAGAGCCGCCGAAACAGCCTCCGTCACCAGTGACGCCGCAACCACCGCCGCAGCCTCCGTCGAAACCGGAGACTCGCGCTCCAGAAATCCTGCCCACGCCCAAGAGTCCCGATCCCAGCATTCGACCCAGTACGGGAACCGGCTACAGCACGATGCCCAAGGTGCAGGAACCTCCTTCTGCGGGGTTGACACCCAAATGGAGCCCGCCGGTTGTCACTGCGCAGGAACCTCCTAAGAAGGAAAAGGGATGCGGATGCTGCATTGTGATGTGACATTGTTACCTTTTCTACTGGTCGAGTATTTGTCTCGAATTTGATATCGCATATTCTGTTTCTGGTCATTTGAAAGATACCTTCCGAACTTCTACTTTGCGACATCACCCATTTCCTTTCTTTCTCTCTCTCTCTGTCTATCTCTCTACCTCTTGTCTCTTCTTTTCCCGCACGCTCGCTCTTTTCAACATTTCTTTTACCATCATATCCTATTTTATTATTGGCTTGTTTATTCAGCGTGCCAGGTTGGTTGGCTTGGTGTTTGTGATCTTGATACTTTCTTAGGAAATTCTTAATTTGTCATTTATTCTAGTTCATTTTCCACATCGTCGCATTTGCTTGGCCTGTTGAATTTCTTGCAGCTGTGGCAATTTGTCGTTCCTTGCAAGATTCCCCCACATTGAACATTGTCAATTCCTTATCCACTGTTGCTTTGCCTTCCTTTATTTCTTTCTCCGACTGGTCGAATGTTTTGGCTCCTAGGCATCTGATAGGGCCAAGATGGCATACCGTTGCGAGTAGCAGCAGCTGGGGATCAACTTTACGACTTTAACGATTTATTTTCTTTGCGATCCTGATATCGATCTTGATTGACGTGTTGTCTGGTTGCATGTGGTCTTTAGCAAGACAAAAGATTGATATCAGCGGTTTATATAAGCAGTTTCATAGCATATTGCAGCACAATGGAGTATTCGACTTCACTTAGCACAGAGCTGGACTGTATAGTTCCCTACAGTTAAATAACGGTGGGAAGACCTATGACGTAATTTCGATCACCGAGCGAGGTTACTAATCCAGATCACATGACATCATCACGTCAACCTCCGGCCGGCTTTTGACATTCGCCCGTCGCTAACTCAAGTCATCCCCCTCCTTTGTCCCACCCTATTTACTTTTCCCTCGCTCCCTTCCTTTTCTTCTTCTTCCTCCTCTTTCCTCCGTCAGGAGCCCCGTTGCCCACCATTTCTTTCATCTTCCGTCGTCTCTTCGGGTCCTTTACCCCGCCCTCTCCTGCCGAAATGTCTGCCGCGAAGACCAAGGCTCAGACTTTGATTAACGAGAACGGTGTTGGTGAGTGAATTTGCCGGTCCTTCCTAGACTGAGGTCTGAAGGGGGATGAGATTTATGAAAGATGGACCAAGCATGGGGCTTATACACTTGGGGTGGTTTGACAGTCGTGTTCTCGAAATCCTACTGCCCTTACTGCAACGCTAGCAAGCAGTTGCTGAACGAGCTCGGCGCGAAGTACGCCACTGTTGAGTTGGATGAGATTGGTATGTTCCCTCTCCCCTTCAATCTTATCTTGCTCTCCTCCCTCTGTTTTTTTTTTTCACCCTTACCTTCTGTGTGTTCTATTCATTGTTGTTGGATTGAACAGCAAATGTAACCTTTTCACTACATGTATTCCTGTGTCTGTGCCATGAAAAAAACAAAAAAAGACCAACCACTAACTCTGAACTCATATGAATTATAGCCGACGGTTCCGCCATCCAAGACGCCCTTCAAGAAATCAGTTCCCAGCGCACCGTTCCCAACATCTTCATCCAGCAGAAGCACCTGGGCGGAAACTCCGACCTCCAGGCGAAGAAGGCCCAGTTGCCGCAGTTGTTGAAGGATGCTGGGGCTTTGTAAGTTGGTGCGCACGCGCGCGGGGAGGGGATAACTCGGATGATTTATTTACTATTAAGATAGCGGGGTTGAGATAATTTGATTCATACTACACATTAGGTTGTTTTTTTTTTTTTCTTGGTGGTTATCTGTCTTTGTTGCGTAGGGGCTATTTTTGTGGTTGCGAGGGGTGAGATGACAAGATGATGGAATGGGAGAGAGATAAATACCCCGCAAAGGAGTAGGTGTGGAGGGGCGTGCATTTAATGCTCATTGATTGATTGGACCGGGATGTAGTTTATGGAATAAGCCAATCATGCATAGCTGGTTTACCGAGGTTTCTGTTAGTGTCTGAATAGATCAAGAATTGCTGTGTAAGTAGTGTCTGTAGAGTACATTCTTATATCATACAAGTATATTCAACCAAATCAAACAACCTTCTGCACCACCGTTCCCACCGGCCGTTCCACAATCCCCATCACCCCGTCCACCACACTCTGTCGCGCTCCCTCGCTCGACACGTTCTTCCCTGCCAGATAATTCAACCATACCAGCCGACTGATGCGCTCGTCCTGCACCCGGCCCAGGAACCGCGCCGGCTTCTTCGCCTCCGGGTAGAATAGCGCATCCAGTTGCCCTTGCGCGTTCCGCACCAGAAGCAGCGTCTGGCCCTTGGGCACGTTCTTGCGCTGTCCGCCACCAAACAGTCCCTTGAAGTCGTTCATCGCTGCGCCGAATGTCTCGTCCTCGAACTCGCCCACAGGCTGCTGCTGCTGCTGCGTCTTCTGTCCCCCTTGTTGCTGTTGCTGCTGGGCCTCGCGCGCCTTCGCGCTCGCCTGCTGCGCCCGGCCCGTGATACCACGCACCCATCCATCCCTCAGATGCAGGAAGTCAGTGTTGCGCGTCGGCACGATGCGGAACGCCGTGCGCAGGCCATCCGTCTTCAGAATGGCATCCCACGCAGCGTCACCACGCTCCGGATCCAGCAGCAACTCGCGCAGCTGCTGCCGTTCCGTCGAGACCAGCGACGTAGCAGACGTGGCACCAGGGACATCAATGACCTGGGCCTCGCCCGGCGGCTTCACAGCCGTGCGTACCAACCGCTGCTGCAACTCCGGCAGATCCGCCGTCGCCACATACATGCCGACCACGTAGACCTGGATCCGCAGGAACGACACCGTGCGAATCCCCAGCCCAAGCAGCTGATACGTCTCTTCCCCTTTCTCCTCCTCGGCCCCGTCGTCCGCGACAACGGGCGTGCCTTCCACGGGTACCTCGTCGCCTGGCTTCAGCGCCTTCGCATCCAACCGCTTCGGTAGGCGGATCGTGCTCGGGAACTGCGGTACAGAACTCGTTCCCGTCTCGACCTGCTCGACCCCGTCTTGTCCTTGGATCCGGATCACCGATGGGCTGGGATTGAACCCGTCCGGGCCGTCGAGCTTCATAGCCCCGGACTGCGTCTGCGTCTGCGTCTGCGTCGTCTGTCCCTCCTGTCCTTCTTTCGTGCTCGATCCGTCCACGCCGAACAAATCCAGCTGAATCACACCATACATGGCGACCGCGCAGGCCGCGATCCCGGCCGCCGAGAGCGTCATCGACCGTCGAGCCTGCGTGAACTGTTCTTTGGGCATGGGGCCGGGGCCGGCGCTGCGGAGGGGGTTGGGCTTTGCGGCGGCGTTGCGGAGAGGTCGGGCGGTGCTGAGGAAGCGGGTTGTCGGTCGGAGGGTTGTGCGGCGCATTGTGCTTTGTGCGCAGCTGCGCCGGGAGAGGTGCATCGTGCGTTGGATTGTGGGTGGTAATGTCATATTTATCTTTTTTGCTGACGATTGGGTTGGGTTGGCGGGTGGTTATGGTATGGTGGATTGAGTTGGCCGGGCGGGAAGGGAAAGCTGGGATGGGATGGGATGGGATGATGTTCGGTGGAGCTGGGGATTCTCCTCCGCGCACGTGATCGGATCTGCCCTGGTCATCATTTTTTTGTTTCTTGTTGGTTGGTCGTTTGAGGACTTATGGGGTGTATCATTCATTGAGGTGTGTAATAAGTGGTGCTATTGTTCCTCTGGCGGATTGGATAATTTGGATTGCTTATTGTGAGGGCCAAGATTGGCTGATGGACTACTTATAAATGAGGTGTCTAATGGTTTAGGTTCGTGTCTACTGAATGACTGAATTGAATCCGACAAAGATTCAAAAGAATTGGACTCCATTATGGAAGACGATAACGACCGTGGGTATGTAACTATCAATTCACCACCACCTTATGCGATCCACCCCCACTGACTCGAACAAATGCCGTGCCATCCGTATAGTTCACGCCCCGGGAAACATCATTTCCATCGATCGTGATAGACGGCTTCTCGCCACGATTGACAAACGGCAGAGCCAGATCCCCGCGGGTGCCATCCGGCACCGAGAAATGCAGCGTATACTCATCCGGCTTCCGCTTCCACGCCACCTGAAATTTGCCTAGCGAGGTGGTGAATCCGCCCTCCACCCTCTTCAGGTCGCCGAACTGCGGCGCGATCTTCCACGTCAGACCCAGCGGCGACGTGATGCTCAGACCGAGGATGTAGTTCGTCAACGCGGACGTCGGGCCCGCGGACCACCCGTGCGCATGCGACACGTATGACTCGTCGTGCGAGTACCCCCGATCAGCCCGGTATCCGAATGTGCCGTCGGCCAGGTATCCCTCGATCACGGTGCTCTCGGTGCCGTTAGGGTTGTTCAGGTACCAGCCCCAGCTGCGGCGGATGAGTTCCAGGGCTCGATCGGGGCGACCGGCTTCGAAGTGACCCTGAATTTCGAAGGACGAGATGAACGGGGAGATGTTCTCGGGCAGCTCGGGCGTGACGGCCCCGATGGGGGTCCAGTTCTTCGTTAGGCGGTTTGAGATCTTCTCTGCGCGCTCCTTGTTGGTGATTCGGTAGAGTAGTGCCATGCTGTTGGCGTCTTGTGGGTAGAGGCTCGTATCTGTCGCGTTGTCCTTGAAGGCGCCGTACCCGTCATCCCAGCAGTGCTTGTTGATTGCTTTCTGTAGTTCGTCGGCCTGATCGTTCCATTTGGTGGCGAGGGGTTTCGAGTTCGCTGCCCAGTAGGCAACTTGTGCGCCGGTCTTCAAGGTATGGTACAAGCTATCTCGGTTAGTATGACAGAAGGCAGACCCATGATGCACTCGCACTCACATCATCTGTGCCTGGGTGTTGTTGTATCCCTGCTGCCATCGGGCCCAATCGCGCGTGCCAGTCACGTTCAGCAGACCGCTGGATTTATCCACCTTCTTGTAGACGTAGTCCATAGCCTTCTGATATCCCTCCCAGTTCTCTAACAGGAAGTCGGTGTCGTTCGTGTAGAGAAAGTAATTGTACGTTCCGATCATCGACCACATGTGGTAGGTGTCCGAGTTCTTCTGGCTCAGGGGTGGACCGGACTCGTCGAACGCACCATTGCTCGCCTAGATTGATTAGGTCCTTGACTTAGTTCGCTATGTCCGGGGAACTTACCTGCGTATCGTACATCACCTGCAGCGCATTTTTCACGCTCTCCAAATCGCCCGTACTGACGAATGAGGCGGGAACTGCTATGCCCATATCGCCTGGCCACACGGCACGGTCTCGCTTCGCCCCGTCCATGAGAATGGTATCGCCCGGCCCCATAGTGGCATTGTTGGCCCAACCTTCCTCGAGCGTGGGAACTTGACGGCCGGTCTTCACAGGTGCCGCATTGGTTTGCAGGGTATAAGCACCGCTGTACCAGATCCGATTGAGAAGCTCGTCTTCCGAGTGAAAGTACCCCTGGTAGGCTTGCAGATTCGCCCATGTGGGCTGGAAACCAATCTCCAGGCTCACGCCATCGATACTAACGGTGGAATCGTCATCCGCAAGTAGAAACACGGTCAAATATCGAAATCCTCCGCGGAGGTACTTATCGGGCATCACGTAGGAATCATTTCCGGGGTTGGAGAAGGAGGCATAGAGCGCGCCATCGGGACCTTTAAAGGCGCCATTTGATGAATCAGAGTATTCTCCGATCCATTTCCTGGACTCGGTGAAGGCCAAACCTAGGATACCATCGTCCGACGACGAATAATTTAGAGTGACAATGCCGCCGACCTCGATCCCAAAATCAAAAACAACGCTCGAGCCATTCCCCGACAAAGAAAAGGGAATGGCTTCGTTGTACTTGGTAGACTTGGTTGGCGCGGACACCGACAGGATTCTCTTGGGGCTGACGGTTCGCGATGACGGCGCATAGATGTTTTTCTCCCAGGGGCCGGAGAACGCACTGTTTTTGGGACCAGAACAAGTTGTATCTCTCCAACAGGTTTGTGCCGACGACAAGGAGACCAGAGCCAGAAGGCTCACAAAGCCAAAAAGCCAAGTTGGGATCGCCATTTGCCAGTCAGGTACACACGCTCGCGGGAGGGGAACCCGAAGAAGGGGTGCATCGTCACATCTGGCGTTAGCTGTCTATATAGCTGCTTCGGCATGACTAGTGCGGGAGCCAATGATGGTCTGTGTCAGGTTGGTGTAGTTAGGGAGCCAAAGAGGGGTTGATTTGTTATTTTATTTGATTTATTTTTCTTGTGCTCACGCCGGGCTTCTCGGGGTCGCCCACGATGCTTGTCCGGCCACCAACGGCGCCATTCGGGCGTTGTTTAGACGAGGTGACAGGGGGACATTAGGCCCACTTGGACAACCCAACGGCGCAAGGGAAATGGTCAAATGGAATTCCCTAGTCGATACGCCAAGTTTTTAAATTGTTCACGCCAATTGAGGGGCCCGGTCAGAAGGCCAAACGGGTCGGAAAACTGAAACTTGGATACTGGAGGAACCTGCACAGCACGAGAAATCAATAGTGCTGAAGAAGAGGATACTCCGGACTGAAACGATGTGGGTTCCCGGAGTAGTGAGCACCATTGGCGGGAATTTTCATCCAAGCATTCCCCTTAGGCCGCCCCATAAGGCAGCGATTGACAGTATGGTTTGGTTGTCTTCATGTCATCACTCATCACTCAGCAAGTCCTCGAGCCCTTTCATTTTTCTCCAGGTTGCTGTGAGCCATGACGGTGGAATCCTTGTACATACATTAGGTCTCGGTTAAACTGCTACCGAATGATGGCTCTTTGCGAAGATCGGTAAAATGCGTTTCGGGCATTAATCAAATGTAAGCTAGGCGGATTCAGAATGTCTGAAATCTGAAAAGCGAGTTAGAATTTTTTCACTATGAAGAATCAAGACTATGCACAGACGCTGGTTGGATACCTTCTTCCTTTCTTCCATTGACTGAGAGTCAGTTTTTGGCATTCCATCCGGGTCGCAGTGGAGGCAAAATTATCTGTTCAGATGACCAGCTATACCGAATCGCATCGAGGTTGAATCCAATGTTGCACGATGGGTCGATTCAATGAGGAAAGGGGGCGACGAGGTTTCCTCTCTTGGGTGGTTTAGAGCATCAGCTGACCAGAGCTGCTCTCCAGTTCTCGGACGACCTGAACTTGTTCCGTGCTGGTTCTGTCATTAGGGACGCCTGGTATAGTTAAATTAAAGTCGAGGCAGGCGACTTTCAAGGTCATCTCCTGGGCTTAGTACCTTGAATGCGATAGTCGATACTATGCCGATGCGGATGTGGTAGGATAACGATAAAATGAGTTGATTGACTTGAAGGAATCTCTTGATTAGCATCTCATCTTCGAAATGTGCAAGACATAGAATGATTACTGAGTTGCAAAAGAAAGCATTCTCACCCACGAGCAAAACGTGCTGCAGTAATAACATCTTGTGCATCGGGCGTCGTGGCGCGCGAACTATGATGTCAGAATATTCTAAACCCAAGAGCGTTGTCTGCTGCAAATTGAGGGCCACAGACAACATTGATGCGAGACACATCCCTAGTCCGTTAGCAGTCTCTACTCATGAACAGGCCATTCTTCCCTGGGTCTCCTGACCATTTTTTCAAATCTCCAACAGTATGGCATGAAGAAAAGTGTCAAGGGCAACAGTAATGGCAACGTGGACTTGACCATTGCTGTTAGTTAGCCACCAGCGTGCAATATCATGGAGATTGAATGCGACTTGATTCGCATTTAATAATCGAGGGTGCCTAGTCGATATTCGACCGACGTTAAGGAACTGGCTTAAGCGCAGAATCAGTCTGTTTCGACTTTGATTTACCATGCTTCGTGGTCCTTCCCTTCGGTCGAGTACTACCTGGCGACTGGAATATTTCGAAGCCCTACTGCGCCAAACAAAGATTCGATCTTCATGGGCTCCATAGCATTATCTTTGTATCCAGCTCTCGAGTTTCTGTGTCATAGCTTAACTGACGCTCAGGTACTCTGCTCTCATCAAAGGGCCTGAAAACACCATTAAGTATATGGGCGTCTTGAGATATTGACACAAAAAGCCTTTATCAGAGCTTCCAGTTCGCCCTCTTTTGTTTTTCTAAACTTGCTAGCGCTGGTGAGTCTTATAGTTCAATACCAAATCTTCTCGAACTCTGGATCATGTATTGAACAACATTTTTTATCCTGCTAAAGTTTAACCATTCTCAGCTACAAATTTATCCTTTCACCGGCCTATGTCAGAAATTCACGCAAATGCAATATACTGGGAAAACATCGTGCTGGGTCTAAATGCAGATAATATGCGGTGGACATTGATTGATGATTCCACCTATGCATCTCAATTATTTTCTTTGGCAGAGGGGCCAGTATTATCGGCCAGTATAACGATAGCCTTGCGTGGATTGTTCTGGAACGTAGGCATCTAAAACACAAGCACAAATATCGTGCTAATCATTTAGCTCAATGTCACCCGAAGGGCGCGCTTGAATTTCGTCACGTGGGGAAGATAACAACTATTTAACTGCCAAAAATGCATCGTACTTGAGTCAAGCAGTCTGAACTATTAAAGATTGGTAGACAATTCACTCTACAGTCGCTTTCATCTGTTCTTTTGGATATTCTTGCTTTAGCCCACCATGAGGAATCCTTGGATCGAGACCCCTCTGATCGAATCCGCCGCTTTATCGAAGACAGCCGGATGGTATGAATTCTGGCCTGTTTCCCCAAAGCCATCTAAAGCTAATTGCACCCCTGTAGTAAAGTATTCTTGAAACTAGACCTACTGCAACCATCGGGGTCTTTCAAATCGAGGTAACTGTGCCCGAAAGATAGAGCTTCACGAAGGACATGGCTAACACTTCCACAGAGGAGTCGGCTTTCTGATCCTCCACAGCCGTCTGGACCCAGAAAACGATGGCAAGCAACTCCACTTCTACATCGCTTCAGGAGGCAACGCAGGCCTCGCAGCCGTCCTCGCAGCTCGAGACATAGGATGTCCATGCACGGTGGTCGTACCGCATAGCACGAGTTCGGCCATGATCACCAAACTACGTGCGATCGGCGCTACGGACGTAATCCAGCAGGGAAATAACTGGTTCGAGGCCGACAGCTACCTACGACAGAACTTCATCGACAACCAAGATCAACAGTCCGACGCGGCGAAACAGAAGAACATCCACCTGCCGCCTTTCGATCACCCCAAGGTCTGGGAGGGTGCGGCGACCATGGTGGAGGAAATTGCACGCCAGTTGCCCCCGCTAGAAGAGTCTACGAGCGATGCTTTCCCCGCAGATGCGATTGTGTGTAGTGTGGGCGGCGGAGGCTTGTTTAACGGCATCGTTGGAGGGCTGGAAACGTGTCTGCAGTCTCGGAAGACGGGCGCGGGCAAAGATGTCTACGTCGTGGCCACCGAGACCGAGGGGGCTCATTCCCTGGCGCATTCGATCCAACACGGAAGTCTGCAGTCACTCCCGGCGATTACTTCGCAAGCCACTTCGTTAGGGGCGGTGCGCGTAGCTCCTCGGACCTGGCAGTATGCGCAGGCACCGCCGGCCGGCGTGAAGGTTGTCAGCGCCGTCGGGTCGGACGCCGATGCTGCGCAAGGCGTGGTGCGTTTGGCGGATGAGCACCGATTGCAGGTGGAGCTGGCGTGCGGGATCAGCGTCCAAATTGCCACCACGAAGACATTGCGAGAGCTGGTGCCGGATTTGAAGCCACAGAGTCGCGTGGTGGTGGTTGTATGCGGGGGCAGCAACGTGACGGCGGAGACAATTGCGGAGTATCGGCAGAAGCTGAACGAGGGATGGGCATAACTACTATGCAGTATTATATAATTATGCAGTAATGCAAAAAAGCTGACTGGCAACACGGACCAACGACGGGCCGGGCGGGACGACGTTTTCTCTGCTGCGTTCACATCATTCCGGACTCGAGAATACACGGCGGTCCCCGAAGTGCCCTCGCCAGCGCCTGAACATTACTATTTTCTAAGGTAAGAGGATTATTAAGAGGGGAAAGGGAAAAGGGTGCCTGCAGATGTCCTGTTTGTTCTCTTAGGGTTGCTCTCCTGTACAAATGAATGAATGAATGCCTCGTAGACGGGCCTCATCCCCCGTTGTCCCCTTCTCCGCCCATTTCTCTCGCTTTCTTCTCACTCACCCCTTCCATGCTGATCCGCCCGTTGCGCAGTGTGACTAATATGGCAAACAGTCTCGTGACCGGCGCTGCCCGGCTTAGGGCTTCACCATGCCCGCTGTCCATGAGGATCTAGCCTCCGCGGTATTCCCTACCGACACGGACTTTTCGCCGGAGATCTTTCCTCGGCAAGTTACCCTGAGGGATCGTGTTACCGTCGCGACCCTGGTGCCCATCTCGCCATGTGACGACATCCCTCGGTCCCTGCTGGCCTACCTGTCCGACCAGCTGAACAAGGAAATCGAGAAAGGCGACACCTATGCCATGATCGATGCCATCCCTTTGAGTCAGTTCCAATCCTACTGGTTTTCCAACTTCGGCGCCATCATGCTGCTGGGCGACTTCAAGAGCGTCCTGGACATCCAAGCCATGGACCGGGCCGGGGCCAACTGGACCAAGATCTGTCTGGGGAGTTTCAACGTGAGACCCAATTACCCCGGCCGTAGTAGTCATGTCTGCAACGGGATGTTTCTGGTGACCGACGCGGCTCGAAATAGGGGTGTGGGTAGATTGATGGGTGAAGGGTACCTGGACTGGGCCCCGAGATTGGTCAGTATCCATCCTACCTTGCGTGGTGGCGTTTTCGGGTTCCTTTGTGATGCGTGGCCTCCGTTGCACAGGGCGACGTGGAGGGGATGAGAGGCTATGCGAGCTTCGAACCACCCGTGCAGATCATGTTCATTGCGGCTCTCTAACTGTCTCTGCAGGGTTATACATACGCAGTCTTCAACCTGGTCTACGAGAGCAACGTTGCTTCTTGTCGTATCTGGGATGCTCTAGGGTTCAAACGAATTGGAAAGGTTCCGGGAGGAGGCCGACTTCTATCCAATCCGGGCCAATATGTCGACGCGATCATCTATGGGCGGGATCTTGGTCCCGAGGGAGAAGATTCCGTCACGCAGGATCGCTTCGACAAGATCCGGTATTATCTGAAACACTCGAAATACCCCAGAGGAGCTGATCGCGCCGAGAAGAGTCGACTGCGGAGCGCAGCGACGCATTACAAGCTGATCGGCGGCGATGACGGGGATAACGAGAAATTGATGCTGAAAGACAAGGAGGTAGTGTCAGACCCGCAGCAGCAGTATGATATCGCGCGTGATATGCACGTTCAACAGCATGCGGGAATCAACAAGACCACCGCGGCAATCGCTGTCAAATACCATTGGGTCAGGATCAAGGAAACCGTCAGTCGAGTCATCAGAGATTGTCCCCAGTGCAAGGAGACGCTCAAGTCACCTTTAGCCAATGGTCTTTTCCGGACGGAAGACCAACTGGACAATGATGATCAACCCGGCACTCGGGAGAGTGACAGGAGCAACGAGAACGATATGGATCCAAAAGACCTGAGCCACGACATCGAGCACGACATTAACCATGACATCAGCCATGAATTGAATCACGAGATAAGCCATAGTATGAATCATGACATGAGCCATGAGAATGACATGAACCACGCCGGCGATCTGAACCATGACGCCGACCTGAATCTGGCGTCCAGTGCAGCAGCCATGGGCGCCAATCCGCTGCTGGATCATAGCTCGCTGGATGTTCACCAGAGTCACAATCCCTTCGTGACGCCCCATCCGTCTGTCGTGCAAGGGTCCTTGGACGCCATCGGCGACTACACGACCATGCCTCTGGACCCGCAAATCATTGACATCCATCATCAACTTCCTCGATTTCAGCCCCACGATGCCATGACCGACCCCTATGCACATGACGCTCATGGATTATCAACCACAAATTTCGACGACGACGTACGACATCATGCAGCCCATGATTACCATATGATGGTAGACGACGCTACGGACCCGGGAGGGACGCTGCATCAGGACGCGCTGGCACTGGTACATTCGCAAGCCAGCGACGTACATCACGAGCAGATATTAGCCAAGTATCAATATGTCGGACCGACAGACGATGATTTGGATTTTACATAGTCCTGCTCTTTTTTTTCTTTTCTCTTTTTTTCCCCAGCATAACGGGCGTTGAGCGTTTCGGGTTATGCCTGCATTACGATCTATTACCTAGTCTTAAATGGTGGAGGGAGGGCCTGTGTAATTTATTGCAGACATATATAGAAGGAACATGCTTGTAGATCAAGCAGAAGAATACACTCGCATAATCATTACCAGAATCAAAAGCGAAATTGGTGACTGAACAGATAGGAAGAGGGGCTGAAATGTAGGGTTGCGGAGGGCGGCATGATTGGTCACCGCCCGGTGCTTTGGCGACATGAAGAGAAGCTCCGGGAAATTTTGGTTTGGTCCGCCAGCGTTATTGAACTCCTGGACTGTCAGGGCCATCCATCTCCGTTTCCAGTTTCCCCATCCAGTCGGGACTATCGCCCTCGTTCTTCTTGTCATTTCTTTCCCCCCTCTACTTTAATTAATCAAAATGGCCTTCGCCGGCCAAACCCCCACCATCATTGTGCTCAAAGAGGGTCCGCAACCCGCCCGCATTCTGAACCCCCCTCTCCGTCTGTGTGTTGTTCAGATGAATCTGTTAGCTGACACTGTCTCTCGATGATTTCTAGGCACGGATGCTTCTCAAGGAAAGGGTCAGATCATTTCCAACATCAATGCCTGTGTGGCTGTCCAATCCACGATCAAGAGCACTCTCGGTCCGTATGGAGGGGACTTGTTGCTGGTCGACTCCAACGGCAAGCAGACCATCACGAACGATGGAGCCACGGTGATGAAAGTACGTTGAGACATTTTGGGTCCTCGGGTTCTCGACACGAAAAAGTTGGAATACTGATTGTGCCATTCTCACAACCTTAGCTCCTCGATATCGTCCACCCCGCCGCCCGCATTCTCACCGATATCGCCCGGTCTCAAGATGCTGAAGTGGGAGACGGCACAACGTCGGTCGTGGTTCTCGCCGGTGAGATCCTGAAGGAAGTCCGGGAATTGGTCGAGCAGGGGGTCAGCGCACAGACGATCATCAAGGGTCTACGGAGGGGCAGCGCCATGGCCGTCAACAAGGTGAAGGAAATTGCCGTCGACATCATCCAGGCGTCGGAGAGCGAGGAGAAGAAGGTGGAAACGCTACGACGATTGGCCGGAACCGCCATGAACAGCAAGCTGATCAAGCGCAACGCCGATTTCTTCACCAAGAGTAAGCGGTTTTCCTGTTCCCCGGCGGAAAGAGTTCTCATCATACTGATACCGGTTTGATTTGCTTAGTGGTTGTCGATGCCGTGCTTTCACTTGACCAGGACGACCTGAATGAGAAGTTGATCGGTGTCAAGAAGGTGACCGGTGGTGGTCTCCAGGATTCCCTGTTCGTCAACGGTGTCGCTTTCAAGAAGACCTTCTCGTACGCCGGTTTCGAACAGCAGCCCAAGTCCTTCAAGGACCCCAAGATCGTGTGCTTGAACGTTGAGTTGGAGTTGAAGAGCGAGAAGGACAACGCGGAGGTTCGCGTCGAGCAGGTGTCCGAGTACCAGGCCATCGTCGATGCCGAGTGGCAGATCATCTACAACAAGCTCGAGGCCATCTACAAGACGGGGGCCAAGGTTGTTCTCAGCAAGCTGCCTATTGGAGACTTGGCTACGCAGTATGTTCTTTCTGGATGGTCTGGGTCTGTCTTAATCATGCCCGCTAATCGCTCGTTTGCAGGTACTTCGCGGACCGCGACATCTTCTGTGCCGGCCGTGTCTCGTCGGACGATATGGACCGCGTGTGCCAGGCCACCGGCGCGGCCACGCAGTCGACGTGCAGTGACATCCAGGAACGTCACCTGGGTACCTGCGGCTCGTTCGAGGAGCGCCAGATCGGTGGAGAGCGGTACAACCTGTTCGCCGAATGCCCCGGCGCCAAGACGTGTACTCTGGTGCTGCGTGGTGGTGCCGAGCAGTTCATCGCCGAGGTCGAGCGTAGTCTGCACGACGCCATCATGATTGTCAAGCGTGCTCTGCGCAACACCACCATCGTCGCGGGCGGTGGCGCCACCGAGATGGAGCTGTCCAGCTTCATGCACGGCTTCGCCGACCGCAACGTGCCTCACAAGCAACAGGCGGTCGTCAAGGCGTTCGCCAAGGCCCTGGAGGTGATCCCCCGACAGCTGTGTGACAATGCCGGCTTCGACGCCACAGACATCCTGAACCGTCTGCGCGTGGAACACCGCAAGGGTAACGTGTGGGCCGGTGTGGATTTTGACCACGAGGGTGTCCGGGACAACATGGCGGCGTTTGTGTGGGAACCCAGTCTGGTCAAGGTCAATGCCATCCAGGCGGCCGTCGAGGCGGCATGCTTGATCCTGAGTGTGGACGAGACGATCAGTGAGTCCCCTGTTTCTAGGATTAAATATTTACGAAAGGAAGATACTAATACAGACATCGACAGAGAACGAAGAGTCGGCTGCGCCTCAGGCACCGGGCCGTGGACTTCCTCCCGGTGCGGCCCAGCGAGCTCTTGGAGGCGGCCGAGGACGCGGTATGCCTCGCCGGGGTCGGTAATCGATAGATGTCAATTTCATATGAGGGATGGGATAGTCCAAAGACCAATTATACAAAAAAGCAATTGCTACGTAGTACAATTCTACTATTTTTGGTGGTCTTTTGTTTATGCCTATGATGTAAGGGGAGAGAGATTGGGATTCTATTTTCTAGAACATACGTGGACGGTTGAAGTATGCAAGTGATGCCGATGACAAGAAGGGGTAGGGATAGGACATGGTGCAGGTGTAGGTGCAGGGTAGGGTGTAATCTGCAATTTGTAAGAAACATAACAAGGACCACAAGTAATAAGGCTGAGCAAGGAGAGTCCGACCATTTCCGGAGACGAGGACGCGTGCCCGACCGCGGCCTTAGCGAAGGCTGGCTGAGCTCGTTCATGCTTCATGCCTGCTCGTGCAGTCGGCCTCCCCGACGGGCGGTTCTGCAGAATTTTCACGATCCCCGGACAGAAAATTTCAGAGATAATCAACATAAAAATCGAACATAAAATTAAAGACAATGAATCTGAAAGAAAGAAGAGAATAACAAGATAAAACATCATCTATCTTCTAGAACTCCTCTCCATCAGGATAGAAATCCCGCTCCGACCCACCGGATCTCGGCCTTTTCGTAGGCTGCCTCGTTCTTCGCCCTCTCTTTCGTTGTTTTCCCCCCAAAGTCACTCTACGCTCTTGTCTGACCTTGGGCGCTTTCTATTTGTTTATTATTGATTTTTATTTTAACTTTTACTTTTTCTATTTGAGCTCCCTCGTGCCCCTCCAAACGCCATGTCCTATTACCCCCCTTACTCGGGCCCGCCCGGTTATCCCCCGCAACAGTATTCCTATCCTCCTCAGCAGCCGTCGTACGGCGCTCCGTCTTATCAGCAGTAAGGTCGCCGGTTCTCTTTCGTGTCCTTCGCCGTGACTGCCATATACACACATCTACATCTACGTCTACACCTACGTCTGCATCATATCTACATATACATATACAAAAAGGAACTTCCGTTCGCTGATCCCTTGCCAGACCAATGCAGCATCATCATCACCAGTCGTCCTACGGCGGCGGGTATCCCGGTCAAGCCTATCGCCAACAGCCTCCTCCCAGCAACCCCTATCCTTCGTACGGTCAGCCGTCGCCCCAACCCTATGGATCGCATGCCCCTCAGGGTGGATATGGCGTATGTTAAACCTGCCTTCGATATTTGGATCTCGCGATGATCGCGATGGTTGACATGGAATCGTGATCTCTAGGGCGGTCCGCCGTCGGGCTACAACAGCCCGGCACCCAACGGTGGTCACATGTACCAGGGACAGGGACACAGACAACAAGGCACGCTCTCCCTTTGCGCATTCAGCCTCGCTTTTTTTGCGCGCCAACAAACCGCCCCTCTACTTGCGCAGTTGCTAATGGCGCAACAGGTGCTCCCAACCCCTACCAGAACTCCTACGGCCAAGGCAACCACGGCGGCCATGGCGCTCCGGCTCCTCCTCCCAGCGACCCCGTCGCCTTCGGCCATGGCGCTCCCCAAGGATACAACTTCCAGTACTCCCGTTGCACCGGCAAGAGAAAGGCGCTTCTGATCGGTATCAACTACTTCAACCAGAAGGGTCAGCTGCGCGGATGTATCAACGACGTCAAGAACATGTCCTCCTACCTCAACCAGAACTTTGGCTACGCTCGCGAAGATATGGTGCTGCTGACGGATGACCAACAAAACCCCATGAGCCAGCCGACCAAGGCCAACATCCTGCGCGCCATGCACTGGTTGGTCAAGGACGCCCGTCCTAACGATTCGCTCTTCTTCCACTACTCGGGTAAGCCCTTCATCCCACGACCGGTGTTTCGGTTGGGGCTATTATTCTGACGAGAGCGCAGGTCACGGTGGTCAGACCCCCGATTTGGACGGCGACGAGGACGACGGATACGACGAAGTGATTTACCCTGTTGATTTCCGCCAGGCGGGCCACATTGTCGACGACGAGATGCACCGCATCATGGTAAAGTCTCTGCAGCCGGGCGTGCGACTGACGGCCATCTTCGACTCCTGCCACTCCGGCTCCGCTCTGGACCTGCCCTACGTCTACTCGACCCAGGGTGTCCTCAAGGAACCCAACCTTGCCAAGGAAGCCGGTCAGGGTCTTCTGGGTGTGGTGTCGGCCTACGCCCGCGGCGACATGGGCAGCATGATGTCGACAGCGGTCGGCTTCCTCAAGAAGGCCACCAAGGGCGACGAGGTGTACGAGCGCAACAAGGTGACCAAGACGAGCCCGGCAGATGTCATCATGTGGTCGGGCAGCAAGGACGACCAGACCAGTCAAGACGCCCAGATTGCCGGCCAGGCCACGGGAGCCATGTCGTGGGCCTTTATCAGCGCCATGCGCAAGAACCCGCAGCAGAGCTACGTGCAACTGTTGAACAGCATCCGAGACGAGCTGTCGACCAAGTACACGCAGAAGCCGCAACTAAGCTGCAGTCACCCCTTAGGTAAGTGAACGAAACAGACTTCAAGATTGGAGGATTCATTGTCGTGGAACACAGACTCTGACCGAGTATAGATACGAACTTGCTCTATGTGATGTAAATAAGCGGGGTTTTTGGCTTGGGGGTTTTCTTTTCAACGGATACGGTTTCTTGCATTGGGATTTCATTGCACGCAAAAAGGTTTTTGCGCTTGTCTTTCTTATTTCTCAGCCTTATTTTTTATCTTTTTTTCTTAATTTAAGCATGATTGCAGTTCATATATATGATCGCTTGCTTCTCTAGTTTAGAGGATGCCTCGAGACGATGGAATAGAATGGCATAGTTCTGAGGGAATTTACTGACTTCTGGTTTGCACTTTTTTAAAGCATATATTATCTGGCAGTCGGCTTGTTTATTTACTTTCCGGCCAGAACACCTGGAGATCTCCAACATTTTCTACTCTGCAACCCAGGAAGTTTCTATTGAGTTCAACCCACCCAAAAAGCTACCCATTTCTTCTAGACCTTGAAAGAATCTAGACAAGCGATCCAGCAGCTGGACCGGCATTTCGCAAAATTAGGAAACACGGGTGTCGAGGGAAAAAAGGTATGGTAGGTTTAGGCTAGGTGCTCTAGAAATTCATCCTCCATGAATTTCTCCGGTAGATTCATGGCTACCGAAGGGAGGGAGAGGGAATTAGTATACATTGGGACTTTACATCCGAGCAGTCACTTTACTCCGTATGAGCTGTCAACTTTGTTTTTCTTTTTTCTCTGCGCGTCAATCACGTGGGTTGTATCATCCAAGAACCAACTTCGGCGGCTGCAGATTTCAGGTTTTGCATGTTTTTCGTCGTTAACCGTGCCCTGTCTACCTACCTGGGGGATGTGTACTGTTGTCTAGAACCTTGGTTTTGACGAGAAAGTCAATTCAGGCTAGCGTTTTTAAGCGCCCAGGCCTACCTACCTATCCAGAAAAGAAAGTGAGTAAATAAGCTCTACACCCTCGAAAAGCATCACGCGTCCAGACCAGACCAGACAGACAGACCAGACCGTTGTGGAGATTTTTCATTTCTGGGTTCTCCTCTAGATTTGGTCGATTGAATTACTGTTCTATCTCATCCCATTCTATCTCATCCTGTTGCAGCTAGGGTCTAGCGGGGCCCAAAGTATCTACATACCTAGTACCCGGTACATACAAACTACCAGAGAAAACAAATGACTAACCAAACAACAAGCCACCTACCTAGGACCAGGGAAGTAAGGTACCTAGGGCTATGACATCCATCTTCCGTCTCGACCGCCAAAGCGGCCAGACCTACCTCGAGACCGAGATGACTCCGATCCATCCCCACGGGCCGGCCTGGGTGCATGAGACCCCCTACCTCCCGGAAGGATGGGAGTCGACGAGCCGAGTCGGCGCCCCGACGCTGAAACACTCGGCCATGAAACAGACTCTCTCGAACCAGCGGAATCTCGTGCCTGGGCTGTTTGTGAATGTGCCGTGGTCGATCGCGAGTTATTTGTGGGATTGTTTGGGGAGGAGGTATGTGTTCCCCCCTGGTCTCGTTGTTTTTTCCCGGTTCTTTGCTCCTAGGGGTGGGGAATGTGAGGGATGGATGTTGGATGTGTAAGTAGGAGAGCTGATCAGGATCCCTACGTCTAGTCGCAAACGAACCCTGTATATGTGGAAGATATTTGCTACCGCGTACCCCGAGGAGTTCTCCAGGGTCGCGCACTATCGGTCCATGAAAATTGGGGGTCTAAGACTCTCGCTCCGAGACTATCTAGGCATGGCGAAGAGCGAGACGTTGAAATGGCGCGCCGTCTTGACGCTGGGAACGCTGTTCGCGACGATCCCAGAGCTCGTGGAGATCTCGGACGTTAGGAACCTGGTGGCTCTGGAGGTTGCGACTCAGGCGGGCGCCGTGCGTCTCGCGGACGATCCCGACGACGAGGTGCAGACGACAGCGCTGAATGATCGCATCGTGCGGACGTGGAGCGAGAGGGCGTGTACGACGGGGGCATTGGCCCATCTGCGTATTCTACGCTTTTTCTACCAGGAGGATCTGTCGAGGGCGGCGCTGCGTTATCTGGCGCAGTTGCCGGCCCTGCGGTTCATCGTTGCCTACGAGTGTCCTGGGCTTTCGGGCTGTACGCGCGAAGGCGAGGACTTGGATGGCTGGGAGGTGAGTTCCTCTGAACCGTTGCTCTCTAAGGAACTCTACTCGTCGTATCAGGCTAGTCTGGCTGGCGACGTGGATTGTGAACCGTCCACCATAGGAGCCAATTGCCCTGTGTTGGATTTCCAGCTGGGAGGCAGGATGGATTCTTCGCCGTTGACGAGTGCTCGGGGTCGGGCCAAGGTGTTATGTTTACGACGCACCAGGGCAGAGGCTGGACGCTCCACGAAAAGGTTAAAAGTGATGCGCACTCTTGAAGCTGGACCTCGGAAACCGGTGATGAAGGATCGTCGGGCCAAGGATCTCAGCGATGTGCTGGGGGATTTGATGGGGTAGCGGGAGATTGGCAGTGATGTCCCTTGCAGCGGAGACCAGCAGGTGGCATATGCAGGTCTGCTGTATGCTCTACTCCAGAGTACTGTATACTTCTCGAGAGAGAGAGAGAGAGCAAACACAACCGATACAAACACCACGAAGCAAACATGCAAATGCAACAAACACAGCAAACACGATGACGGCGTCATGACAGCCGCCACCCGTTGATTGGCTGTGGGGCCAGCACCAACCAGACACCGCCGATTCCCCGCAACGCCGCGTGATTGGCACCGCAATGGATATTCCGTCTCTCTCGCTTCGTCTTGCGATCCAGGAATGTGTGTTTCGGTCTTCTGATCTATCATTGTCGTCCCTCTACGTTCGAGGACCCAGTCCTCCCACCCCATTCACTATCCATCATGACGGACCGAGTCCCGGCTGAAGCCGTGGCCGATACCTCCAACGGATCGGCTATAGCTTCCCCCCGATCCAGCACCGATTCTCGCTCCTCCTCCATGCGCAACCAGTCCCTCCGCCTCTCTCATGGCTTATCCAACCACCAACACCGTCACAGTCTGAGCGAGACTCTCCGCGGAGCTCCCGGCTCCCCGCGCTCTCGCCGACAACCGTCGCTGAACCAGGCGGCCATCCAGAGTCTTATCGACAATCCCCCGGCCCCGAACCACGCCGACCCCGCATTCGCCGGAAGAGACTGGCGGGAGATCTCCATCGGAGAGCTCGTCAGTCCCGAGGATTTGAAGTTCGTCGAGATCGACACGGGAATTGAAGAAGCGACCAACGTGGGTTCATGACTTGACGGTGAATCCGGATGACGGAAGCTGACGAGTGTTGCTCATCAGGTTTTAATTGACACGGGCGCCCCGGTGCTCTTGATCCGTGAAGATCGCCAGCAGAAGTCGGCCGTGGGCACGTTTGATTACTCGGATTTGAATGCGTACCTCCTACTCGCCGCGGGGCTGACGCGCCCGGATGATGAGATGCTCGCATCCTACGAAGAATTGACCCGCAAGGCCCGAGATGGACTCACAATACCGCTGCGCGATGTCAAAGATCTGGGTCGGAAGGAACCGATGACGACGCTGCCGGCTTCGGCCAGCGTGATGGCAGCGGTCGAAACGTTTGGCGGAGGCGTGCATCGCGTCGTGGTAGTGAATGAACACGATGATAATGAGGTGGTCGGTATTTTCAGCCAGTTCCGACTGGTCAAATTCTTGTGGGAAAATGGGCGCAGCTTCCCGGTGATCGATCAGCTGTATCCGCTGGCGCTGTGGGAGCTGCGGATTGGATCTCGCGATGTGGTGTCCATCAAGTGAGTTGTCTTTTACCTTTGCCGTCATATATGCGGATGTCTGACATATCTGCAGTGGAGACAAACCTCTCAGCGAGGCGCTGGGAATTATGAACGACGAGGGCATCTCATCCATCGCCGTAGTGGATAATCAGTTCAACGTGGTGGGCAATATCTCCACGACGGACGTGAAGGTGAGTTAACGGATTATGAAAGAGGAAAGGTAGATTCCAGACTGATTGAGCAGCTTCTTACGCGATCGTCGTCGTTACCCTTGCTACACAACACTTGCGCCCATTTCATCTCGGTGATTTTATCCACGCGCGGCCTGATTGACGGCCAAGACTCGTTTCCTGTTTTCCATGTGAATCCCGGATCAACGCTGGCGCATACCGTTGCGAAAGTGGTGGCCACGAGATCGCATCGGTGAGTTTTCTTTCTCTCTAAGCAGGGATACGCTGTTGTAGCCCTGCACCTGGATATTATGAGATGCTCATGTTCTACAATTAGGTTGTGGGTAACCGATCCCCTGTCCCCTTCTTCGTCAGGGCCACCCACGCCCTCGCAATCCTCGGGACATATTCCCCTACCCCCGAGTGTACAGCAACCTCCGCCGTCACCCCCGGCAGCCAGCGCGGCACCCCTGCCTCCAGCCCTCGGCCAGACACAGCCGCATTCCACCGTGCCGCATACACCCACGGCTGCGATGGGACCGTCGATCCCAGTGTCCTCGCTCCCGGGCGCACGGCTATCGGGACGGTTAGTGGGGGTAGTCAGTCTGACGGACATATTGAATCTGCACGCGCGGGCCAGTGGCTTAAGTCCGGCGGATCCAGCCGAAAGTCGAAGCCGACGACGACGCAGCAGCAGTTCGAGTCTGAGCGTGCGACGAAGCGGGGAGATTGGTCGGGAGTTATTCAGTCGATAGACTTTTTCTTTTGTCATTGTTCCCATTTTCCTGCCTTCATTTTTGTGTCCATGCTTACGCACGTTCGTACAAAGCTCCTTCAGCCCTATGTGCTTTTGCAAGTACAGTTACAGTTTTAGTTCAGTCTAGTCTAGTTTAGTTAGTTCAGTCAGTTAGCTAGAGCCATCAGAGGTACAGTCTGAATATGGATATGAATCGCCACTTTACAGTGTGGAACCCAATGACCATTCAGCAGGGATATACCGCATTCCGACCTGATCGTCCCTGTCACCCTGGTACTGGGTTAGGGTTCGACAGGTTAAACGAGCAGTAATTCGCCGATCCTAAGCGTAACCTCATATCTTACTTTAACTGACAAATCCACTGCTAGATTGGCTGCCACTCTACTACGGTGCCAGAGGAAAAGGAATTGGATTTGTCGAATTCCAACTGCCCACTCGCCATCGGACGCTGTCATTCGGTCCCAGATCTCGCTGTGGACCAGGCAAACCCTATCAATCAGCGAGCCAGATCTCATCTCCAATCAGCTAGACCAGACTGACCAGACCAGCCAGCCAGAGATGATGGGAGAGGAGAGGAGAGAATAGACGTAATCCCGCATACGCAACCAAATCCAACAGTCCAGCCTCCTAACCTACATACACAAGTCCTAGCTACTCATTCAATTCAATCTTCTCCCCACAACACCCGCCAGCCAGGTAAGTAGGTAGATCACCGGGTGGTACTCACAGCCACTCACTTACCTTACCCTATCCCTTTCCTGCACTTGTATTCCCCACCCCCCACCGTCCCATGGATACAACCTCGAGATCTGTTCCCTGGGTCTCAACTAACCGAGGCCACCAATGAAGCTGCATTGTTTGTCCGTCCGTTTCTCCTCTTTTTTTCTTGCGATGATCAACAGGGAGATAGGCGTGGGGAATTCCTTTTTTGGGGGTGTTGTTTGGCGGGGAGGGGCCGCGTTAGTTACTTACTTACTTTACTTAGTTGGGATCGAGATGCTAACTTATCTGCTAAGTTATTTGGGATCGAGGTACTGACTCGTTTTGTGGGTTGCGACCTCGAAAAAAAAAAAAAAGTAAAGCAAGAATATCCACCCAACCCCAACCCCGTTGGCGTTGCTGGATAGGTAAGGGCTAGTTGGTTCGCCGGGGGGACGGGGGCTTTGGTTGGAATGAGGTATGTTGGATTGGTTGATTCACTGGTTGGTTGATTCACTGGTTGGTTGGATGGATGGATGGATGAATGGACAAGACGTAGGAACTAAAGATCCTACTTTGTTAGACTGACTTACCTACGTACCATACTACTACTGTCTTACTACATTGTATGTATGTCTGCATGCACGTACATACAACAACGCAATTCAGTTCAAGGGGAACCTGACGCTGAGGACACATGATATTTCAGTATAATCCTAGATCAATCTCAGTGTCTAACCCCCCAAGATGTGCAAGGTAGTCCAGACTGTTCCAATAAAACAGATACTAAATCCAATTCACAGAGTAGGTTAAGATTCTAATTGCCCATGTACCATACATACTCCCAGATAGAACAACCCTCCCTCCCTCCCCCACCTCCAATTCCCCTCAAAAAAAAGAAGAAAAGACAGCTCGACCGTTCTTGAACATTCATAGGTCAGGTCCAGCCATTCTTAATACTAATAATAGAGTTTCTCCATGGAAGTGGATGTAGGACGCTGCATGCGGAAAAGGGTTACCTCACTCACATGGTTCAAGGTTAACGGTATCGTGTGTCCACTGGCCTTGTTTTGCTGGGAGTTTGTAATTTGGTTTTTCATTTGAGTTGATTTGTTAGGATTTAGGAGAGGGGTTTTGGGTTCATCCAGACATAGATAGACGTTGGTTTTTATTCACTTGGTTCTACAGTATAGAGCGTACTGGGGTGTTGTTCTCTTTCAGGTGGGTTGGGGGGGGGGGGGGGGGTGCGTTTTTGGATATCTCACTAGAATGTAGTATGCTCGAACACTGTGTCAATGGTTTGATAGGTCTATTATCTGGCAGTGTACATACTGTACACTATACTGTACCTATGAACTGTATGGATCAGGACAGATTGTCTATTGAATTTCTAGTTATATCTAAGTATGAAGTACAGGAGGTCAGTTCTTGCCGTACCTCTCTCCCGAGGAACTCACCAAACCAAGTCCACCTATAGACAAATGGACAGACAGACAGACAGACAGACAGAGAGAGAGATACATCCACCTCCACTTGGCAAGTCAATTCCCTCCAAAGAACCTCAGTTCCCCCACCGCATCTGCCATCCAACTCAATGGTCCTCCAAACCCCAGACCGTGTTCCTATCCCCTCCCTCACAAGACCCATCCATAAGATCTAAATGAAGAACAAGCAAGGAGAGGCGAAAATAATAATTAGAGAAAACCCCCCTCAATTAGACAGACCCTCCCCTAGTCTAGCGCAGCACTTGCCTTCTGAACCAAGCCATTTCCAAAAACCATACACCGTAGTCCCTGTCCACGCAATAGCCAGCTCAGCTCAGCTCAGCCCCAAGCCCACTAAGTTAACCCACCTAAGATCTAAAATCCAACGTCTAGCTAGATCTAGATAGCCGAGCTACTAGCCGAGCACCCAACTTCTCTTCTCCCGCGGAGTAACTTCATCCATGTTCTGTTCCTAACTTCCTCCGAAGTAGGTTCCGGATCCTGCTATAGTGGGGGCCAAGGCATCTAGGGTAGGTCCAAGAGCATATCTTACTGGGTGGTTTGTGACGGTACAACTTTCCTCATACCTCAGGATCCTAATTAGTATCTACCTGGATTAGGTTCCTCCTCGGAGAAGTTGGTATTAATATTGTATTGTCCGAACCACACAAGTACCTACTACCTACGGTAAGCTAAGCCTAATCCAGCAGACCCACACAAGCTGCAACTAGACCCGGTCTAGTCGGGTCTAGTCTGGTCCGTGCGTGTGCTGCGTCGATCATTTCCGTCGATCGGGTCTAGCTAGTTAGCCTAGTGGGAATCACTATGGAATTGGTGAGTACATAGATTAGAAGTAACTAAGATAGGAGGGATAGTATCTCTCTCTCTCCGGATCTAAGCATGAAAAGATAGATAGAGATAGCTCACAATTAATAGTAAATATTGAAGCCCTAATTTCTCCCCAGGTCCACCCACAAACTACCAACCAAGATAGCAAGCAAGCAAGCAAGGTCCGGACCGTCAAATCACTCAAAATCCCACAAACTCTGCACCTGCACCTGCACCTGCACCTGCTTGCAAGTCCACAGTTAAGTTAATTAAGTAAAGTTACGGTTGTAGTCAAGATGAGATAACCCCTACCCAACTACCTAAGCCTCCCCTATTGAACAGGACTCTGTTGTCACAATGTCCTCAGCCAAGAAACACTAAAAAGACCAGAAACTTCATGTCCGTGATTTGTGATTGTGTGACCACATATCTTTCAGACCTGGTTTCTGGATTGAAAAATAAAATAAAATAAAATGCAAAAACCCAAAAAACTCTATCCGTGATGTTGCATATTTTTTTTTCCCCTGCTGTTTGCGGAATCTTGGCTCCGCTGATTCTTCTTTTTTTGCAACCCTACCTACTACCTAGTTACCTTTAATTGTTGGGGTTTAGGCGAGAATTGAAGAAGGAGAGTGGGAATTTTTAGGAGGGTTACGGTCTCCACTTCTCTTGTTTCTTACTTTTCTTTTTTTTTTTTTTTTTTTTTTTTTCCTTTTCTGTAGCTGTCGCTGGAGCTGTAGAATTACTGTAGGTGTGGATTAGTTAGTGTGCATCCCACCCCACCATTTCCCCCTGTCAAACCACGTAAGATCCAGCTCAAGAGATACAGAAATAATAAAATAGAAAAAGTTAGATTATCTATCCATGGAAATACACCAAGAAAGAAAAATGAAAAAAATCAGCAGAAGAAAAAGAAAGAAGGCAACCAAGCAAGCAGTGAAGCCAGATCAAATTTGTCCAGCTTGGAGATATCGTACACCCGTACACCCGTATACCGAATCAATCGTAATCCATAGTCAATCCCTTGTAAAGCGATGAGAAAGAAGAATAGCAGAGGAAGAAAAGGAAAATAGAAGAAAAGGAAAAAATAAACGCCAACGATCCCTGGGTATTGTCCCTTGACCGACTCCCCTCACCTGAACGTAACCCCGCGGAGTTTTTGCGTGTTACATTCGTCGGAAAAATGAATCCACCCACCCACACAAGATAACTGAAACAAAGAAGGGGGAAAAATGAGAAAGGATAAGCAGATTTTCACAGTGTAGCAAATGTGTGAGTCAAGAAAGTGTAAAAATAGAATGAAACCGGTGGATTACCACTCCAAAATCATGCAGTGATGGGAAAATCATCAAATGCAACCAAATCATCGAATTTAAAGTCCCCCTCCGTCATAGGGGGAGTATTGGTCAGGGTAAATGCAAACTGGCTGAAATCGGCATAATCCGGGTCGATGCCGTCGTGCGAAAAGGGGACGCTGCCCTCGTCCTCCTTGCCCAGGGTCTCGAGCCCCATCATGTCCGGGTTCCGGTTGGTCGACGTGGGCGAGTGAGGAGTACTCGGGGTGGGACAGAGATCAGGGGTCGGGAGAGGTTCGGTGCCCACCAGCTCAACCTGGGGCGACGTCGTCCCGGATGGGAATCGTTGGGGCTCGGATCGGACGCGAGTGTGTTGGGACATGGGTCTGGGCCCCGGCTGGACGGACGCCGAGGGCAACCCATGCACGGGGATGACGGGCGCTGAGCCCATACGATCCCTGAACTGCTGCCGAACGGGCATCCCCATGTCCCCTGCCAGAGACGGCATCGGAGAGGGTTGGAAGCCTGCCCAGGGGGACCGGAATGAAGGCGGGCCGAAGGCTTGCGCCTGCCAGACGGCGGGCCCCGGTTGAGGCGTAGCAGCGGCGATGTAGGATGGGATCTGGCCCGACGAGCCAGGGACCACCTCGGGATACGACGGCGAGATACTCCCGTCGTATGTGGGGGACATCATGTAGCTATTATTGTTGCTGTTGTTGCTGTGGCTCACCATGACGGGACTGGTGGCCGGGCTCCCGCTCATGCCCTCCGAGATGGAAGAGCGCATGTTGGAGAGATCCAGACTCATCTTGCGGATGCCGCCGCCCATCGAGGCGCGGGGAGTCAGGTTCGCAGCCCGACGTTGCTGGATGCCCTGGTGCGACGGACGAGCGGCCAGAGCGGCGAGGACGTGATGATGGAATTCGTCCTGGATCTGCATGTTCTGTGCCTGAAGCATGCGGTTGATTTTCTCGTGGTAGCGGTCATCCACTTCTTCGTACATCGCTTCCTTCTCGACGATGTCTCGGGTGATGAGAAGACCTTTGCCGGTGCGCTGCTTGTGCAGAGCAGAAGCCCGGTTGGCCGACTCCACCCGAGCGTCGAGACTGCGATCTTTGCGTCTAGACGCCGCAATAAAAGCCCTGCAAGGTCGCTCGATTAGACGGGGGGAGTAGATCAGAAGGTGATGGAAATTTCGTGCTCACCGTTCTTGATTCTCCTCTCGCGTGCGAGGGTTGGGAGAGACCTCCAGATCGATCGAGGGAGAGGCCATTGCAGCCACTTTTTTACGACGGACCAGGAAAATAGATTTTAAAATAAGGAAATGTATGAGTCTGACCGGTGAGTCAGGCTAATAAGAACGTCCAAAGAGTTGCCAGATGTGTCAGTTCATCTCAGATGCGGCTCGCAATATTGAGTAAATTCAAGAATAATGCAAGTCCGAATAAGCATCAACACGAAAAAGACTGCCGAGGGGAAAGGGCAGGAGGGAAGATATTAAATACCGTGATAGAGAAGGTAACCGACAGGAGGGGCGCTATCCACTCGGACCCAGCAGTATAAGGTTTGCATTAGCACCGATAGCTAGCTGTCAGGCATGGAACCCCCCGACATTGGCAGTAGTAGTAGCGGGCCAGCAGCCAGCGAGGTAGCGAGGTCTAGACGAGCCATGGGGCAGGCTAGAGAGGATGAACCGGGTCAGTCGGTGTGTTTGTGGCCGGTGAAAGTCTCGCTGTGAGAGGTTCCATGGTTCCGGGTTCTCGCCCAGACTTGTCTCGCCGCTGGTACCCTGAGGGCACGGTGGCCATGGATCCTAGTCCTGCCCGAGGGAAGTCTTTTTTTTCTTCCTCGAACAGAATGGAAGTAGCAGGATGAAGAATATTGGTTGCAGAGCGAGTGAAGAAAGCCGAAAGAACCCGGAACCATTTTCCAGGGGCAATGGAAGCGAATCAATTGCGTTGGAGATTGGGGTTTTTCCAGTTTTTCACCGTGGAACGAATTTAGTCAGAGATGACCGAGCATGGACAGAGGGCTACTGAATTTGCTAGTAGTGGCAGTGTGCAGTGGTAGTAGTACTGTTGATAGTGGTGGGAGTAGTGGTGGTAACAGTGGGAGTGATAGGAGTAACAAGACCGGCTAGTGCCAGAGGGTTACGCTCTTCTGAGTACTGAGTACTGGTGAGTAGCTAGTAGCTACTGATGAGTACTACTGATGAGTACTACTCCTCCAACCTCCAAGCAGTAGACTGAAAATCCGGGGAACCCTGAGGCCTCAGGCCATACAAACCTTCACGCACACCCAGCTGAGTCATCACGGGCGATCAATCGGGGCACGGACCCAGTGTCGTAAGCGGTGCAGTTCGGAGATCGACGGCGTGGGATCTTCTAGTCTTCTACAGTCAAGATCGTCGTGGGGGTGCAGGGTTCAGATCTACTATCTCTTCGGACATCTCCGTCCTCCTGGGTACTTTTGTTGACAGTGTACTTCTTTTTGAGACTTTCAGACGGACAGAATACTCTTACTCCGTTCAGTCTGTTCTTGCCAACAGATGCTGCATATTTGCCACCGCTTAATCGGGGAATCTGCACGTCCTTAGCGTCTATCCCAGAACGCCCGGGGACTCGCCTAGACTGCGTGGCCGTTGACGCTAGACGGGGGGGAAGAGAATCCTAACCTGAAATTCAAATTCGAATTGCCCAAATTCTAACACTAAACCCCGACTGATTGGGAATGACTCGAGGGTTTACTTTCCCTCGTGAATGTGATAGCGTTAAGGTACCATCATCCCTCTCCCTTCTCGTATAGACTTCCGCCAATCCGGTTTTTCGGTTCCTCGTGTCTCTCGCCATTCCCTCCTCGCCCGAGGGTCAACGGAAAGCCCATTTCTCGCCCTGGCGTCCAATCCCCTTTCATTGCAGGCGTTGAATCATGCGCCCGGGAAACTTTATGGTGGGAAAGGATGATCCTGGAAGCAGGGAATCTAGTAGGAGACTTCTTCCCAAGCCATGGCGTTCCCTTTTCCTTATCTTTCCTGACGCGGGGTTAAACACTCAGAGGGATGTAGGATGAGGGCGGGGAGTAATAGAGTGTATTTTTTTCCCCCTCCCTTCTCTTTCAGAAAGGAGGTTGGGCATTCCCAATGTGGAAAGTATGTAACATTTTTTTCGATTGAAATTCTTCCAAAGTCATTTTCGGACTATCTCTGCTGATTCTGGTAGGAGCTGTCGGTGCATGGCATGTGCGTATACCATCTTATCACCTCACTCACCTTCGGCCCTGGAGGTTAGGTAGGTTTCGACGGACTGTACCGTTCCTGCAGCACGCTACTGTAAGGTCCAGTCAGTAGTCGGGGGCACGGGGATGATCCGTCCGACTAAACAATCTCCTAATCTGCTGTCTGTTTGCCACCCTTCTCTCCCTCGGCCTAGGCGGGCCCAGCCGTCTCCAGATGTCCGAGTACCACCGTCTCTCGTGCTGATGAATTGAACCGCTGACTTGACATCTGGACCTCTCTCCCTGCTGCTGAGGAATCGGGCCGCTGACTTGATCTGACATCTGGACAACCACGTCTCCGACTGCAAGGGGAGAGAGAGAGTTCTGCTGCCATCGTCATCCGCTAGACCCGAGCCCCCGTCTCATCTCGTAGGTTAAATGCCCCGATGCCGAAGCCCCGTCGACAAATTCCCTAGGAACCAACTGCAGTAACTCCAGTAACTAGTAACTTACCAGTAAGTCTACCTATTGCCAGACAGGCATCCCGTGTTTCGGCCGAACGCCACGGACAACGCCACTCCGACGTTGTCTTCGTTTTCGGGCAAATCTCGCCCATATTTCGATCTAGCACGGGGAAGGGAAAGAAAGCATACATACATACATGCCATGCCAAGATGTCGATAAACTTCCCTGATGAGGGTTATTTCCCTCATTTTATCTTTCCGTGACGCTTCTTGTAGATCAATGGAGTTAGTTGGTTAGGTAGGTTTCTGTTGATGGGACACAGGGTTAAGGTTGAAGGGGAGGTCCGCTTCAGGCAATACCCTAAACCCTAGTACCTTAGGTACATCATACTCTGAGGTTGTAGAAGGGGGCAGCGATAGTGGCGCATGGGATGGGGTGGGATGCATTCCGGGCAAATTCAATTGCAATTGCGGTTTTGATTTTCGTTCTCCTATCGCTCAAGAAAGTATAAACATGTTCATGTTGATAGCAAGAAATTGAACTTGGTGGTGGGGGTTGAAAAGGAAATGAAACATAGAAAAGAAATTGGAAAAGAAAATTTAAAAAAACAAATCAGGTATAAGCAAGTAGAAATGAAAACAAATGCAAGGCTGTCGAAAAAGCTAACCCACAGAACAGAATAGATCCTAGTGACGTTTGTATACTTCTCCTTTGGGTTTCTTTCCCCCTTTCCCTTCCTTATGCAATCCCCAACGAGGGAACCATTCCCTGTTCCTCTTTCCGTTCGTTGCCCATCCGGTATGATACCTTGTATCGCATCTTGATCGAGTTGCCCTTACCCGTCTCAACCCCGTCCACTAGCATCTCTTGCTGCACTCCGTTGGTCTGCTGGGCGGCGACGTCCCGTCCTGATTGGGGTCGCAGTTGCAATGTGTATGACTGTCAAAGTAAATTAGCAGTTGGTCAAAAATGACAAAAGACAAATAAGGGAAGGGAGGGCTACCTTCTCAACGGCCACTTGGAAGTGGAGCTCGTTCAATGGCTGGGACGTGGCGTTGGAGAACAAGGCTACTACATGAATCAATCGAGGCTGTTGCGGGTGTCGTCGCGCCACGAATTCAATCCGCAACGAGGTGTTCAGCACCTGCACCCGGTTCACGCTGGGAAGGGCGCTCGTTTCAGGCAGCGACGAGGCGAAATTCCACTCGTCGTCTTCCTTCGCGGCGCTATTGGCCGGGCCCGTGCTCGAAGCACCCGCCAAATCAAGAAGGGAAGATCCGGCCGGTGCGGCTTGCACTGGCTTGGGACTCTGGGACGGGAATGGGCTGGCATGACGGGGACTGGCCGATACCAGTGACGCAAAAGGGTCGACTGCGGCCGGTGGCGGCGGAGTGGCCGTGCTAGCCTGGGACTGGGCCAGCGACGGTCCCGGTCGTGGCGACGGTGACTGCGAAATAGGTTGCGATGAGTTCAACGAGGACAGAATATCGTAGTTGGGTTGGAACCCGGCGGGAGCCTGTTGGACGGGTGGCGTGGCAGAGGCCGCTGGAGGGTTGGCTTGGAATTACATAGGTTAGTGACAAACAATTCAGAACTTCAGACCCCGAGGATGGTTCTCCAGCAGTCCACTTACAAGGTCCTAGAGAGATTCCTCCGCCCATGGGTGCGGGCTCATCTATCGAAAGCCCGAGCAGGTCATTCTCCAAGGAGCTGCCACCGGCGGCCGCCTGCGAGGCATTGCCGTTGGAGCTGGGTTCAGGGTCAAAATCGATCAAAGAGAGCTCGTTGTTGGCGTTCTTCGACACCCCGGTCGTCGTGCCCAGCGTACCCTTGGGGATCCGCGACGCAGCCTCGTGGTCGCCCTTCTTGACAAGCTTGTACCGTTCAATTGTGCGGTGTATGCTATCGTTGATTTCCAACAGTTTGTTCACGGCTTCCGGGTCGTCCGATTCTTCCTCGCACATTTTCTGGATCTTCGGGTGTGCGCTTTGCAGGGCGTTGGCGAGTTCCTATGCCGCACCATCAGTAAGCCGAATCTTGCGCGTGGATACCTCAAACCCTGTGTATGCCTTACCTCGAACACGTCTCCTTCGGCAACCTGATCGCCCGGCTGGTGACTTTGTAGCATCTCCTCTAGGATCTTGGCTTTCTGTTGCACCCTGGCCACTTCTTCCGCAGCTTTGGCTCGGTAGTCGGTTTTGTGACGGTTGTCGAACCCGGCCATTACCTTCATCAACCGGTTGGCTTCCTGTAGATCCGCCGGCGTGCCTCGTCGGATAAGTTCCTGCAATTTGGCCGATTGCGCCTCCTTCTCTTCCTCCTCCATTTCCTCTGCCGAACGGAGATTCTAGAGATGGTCAGTCGGGTGTGTCGTGGTTGGCGCAAATGAAAGAAACACAGGCGGGGTGAGACATACGTCGCTAGGATTCAAGACAGCGGCATCCTCCAGGCGAATCTCCGGGAAGACGTAGCCCTTGTAGAGGAGAAGACGGTGCATATCCCGAATAAAGCCCAAATCTTCCTTGTATCTCGACGTCTGGCAGATGGTTTGTCGCCATTCTTCAATCGACTCCAGGATGCGATGTTGAACCCTCGAGGGACGCAAAGGCGGCCGCTCGGGGAACCGGCGCACCAACTCATTCAGAAATTCCTTCGTGCTGATTTGGAGTTGAAAGGGGTATCCGCAATTTTTGACGCAGATATCGAGTAGCTACCGTGGCATCCATCAAACGTCAGCCCCGCATCCGACCAGATTGCTTTCCGAGATTCGGGCCTCCAAAACACCTACCGATAACGCCAGCAGCGCGACATTCTGATTCCGCGAGTTGATCAGACGGACGATCTCGAGAGCGGCCTCACGAGGACTGTAAAAAGAAAGTCAGAAAGGCCCCCTTCCCCTCTTCCTCGACCAAGCCCAGATCCGCGACTCACGCATTGCCTTTTTTGGAGTTGACCAAGTCCGCAACTTCGAGGTTCAGGGCGAGGTTCGGTTCGTAGTGGGAGATGTCGCAGGCATTTCCTGAACAGATGCGAAGATGGTTAGCCAATGGACCATGCGGATTGTATCCCTTGCCGGAGAATTGTCCCGACGTACGAATAGCTCGTTGCAGTGGTGTCAGGCCCAGGTCAGCGTAGACACCACCAAAGCGGTCCCTAGCTGCCATACGTGCTGAAGCGGCCTCCAGGGTGACGACGGAGGAGAGACGGGGTTTAAAAACAAGAGAGAGAGAAAGAGATAAACCAAAACTCCCGGTTAGGGATCCAGCACCGAGGGGTATATAACAGAGACGATAAACTTGTGGGAGGAAAGAGGATGGGGAGAGGTTGGTGCCAGCGTTAGGAGATGCCTTAGCAACTTGGTTTAGTCTTCCACGTGTGGCGGTTCCGTCGCCGGCCTTAAGCCGATCACCACTTTTTCTCCTCCCTCTTGCTCTCTTTTTCTGTCCTACTCTCCCCCGACACGATACCCCGTCGGATTTAACGCAGTTTGTCGCTGGATTCTCATTTCCAACGACTGATTCATCTCATCATGGTTCGACACAAGAAGGACAACTTTTCGCGAGGAGGAAAGAAATTCTCCAACCCCCGCCCACGCCCAGTACCCCGCGGTGACGGTGAAGCCTCCTCCCGACTGCCCTTCAAGGCCGCCTGTTGGGATCTGGGTCATTGCGACCCGAAAAGATGTTCGGGGAAACGGTTGATGCAGCATGGGTTGATGCGAGAATTGTCGATTGGACAAAAATTCCCGGGAGTCATTGTCTCGTAAGTGGTCGCGATGCTTTTCAATTTTTTCTTGTCCCTTTAAGTTTCATCGCGATGGTTCCATACAGTCAACTAAGACGGTCGCTACAGTCCGAATGCAAAGAAAATCCTGTCCCCGGCCGATAGCGAACTACTAGAACAATTCGGTGCTGCAGTGGTGGAGTGTTCCTGGGTGAGGGTGAAGGAAGTCCCGTGGTCACGCATCGGCGGGAGATGCGAAAGACTCTGTATGGAGAAACCGGCTGATTTCAATATGCGTGCGATATATACTGACCGATTCAGTGCCCTACTTGATCGCCGCCAACACAGTTAACTACGGAAAACCTTGGCGACTCAACTGCGTCGAAGCGCTCGCGGCTTGTTTCTGTATCTGCGGACACGAAGACTGGGCCCGCGAAGTCCTCCAACACTTTCCCTACGGCGAGGCATTCCTTGAGATCAACCACAAGCTTCTGAAGCGATATGCCGCTTGCAAGACCGAGGAGGATATCAAGCGGACAGAGGAGGAGTGGCTGGCTAAGATCGAGAAGGAATATGAAGATAGCCGCGCCGAAGGAGGTGCCGATGATATGTGGACCGTCGGAAATACGAATCGGACAGCCGTGGTAGATTCCGATTCGGAGGACAATGACGACGATGAAAAGAGCGACAAGGACGAGAATGAGGACGAAGAAGAAGAGGACAAAGATCCCTTCGCTATTTCCGACGACTCAGAGGAGGAAGAGCAAATGGCCGAAATTCGTCGCAAAATTCTCAGTTCGAAGGCGTTCCAGAATCCTTCGATTCCCGACAAACCGGAACCCGAAAAGATCGCGCATCCGGATCCCAAGCCGGCTGAGGACTCAGATGCCGAGTCTGGGTCTGCTGAGGGTAGTGATGATGAAGCCTTTGACAATATCATCAATGCGACGCCCGTGACGGATCGAACGGGAATCATCGCCGCGTCGCAGAAGAAGAAGAAAGAGACCTACAGTGCGTCGTTTTCGCGCACTACGATAGATGCCCCCAAGAGGTGGTAGATGATGAATTCTAAACCTCGACAAGGTGATGCGTCTAAAATGCCTCTCCATAGTGATTTCCTGCACTTTATCGTTCCAAAACCATCGGCGTGGACGGCCATACAGCGGGACCTGGTCGCGGGATCAGATTTACAACTAAAATGTGAGGACGCGTGAAATCGACGCTGAAAATGACTGCTACTGAGGCCATCTAACCGTAACTCTCAGCAGCGAGCCGCCGCCTTAATGTCTTCACGTGTTATGCATCACTATTCTACGCTCGCCAAATGCTTCTTAGTGTTGTGATTCGCACTCGACCTCAGCGAGCTTCAGTCTGTTTTGACTCTTGACTAAAACGACGCCGTAGCTGGCGTCCCGTCCCTTCAGCTCAACGGGGTGAACGCCAGTGCTGGACTGACCCCATCCTCTGCGAGAAGATTCGAGTCCGACTGGAGTATCTTTGCAATCTTGGATAGCTACGCCCAAATCTCGAGGCCAAGACTCTGGAAGGCCTTGCGGTCATTTAATGATATCAGTACAAGCATATATATCATCAGCTTGAAATATCTATCTAGCAACTAAAAAGTAACATGCAGTAGATACTGTATCTACGGTGTAATTAAAGTACTTGGTTAGAGCGGAGAGGATGCCTTAGGCATTTGAGTACCTAGGTAGTACAATATAAGAACTCCGCTATTTCCCCACTCAGAACCGCTCTGTGTTTCTTTTCTTCTTCTTTCTTTTTAGTTCAACTGATCTACAGATATACAACAGTCACAAGCAGCTTATAATCGATCAACACCTTACGCCGGGGGAACAGGGCGGACGCAGTACACCTGACAGGAACGTCGCCTCGCTCAACCTACTTTCTACGACATCTTCAGGTACCATCGCCGATTTCATACCACAGATTCTTTTCTTACGCAGGCTACTTTTGTCTGCAGATACAGTTACATCATATTCTTTAATTAGGGTGCAGAGCATTCAGAGGCAGCAGCAATTCCCTGCCCTACTATGAGTAATAATAGAGCCGAGTTCACGTTCACTGGCCAGTGCCACAGTCAGACCCACGTTCCTGCAGGGTTATTTCACATCCCAGCGACTGATTTGATCAGATTTCCCATCCTCCCTTTAGGGGGGTCAGGTGCTGGGTGAGGAACCGACTGATCTGATAGGATCACAAGCATCGCCGGGCTGACTGAGGGAACCCGGGCGCCAAGCGGCAGCGTAACCTCTCTCGACGCGCATGCTTCATTCGTCGCGAACGCTTGATCGTCCACCCTCCACGATCACCCTCAGCCTGACTGTCCCTGATGATGACTCAGGCCAAACGACGGCGGCAATGTCACTGCCTCGTGGCTTGGAGGTGTATGCGACGGGGATGTCCATGTCTGCGTCGATCACGAGGCCGAGTGGCATCCTTGGTTTCTTTCTTATAAGAATGAATCAAGAAATTCTGGGCGTTTGGCAAACCTTCCATACTGCTTCTCTTTCATCTTCGGATAATTCATCCTTATTCACCTTAGACGGAGGCAAAAATCCAACTTTCTGGTTACTCGAATTTTCGGTCTATTGCGCCAAACAGCCATGAAACGCCCTGCGATCGTTGAGAGGGCAGGTTCGTCCACCTCGCGAACCAAAGATTCTCAAGTAATTAAGAAACTTGAGCGACTTGGAGGCCGCCCATGGAAGCGCGAATGGAGCATGCTCAATCTCGTCACCTCTTTCCTTTGGAAACAACCGTCGATGCAAGCGGCCGACGTCCGTCAACACACAGTGTGGTTATTCGACAACACTGCTTATCAGCGCGTTACACCGAAGCCCGCCGGACAAAGACGATGGCATGCTGAGGTCGTCGCTTGTATATTTCGAAAGGATAGCCGCAAAGATATCAGCAAAATCGTCGCAACAATCGCAGACATCATTGGTCTTGATGGGGAAATAGGTACCCAGAGAGAAACACGCCATCGGATGGCAGAACGACTACGACCATTCTTGCATCACGTTGCATCAGCACACTTGATGATGCTCGAAACCCCTCTGCCGAACAACACTGCGCTCATTCGACAGATAGGGCCGACCGATGGAAGTGGCATCACCAGCCAAGTTGTGACTATAAACAACAAACAGATCACCGATGGAACCTCGCTACCTTCGTACCTCCGAGGCTGGGCGGGCAATGTATCAATGAACACTGTCTTCGCGGGTCCAGAAGGCTGGCTCGTCATATCCGACATCGACGATACGATCAAATACACGAAAACTTCCGAGTCGACCGGGATTCTTCGCACGACCTTTGCAGAGGAACCGATGCCCATTGCTGGAATGCCCGAACTTTACTACCGTATCCACAGGGAGCTCGCACCGGCATGGTTCTACCTATCAGCATCTCCTTATAACCTGTACCCCTTTTTACGAGGATTTATTCAGGAGCATTTCAACCCTGGCACGCTGATCCTTCGGGATTCGTCATGGATGGATATCAGTGACTTAGTCAAATCTTTCACCGTCAACACCATGGAATACAAAATGGACCGTATCAGAAAGATTCGACGCTGGTTCCCTCAACGCCAGGTTCTCTGCATTGGCGACTCGACCCAGAAAGATCCAGAGGCCTACGCCGAGATCTACAGGAAACATCCGAACTGGATCCAAGCCATCTGGATTCGGAAAGTCACCGATGTCCCCCATTTAGAAGAACAAAACTCCCCGGAACGGTTTGAGGCGGCCTTTAAAGGCATCCCAGATAATGTTTGGGAGGTATTCGAACAGCCTGATGAAGTGGCGAACCTTGTGGGTGAGTTGAAGATCAACAACACAGCCTAGGTTCCACATGCAATATACGTCGCGGGGTAGCACATCTTCCTATTTTTCCAAGCTTTATTTCGGACGAAAGACAAGGTCCTCCAGCCACAATGCATGTTTTCGGTCCACGACTGGTGCTGATTTAAGCATGCATGGCGGCCGTTACGTCAATATGAGGGCATGTCGTCATCGAAGTCACTGTCAACAGCGATAACTTCTCGGCTTTCCGCTGCATTGTTATCTCAAATTCCTCTCGTTGGGTGAACTTCTCCACTATACATGGATCAAACTTTCCTTCTGGGAACGAGAATCTTCCAAGTTGACCCTCCAGATTCGAATAACTGGCGGTATCACCAGGAGGCAAACGATCTTCTCCAGCGAGAATTAAGTAGGACTCACCACCCAGATCTCAGGCTTTGTTAGACAACTACATCGGCGCATTGCTGAATTTTCGACAATCTCTTTTTCACATTGGTCCTCACAATCCTAAGAAACACCATGAAGCCTGCCAAACCGTACTCAACTACAATGGACGAACAAACATTCGTCCCCGGAACCATGCGAGCACTCTATCACTGCCCGCCTTCGACAGCCATCACAACCGCAGAGTCCTCGGAGGTCCCAGGCGTGGATTCGGGCATGGTTTTCGACACTGACTTCCCGACCCCCAGACCAGCCGCGAACCAGTATCTCATCAAAGTCCAAACGGCAGCCTTCTGTCACGACGAACTTAGACTTGGCCGCGCTCTCAACCCCTCCAAGTCCATGCCCCAGATTCCCCTTCACAATTTCTGCGGCACCGTCATCAGCACGCCCTCGGCGGACCACTACCGTCCCGATGGCCCTCGGTTCAAAGTTGACGACGTCGTCTTCGGCCTGATAAGCCACACCCGCGACGGTGCCGCGGCCGACTACACTCTGGCCACCGAGGACGAAATCGCCCTGAAACCCAAAAACATCAGCGCGGCTGAAGCCTCCACCATCCCTCTCCCATCCCTCACCGGATGGCAGGCGCTCTTCACCTACGGGCGTGTGAACTCCCCCGACGCCGACACCCCGCGGCGCAGCCTGCGCGTCCTGGTCACCAACGCGCGCAACAACGAAGTAGCCACGCAAACGCTACAGCTCCTCCGCTCCTCTTCCCTCTTCCCGCACTACCATCCCTGGATCTGCGCCACCTGCTCCCCCATCGAGGCCGAGTACCTGCGCACCGAAGCCCAGGTCGACGAGATCATCGAAGCCCCGCTGCCCGTACCCCAGGAATTCGACCTCGCGGGCATCTTCCGCCACCAAGGCTGGGACCCGGTGGATCTCGTGCTGGACTGCGCCGGCTCCCAGACTTTCCGTCAGGCTCACTCACCCGATGTCGTGAAGGATAACGGCGTCGTGTTGACGGCCGTCGACACCGGCCCTATACACGACCACACCCCGCACGAAGACGCCCAGTCCCATCAGCGCGGGCTTCTGAGTCGCTTCATCGCCGTCCAGCCGGATGGGGAGGCCCTCGCCGCGATCGCCAAGTTAGTCGAGGCGGGCTCGGTGCGCGGCCGCGTCGCTGGCATCTCGGACTTTGTGAACGGAGCTGATGTTCTTGCCTCTGATGCGGCGGGGGTCGGTGGGGGGAGAAGAGGTGGGATGATGGTGTTCCGGGTGAATATTTGAGTATGGTTTTACATCTATATGTGCTTGTATCCTGGGTTGGGAGTCGGGATTGATCTTTGTATTCTTTCTTTCGTTCTTCTCATGTTAAATCCCATAGGTATGTTTGAGCGGTAGTTAGTTTCTTTCTTTGTATAAACGAGTGTATTTATATTATAGACTATGTATCCACTATCAATGTATCAATTCATGATTTATCAGGATATACCATTCTATCCATGTATCTAACCAGCATGTCTTACTGATAACAATGAACCCAAGATCAACGAACCGAACGATGATATATAAATAAATATAGTATTTGCGAATAAGTAACAACAAGGACGAATGGAAGGAAGGAAATGTAACAGACAGACAGACAGATACGGACGCTCAGAAAGGATCATCAGCAGCTCGATTCGGGACGAGAAAGACATGTGAACAGACAGATAAAGAGGACTTGCGCAGAACACGACCATGGACCCCCGATATAATACACGCGCATACACACATTTGTAAGGTAGCTTGGAAGGGTAAGTAGAGTGATAGGGATAGAGAAAGACATGATGTTGGAGTGAGAGGAAGGGAGAAGGACGGAGAGAAGTCAGAAGAAAAAAGGAAGACACAAACAAAGCATGCACAAGAAAGAGAAAACACAAAAACAAGAAAAAAAATTTAATGGATTGGATTAAAGAAAAAAGGGGCGAAAGATATAAAGTATGTTAAGTACCCCGTAGACAAGAAAAGAAGAAGGGATAAGAGAAGGATAAAAGAAAAAGGTCATGAATTAAAAGCTCGCTCCTCCGCTAATTTTTTATGGTTCCTCTTCTTTTCAGTCTTCGGCTTCCAGCTAGTTTTCGCCAGCCTTCCTCGTATTCTCATTCTTTCTTGGTGGGTACCTCGTGTCCTTGTCTTATGTTCTCTTTGGCGATGCCACAATCCAGCTGGGCTTCGTGATCAGGTATGGCTGCGTGGATGAGGTCTCATCTCCCATGTCCTTAGTTGGTATCGAGCGAGGTCAATCACCTGCGTCGTGCACACTAGGAAATACACTTACCCCTGGCAAGAAATGGTAGGACGGGGAATAAAAGTGGACGAGGCAAACGACGAAAACAAGCAGGCAACAGGCAACAAACGAATCGATCAGTAAGATAGGGAACATCTCATACAACAATGCATTGGACCGCATTCGGCGGCTAGTTCATACAAGCAAACTCCGCCCAAGTCCACCAGATGCCAGGACACACACTGCGTAAGTAGCCAAAAACCGCCCGTCTCGTTTTCCAGAAGTGAAAAAAGAAGGGATATCATGATCGGGCGAGAAAAGTGATAAAAAGGAAGTAGGACATATAAGATAGCGCAAGGACTTCGGAATAGAAAAAAACAGAGGTCAATCTCCGCTTAGAGTAGAGAGTCAAGTCTAGTAAAAACGCTCAAACATGCTGCAACGATCTGTGAGAGAAACAAGTTAGTATAAACGCCTGTTACCGACGCGGGATGTTAGTTTGCGAACGTACCTCCAACTGAAGCTCTTTGTCTTTACCCGAGTTCACTTCGTCATTAATGGCCTGGGCCAAATTGGCACCGATGGCCTGAGAGCCTCCCGGTCTCCGCGCAAACGGCCACTGCGAGTACTCAGCCAACAGCTCATCCACCTGGGCAAATGCCCTCTCGCGAGCCTCGTGGCTCATCGTCACGAGCGCATTCTCTAGCACGTTGGCCGCATAGGCGGCGCAGACCATCGAGATTGTCCGTAGGTACCGGAATTCGATATCTTCGGGGAGCCACGCGTTGGGGGGTAGGATCACGGTGCGGTTGCTGCAGATGTTGCGGACCCGACGGTGGATGTCATCTTTAGCGCCTCCGTCGGCGACGGGATGGGTAGCCATGTCGAACAGGAGGAAGTTGCGCTTCTCGGTGCGCAATATTCCTTTGTCGACGAGGCCCTTTGCGAGACGTTCGCGCACTTGTTTCAGTTGGTAGCCAATTTTCATCAAATTCCACGTTTCACCTGCAGACACGTTCCCGAAAATTAGCAGGGGTTTGAGGGAAGATCTCGATAGATCACATCTAGCCGTTACGTACCGCTCATTAGATCGATCCACGAGTTCACGCTCATCTTCTCGCTCGACTTCATCATTTTCAATGCCTCGTCCAGCAAGACCTCCCCAGTCAGAGTATCGTCGATGACTTCGATCACGCGATCGGCCAGGGGGAAGCGTCGCCGGGAGGAATCCTTCTGCATGCTGATCCGACCGCGGAGGGCCAACTCGATGACGATGCATCCACGCAAGGCGTAGGAAATGTTCTCGTTCCAAAACGACAGGTACCCCTACACGAACAAATTGAAACCGACAGGTCAGCGATCAGACCACCCGCACCACAGCATTGCACCGGAAACACACCTGTTTGTCTTTCAACCCCAGCAGCAAGACTTCCTCCATCAGCGTCAGCTTGGGTTGTTTGTTCCGTTCCTCGGTTTCGCTGATATCTCTCGGGTCGAAGGCGATCTTATGTCCGTTTTCGGTGCTGGTAAACGAGGTCTCCGGAACGCGGTTGTCAAGAGCGGAACCATTGCGAGACACGGGCGAAGACACTCTGCTATCGTCGTTCTCGTCCGGGCCAGTGGCTCGACCGCCACCTCTTCGGCGAGTCAAGCCCCCGGCTGAGGCCATTGGGAAATCTGAGGTCGGAGGTCGGGAACGGGAACGAGGTAGTCCAGCAAAAGGAAAGTCGGAAATTCAAGAGATCGGATTTATGCCACTAGCGCCTGCGACATGGAATTTTGGAGGGGTGACAGAGGGGGGTAAGAGGAGGGGGAGGACAAATGGGGTGGAAGTAAGAAGGAAGAAGGAATGAGAAGGGGTAAACGAAGAGGGAGCGAGAAAAAAAAAATCGGTGTCAAAGAGGAAGATTATGCCGAAACGGTGGGCAATTATCAGGGGGCGGAAAGAGGAAAGAAATCGAGAAGATCCTCGTGGAGAACGAGAGACCGAGAGAGGGAGGACGACAGAGAGAGACAGAGGGAGAGGGAGAGTGGTAAGAATTGAGGGCGAGAGAAGTGGAAGTCGACCAGAGAGAGTTAAATTAGCGGATGGGTCTAATCAATCAATCAATGAATCAATCAATCAAGGAGACCTGCAGTAGAACGAGGGCCGATAATCAACCCCGGCGATTTCAATGGACGACGTCTACCAACGAGAAAATCGCAGATGCCAATGCACGGAGAGAAAGGAAGAGGAAGACGAGCGTTGTCCAGGATCCCGTGTCGCTAAGGCTATCTGGTCTTTAGCGCTGTTTCCGCTGCTTCTTCTTCTTCCCCCCTCAGAAACACGAGCTCTACTTCTTCGGCTTCATTCTTTTGTCGTGCCAACCTGGAGGGTTCCCTCGTAACTCGTTCCAACCCACCGGTGCCGATCCCCCCCAATCAATAGTTGCTTAAAATCTCCGTATCATCAGTTCCATCAGCGGTTAACCCCTGGTGCCTTTATCCAGTTCCAACGGAGGTATACTGTCCGCTCCACGTCATCCACCCAAATGGCCACTCCACTCTGACGAATAACTCCGGGGAGGCTCAGTCCAACGTCCACGCCCTCGTAGATGCGCCGGAGCAATCATCTCACCTGCTCTCGTGCTACAGTCCTCCCGGTCGCCTCCGTCAGACAACCCGGAGCTTCAACACGCCCCTCGCTGCGGCCCGGTGGCGGAGAGAATACGCTCGATTCGATCAAGAGACGAAAGAAAAACACTGCATTGAGATGATATACACGATATAGTAAGGTGAAAAAGCACCGGCATGTATCAGCATACAACGGAGCGCCAACAACTCCCCGGATGGTCTCCGCTGGGAGTAGTATACGCCAACATCCCTTTTCTTTTTCTATCTAGCCCTCCATCCTATTTCCGACCTCTCGTATTACGTATTTAGTGGGCTAGCACTCGGTCAGCAATGGCCTCACCAGGTCATACTTGGGATCAAAGGGGAATGACATACCATCGGGCTGAGCAAGGATGTACTCAACAGCCTTGTCAACTGTTTCAATCAAAGGGATGAGCATGTGTTCTTCCAGAATCCACGGTACAACTCGGTTCCAAGTGTATCCCGCAGCAAAAGCAAACCTAGCGAAAGCACTTACCGCTGTGAATGGCATCAGCCTCCTTGTCGGGGATCTCGATGCTGAACTCCTGCAAGGAAGTAATCCCGTTAGTCAATTGTCCATGGGCGACGCAGATCAGCCCAAAGAATCATTCCATACCTCCTCAATGGCCATCACAACCTCAACGGTGTCCAAGCTGTCCAGTCCGAGGTCATTCGAGAAGTGAGAAACGCCGTTGATCTGTATGCGCAATCATTTTTAGTAAAACCACACTTTGCCGAGGAGTTCGGTCGGGAGACGATCGCGCCCGCGGAAAGAGTCAATGGCGACGGACCTTGCTAGCATCGGTAACCTAGGCATAATCCAGCACGTTAGTAACGATATGCGAGAAGCTTGTATTCCGAGCCGTCATGCGGGCCAGGGAGGCAATTCCGAATCCACCGTGACGCACCTTGTCAAAGTTCTTCAACAGGTTGACTATCCGGCCCTCAACCTCAGTCTTGTCGAGACCGGCAGGGGCGGAGTAGAGGCGGACACCCTGGTAGGCGAAGCGAGGGGCGAATTGAGCCGGACGAGCGATGGGAGAGCTGCGGATCTGGGAAGCAACCGGGGTTCTGACGGCACGAGGCACGGAAGCCCTCAAAGAGCGGACGATGGCGGAGCGGAACATGATGGCGGTAGAAAAGGAAGAAGAAAATGCAGGCGCAAAGGCGAGAGTTAGAAGGGGGGAGATAAAATCGGAATGATGAGAGGAGTGGGGGGGTGTGGGTGAAAGTGAAAGGGAAGAGGGAGAGAGAGAGAGAGAGAAGAAAGGCAAGAAGTGATGTTGAAGACGGACGAGATTCTCTTCGGCCGGCTCGGGCCAATCAGGATGGGCGGGAAGGAGGTGAGGTAAGCCGGGCAAGTTGAACCTCGCAAAAGTGACTTTCCTCCTCTCTCCCCTCCTACTTGCTCTCCCCCATTGCCTCCTCCCCCCCAATTGATCTCTCCTCTCCACCCTTTCGTCGCTATCTTCTCTCCTTCCACCTTGCAGAGATGGCCTCCACTCCCTCGGTCGCGAGGCTCATCGCCTATCGTCGACCTACGCCGACCTCGATTCTGACCTCGTCATTCCGTCCCTTGGCCTCAACCGCAAACTTCTCCTCCTCGGTGTGCCGGGCGGCCACTCCTGCCGGTCCCCCCCAGCCGGGCTTCCGTCTGCCCCCTCCTCAGAAATGGGACCAAGGCGCCGAGTCGTCTCTGGACAAGGCCTCCAAATACTTCCTCATGGCCGAGATTTTCCGCGGCATGTACGTCGTGCTCGAGCAGTTCTTCAGACCGCCGTAAGTGTCTCTCCCTTCCTCTTGTTCCCCCACTCTACGCGACCCGGACCCCGTTCCATTGTATCAAAGTCAATTGGCTTGGATCTTTGGGGAACAATGTCGCGGCATGGAATGGGCCGTCTGGTTCTCTGCGCAACGCCCAACCAGGAATCAAATACGGATTGAGCTTCGAAAACTGACGTGATGCTCGCGACCCACCAGTTACACGATCTTCTACCCCTTCGAGAAGGGTCCCATCTCGCCTCGATTCCGTGGCGAGCACGCCCTGCGACGTTACCCTACCGGTGAGGAGCGCTGCATTGCCTGCAAGCTCTGCGAGGCCATCTGCCCGGCCCAGGCCATCACCATTGAAGCCGAGGAGCGTGAGGACGGTAGCCGTCGGACGACCCGTTACGATATCGATATGACCAAGTGTATCTACTGTGGCTACTGCCAGGAGAGTTGCCCCGTCGACGCCATTGTCGAAAGTAAGTTGTCCTTGTATATGTGTGTGTGTGGAAAGGAACTCCCGAAGAGCTGACCTATTTTCCCCCGCGCGCAGCTTCCAACGCTGAATACGCCACCGAGACCCGTGAAGAATTGCTGTACAACAAGGAGAAGCTCCTGGCCAACGGTGACAAGTGGGAGCCCGAAATCGCCGCGGCTGCCCGTGCCGATGCTCCCTACCGATAAACCGCCTCAAGAAAACGGCACCGGTTCATCGCACCAAGGGCACTTCTTTATTAGACTTTGTATGATAACAGTGCCGTATCTGTTTCCTGTGCAATCTTCGGGCAACGTCGCTCTAGGATTGTTTTAGAAGTCGAGAGAGCGAGAGAGAGAGAGAGGGAAAGGAATGCTTTTTCTGTCTTTTTTTCATCTTCCACATAAAAGATATCTGAGGGATTTGTTTGTTTGGTTTCATTTTCTTGCGGTGGTTGAATCTCCGCACATTTCCCACTTTTGTGTATGTACATAACTAACGCTTAGCCTGCCTTATTACCACATGTACTTGTCGAGTTTCTGTGGGAGTCTTGTTTTATACGGCTTCCAGGGCTCTGATATTGTCTGTCTGTTTTCCTTTTTTCTTTTTCTTTTTTGTTCTGATTGTTGGAGGGGATCCTACCGGGTTTGAATTCATCTTTCTATGTCTTGTTAGGGAATAAACTTTGAGAATCAACCTATTTTCTCCTTTGTCTGACATGTTTGCCACAAGAACAATAGGGAAGAGGAAGAGGAGGGAGGGGAGTGTACATATAAAGTACTTGGGTAGGAGAGTCTACGCTGGAAGGTAAACAACATGGACGTGGACAAATTCCTTCCTATTTGTATGAACAGGTAAAATCGCTGCCTATGCACAGATGCACAAATAAACAAATGACCCCCAATAGTTTAGAACCTGAACACCAGTTCTCCTGCAGCTCCGTCACTCCACAATTTTTGGGTCTCCCTTTTTTTTGGTTGATTTTGTTTCTGTTTGAGTCCCTCTGGTGGTTTTTATTATCCTTCTTTGATATATCGGTTGGGGGATTGGATACCCTATGAGATAGGGTAAGATCTCACACACACACATCGCACATCGCCCATGCTTCTAGCCATTTACACAAACAACAGCTTGGATATTACAGATCATCCCCTGGAAGGAAGGTTCCTTCCGTTTCTTGTGATTTTTTGCTTATTTCTTCTTGCCGCCAACCTTCGATCCCTCGAAGCCGGGTCTGGCCTTCTTCTTGCCTCCGGCGGGTTTCTTGTTCTTGCCGCCGCCGTTGCCTCTCTCGTCGCGTCGCTTGCGCAGGTTCTCTTCGCGCTTGTGCTGCTTGTGGTCCTTGCCGCGCTTGACGGCTTCGAGACGGTCCTTCCACTCACGCTCGGACTTCTTCTTGGCGGACTCCTTGCGCTTGAGGGCCTTCTTGAGAAGGGAGGTATCGTCGCGGACCCGTTCGCCGTGAGCGCGCTTCTTGGCGTTCAGCCACATGTCTTTCTCTTCGAGGTCGGTCCGCTTCTCCTCGTCGAGTCCCGCGAGACGGGCCTTCTTAGCCTCGGCGGCCTTGAGGGCTGCGGCGGGATCGTGGGGACCGCTGCGCTTGTGGGCTTCCCGTGCAGACGACAGGGTGGGGTCGGCGACGTTACCATCCGCGAAGACCACACGGCCGAAGGAGAAGTTGTTGTTCGAGCCGACGGAGTCGGCGGGCGAGCGAGGCGAGGCGAGGAGCGATCCCGAGCCGCCGGGCGAGAAGCGGCGAGCCATGGCTTCGTCGTTGGCTCGCTGCTCCTCTTCTCTGGCCTTCTGTCGCAGCTCCTTCTTGTGAGCCTTGCGCTGCTCGGCTTTTTGTCGGCGCGCTTCGATCAGCTCTTGGCGGTTCCGGGCGGGCTTGCCGTTGAGACCGTCGGCGTGGCGCTTGGCCCGTAGCTCGTCGAGCCGTTTCTGTAACCGTTGCTTGAGTTCTTCGGGTGTGGGCTTAAGAGGCTTGGGTTCGGTGGATGAGGTTTTGGAAGCATCATTAGGGTCGGAAGGAGGAACGATGGAAGATATAGAAGAGCTACCCGATTGGGGATTCGACGTGTCGAAGTCTGGGGAGTTTGGCGATGACGAGTCCGAGGGCTCTGTTTGTTCGGGGTTGAACTCGAGAGAAAGCCCCTCGGCAACGGCATCTCCGTCAACGTCGTCATCGCTATCATCTGCATCCTGGTTGGCAGTTTGCTTCGGCTCTGGTTTTTGCACGGCTTCAGCCGCAGGAGTCTTGGTGTCCTTATTCTGCTGCTCAGCTTGCTTTTCCTTTCTGGCAGCCTCTTTGGCCTTCTTCTTTTCCTTTTGGTTGGCCTTCTTCTGCGCCAGCTTCTCTTCCTTCAGTTTCTTGCGGGCCTCGGCATCCTCATTAGTCTTTGCTGAAGCCTTATCCGAGCGTTCCGATTTTTCAGTCTGCTTCTGCTTCTTAGGGTTGGCGTCGCCTCTGTTGAGCCCCTCTTTGGGGGTTTCCGAGCCCAGCTCTTCGGCATCAGACGAGCCAGATTCATTCTGTTCTTCTTCCCGCTTACGTTTCCGAGCGTTCTCGTCCATCACGTCTTTGGCGGTTTTGGCAGATTCCGGGTCCAATTTGGCCCGCTTGGCCTCACGGGCTTCCTCTTTGGTCTGCTTCTTGCGTTGCCATTGGTCCTGTTCAAGGATTTCACGGTCAGCCGTGCTTGGGGGCAGAACGAGCTAGGAGACGGGAGAAGACAGGAAAAGAAAAGGCAGGCCGTTTGGCGCTGGGGCAAGGGAGAAAAGGAGGAAATTTTTGCAGAGTGTTTGACATACACTGCTATCTTCTCCGTAGTAAAGCTTTGCAGGAATTAACGACATCAGACCATCGAAGGCCTGAGCATGGCTGCGTAGCCGTTCCTAACGGGAGAAAAAAAAAAGAGGCGTCAATTTTTCATGCGTCCCAGATCGCAATGCGGGGAAAACATGAACACACCTGGATATCATCCATCTCGGAATAAGGGAGAGTACGGCCGCCGATTAAAATTTCCAGAGAATTCGTCCACGCGCAACACCTGGACGATGACGGGTCTTGAGGGGGATCGAGTGTATCGAAAGCCGCATCGAATACCTCGAAAAAATTGGGTGGGCGGTAGAAATCTTGGCATCCACTTTTTTCTCCGCTCGGCTCTCACCGCCTGCACACACAGACGATTTTTCTGCTTATCAAACGTGCCTATCGGTGTTTGTTCTGTTTAGTCCCCTTGTTTACCTCGTGCTCGCCTTCCGCTGTGGTTCAATGACACTGATATACTAATGTTTCCATATTGTCGGCTCATCCTGCTCAACAGGGTGTCTACTAATAATAATTACAATCCGGCAGAAACTACCTATATCCACCCCGATCGGAATGTCAGTGGACCATGCTATCCCCCCTTCCGGTTGTCACCATCGCTATTCTATCCCCATCGCGGTTCCTTGCCAACAACTGGTAGTCAAGGGAGCATCCAACTGCAAAGACATATAAATATAAATCCGATTTTAATCGCCAAACAATTTCGACGAATCCTTCAGTCTACCCACACGCTCCAGTCAAGCGCCCTATGCCTGGATTTTCAATGCACTTGGTATATCTAGATCGGGGCACGCCTCGCTTCGAATATCGGTGATTTTGTCATATGGGAATGGAATCGTCCAGATCAAGTCAAACCTGGGAGGAGACAATTCCAACTGTTAGCCACAATTACCAGGGGAAGACTTGTCGACATTGGTTTCTCTCACCGATCCTCTGGATACTCGGGCGGGTCCTCCACGCCTAGCTCCTGGGCCATCTCCTCCATTTTTCCATGTCGCCAGGAGATCAAGATATTACCGCATCCTCTATATCTTCGAATCTTCTTGGCGACGCAATGCACCCGGTTGCGCTTGCATGATGTATCCACCGTGAGGTCGAGATCGTCGGCAAGTGGGAGGACGGTCTCGTAGGAGCGTCTGTGTTGGCCCTCTGAGGAAACATCATCAGCATATCTGTCGTCTTCGATCTGTGGCGGCATTGCGTGTCATACTAGAATTGACCTTAGGGGCCATGATATACCCGACGTCGTATGGTGAGTAGTCCCCGAAGACACCTCGAAGACATTGGGCTCGTTTCACGCCCTCGGCACTCAACCCGCTATCGTTCGGGTCGGGAGGCTTCTCGCCATGACGAATGATATATACCGTTGGTTTATGTGAGTAAGGTAGAGCACATGCTGTGACGTTAACGATGGCGGTGAGTAGGAGGAACAAAAACCGAAGGACGATCATCGCGGCTCGGGTCCACGAACGGGGACCCTGGTATACAGCTGTTTTTTCGTAGGATTCCTCGGGACGGAGATGAGTATAATCAAGTCGAAAAAAAAATATCCCAGGCAAGTAGTAATGCTGCAAGGGTAAGCAGGTTCTTATTTAATATATGAGATGATTTAATAGTGTGTCGATCTTCAGCCCTGCCTGTAAATGTAAATAGTGGATTTTGCTAGTGGCTATCAATCAAGGTCAAACCCGGTGACGAGCATGACAGGGTCATCTGAAGGAGACTCTCGCTCTTGACCGATACTCCGGAGTAAGTAGATGCACGACAGGGAAGGCGCCATCAGCCATCGGTCCACTACGGTGAGCAGCTACCTTAGACTTGTATGTACAACGCAATCAAATTGCTTGCTGCCATGTATTACGTAGGTAGGTTACTTGCAAAGTACAGGTCTCACACCACGACACGAAGGGAAGATTCGAATCGGTGGGCCTCAAACATGCTAGCATGGTCAGGCGGGTTGTCAATATCCCGCAAGGTCAACTTCTTGACGCCAACGGGGGGTCACAAACAACCTTAATGCGACCAATCTTACAAACTGCAAGGGTCAGATGATTCATTCCTGGTCTACTTATAGTATAGAGGATGGAATATAGTCATAGAATTAATCTAGGGACTGCGGATGTGGGCTCGAGTTGACGAGTCATAAAAATCAATCATAGCCTTATGGTTATCAGGGAAGTGTGCCGCATGGTTGCAGGTGACCCACCGTTCGTACGTGTTTTTGTAGATCGCCCACCGCATCTTTGAATCAAGGAGGGGTTATGGGTTAGCTATTTAGATCTTGTATTTGTACATGAGATTTATTTGAGTTTGGGCTGATCTATGGGATCAGGCAATCCTTGGGGAGGGGGTTTATTTTGTTGGAGATTATTCTGTTCAAGGCCCATCGGTTGGTTAGAAATATATCTCATTCGGATATGACCCAATAACATACTAGAGTCCCCGATCTAATGCGTGGGAAATGAAACAAGGTCACCAGGATTTTAGAGCCAGTTACATCATTATTTGAACGCTTAATATTCGTGGATTTCATGATAGTTCACCTGTTGTACATACATACATGGGGAATGTCCTGCCGTTGAAGCCGACATCCAGAGCATCTTCTCCTAACATAGCCCGAGCATACATTTACCCACCCTAAAAGCGCGTATCAAAGCAAGATAAAGAATCAAAATTGCCACTGGACTCATTCGTGGAGAGGAACTATCTAGTGGAGTACTCAACGGCAGTTGATCCTGGGGTTGGACTGCGGAGTGTGCCCCTGATCTCTCAATTCAATTAAGGTAGTCGATTCGAACTACCTATAACAAAAAGCATGAGACATGTGCAATCTACCGAGTCTACATTATGTTCCAAACAGGCTACAGGGTCATGCTATGTTTCATGTGCAGGTAATCTCTTCCTTATAATCAAGACATCGATTTATGTTCAAATCAGGAACCTGGTAGTTACATGGGCGCTGACCGCTGAGGGGGAACTAGATCCAATGTCTTTGGAGCCTCGCGTACTCATAGAATCACGACAGTAATCTTCAACGTACGCCTGGTACGCCTCCATGATTCCGTAGACCAAATTTCGATGGCATTCGGCATTACCACGATGACCAACATCTGATCAGAAAGAAGCAGGTACCCCGAAATACTCCTTGCGTTCGATCCAAAGCTAGCATATTGACTGCTAGGCAGACGCTTGCCATCATTCCCTGTAACACAAGGCGTTATCGCCACAGATTGCTTCGCTGGGATGATTTGTGGCGAAAACAAGCGATGATTGCTAGAGACTGTCATCCGATTATCGAATTACTAGTACATCACCGGTGAGCCCGGTGCGCGTTTCTCAGCAATCCTGTTGCTGACGCCGTGACATCAAACTGCAGGATGCTAACGAAGCCCGGGCTATGCTTAATCGATGGCCTCGTAGTTCTAGAACCACGCTGACAGATCGCCACATCGCAAGTTTCAGCTTCCGACGACTCTAAGCGGCTGATCTCAAGGCTTCTTTTGAGAAAGCCCCAGAGAGGAATTGCTAAAGTAGTTAGTAGCTGGTAGATGCCTCTTGCTCTGCCTTCTGGACCGGTATACCCGGAATACGGAGCAAAATCGGAGATAACCCAATAAAAGGCCAAGTAGCGATACGCAAGCTGAGATTACACCCCACATCATGAGGGTTGAAAAAGTGGAAAGTGTATCAGATAATAATCTGGTTGCCTGCTAGAAGTAGGACCGGGCGGTAATTCTCGTACGGTCTAGTAAGTACGAAGGGCTCGGCATTCGGCAATCGCAACATTGACTCCGTCCAGCGTAGACATTCCGAGAGACCCGAAATTAGGAGAGTCGTACCATATGCATCTAGCCTATTTTTTTAGAATTGATATTGCCAAGTAAGATGGAGGCTCTACTACGTAAGATCGGGCGATAATTATATATGTTCGATGACGTTCGATGGGTTTTCCATCTGCCTGCCTCTTGCGGTCTGAGAGGTATACTCAGTAGCCACTAGATGTGGCTGTGTGGATTCGATCCCGGGGGCTGTACTGGTACTGTACGGTGGAGCCGGGCTGCCTTAGCCTAGGTCGGTACCTAAGAAGTACCTTTATAGTGGAATAACGTCAACCTTACACAAATAATATTCATTAGCGGTTTTATGTTATGCTCTCCAAGTCTGGCTCGCTAACTCAAGAAAGTCAAGGTTTCAGCTGACTCGACGACGAGTACCTTCTCGGCTGTAATTTAGGCACCAGTAAAACAGGTGATAGGTTGAGGCGTGTAATGTAGGTATGCCTAAGGTATGAAGGGAATTAACTCAAAATTCCCCGATCGAGACTGATCCAGGCTGATCCTCGGATTGGCGGGGTACAAGAATACTGTCACTGTTAAACTGATTTTGATATACGGCCGTCGTCAGCCCTGGGGAGCAGCAGCACGGGGCAACCGCATGGCCGCAGGAAGCACAGCCACCGCAGTTTCTAGAAGAATGATGAAGGCATCGCCACGATAAGTGTGGTACGGTACGGTAATCCCGAGTGGCTTTTCCGCGGGACTGGCAAGCCTCAGGCCAGATTCCCCTACCCGAATAGGCAATTTGGGGCAGCCGGGTGACGGTATTATTGGGCGTCGGATACGCAGTGGAATCGTACGGCCTTGGCGAACGGGGTTTTCCTGGCCTCTTTGGTGGGGTTCCCATCAGCAACTCAGCCCTGCAACGCCAGATCACCTTATCGAGTGGCCAAACATTTATTATAAAAGGTCGAGGGGCTCCCCCGTCTCCAACTTTCTTCTCTCCATCATCACCATCTTCCTTTAACCAACGTCAAATCATCTCCATCCTCTTTTGATACCTTTAATCCATCTCACATCTATACACATCACACAACCATGTCTGGCCCTTACGATCAGTACAACCAGGGTGGCTACGGTGGCGGCTACGGCCACAACCAGGGCTACCAGCAGCAGCAGGGTGGTTACCCTCAGCAGGGTGGCTACAACCAGGGTTACGGACAGCAGCAGCAACATCAGGGCTACGGCCAGGACTACAACCGCGGCGGAAGCTCCAACGACTACTATGGTGGTAGCAGCGGCGGCAGCTCCAACGATTACTACGGCGGGCAGCAGCAGCAGCAGCACCAGTACGGCCAGCAGTCTCACGGCCAGTACGGTGGCCAGGATTCCTACAACCAGTACGGGTACAAATTTTCTATAACCCCTTGTCCTATATTAACGTTGAATGACAACATGACTAACTCGTTTTATCAGAGGTGACCAGCAGCAGGCTCCCGGCGGTGCCCAGGAGGGCGAGCGTGGACTTGGTGGAGCTCTCGCCGGTGGTCTCGCCGGTGGCTTCGCCGGCCACAAGGCTGACCACGGTTTCCTCGGAACCATTGGTGGTGCCATCATCGGTAGCATTGCGGAGGATGCCATGAAGAAGCACAAGAACAAGAAGGAGCAGGAGGGTCCCCCTGACTACGCCAGCGGATACGGTGGTCCCCCCCAGGGCCCTCCCTCCAACCAGGGCGGCATGATGGACCAGCTGGGCGGCTTCTTCAACAAGCGGTAAATGGGTAAACTCATTTCTCATGCCCGTTCACCTTGCCTTCCTCCGTTTTACCTTCATCTCGTCGACGACTATGCTACGACTCTGCTAAAGCCTAGAATACTTTGAATGTCTTTTGGCTGGACGGGATCTACATTGCTTTTCGACATTTTCTTTTCGCCTTATTCTCTTCTGGTCTATTCTTTTCATATTTATGTTGATGGGGTGTTTTTCTTATTTCCTGTTATTTGCGAACCTGAGTATACCCAGCTCAGTATTTATGAAAGCTATGGATACAATTTTACAACGATGACTCGGATTCATTATCATCTTCTCTCCCTGATGACACCATTTTGCGGGGTTCAACGTAGTACAGTGGAATTTTTGATGGCCTAGATTCCGACGGGGTAGTTTCACCATGAAATGAGAGTTAAAATATACGGAAACTTGGCTTTGGCTGAAATCTGGATACTTTCTGGAGGCGTTGCGCCATCCGGAGAATACCAGTCAATAGCCCCTCGCCCCGCCATTCTCGAGGATGCCCGAGGCTATCGACAAGACGGCGTACAGGGCTAAAGGGTAGAGATTCTGATGAATATAGTTCTTATCGGTTGGTGTAAGCCATTCTAGACCCCTTTGTCGTCATAATCGATTTCTAGAGATGAATCCCACCCTTAACATCAATCACCAAGGGCGGCTTCGTCGGAAGAATCGAGTCGGGACGACTTCCCCAGGCTAGCAACACCCGCTAGCCGTATGTGGTTAGTCCATAGTATTCATGCCTCAGGCCTCAACAGTTGCCAAGCCCGACATCAAAAGTTCGCGCGGAAGATCCCCTTGAGACCATCGGAGTCCCATAATTAAACCAGCACAGCACAACATGATTGTTCGGCATTTGTGTGCGCGGCAGAGTAAGTTGGTCGCTCGGATTAATCTGACGGTTTATCCTGCAATTATCATGGGACTAATCTCTGTTTCGTCGCAGGCCGCTCGTTTCTTGCCCTCGGCCGCCGGGGTCGCTTCGTGAACAGACTTTACTCAACCGAAACGCCAGTAATCGAACCTCAAGTGCAAACTCGTGTTGAAGACCATCCGGCTCAGCTAGAGAGCTCTTTGCCATCGGTCTCGGATGAGGCTCGCACTGCTGCCCAAGAGGCTTTCGTGAAACGCAAGCAACGAGGTGAGCATGAGCACTGCGGCTTTGACCTTTTTTCGAACCTCGCAGTCGATAGGAAATGATAACTGATTTTATGGCGTTTAGAAAGCAAGTTCCGTGAACTTGGTACTCAGGTTGCCAATGCCTACCAGCCCGAGGATCTCATTCGATCCCCCCCCAAGCCTTCGGACATCACCCTCGAACTGCTTCTCGCCTCTCAGACACACCTCGGACACTCGACGTCTCGCTGGAACCCTCAAAATTCCCGCTACATTTTCGGTATCCGTGAAGGCATCCACATCATCTCTTTGGACGTGACCGCCGCCCACCTCCGGCGTGCGGCTAAAGTGGTGGAGGAGGTCGCCGTCCGCGGTGGTCTGATTCTCTTCGTGGGCACGCGGCCGGGCCAGAAGCGATACGTGATCAGGGCCGCAGAGCTGGCCCAGGCCTACCATGTTTTTGAGCGTTGGACCCCTGGCAGTTTGACCAACGGACAGCAGATCCTGGGTCACTGTGCGACCAAGGTTGTGAACGCTTTCGACCAGGAGCTGCCCGCCTACCGGGAGACTCTGGAGGAGAGCTCTGCTCTCAAGCCGGATCTTGTGATTTGCCTTAACCCTGTCGAGAACGATGTCCTTCTGCACGAGTGTGGTGTGAACAACATCCCCACCATCGGTATCGTCGATACGGATGCCGACCCTACAAGTGTCACCTACCCTATTCCTTCCAACGATGACAGTTTGCGTGCCGTCGGTGTCATTGCTGGAGTCCTGGGACAAGCCGGCAAGGCTGGTCAGGCGAGGAGAATGGAGTTGGCTCAAAGGGGTGTTCTCACATATGAACCGACAGAGATTCAGCTGAGTGAGGCCCAGCAAGAATCCCAGCCGCAGAACCAACAATAAAGGTGGATTGTGATCGTGCTGGGGTTTCTATCTCGGGGTTTCCTTATGTCTATGTCTAAGTTTGAAAATATGCCATGGAACTGTATTGTATAGAACATTGTATATCCTTTTTTATTGTTTTCACTGGTGTTGCTGCATGTATTAACAAGTTTATCTGAATTGGGAATTCTTTGCTGCTGAAACTGTTTTCAAGCTGTCACAGTTTAGGGCCTCAGGCCAGAACAAGTCTATCTTACAGCACCTTTATTTCTTGCTCACTCTGAAGAAACGCGCATACGTTTGGAAAGTATCATGCTGACTACTCGGCTTGAAACTGCTACTCTAGATTCATTATCATTGCCCTACTCAGCCAACTACCTAAGGCCCGCACTGCTAATTGTCTTAGGTTTTGACGGTGTACACGTTGCGGCCACGTTTGTCAGTACCCTTGTACTCGACTGTCTTTCCAGAGTCAGAAACAACGCGTCTCTCATCACCGTTGTGCAGGATGATATCCAAATTCTTCCATGCAGGGACAAATCCCTTGTGCTCATCCCGAGAGAACCCGACGATGACTCTGTCCTCTGTTGAGCTATAGTTGATCGTGTACCGTGAGATGGTCGCATCAACCGAAATTCCATCATCTTCAAACCAGGTAGTAGAGAAGGCGTTATTGTGGGAACTGCCCCGAGGTGGGAAGATTTCCACTCCTCGGTAGTCGTCCAACTCTTCCACTGCCAATGAGGCCGCGGTCTCATCACCTGGCACTCTCGTGTGGACGGACTTGCCGACAGGAATTGCGCCGCCGATTTTGGCGAGCAGCGGAATACTCGTCTTCCACTCGGAAGGCACCTCGACCCATTGGCCTGAAGCGAAATATGTGTATGGCGCGTTCATGTTCACATATCCATAGTCGAACTGGGTGTTTGCCTTTCGGGGTAGATATACCTTGCCAACGCTGACGCCGGGCTCATATACGCCCCCGACGAGAATGGTGTCGCCGAACCAGTACTGCTCTTCGCCCGACTTGAGAGGCTTTGTCCAAACTTCGGGATCCGTTTCGTAGCCCCAGCCGACCCAGCGCTGGGGTGGTGATGCTGTGAGATGACTTTCTAGGCCAAGCGAGTAGATGTATGGCAGGATCTCGTATCTGCGCTTGATCGTATCCCGAACCAGCGGCGTGATCTCGGGATACATCCATGGCTCGATGACATCTCCTACAGAGCTGTTACCTGGGGAGGTCTTGAAACAGTTGATGGCGAATCGTGGCGAGTAGATCCCCAATTGAATCCATCGGAGAAGGAGCTCGGGAGAGGGTTGAGGTCCTGAAGGGGGCAAATCAGCCTTGCTGCTCTGTTTCGGACAAAGGGACTCAAGGACGCGAGGGAAACATACCTTCGAATCCGCCAATATCATGACCAGCACACTGGCAAAGTCAGTCTATTTCATGTTGATAGTCTATATCAAAGGGGAGCTCACCTGCAAGAGAGATATTCCTGTGTTAAGAGACAAGGAGTTCGACCCCTTCATGCCCTCCCAGCTGGTTACATTGTCACCACTCCAGGTACTGGCGGCATATCGCATAGTTCCTGGGGTGGCACTTCGGGTCAAGACGAATGGTCGGTTCTTGGGTTCCAAGTGAAGAAGTGCATCATGGGAGGCCTTTCCCATGAGCTCAGTGTGTATCGCACGACCCCAAAGCCCAACAGTGTTGTCATTACTCTGTCTCTGCACGGCCTCAGCTACCGTTGGCTCATCAAGAGCAACCTTCCAATCATCATTTGGAAGAGTGTATTCGTTGTTATCGTTCCACATCCCATCGATACCGACGCGCTTGAGACTTTGAACGCCGTCGTACCACCATTTGAAAGCCGCGGCTGAGGTGAAATCGATGTGGCATCCATCACCCCCTGTTGCACCCCCAGCGCTCCACAATCGCATGTAACCCGGTTCCTTGGTGGCTGGGTCTTTAAAGAACCCGCCCGCATCGACAAGCTTCTGGAAATCAGGGTGAGAGGCGAGAAGGAAGGGCTTGATATTGGTCAGAAGGCGGATACCCCGCGAATGGTACTTTGCAACCCATTCCTCTGGTTTAGGAAATCGATGGTAATTCCAGGTGAAGACATTGCGGACCTTGGGCTCTTTTTCCGCAATCGAGTAACCCGAGCTCATCTGGTGGGCGGAGCATGGGATATCGTGCTCTTTCAACTTGTCCGCAAACTCCATGAGAACCTCATTTGCAGGCGGCTCATCCACCATGGTGTATTTGTATCCGCCTGAGATGTACCCATATGCCCAACGCGGGACGAGAAGCGGGAAGTCAACCAGCTCTGCATATGACCTGACCACATCCTTGAGAGTCTTCCCGACAATGAGATACTGTTCAAGACCACCGTAGTCTTGACGGTAGACTTTGAAATGACCCCAGAGGCCATCCACTTCCGATCCGACTGACCAAGACCCTCTTCCGTGAGTGGTCGAGAAGATAGCCACACAGCCTTGCGCCGTCGCCTTTATCAGCAACGGAATGTGCTTATACAGCGGGTCGGTGTTGTAGACATCGTATCCGAAACTGTCTGTAGCAGAGAGCAGGAAATGCCGGCCGCTGAGATCCATCGGTGCACGTTTTTCGCCCAAGCCAACATGAAGCGCATCGCGGTCATGCTCGCTATAGTTTGCGATTCCCGCTGCGTCTGCGACATAGGATCGCAATGGCAGATCGCGATGCAATGGCTTGTTTTGGTCCTTCCAAGACAATGCGACCACCGGGGTATGTTCCCAATCCACCGATGCCTTCACGTCGCCAACCTCAATTGTTTTGTGAGAGACTTTTGTCGCTGTGGACACCCGAGCATTGTCGATATTCGTTGCTGGTTTTTTCACGTTCGGATACGGAGGGAGAGGGTGATCTGGGGAGGTAAAAGTGACCCGGAACAGGTTTTCACGGACAGCCTCGAACGAGAAGTCAAACGCTTGCTTTTTCGAGCCGGTTGAGCGAAGATGCACCGCTGATGAAGTGGTGCTCTCGCTAGGCGTTTCTTGGTAGCCCTTGGGGCAGTATTCTTTTTGAGGCATTGTGGCACAATTGGATGAGAACAGTGGCTGAGTATGGTGTATTCCAAGACGGACACAGTGAACGAATTCTGAGAAGACCAAGACATGACGCCGTATTTGAATGCTTCTCTGTTCTCTGCTCCAAATTCGAGCTGCGGAGAAGGGTTGGGTGGTGGTTGCACCCCTCATGGCCTGTATGATCGGATTTCGGGGATCATCTCCGATATGCTTCACTTTGGTAGGCAACTAGGTTAGGACTTGCATGTCGCTTCCCCAGGTTCACCCCGGCTTTTCCCCGCAGGGCTTGGCTTTCCAGGCATCACCCCACTGACGGCAAAGGAAATGCCGACCACTATCGGCATACATGACCGAAAGCCGATCCTTGATTGCCAAAACGTCAATCAACACCCCCGCGTCCTTGTCTTGCCGTCTCCAAGGTCATGGATATGGTTCAATTGGATGGCGTATCGGATATTGTCCGACTGTTCTCATATCGCACATCCTATCATGCGTTAGCGGCGTCTTGCCGACAAGCACTACGAGAGTCTATCAATCATGCCATGGCTCCAACCTGTGTTATGGCTCACATGGATGTCGGACTTGGATTACTCTCGTCCGGCTAGCGGTTATTGGTATTCCCCCACGGGGTAGAGTTGCCCATGTCTTGAGGCTATGCTGTTATGTTCTTCACAGGGACGCTATGGGACTAAGGTAGCGTTGTCGTTCTAAATACGTCTCCTTACCCCCTCTTCAGTTGCTCGTGCATTCTACCTTGGCTCTCTATTACTTGCAACTCGGACATCCTATTATCCCTACTTGGTTCTCTTCAAGACCTGGGAATTGATCTTTCTTAAGACATCATCAAGGATAACGAAGAGGCCAGAAACATGTCACAACAGGGCGAGACTCCCTACGGGAAACCAAGGCAAGATGAGCAGATTGAATATGCTCCAGATGAGCCAACCCACGGACACCACCAAAACGAGAAGAACCAGGACAAAGGCCTCGAACTCATTGAAGATATGGGTCGCTCCACCATACTGACAGCAGAAAACAACTCCAGGGTCCTCCGAAAGATCGACCTAAGGCTTCTGCCCCTTCTGCTGGGCATCTACTTCTTGCAGCAACTCGACAAATCCACGCTTTCATACGCCTCAGTTTTCGGATTGATCGAGGACGCAAACCTCAAAGGTCAAGAATACTCCTGGCTCGGATCGGTGGTCTACCTGGCCCAGCTGGTCGCCCAGCCCTTTTTGGCATACATCCTGGTGAAAGTTCCGCTGGGGAAGTTTCTTGCTTGTACGACCTTGCTATGGGGTATTGCGTTGACATATGCGACCCCGGCAAACACTTTTGGAGGATTGCTGGCTTGTCGGCTCTTTCTGGGGCTGTTTGAAGCGGGAATCCGTAAGGCCTTCATTGTGTGCGGGATTTTCTTGTTAGTATGTGCTCTAACTTCGCAAAGCCCCTGCCTTCATTGCTATCACGCAAATGTGGTATCGCCGTCTTGAACAGCCCATGCGACTTGGATCGTGGTATGCAATGAATGGTGTGGTATACATGGTACGTTGGTGCTCCTGATATGAATGACCCGGTATCTTTTTACTAAGGTGGCATTTGGATGGACAGTTCGGAAGCTTGATAACCTATGGTCTGGGTCATATACAATCTTCCGTCTTGAAGCCATATCAGGTAAGGATCTAGTTCCCTTCGCGAAAGCGTATGTTATACTGAATGTCCGCTTCTGTATATAAGATCATCTTTTTGTTTTTCGGCCTTATCACCATCGTGTTCTCTTTCGTCGTGCTGTGAGTGAAATGCTAAGTGGCTTCTATGCTCGTCTGACCTGTCGTGAAGCGCCTTTATGCCGGACTCACCGGTACAATCTAAGTTTCTCGAGGAAGAGGATAAACTATTGGCGATCGAAAGGTACATCCCACTAGCCATGAACTATTGAACAGCTACTCATAAAGATGAACTAGACTCCGAATGAACCAACAAGGAATTGAAACCCACGAGTGGAAATGGGACCACGTGAAAGAAGCCTGTCTTGACATCAAATCCTTCTTCTGGTTTGCATTGATGTTCTCCATCTCGTAAGATGTCCGCCCAAGAATCCACTGCGAAGAGTCACAACTTACATTGAACTAGCATCCCTAGCGGCGGTATCTCGACCTTTGGCCCGTTAATCATTCAAGCGTTTGGCTTTGATCAGTTCAAAACGATCCTCTTCAATATTCCATTCGGTGCCGTTCAGCTTGTCGCGACTATGGGAGGCGCGTGGCTGGCCACGTACCTCAAGATGAAGGGCCCGGTTATAGCTCTATTATGTCTTCCTGCGATTGCTGGCTGCGTGATGCTGCTCGAATTACCGCATGATGAGGCCCATAAAGGGCCTCTTCTTGCAGGGTACTATATAGTAAGTTGTGGAGGTCGATCATCTGATAGCAATGTGCTGACAATATCGGAGATATCGGTCTATCCGGCGATTAGTTCGTCCTCCTCGCGCTTCTGATTATTTCAAGCTAACTTGAGATTAGCACCAATGATCTACTCATGGTCTGCAGGAAATACTGGAGGTGAAACGAAAAAGAAAGTCACCAATGGTATTCTACTGATCGGACAATGTGCTGGAAATGTATGTTGTATAACACCCAACGAAAAAATAGGTCCGTTGCTAACGCACAGATAGGTCCTTGGCCCAAACCTTTATACGACCGAAGAAGCTCCTCTATACCGAAGAGGACTACTATCAAAGTGAGACACTTCGTTGTACCGCCCATACAACCTACTAATTGGATCATAGTCTTGCGATGTTCTGTGTCCTGGTTTTCCTATCCCTGTAAGATTCATTCATAATGAAACCATTTTCATTGTTAACTGACAGGTACCCAAGCATAAACATGGCATACCTGCTATTCCTCAACAAGAAGCACGAGAAGAAGCGTGTGTCGATGGGTAAAAGTGCGAAGATCATCGACCACTCGATGCAAGCAATTGGCGCGTTTCAAACAGACAAAGAAGAATCGTCGGCTCAAAATGAAGTAAACGATGATAATGCATTTAAGGACCTGACGGACTGGGTCAACGAGGACTTTGTCTATGTTTACTAGAGGCGTCTATTAGGGGGAACAGTCTGAAGTCGGATGGGAATGTGTTATTAGGACAAGGAAGTGAATTAGGTATGACGTTACCAAATGTAGGATTCTGGCATACTCTTTAGTGTATATTGGTATGAACTGTGATTATGACAAGAAATCATAGTATGTCGTATAAATGATCAGCCTAGAAGAAAGGAAGCCAGTAGTAGCCGAGCCGGCAATGCTCCGAGCTTCACCCCGCGCCGGTTCGTTCCATCTTTTTCAACCATGTACACATGTCACCATTCAACCTCATGAAAACGAACCACTTCTAGACTCCCTATTTGCTATATGATCGATCTGCAGCATGGAATCGGACGATGCCGGGATAATGGCAGCTCCGCCGTGGAAAAAGCGGATCCCGGTAATACTTGCTGCCTACACCTTGTTTACATTAGCTTTAGGCGAATCCATCACTGAATCTGACTGTGATATGAACAAACAGAAAGCCTGCAGCAATTGCCGACAGTCGAAGGTATGCTTAGGTCTATAGGCTTATTCGTTAGAACATATCATTAACTGATACCTTGCTATAGGTTAAATGCGATGGAAAACGGCCATGCACTAGGTCTTTGTCCCTTTTATATTTACCTCATTTTGACAGGATGTGCTGAACCATTAGCAGATGTGATAGGTTCAAACGAAAGTGTGTGTTTTTCGAGGCGCCCAAGGACCCAGTTACTCAGTATGTACCTCTCATCCTGAATACAGCGCATTCAATCGCGAATGTCTCTCTCCAACCCTCACAACTGATCCTAAACGTGGTACAGAAGATTAGAGTCCCTAGAAGGTGACGTACAGCACTTACATGACCAGCTTAAAGAACTACGGGGAGTCCTATATTCGCAAAGATCGCAGGCCTCTCATGAAAAAATTCCCACCTCATCCCCTCCCCAGCTTGCACCTACTTCTTCAGCTATGGCTGCTTTTGATACAACAGCAGATTCTGGGGCAATACAATTCAATCATCAATATAGCACACCGCGTATACAGGGAGAGGCGCCTCTCCAGAGCCCCTTAGCAGCAGCGACCTTGGAGACAACTCCTCCCTCCAAACGGAGACGGTCTGGGTTTGAAGTCAGAAACGAGCCAGTCTTGGACTTTATCAGCAAAGGTGTCATAACGGTTGATTATGCGGTGTCTTGTTTTAAGACGTGAGATAAGCTACTCTGTTGCGGTAAACTAAGGAGATAATACTAACATGGGATAGCTTTTTCCAAGGATGTGTATGTCTTGACTTCTTTCGTCCTCGATCCAGTACTATCAATGTCGATAGAATTGCTCATGTGAAATTGTCTGAAGGATAGGTATATTCCAATATTTGACTCGGGGTATGACACGTTCACTTCGGTCCGCTCTCGAAGCAGCATTCTCCTGAATGCCATCTGCACCATTGGCAGCCGGGTTGAAAGTAAGATGGCGAAGGATAGACGATGCATGTTGAAGCGAACTAACAGTCCATAGGGTCTGGTTCGCAAATGTCCGATCTTCTACACGCAGAGTTAAAGCGGTGGATCAATGTCATCATCCAGAACGAAAAGATGAGCTGCCTGGAGTCGGTGCAGGCCTTGCTAGTCGTCGCTTGCTACTCCGCCGAGCGTGCTCTGCTTCTATCGTTTGCAACCCGGATGGCGTTGGATCTGGGGTTGAATGAGGCGTTTGAAGATCTCACTCATAAATTGACGATGAAGGAAGTCGAGGAGTCACCCGACGTTCCCGGACTGAGGGAAGAAGAGCGTATCCTCATGGGAAAGTCAAGGACGTGGTTCGGGCTTTTGGTCCTAGAGCATATGTAAGTTTACTGTTCGCCCTCTCGATTCTCCTCAAGAATGATGACTGATGAATTATAGATTTCGTGTGGACGGTGGAAAGCCTCCTGGAATTCGCATGACCGGAAACGCTCGTCGCTGTCGCATGCTGCTTCGCCATCCTTCGTCCACGGTCCTGGACCTGCGTTTGTTTTCTCAGGTGGAGGTAAGCCAGCCATAGCAATATGGTTTTCATGAAACTCACACTATACTAGTTAAACGTAATCAGAGGTACACTGATCGCATGCATTGTCTCGAGGGGAGAGCTACTAACGTTAGACAGTCAACATCAACGATACCCTCGGCGCAAGTCAGACGCTAAACCGGACCGATATAGCAGACTTCGTCCATGATTCCAAGGGAGACATTGATATATGGTTCGAGTGAGAGCGCCATACTACCTAACTTGAATCCGGTTCATGTCGTAGCTAACAATTTCTAGTGACTGGTTGCGAATCATAGGTAAACGATCCTGGACAACTCGGTGACCTCCCAACTCAACATCCTCAAACTGACCCCAAAAACAGAAAACACAACCCCCGCAGACCAAGAAAAACCCTACCTGCTTGCCGCACTACGAGTCCAGAAATGCTGGTCCGAAATGATGCTCCACTGCAAAGCCCTCCGCTCCATAGGCGTCGAGAACGTTGCGTGAGTCAGGTTTTTCTTTCTCTTCCCCATACTCCCCGATAAGTAAGTTAGGAAGGTATATATTCGACTAACAAACTCCATACTCTACGGTCGCACATCCAACAGAACCATGTCCCCCGTCGAGCGCAACATCCTACTCATGGCGAAAGCCAGCGCACGCAAACACCTACGCCTCATCAGCGCCGAACCAGACTTCTACCTCGCGAAGCTAAAATACGCCATGGATTTCGTCTGGGCCAAATGCGCCTTCTGCTTCCTCCTCCTGCTAAAGCTCTCGCGGCTCCTGCCGGAACGGAAAGAAGAGCACCAGGAGCTGCTGGACCACGGCACCCGGCTGCTTGACGAACTGGCCCAGTCTGGGTCGAATAGCGATACTACCGGGAACGGGAACGTCTATCTGCGGATCTTGCGGTTGAGTATTGAGAAGTATGGGAGGACGGTGTTGGAGAATGAGATGGGGGCGGTGGGTGACCGGACGGCGGCGGAGGCGACACCGTTCTGGGAGCTGTTTGATGCGCAGGCAGATTTGCAGTCGTTTGTGCCGGAGCAGTTTGTGACGGAGTGGGATTTTCCCGGGTTGAATCTTTTCTATTTTCCGACTGCGTGGCAAGATTTCTTTGGGGATTTTTCGTTGGCGGTGTGATTTTCTGGGAAAATTGGTTGCATTTGATTCCATGTTGACTGAAATAATGCAGGGAACTTGAGATTAGTAGTACTGGTGGAAAGGATGAAAGACAGATTAATTGAATGCTCCTTGGGAAAGAAACCCTCTCTATTTGGTATGTCAATAGAAAAAGAAAAAGAAAAGAAATCTAAAGCCAACTTTTCCCCTCATTCTTGTTGAAAACGAACGAGACATGGATATCAAAAAATGAGAAAATAGAAGTCATCAAATGGATCAAGTAACGAGCGCGCAAAGTTGGTTTTCAAACGGGGATACTAGTCCCTGCTTAACCCAAAGCTCTCATGGTAAGTTCGACCCTGAACAATATCATTAGTATCGGTTGCATAGAAGCATGGCCACGCCACTGTTAAACGGGTCAGAAGAAAAGGTGAAACGTACACAGCGAATGTTCCTGCCGACACAGGCATAGCCCTCAGCAGAGTGGGACCCAGACCTCTCCAGAAACCGCCGAATCCCTCTGCGGCATAGGTCTTCTTGAAGCAGTCCCGCATCGACGTGAACTGCCGCTGCTCGCCGAACCCGTCGCACTGCATCTTACTCTTGATCACGTCGAACGGGTAGCTGCTCAGCCAGAGCGCCTCACCCGCCAGACCACCATAGGTGGCCACCTTGAGGCTGGAGATCTCGTCCCGCTTGATGTTGTTGCGCTTGGCATCCTGGTTCATCAGGTACTCGAAGGTCAGGAACCACATGCCGTACGCCTGGATCTCTCGGAGATAGGTGACCGCCTGGCCGCGGAAGAGCCCACGCAGCACGCCCTCGTGGGCGGAGAGCTTCTTGATGCAGTCGATCGGACCGTTGTACAGACGACCCGCTCCGTGCGGCTGAGTCTGTAGACGGATACGGACGTGCTCAATGGGCCCCGAGAGCACGGAGTTGGTGATACCCGCAAAACCTCCGGCCATGTAGTACTGGGCGTAGGAAAGGCTGCTGTCGGCATATTTCTTCTGGTTGAGAGCCTCCAACCGTCTCCGGGCCTCATGGAAGGCACCGAATTGCACACTTACCTGGGGTGGGTCAGTTTTGGAATTGTCGGTTGGCTGGCTAGATGAGGAAAGTGACTCACGCAAGCACCGATTCCGATCAACGGAGTCAAAGTGCCCTTGTAAAAAGCAAGGGGACCCTCATTCTTGAAGATCTTGGTGGCACAGTCCAGAGCACTGGAGTACTGTGTGGTCGTCTGCAGTCGCACCTTGACAATATCTGCAATTGTTAACATCTACAGTTCAACATGCATGCAGCTACATGACAGGGACTACTAACCAAACGGTTGGCCTAGAAGCGGGTTAGCGATATGTTCATGAATTCAACACAATCCATCGGTGTCTCCGATCTTGACATATGTAGGCGCCATTGCCCCGTATGCTTCATATCGCAGCACCTGTCATTGACATACCTAGAAGAACTTGCGCAATTCCACCAGCCGCGCCCGCGGACAAGTCCTTGACAGTACGCAGGGCCCCACCGCCCTTCTCCAGGTCTTCAAAGGCTTCGTATTCCATGTCGACTTCAGGATTCAAGGAATCAACCTGCCAATTGAACCGGGTGAAATAAGAAGGAAGAGCACAGAGGAAAGAAAGAAGAAGAAGGAGAGGAAAGACGCCGGAGAGGACGACAATAACGTGCTTATCAGGATAAGAATGCGGGCCTCCGATTCGGCGGGGGCGCCGACACACGTGACTCCGGGCGGGAAACGACGGTGTGACCATACCGTATTCCGGTTACGATACTTACCGTACGACAGCTGACCGCCCGGTGATGCGCTAAGCCCGATCGAGGCGGTTTCCCTGGCCGGCCGGAGTTTTGCCCCGAGGGAAAAGAAAGCGAAGAGAAGGACGTAGAGTCGAGCTCGACCCCATCCATCCCCTCTCACTCCCTCCTCCCCAGTATGCAGAGGCGGGCGGTCTTGGAGGTGAGTCCTTGCTGTCCCCGGAGCTGCACTGACGGCGACACGCGTTTACTGATTCGATCTGAATTCCTCTCCGCAGCTCTCCCGCCGCCATGGTGTCGACTGGTCGTGCGCAACCAGACGCAGAGCGACAGCTTTCACGCCAACGCCAACTTACGTTCCCCTGCGGAACTTTCGATCGTCTCTCATATCGCTCGACTCCTCCGACTCGTCATCTTCTACCGGAACAAGCGATAATGGGGCCGGCGCTAAGCCTACGGCCACAGGGCCGAAATTTGGCGCCCGCTGGGGCAGCAGACTACCTCAGAGATCGGCCGGCCTGAGTCCCGCTGAACAGGCCATGCGCGATGCTCTGGTAGAGAAGAGTAAAGTAGAAATGCAAGAGCGAGAGCGAGCTCTACAACAAAAACAGCAGCGGCAACAGCAACAGGAACAGGAAGCCCAATCTCGCCAGCATCAGCCCGAAGGGCGTCAACACGATACAGTTCTTCGTTTCCAGGCATCGAGGTGGCAGAAAAACGGTCGACCAATGCCTTTTCCCAATCGAAAGCAAACCGAGGACCTTGAACCTGATAGAAATCTAGAAATCACCACTGCCTCATTGCCGAGACACCTTCGAGAGGCCGACTGGGTTTGTCCGGACTGCCAGCTTGTATGCTTTGGGAAACACATCAGGTGTCCGTCCTGCAAGGCTGTCAGACCAGATTTGAACTCGCCTCCGCCGAAGAAATCTCAGTTCGGCAATGACCGATCCACACTTCCGATACGCAAGATAGAAAGCACAGGGCCAAATGATATCTCGTTGGCAGGCGACCAGAAAACACGTGCCCTCAGAAACTTTACATTCAGTCAGGGTAGATTTACCGGCCCTCGAATGGTTTTCGACGAACTCGAACCAGATACAGCGCGACTGGCGTCTGAAAAGAAGAAAAGATCGGGTGGACAACAACCTCGGTCGGAACCGGAGAATCACCAAGTTGAAGAGAAGGCGGATCCCTGGGCATGGAGTTTGTCGTCGCAGAGTTATGACACACAGGCCGACGATGTTGGGCCTGGAAAATCATCAAAGGGTCGAGACGGCCGCAGGCAAAGACAGCATGCGATGGAGGAAGATGAGTACGACGAGGACGACCAAGCTCGTCGTCGTGCAGAGCGCAAGCAGAAGAAGAGGCAAAAAACGAGACAGAAGGAGGTCGAAGCGGCTCCAATTCCACTATATCTTCCAGAGTTCATCAGCGTCAGCAATCTTGCCGATGTCATTGGCGTGCGTCCGGCCCAGTTCGTTCAGCAAATGGAAGAAATGGGGTTTGAGGATGTTTCATATAGCCACGTGCTCGACGCTGAAACCGCAGGGCTGGTTGCCTCCGAGTTTAACTTTGAGCCTATCTTCGACACTGGAGCCGAGGATGACCTGACTTCCGCACCCGAGCCCGAAGACAAGTCACTTCTACCACCCAGGCCGCCCGTGGTGACCATCATGGGCCATGTCGACCACGGCAAAACGACGATCCTCGATTGGCTTCGCAAGTCGTCCGTGGCTGCGTCGGAACACGGAGGTATTACACAACACATCGGCGCCTTCTCCGTGCCCATGCCTTCTGGAAAGACAATTACCTTCTTGGATACACCCGGTCACGCCGCCTTCCTGGAAATGCGCCGCCGTGGTGCTGACGTGACCGACATCGTTGTCTTGGTTATTGCAGCAGATGATAGCGTGAAACCTCAGACAATTGAGGCCATTAAGCATGCGACCGAATCCAACGTGCCCATTATCGTCGCCATCAGTAAGATCGACAAAGAGAACCTCGATCTTGACAGGGTGAAGCAGGATCTTTCCGTCCACGGTGTCTACGTGGAAGATTATGGAGGCGACGTGCAGGCGATTGGTGTCAGTGGTAAGACCGGTCAAGGAATGGTGGAGCTTGAGGAGGCCATTGTCACTCTCTCGGAGGTCCTCGATCACCGGGCGGATGTCCAGGGTAATGCGGAGGGCTGGGTTATCGAGGCCACGACGAAGAGCTACGGGCGTGTAGCAACGGCCCTCATCAGACGGGGTACACTGCGACCGGGTAATATCATCGTCGCCGGAGGAACCTGGGCACGGGTGCGTACTCTTAGAAACGAAGCCGGCGTTTCGATCTCGGAAGCCACCCCCGGAATGCCCGTGGAGATCGATGGTTGGCGAGAGCAGCCGGCAGCCGGCAGCGAGATCCTGCAAGCCGCGGACGAACAGCACGCCAAGGACGTGGTCGAATATCGCCAGGAGAGAGCCGAGACCGCCAAATTGGGTGAAGATACTGCGGCCATCAACGAGGCTCGCCGGGAGATAATGGAAAAGCGCCGGCTGGAAGGATCGGAAGACGGACAGACTGGCGCTGACCAGAACGCGTCCGGACCTAAAGGGGTGAATTTCATCATCAAGGCCGACGTTGGCGGATCGGCCGAGGCCGTGATGAACTCGATCACGGCGATCGGCAACAACGAAGTGTATGCCAACGTGCTTCGCTCCGGAGTTGGGCCCGTCGGAGAATTCGATATCGAGCACGCTGCCGCAGCCAATGGCCACCTAATCTCTTTCAACATGCCCATTGATCCGGCCATGAACCGGATGGCCGAGATGCGCGGCCTGAAGATCATGGACTACAACATCATCTACAAGCTCATCGATGACGTCAAGGATATACTGAGCGAGAAGCTACCTCCGTTGGTGACTACTCGTGTCACTGGAGAGGCCGAGATCGGGCAGATCTTCGAGATCACCCTCAAGAGCAGGGTGAAGATGCCCATCGCCGGGTGCAAGGTTCGTAACGGAGTGATCAACCGGGCCCGGAAGGTTCGCGTGACGAGAGGCCAGGAAGTTATCTACGACGGTAAGTGTTTCCCATGTTTATTCCTGCGGGTGCACCCCTCCTTGACAGCAAGATACTGACTTTTTCCCAAGGCATGATCAACTCTCTCAAGAACGTCAAAAAGGACGTGACGGAGATGCGCAAGGACACCGAGTGCGGTATCGGGTTCGAGAACTGGACGGAGTTTGCTGTGGGCGACCACATCCAGTGCTACGAGGAGATCTTCGAGAAGCGACATCTCTGATCCTCTTACCTGCTCACTTCCTGCTCACCGTACGGGAGGGCCTGGAAGCTCCTATCATTCTTGTAACATTTATTGGGTCATCCTTTGCATTGGGCCTCCGGCGTTTATTCGACTGCAGGCGAATCTTCTCATCATCTGCGCTTCATTTTTTTCTCATGAAACATTTTGTATAATCTGCGCTAATTGGGAGTGGGAGCGGGTGTGCGAGTAAATGAGTGTGTGTATGTTATATGAGGTAAGGAAGACGGAGCGCAAGAAAAAGGGGGAGCAAAGAGCGAGAGATTCATAAATCTCCTTGGAATGTATGTACATGTACAGTATAGAAATCTACATAACCATCCATCCTCTAACCAGATATCTTACCCAAGCATGTAAGCCACTCACTCACCATCCATATCTCCCTCATCTAGCTTTCCACCTCACCCGACTCACCCACCTCGCCCAATCCTGCACATCCTCTCTCTCCAGGATCCTATCCACGGTAAACCACTCCCTCGCCAACTCCTCATTACTCGCCATCCGATGCACAAACGAATGGCACGCGCGACACAGCCACGCCACGCTATTCAGCATCCACTCCTCATGCCACCCCTTCTTGCGCACCTTGTCGTGCACCCCGCGCGGAATCAGATGGTGATACGACAGCGGAATCCAGTCCCGTTCGCAGATCTCGCATGCATCTGTTCGTGTGGTCGCCCAGACGGGTGGTGCGCGCGTCACGGCTCCCACGTATTCGGTTACGACCCGCGCGAGGAAATCGGACACTTCGCTGTCGATGTCGGTGTCGGTGCTGGAAGGCGCCGGGAGGAGGCCGTAGGCGGTTAAGGTGTCCGGGACGGAGGGCGGGAGGGTCGTTAGGATGGCGGAGAGGGTGGGGGCTGGGAGGTGAGGGTCTGGTGTGTATCGGGCTCGGAGGGCGGGGGAGTTTTGGATGGTCGTGTAGGAGAGGGTTTGGAGGTCGGTGGGGAAGGAGGTGAAGATCTCGGTGGCGAGGAACTGTGGGAGTTTGCGTGGTTGGTATCATATCATTATCATATCATATCATATCATGGTATACGAGGTTCAGTGTTGACTAGGTAGGACCAGAGGACATGGACATAGTGGCCTGGAGTTGAGATTGCGGGGATGGTAGGCACTGTAGGTATGTAGTTACATCGATGAAATCTGCCAATTCCTCCGGATCGCCTCGTAGTGCGCTGGACTCGGGTTCTGAGGGCTGTGTCGTGCGGGCTTCATCTTTCTTCACTTTGCCATTGCGGCGGGGCCCGGGCCTATGCGCCTTGCGTTTCGTCTTGGTCGGTCGATGCGTGTCGGATTTCTCAACAATGGCACTGGACAGACATTCTCGGAAGATGGGGTAGTTGGTGTCGCTGGATTCAGAGGTCATTGGGACAAGGAGAATTAAAGAGGGAGAGAAAGGGAGAGAGGTAGAAAAGAGAGAAGATCATGGGAAGGAAGAGTCCTCGAGTAGAATTGACATCATACCCTAAACGATAGTTAACTATTTATGGATCTATTAATAATACTAAAATTTATAGTTTACCCCCGCGCGGAACCGCGTCCCAATATCTTCTCCCGCAGCCTTAAGATAATATTGTAATAGAAGTCTTACGCTCTACCGATTGAGCTAGCCGGGCATCGTGGTTGGGAATAGGCGAGATGATTTGACTTATTAGACACAAACGCAAAGTTAGGCTGATTATTGACGATGCTTGGTATTTCCGCACGCAGGAACTTGATTGGAATATCGTACGTAGGCAGAAAGAAATAAAAAATGACTAGATCAATTGACCAATCTCACTGATTAATAAAAAGATTATCTATAAAGACACAAAGAATCTGTTAATAGAGTATAAATAAAAGAATCCATTAATTATCTAGTAAAGGCTTTCTGTATAAAGTATTGGGACTTTCTATATATACCCGGAAGGATCTCTCATCAATTCGCTATGATAGTAATGAAGTTGTGGAGAGACCAACCGTTAAGAGAGAAATCTATTTTAAATTAAATCATTCATACTTGATTGATCAAGAACCTAGTCCATATCCGCAGAGAAAAAAAGACCCCATGGATCTTAACCAAACAGTCCGACTCGATTATTGGAGGATTCCATTATGAGCCGAGATCGTCTGAGAGACTGTATCCAATCCAGTTCATAGTGAATCGCTTCTCTACAGAATCCAGAGTAGATAACAATTTGCACCATAAGATACCTCATCTGATGGCTCTCCAGCCATCTACAGTAAGATCCTTCATTTTCTATTGGACCAGCCGGTAGAGATCTCGACAACATGAAAACATTCTCTATGTCGTCCTTATGAGATTCCCCCCGTCTGGAACGGTTTAACCGGACAGCTGGCCTAGAACGAGAGTCCTCTTTTAAGAAGCAGTCTCTAAAAAGCGGTCAATATTATACCTGATACTACTCCGCATAGTAATGAAAATATTACCAGCGAGCGATTCAGTAAGACAGATAGACAGTAGGTAAGTAGTAGGTAGGCTATCTAAGCCCAAATAAGAAGTAGGGTCTACTCGATCTCTATTACATTTTTGAGCGATTCAGCAAGTGACCCAGCAAGTAATTCAATAAGTCATTTAATGAATGACTTAGTAATTTAAGATCCTCGTTCGAGTACTGACGACCATCCTCTCGTCTACGCGGTCTAGATCTTCTATCTGAACCCCCTCAGCGAGCAGGAATAGACACTAACTAGGGGGATATCCTAAGCAGACAAAATAGAGATGAAATTTGACGGACCGGGCTAGGGGCTGGTTCTGCGACCCGACTAGGAGATCGTGACCAGTGCCGTCCTGGACTTCCCGGAGACTTACGTCCAGGCCAATCCCAACACCAACCTCGACATGAACCACATTGCCGCCACCGGTCAATTTCTCGGCGGGTATCTCACCCTGCGCGGTGCCGCAGACGCACGCATCAAAGCCTGCATCGCAGTTGATCCCGGGGAAGCCTGCGAGAAAGGGGTACGGGCGTTGAGCTGCTCCAGCATGAGCCCGATGGGTTTTATGCTGGTGTCTTCTGTCAGGCGTTTGTAGGTGTCGGCCATGATTCTCCAATCGTCTGCCGTTGCTGTGGTTACAGGCCATCGGTGCATGGATACCGAAGACCTATGCATGCAGAAACATCTTTTAAAAAAGAATGATACCTGACGAGGTCTAGAGCACTAGAAGAGGAAATCCTCTACGTATTGGAAACATGTCCAATACATAACATTGCAGCGATTCTTCCCGAGTAAGATCGAGTACACATTCGCTGGAAGAACATGGCAGCATCCTCGACTCGAGTATAAATGGAAGCTGAACAGCACAAGTCCATCTAACTGAGAAATTGGCCCAAATGGTAAACGATGGACAGCTCAGGACGGCTACCTGCCGTGCAATCAACCTATCGGTGAGCTAGACCAGAGCCGAACGACGTTCGGATCGACAGGCCCGGGACTTAATGGCAGCTCATGAAGATTTGTCGGCTTCTCAGCCGTGAGGCTCGCAACAAAAGAAGCGACACAAGACTGAACATGTCCTAGTCGTCTTGACGAAGAACACTGCGGACATATGGCTGCAGATTTGTTGAAGACAGTTACGAAAGTCTACGAATTCAATCGTTCCTTGCAGTCATGCAACAAGGTTGATTGGCAGGAGTGTACGCTGTAAATATTTCCAAACGCTCCACGCAGAAAGAAGGATTTGGGGTAAGGCAGCAATTGGTCTGACCTTCTTTTTCCCCTCCGAAATCCATGGGAGAATAGTGGATGTCAGAGTGAATAAGAAGGAGTGATCAGTAAGGTATGTGAAGAAAAAAAGAAAACCGAAAGGGAAGAAAGAAGAAAATTTTATTTATGCCCGCGGCCTGACCGCCTTTGCTTATCGATAAGACTAGCCTGGCTAAGCGGATGGCGGTGAACGATGGGGCTGGCCAACACCAGGCGGCAGAATAATCATCATTCATCATGACGAACCCAACAATACTCCGTAACACCGCTAATTCATCCCCGCCGGAAGATCACAGCAGACTAATATTTGGATCCCCAGTCCAGCATCATGACGAGAGCGTGGAATCTCGACAAAGCTGCATGGCTCTATCCTTTCCGGGTCAGTCTATCTTGGTTGCCTGTCCAGGCTGTCCAGACATTCTGCACTCTCTTCGTGGTCTTCTGGAGCTAACATCTTTCGTTCTTTCACAGGGCCTTTATTATTTCATCTCGCATCGCTTCCTGTGGCCTCTTTTTAAGGCCCGGTTGATCCCTATCGTCTTGTTGTCAACCTTCATCTACTTCCTGCTCTTCTTCTTCACCTACTTGCCGCAAGTGGCGTTCCTTGCCATCTTCCAAGGCAAAGGGGCGTGGGTCAACGGTGCCTTCCTGGTTCTGGGAGAAGGAGCTGCTATAGTGGCCTTGCTCTTTGAAGCCTTCTTCGTGGATGAAACGCTAGTGGACATCTTCGACGCCGTCCTGGTGAACGAAGGCCAAGGGGAGTTGGTCACCACGTCGCGGGTGTTATATCCTCAAGGCGATGATGTGGTGCAGCGGTTGGGCAAACCCACCCAGAGCGCCATCTACGCTCCGTTCTCGCTGCGACAGATAATAGAATTCATCGTCCTCCTACCGCTGAACTTTATTCCGGTGGCGGGCACGCCCATGTTCCTCGTGCTCACCGGTTATCGAGCGGGCCCTTTCCATCACTGGCGATATTTCCAGCTATTGGACCTATCAAAACCTCAGAGGAAAGATCGGATTTCCCGACGACAGCTGCAATACACCTCGTGAGTTCCCAATGTCCCACTTGGATCCCCCTTTCCCTTCTTTCTCTCCGACAGATCCACCCGGACGTAATTTGAATTAATCAGCGGGAATGTACAGATTTGGAACGGTGGCTTTGCTGCTTCAGCTGGTCCCCATCCTTTCCATGTTTTTCCTAATGTCGACTGCGGTTGGCTCAGCCCTTTGGGCTGTGGACATCGAGAACAAACGTGGTCTCCTCGTGGAATCCGGTCCGGACCCAGTGGGTGACTTCCACGATAATGAGAACTGAATCAGTGAATGACGCCATGAGATAAGACGACTCCCCCATTTTCTGTTAGCCCCCCTACTTTTTTTGCGGGATAATTCTTTTTCTGTTCGATTCATTCCTGGCATATCTTAGTTAATCCACCGTGTCATCTCCTACAAGATCTCATTTATGAGAGGGCTGAACCAGGAATAGATGATACCCTTGCTTCGGACGATCCCAATGTGGCTTGGGACTTGACCCTTGACCGTAGAATTGGCAGCATCGACCGTAGGGATCTGAATGATTTTTTTTAGGTATGAATCACGAAAGGAACGACCTGGACGGGTCTCCACTCTCAGACACCCCTTTTTCTGGTCTTTGTTACAGCCTAGAGCCCAGTGAGGCTAACCGTGCGATGGATTCTGGGTCCCTGAGGCCCTGGAAACGACCTGAAGAGGCAAAGGTGAGGCCGGTAGTGGATCAACGACGAACTCTAATCGGAGAATGTCTTCAGTCTATTTGCAATTGCCTATATGAGGGTAGGGCCCCGGGTCCGGATCCGAGTCCGAGGATCCGCAAAGCCTTCCCCTTTGCAGGTTAGCAGCAGGCAGAAAGCAGAAAGAAGACCGAGCAGAAGCAAAGACCGCATGACTAAGTCGCTCCATGACGCGGGCCACGTGACCTGCGCACGGGATCGACGGAGAAGGCTTCCCTGCCAGACTCCGCCCACTCTCCTGCTGCTGTCGGTTGAGTGTTGACTGGAAAATGCGACCGCTGGCATCCCGCGGATCGTAATTGACAGTCCTGTTTCTCTCACCCTGGTTGATCTTCCCTGCTTGCAGTATTTACCTCGGCAGATCTCCCGGTTCTCTTGATCTCCAGGATCGCTCCAGTCCGTTTCTGTTCCACTTCATCCTGGTGGTACTGGCGTTTCAAAACGGCTTACTGTGCGAGTCCCATAAAATGCGAAAAGCCCAGCGCCACCTGCGAGACGGATGATATACTACGTGCTCTAGGCGCTCTTGGATGCGACCTGAAGCATGGAAACGCTCGTCGCGAAGCCTCGATGCCCATGGACCCACGAACCAGGTTGCGCAAGGCCTGCGATGCCTGCAGTATTCGGAAAGTGAAGGTATGCCTAAGACCCAGTGAACTTTGCTGCGCGCGGAGAAACGAATGAATCAAAAGCTAAGTGGTCTGTTTCCCAGTGTGACACTAGCGGTCCGCCCTGTCGGTCGTGCGCAAGCTTGGATATCCCCTGCACTTATGAGCGACCGAGTCGACGTCGCGGCCCTCCCAATCGTCATGCAGAAGCCTTCAAGAAGCAAAAGCTGGGCCCTTCTCCAGCTGCCTCCCCAAGCCCTTCAGATCAACCTTCACCTGTCCGACCAGCATCGACAGTGTCTGTCGGAAACAGCAGCTCCTCCGCATCCTTCCCGTCATCTGTAGAATCAATATGCCCGTTTTCCACAGTGCGACTGTTGATCGACGACTACTTTACGTACATCCACCCTCTGATCCCGATCCCCCACGAGCCCACGTTTCGGGCGGCCCTTGACAGAAGAGAAGACCTTACCAATCGTACGTTCTTGGCCCTCACGGCCTCTATGATCGGCACGCTTGTGGCTTCGTTCCCTCGTCGGCCCAAGCTGCACTTGAAAACGGAGGCCGAGAGGGCGGCGTTCCCTCACTCGATGGCCATGGTCAAGAAATGTCGCGATGTTGCTGTGCAAGCACGAGGCCTGGGATACCTTGATCGAAGCGCCACCGTTTACGACGCGGCCATCAGTTATTTCCTGGGGATATGTTCGGGCTATATGTACAGCATGCGTCGGTGCCGAACCTACTTTGCTGAATGCTTAACGATGTTACATGTCTATGACTTGTGTCGTCCGTCCCGTCGACTGTCCTCTTCTTGTGCAACCAGTCCCAATTCTGCCTCCTCGCCACTATCGCTTGACCAAGTAGGTGCAACGGGGGAGGCTCCGGTCGATCTGATTGGACAGGAACTCGGCCGACGTCTGTTCTACACCACTTTAGTCGGATACCGAACTCTGCAGCAGTTGGGCTCGACAGACACCACCTTTCACGTCCCCCCAGAAACCCCGACGGATCGGTATCCCCCTCTCCCGCTCGAGGTCGACGATGAATACATCTTTTCTACCCACGTGGAACCCCAGCCTGCCCATCGAGTCTCCCGTCTCGTGGGGTTCAACGCCAACGTTCGAGTGTACAATTCGTACAATTCACTCTCCGCATGGGAAATCGCCTTCGGGAGCGGTCAGATCTACGATTGGGAACGACAAAGGACAATAATCTGGGATTGTTTACAGAAAGCCAAGTCCGCACTGGATGGGATCTCCCAAGAACTGGCGCTACACCGGACTCCGGCCTCCTCTCCATCAAGACGTGAATCGACCCTGGCAACCTTCCCCATTGCAGCAGATCCGAATCTAGTTGAGCGCCATTACATTCAGTACGAGATTCAGAAGGCCAACATCTATGCAAGTCAGCTGGGAACGCGGTCCTACTTGGTAGAAAAATACTGGAGTCTCTACGGGGCCTGGCAGAGATACCAAATTCCGGCAGACCAACGACAACACTCCAAAAGCCCGTTGCCAATCAAGGTGGAGGGCGAGCGACCCAACCCTAACCGGGCTCCTAGCTCAGATGCTCAACTGGATGGTCTCGGAAAGATCATGGCGGAAGAACGCCGGCTCGTGATCCGCGATCTTTCTGTGCTATTGCGATCCGTAAATGAAGTTAACATGGAGCCCAACGGCGCCAGTTTTGTTGGTTTCCCCAGTCGTCTTCCCATCCATCTCTACGAAAAGCTAACATATCACTTTTCAGTCTAGCAAAGTTCGCCAAGTTGCGTCAACTCTTCTAAATCCTCCCAATCCAAGCACGGATGCATCAACACCCTCCACCACCGTAGCCGCCGGTCCACAACCTCTCACCCTCGCCGAAACCGAATCATACCTCCACGCTTTCATCGACACTCTGGTCCGACTAGAGGGCCTAGCCGCCCCGACGCCCGGTGTCACTAGCGCCAGCCCCCCCGTAAAGGGCCGCTCAATGAGCTACCTCAGCGACAACGAACGCGACGAAGAGGAGCTCCGCCAATGGGCCAGTCTTAAAGAATACCAAGTCAAATTCGCCGAAGGGGGTGGCCTTTTCACCGAGTTATGACGAAAGATGGACCTTTTATCCCCGAGCCTTTCCTTCATATACTACCATTTTTACCTCGTATACCCCCATCTGATACCTTACCTACCCTTCTCTTTCTCTGTGAATCTTTTACCTACTTTGTCTATATCACGGGGGCTTTGTCCCCACACTCACGCCTCTGGATAAAGAATCGGACGAGGGCGTTTGACCCCTCCGAATACTGGTTGATGGATTGATTGATTTATACTGTACTGCCCTGGGAGTTGCTCATATGTTCGCTTGTTCTTTGGTCATTGTATACCCTATCTTTGGAGGTAGTGAGATGATGTTCCTCTCTGCCTGATATGTATTCAATATCTGATGTCTTTTTGTAACATTTACCTATCTCATTTGCACCATGTTTCTATATGGATCCGAACAGTTACTTGTACCGTACCTAGTCCTCGTCTCCTTTGCTTCTGGGAACAAGAACCTGGATACATCTTGAGTGAACAACGCTCGATTTTGAAGTTTCATTTTCATTGCCTCGTGCCTACATAATCCTCGGCATTTTCTTCTATCTTCTGAAGAAGCTAATCACATACAAAAGACCTTAAGATTGTGTAATATGAGACTCCTAAATCAAGGAAGCTCCTCAATATGAACGAGGCATTGAAAAAAAGAAATGAGCGGAGTGTTCAATGGTGAAAGAAAAATCAAAGCAAAGGGAAAAGTCATCTCCAACTGTCTCACGAATCAGCCGTCATAGTAAACGTCGGGTTAATATAGACCGTCTTGGTCTCGGTCTCGGTCTCGGTTTCCGTCTTCGTCGTCGTTTCCGTCTTGGTTTCGGTGACGGTGACGAATCCCTGCGGCGTCACGGGCACGACTTGAAGACCCCGAAGGAGGGCATCGTCAATGGCGCCAGTCGGTTGTGCGACGGAAGTGATCGAGGGTTCCGTGGCGGGTACTCCTGTCTCTGCCGTGGGCTTTGTCTTCCGGGACGGGGGCGGTGGGTTAGGGATATCGCTGGCCTTTTCTGTCTGGTTTGGTGTTGCGGTCGCCTTGGATTCCTGGGTGGTTTGGGGGTTTTTTGTTTCTGTAGGCGCAGGCGCCTCGGGCTCGTCGGAGGCAGGTACAGTAACGACTTTTGTCACCGTGGAAATGGCGTGGATTGTCGTGACTGTGTCAGTCCCTTTGGAGAGACGACTATGCGTATGAGGCGCTGTTGGCTCTAGGTTGGATGTCTCGGGATCCCTGGAGGGGCCGGTTGGGATTTCGGGGATAGCAATCGTACCGGAGGGTCGAAGAGTGTCGTGACTGGAGGTAGTGGCGGTGGCAGACGACGACTGCGACGACGTGGATGTGCTGTCAGAAACGCGCAACCAGGTATTGGTCCAGGATGTGGACTGTCCGGGAGTTACAATCACGATAACGGGATCGGATACTGATGTAGCAGTGTGTTTGTTGCTTATAGGCAATCGACTGCTGATGACAGACGAAGGCTCCTTCTGCGCAGAGCCGGATATGGTAGTAGCAGTTCCTGTGGGAAAGTTATCTCCATTGGAAGACGGGGGCATCTTCTGTGTTTGAGCACTGGAGCTTAAATGACTTGTCGACTCTCCAGGGAAAGGATCTGTCGTACTTAATCCTGTCGGCAGTGAAACACTAGGTTTACCAGTGTTGAGAATATTCCCAGTGGCGGCTGGCTTCGAATGTGCAATGTTTGTTGTCTCCACAGGGTCTGGAAGAACGGAGAGAGAAGGGCCGCCTGAAAGTTCTCCAGGCAAGAGTCCTACGACACCAACAGACAAACTAGTTGAAATTGCTGTAGGTGCCGGGGACTTGGGCGAGTGGGCAGTTGTAGAGGTAGTCACACTACCCGTTGGTGACGAGGGAGTTGCAGGCGTCAACTGACCGGAAAGCGAGGGAGACACGGGCGTCCCATGTTTTGTTGACTTGGTACGATGCACGGTACCGTGAGGGCTACTTAACGGGCCTGAAACAGACAGGCTTTGAGCTGAACTCAAAGATGTTGACAGGATGGACGGGGATCCAGTCAACTGCAGTTCACTCGAATGAATTGCCGGGTTAGACACGGTTGCACTTGCACCAGAGGGTTTCTGTCCCGAAACTTGAGGCGCCGACGGCATAGGAGTGGATATAGTTGAATGCAGCCCTGGTGAACGGACCGAGGACAGAGTATGAACCGTTAGGCTTGGACCTGACGGGACATGGTGGGAGGTATGGGATGGCGATTCAGCTGAATCTTGACTGCTCGAAGTGATGTCGGTATGACCATGCACCGTCGGACTTGACTGAGACGGAGTGGTCATTGAGCTCTCGGGAGTAGGAATTGGAATGGACGTAGACGTAGTCTCCTGGCTCAGGCGTGATGTGAAATGGTCATCCGAGGCTGTGAAGGCTGAAATGATTGATTGGGTTGTAGTTGCGATTGTATGCGAAATCACGGGAGCCGACGCGGATGGCTGGTCAACGCTTTGAGTCGTGGAATGAGCATGATCCGCGGAGCTTGTGTCAGGTACAAGTGGACTGAGAGTGAGAAAAGGTGTCACAGGGATGACAGTTAAGAGATCATCCGTTTCACTACTAACGGATCCCTGAAGATTATGCAGAGCCAACGACGAGGGCTGGAATACGTGTGCCGATTCATCGCCAGGTCCCGAATACCGAATCTTTGGGACAAAATGAGCGATCGGGCCAGCCGAACAGCAAAGGAGGAAAAGAAAATTAACGAGGGTCAGATGTATCAACTGCATTTTGTCATCGAAAATTGAAGGCGTCAATGAACTAGTCCAACAAATGAATGCACGTACGCCAGTGGTTAAAGAGAGATATGGGACGATATGAAATAGAATGACAGAGATTGCATGTTGCACACAAACACGCGTCCGGCTCGATTAGATACTCATTATGGATTAAGTCGAAAGAAAAAGAATCATATAAGTCGAAACGAAGGCTGCGCCAAAAGAAAAAAAAAGAAGATCAAAGAACGAGTGAAGTTGTTGACGGAAAGAAACAGAGGCTTAGGAAGCGAACATGGTCTTTTTAAGCACTGCAGGGTCTCAAGTGGCAGGCAGCTCCATTGTTTGCTGGCCGGGGTCCAGGCTGTCATTGTTTGCGATGCGATTCTGCAAGCTGTGAATGGTGAGATGAGAGGAACAATGAGAAGCTTTTTTTAGTTTGAGTGGGTCGTGGATGAAAGAACAATTGGTGGTTGTAAGCGCGTACTATAAAAATAGTCGACGTTGCAGCAGACGCCGGGGTGTTTTCAGCGATTACTGGTTGATTGGCGTTTGCATCGCCAGGGGTTATCAATGGCTTGAGGGTCCGTCTTTCTTGGCCATCCTGCAAGTGTTGCCTCGTTGCCAATAATATGCATTTAGAATCACTTGCCCTGGTGACTCGGCGGCTGATCGTCCAGATAGGCCGGTAGCACAGAACCGCTGCCTATGAAGACGGAGACCAGGGCTTGCTGAGTCCCATGACACCAAATTTCAATTCTTTGTTGAAGCTGGCCTATTCGCATGATCTGATTAGGTTCTTCTGCGTCGACAACAATCGGGAAGCTGGCGAATACAATGCCCGAACCCTTTATTCCTGACTAGACAGCCACCTTGAAGGGGCGGCCTACGCCCTCAAAGGATGAAACCTTCCCGTCGATACTCTTCGAATCGCCGTAATAATGCAGGCGATAAGTTCCATCCTGCAAAGGCTTAGGGTTCCCAACGTTGTAGAAATCATCCTCGATATGCCACTGAAGAGTCACCTCACTATATCCCAGAACCGTGTTTGTTCTTTTCCACTGGTAGACGAGATTCCAGTCGTGGTCGTTTCGTACAACTTCCCAGGTACTTGTGCCGGGCTTTTGTCGTTCGACTGCAGCGAAGGTGGACTCAAGATGAAGATTGTTGCGGGGATTCGCTCCTACAAACGTCGCTTTCACCACGTCACCAGGTCCGTAAGTTACATTATCCGCCGACGAAATGACATCCCCGTATGCTTTGCCCGAGGGACGGCCGTCATACACGACACCAGGGATAAACGTGAGTGATTTGTCAGTGTTTATCGGAGGGGTCACGCCGGAGGGAATTGGGGGCAACTCGGCTGCATCCCCACCGAGATGAGGAAGATATGTCAAGGTAAGATTGACGTACGCAGCCAGAGTATTAGGCCCGTAAAGAGTCGAGGCTCCCTCGTAGCGCTGAACGCCGTATTCCTCCTCGGTGGCTACATAATGCGCGTAACTGTTAGATGGAGCCCCCAATACAGCCAAAGGATTCTGGACCGAAAGGGTATCTTTCGCCGATTTGACAATCGCCTCCTTCCAGCGCCGCCCCGCCATAGTTGTCGCCTCACTTGTCGAAATGATGATAAACAGCTGGCCTACTCGGAGAACCTGGATGTCCACGATGTTCGGGCTCCACGGGTATGGTTGATCGATGGAGCCCACGTCTAAGAGAACCTCTTTTGGAGCCTGGCATGCTTTCTGTGCCCGTGAGGGCTCGTGAAGAAACGCTCGCGCCACGTACCACAGTGGATTCTTGTTGGCCGGTCCGCTACCGTTCTGAGAGAAATCAAAGAAGCCCGGTCCATCGGTGGTACCTCCAGCAAATGAGAACCCCAGAGCCGCCGAGCATGTGGATAAAACGCTGGAGTTGAAAGGAGACACGAATTTGTAGCCGGATAGATCGTGGTACACATGCAAGGAGTGTACATGGGAGCTGGGAGAAATCTGGATAGACTTGGATTCCAGGTCGTCGTACAATTGTCGAGCAGCCACATACTGGCGCCGTCCGATGTCAAAACAACTTTTGGCGCCGTTGTCTTTTTCCCGGAAGAACGGCCCACGGCCATGACAGTCTTCCGTCTTCCCACCGCAAGTGCTGTCGGAGTAGCGACACTGCTGCCCAGAGCCATCTTCGCACCAAGCGCCCAATGTGTTGGGAGATGTGTCGCCGACATTGGACTGAGAAAACCCCGCAACAAAATCATCGGCAAACTTCCCATTGTTGCGGACACTCCTCTCAAATAGCCATGCAGCCACACCTTTGTTATCACCTGTCACAAGCGTGTTGTTGTTATACATCGAGGTGCCATGCACAGGGAAAAAGGTCAGGACAGCAGTTGTCTTGTTGTCCGATTCCCGATCAAACCGCAGCAGGGTCATTGATTTGTCTACATTGGCCGAATATTTCGCCCTCTCTTCTTCGGGGTTGTGGTCGTAGGAATATGGACTCCTGTTCACATTGGCATCCTCGACGTCTATCGAGCCGAAGCGCAGGTGCCCGGGGGCCAGACTTTCATGTGCTCGTTTGATGGACAGCAGGACTCCATCAACGACCGCCCGATAGCTTTGCTTGTCGAATCCTTTGTTGGGGATTTGAGGCAGGAGGTAGTTCATCCAGGCACCCGGTCCCGAATGGGAGTGTGTCCCGGTGAGGGCCACGTTACTCTCGCCATAGCGCGAGTATTCGCTCCCTAGGCCAGCGAGGCCCTCAAGAACCCCATGACGAATTCCCGTGTCGCCCGTGAGAGAGTCGATGATTAGGTAAATGAACGTGTCCTCCGGTTTATCCGGATTGGCAAATATAAAAGCGCGCGAGAAGATTCTCTGTTGTAAGCCAGTCCCGATTTGGTCCAAACTGGCGTAGCCACCAAAGCCTACCTCTACTACAGGGCTGCAGAAAGATGCATCAACAAACCTAGAACATCGACTAGTCAAACGAAGAAGGGAGAATACCCAGTGATGTCCGCTTTGCCTGCTCCCAACAAAAACACACTGCTATCTGCATTTAGTTTCGCCGCTCTATCTTGCCATCGATACCGAGTGTTGGCGGTGATCGGGCGACGCTGGTCCGGAACGATAGTGAACAGTAGGAGTAAGACGAGCAGGGCTATAAAGGCCCCTGCAAAAGCAGCGTTCAACCTGAGATTCGCCATACGTACAGTATGTGAAGTAAGGCCGAGCTTGTTTTGCTTCTCTTTCTTGGATTACAGTATCAAGGCAGGTAAATCAGACTCCTTTTCAAGATAAGCAAAGCAGAGCCGAGCGGGGGAAGATAGACTACAGTTATAGTTGTGGCCGTCCGTTGCTGCAAATAGCTTTCAGCCGAGGTGGAAGAGCAACGTCACAGCGCGTGACAGACGACAGCATCAGGGATGGAATGCAGATGTCCAAGTTGTAACGCTGTAAGCGACGAGGAGGAAGTACAACGATTGGCGTAGAGACGGACGAAGGGTGACATCGTCCCTGCCGTCTTACCTGAACCCGAACTAGCCTCGATTGGGCACGCGTTCTTCAGGCCAACCCCGCCTTGTCTTCGCAGGGAAAGGAATTTGTCACCGGTCGCTTTATTTGCCCATTGGCAGTGTTCCGCAAAAAGAAAGCAAGGGTTGAGTTATCTGGTCTATCTTCTGTAGATGAATGGCTGGGTAGATTGAACCCTACCAGCAGGAAGTCAGTTAAAGGATGTGTGAGTCTTCTAATGAGAAGATCCCCGGTCGATCACCAGGTACTATTTGCGATACAAAGGCTGCAAGTAGAAAGCTTGTGAATGTGACGGATGGAAGGCTTAGTAGGCCGAGGAGATATAGATCTGCAGCATTTATACTCCGTAGGGTGGAGTGTTTACTGCGTAGTGTGAACTGTGGAGACGGAAGAGAGAGAAAGTCAATAAGAGAGAGAGAGAGAGAGAGAGAGAGGAGGGAAGATCACGTGCTGTTAGCTGAGTCAGACTGGCTCTTCACCGCCCAAGTGCGGCAGAAAACGCCGACGCGAATCCCGAGGAGTTTCATGAAGATGCTGAAGGTCGACCTTCTTTAACCTCATCCTCCTTCCCCATTGTTGACCTACTGTGCTCTATCTTGCAGCATATGCTTGACACTTGATCGTGACACAATGCCTCTTATCAACGAATCACACGATTCCCTCCCGTGTAAGTGCCCGTACCATCTACCCAACAACCTCTCATCTTTTGCTCCCTCTCGTCTAATCGAAGTGGTTTCTCTCCTCTACAGATATCGATGCTGAGCCTACTGCTCGAGCTCGAGCGGATGCGGAGAGGCTTATAGCCGCCGAGCTGCCCTCCAATTACTCGTCGTCAATTCATCCTTCCATCCCCGCATTCCCCGAGTCTCAGTTCTCCCCCCTCATGCAGCAGGAGATCGAGCGGAAGGCCGCGGGACTGCCGTTGGTCGGCGGCATCGATCTCTCGCGATATGAAGCCCCCGAGCCCCCTACACGATCCTCGGATGCGGGGTCGACACCGAATCTAGAGGAGTGGCGCCAAACTTTGCAGAGGGCGTACACGGCCAGCTCCCATTTGTCCATGCGACACGAGAATTTGGCGTTGCTCGAGGAGAACGGCAAGAACGCGTGGTTGATAGGCAACTCGCAACTGGAGGATATTCTACGCGGCTTGGAAAAGGAATTGGCCGAGACCAAAGAAGCTGCGGAGACGGTCAACAAAGAACGGAAACTCGCCCAGGAGGCTAGCAGAGGTGAGCTTGCGGGGCTGGAAGAATCCTGGAGGAAAGGAGTGGGTGCGACTCTGGATGTGGAACTGGCTGCGGAGTCCCTACGGATGCAAATCTTGGACCAGAGACGTCAGCTTGCACAGCAGCACAGCCGGTAAAGGCGGCCCTTATCTCGCGGCCCGTTGGTTCGTTGGATTGCATTGGAATCACGTCCAGCCCCTGCTCACCTCGAGAGGGGGGATTGCCAAGTCATGCGAACCTGTTGCATCTGGCACCGCCGAAAACCGACTGACTCGGGGTTCCGGCGATACGTTGGAATCGAAATTGTGGACGCTGTTGGGGAGTCTCATTGGCAACTCTTTCGTTTCTTCCCTATCTCATTTCCTGCGGGCTATTTGCACTACCGTACGCCGATATTGTTGATTGAGAGCGACCATTTTGCCAAGTCGACCGAGCCCATAGTGAATGATCGCCGGGACGATGTGTTTAGGTGCTTCTAGAGGAGGGACCGGAGACTGGGGACAGGATTGGATGGAAAAACTATTGGAAACATTAGCGCCTTCATTCCCCACTTTATGAGGAGAGCAGGCGTTCCGGGGTCGAGCTGTTGCCAATCAAACTCAGACAAAGCTGAGCAAAGCAGCGATTCCAGTGCGGGGGAGAAGCAGAAAGGAAAGCAGAATCGTCTTGGCTTCCCCCACACGCCAATCTCGGCCTCTTTCTAGCACCAATTACCACCTCGACTGGTCTCGCGGATGCGCAGCCTGGTCCGTTGACACCTCAGCTAGCCGTTGCCTTTTCAGTCACTTGGCTTTACGGCTTTGTCGTCATCTCGTCGGCTTTTACTTTCTTTGCTTCCCGTCGCATCCTTTATGCGCGGCGCTTGGTTCTGATTAATGAGAGGAATCTCTTCGTGTCAATTGCGTTGTCTTGGCCGGTCGGACGTGGTGGAATGGAATTGATTTTGATACCCTTGCAAGTGCATGTTTCTATTTTGCGCGTTCTCCTCTTTTTGCTCTGCTGCAGCTCATGTACGCTAAAGCACCTGTGGAACAGGAGAAAAAAGTCCAGCAACTTCCTCCAGCCCCGTATACGGGATTTCCTCTTTCTTCCCCTTGGCAAGGCTCCTTTCTTAGTCGGGTTTCACGTATAATATCGCCCTCTATTATGCGGGGAACTTGTGGCGGCAATGAGGACCCATGGGTAGAACTCTGATATGGGCCATGCCGCGTAGATGATTCGGTCTATGCCTTCCTCCCTGGTCCGCAGCCTTTGGGTCTGGCATCGCATTGATCGACTTGAATCATGTCCTGGCCTCCTTTTCCGAGCGAGGGACTTTTGTCTCGTGCGGGGATGGATTTGTCCCAAGAGTTCCAGTCGTCCGTCCAGAGGTCCGAGAGAAAAGATCTTTTTCTACCATCCTGGCATTGCGTGGGGGTGATATCTATTCATGGCGTACAGGAATCGGTATAAATTGCTACTGGGATCCTCCCCTGGACGGGAATCTCTTCTCTCTCTCGAATTGAACCAGGGTTCTTTCCTCTCCCTGTCTCTCTTCCCTAGTTCTATCAACCTCCTTTCCAATTCAGTACTTGTAGCCTTCTTTTCCCCAATTGATCAAGACCTTCTCTTTCTTGGTGACAACCCTCTCCCAAACCAGGAACAATGACCATCCCCGAGGAGGTCGATATCATCATCTGCGGCGGCGGCAGCTCCGGCTGCGTGCCGGCCGGCCGTCTGGCGAACCTGGACCACAATCTGTCGGTTCTGCTGATCGAAGCTGGCGAGGATAACTTGAACAATCCATGGTCAGCTCTTAGCCCAGCCCCAGTCTCACGCACAATTGTAAACTGACAGAGAGTCTCTACATCCAGGGTCTACCGTCCCGGTATCTACCCTCGGAACATGAAGCTGGACTCCAAGACAGCTTCGTTCTACTACTCTCGTCCGTCGGAGCATCTCGATGGCCGACGAGCCATCGTGCCTTGTGCCAATGTGCTCGGTGGAGGCAGCTCGATCAACTTCATGGTACGAAGTCCTAGGTCCTGTTCGTCCTAGTGGCCAACTCCTACTACTACATGTTGTGTAGAGAACTAAATACTCACGGGACTACGTAGATGTACACCCGCGCCTCGGCCTCCGACTACGACGACTGGCAAGCCCCCGGCTGGAAGACCGACGAGCTGATCCCGCTCATGAGGAAACACGAGACGTACCAGCGTGCCTGCAACAACCGCGATATTCACGGCTTCGAGGGACCCATTAAGGTCTCTTTTGGCAACCACACCTATCCCATCGCGCAGGACTTCCTCCGCGCTGCCGAGTCCCAGGATATCCCTACCACTGATGATCTGCAGGATCTGAAGACTGGGTATGTGAACATGGCATTCATTGCTTCTATGTCAAAAGCTAATGTATTTTGGGGGACAATAGTCATGGAGCAGAGCATTGGTTGAAGTGGATCAATCGGGATACTGGTATGTCTTCTTCTATATCCTCATCCTTCCTTGTTCTATCACCCAAATCCTAACACCATTCCAAGGCCGACGAAGCGACGCCGCCCACGCATACGTGCACAGCACGCGTGCCCGGCACTCGAACCTGCACCTGAAGTGCAACACCAAGGTGGACAAGATCATCATCGAGAACGGACGCGCCGTGGGCGTAGCCACCGTGCCAACCAAGCCGCTGGACGGACGCGATCCACCGCGCCGCATCTTCCGCGCGCGCAAGCAGATCATCCTCAGCAGCGGCACGCTCAGCTCGCCTCTCGTCCTGCAGCGCTCGGGCGTCGGCGACCCCGACAAGCTGCGCCAGGTCGGCATCAAGCCGGTGGTCAACCTGCCCGGCGTGGGCCGCAACTTCCAGGACCACTACCTCACCTTCTCGGTGTACCGGGCCAAGCCAGACGTCGAGTCGTTTGACGACTTCGTGCGCGGCGACCCCGAGGTCCAGAAGAAGGTGTTCGAGGAGTGGAATCTCAAGGGCACGGGACCGTTGGCGACGAACGGTATCGACGCGGGCGTGAAGATCCGGCCTACCCAGAAGGAGCTCGACGAGATGAAGAAGTGGCCGACTCCGGAGTTCGTCGATGGTTGGGAGACCTACTTTAAGAACAAGCCGGACAAGCCAGTTATGCATTATTCGGTCATTTCGGGGTATGTAATCTTTATTCTGACACAGAAAGAAAAGAGGAAAGGAACAACGCTAACGATCATCTCTGTTATACAGCTGGTTCGGCGACCACATGCTCATGCCCCCCGGCAAGTTCTTCACTATGTTCCACTTCCTGGTACGCAACTTTCTTCCTCGTCCCCTATCTCCCTATCTTCTTTTTGACCTGTTCCATCTCTAACACAATTCAAAATAGGAATACCCCTTCTCCCGAGGCTCCACACACGTCCAATCCCCCGACCCCTACGAAACCCCCGACTTCGACGCCGGCTTCATGAACGACAAGCGGGACATGGCCGCCATGGTCTGGGGCTACATCAAGTCGCGCGAGACGGCGCGCCGCATGAACTCGTACGCCGGCGAAGTGACCTCGCATCACCCATTTTACGCGTACAACTCGCCCGCCCGCGCGTTTGATATGGATCTCGCGACGACTAAGGCGTATGCGGGGCCGAATCATTTGTCGGCTGGTATTCAGCATGGTTGGTCCCTTTTCCCTTATGCCCACCGCACTGAAGGAAATATGATTGACTGACACGAAATTCATTTCAGGCACCTGGTCTCACCCGATTGAGCCCGGTAAGGCGCCTTCACCGGTGCATTTGAACTCCAACCAGGTGGAAGCGAGAGAACCGTTGGAATACACCAAGGAGGATATCAAGGAGATTGAGAAATGGGGTACGTCTTTCCCTTCCCTTCCTTTCCTCTCCTATCATATCCCGAATACAGGAAGAAGGCCAACCCAAACTAACAACACCCAAAAGTGCAACGCCACGTCGAAACCACCTGGCACTCGCTAGGAACCTGCAGCATGGCTCCGCGCGAAGGCAGCTCGATCGCCCCGCAAGGCGGCGTGGTCGACGAGCGTCTGAACGTCTACGGTGTCAAGGGCCTGAAGGTTTGTGATCTGTCCATCTGTCCGGATAACGTTGGGTGTAATACGTTTAGCGTGAGTCCTTCTTCCCTTCCCTTTCGGATCTTTGGATCAGGGTGTTTTATGATACCATGCTAACGCCGTGGATCTGATCTAGACGGCTCTCCTGATCGGTGAGAAATGCGCTATGCTCACGGCCGAGGACCTGGGTTACTCTGGGGATGCGTTGGATATGAAGGTGCCGACTTACCATGCGCCCGGGGAGTTTGCGAACCTGTCTAGGTTGTAGGGGAAAGAAAGGTTACGTTATTAGGTAGATACCTGGGTTATCTTCCTTGATTGGTGGAGGGGTCATTTGGAATATGTTGTCAGTTTGATTTTGTTCTGTATAGTCCAGAATGGAAACTCGATTTGCATTGTGGTTGTGGATTGTTTCTTCCGTGGTCGTATGTTACAGTACAATAAGTATGTCTTGGTGCACTCCTTGCATATGGTCATCCCTTGCAGTGGCTTTAATCCCACCTCAGGAACGTCCAAGGTTCACATATCATACACAGTGCAAGATTTCTCATGCTATTAAAGTTTCTTTTCCGGTGTCGCCAGCTTCACGTCCACCCCCTCCCTCGATATCTCAAAAAGCGGCTTGTTCGCAATAGCATCAGCAGTCTTCTGATCAGCCTTCCGGTTCCACTCCTCCACCTCCTTGCACATGCCTTCCAGGGTGGTTACGGGCGCGGAATAGCCAAGCCCGCCCTGTTCGGGACTGAGGCGAGCGCGCGAATCATCGGCCACGACGTGGACATTTGAGATCGCGAATAGGCCCGGTTGCAACTGGGCCAGATCGCGCTTGACCTTGGGGAGCCAGGGGAGGTAGAGATGCTGGAGCAGCGCGTACCACTCCACCAGGTAGGAGAGAAGGAAGAACGGAACCGCCGGGACGCATGGGAAGCTCATGGGGGTTTTGACCAGCGTGGTCAGCAGAAGGTAGAGGTCGCCGAAGGTGATTGCCGGGTTGGGGTCGGTCACGACGAAGGCCTGTCCGCCGATGTTCGGGAGTTGGGTGCTGTGCTTGGTGTGCTCGATCAGTCGCTGCTCGTATAGGAGATGAGCGATGGAGACGTTCTCGGCGTTGACGAAACTTTGGATGACATCGTACAGCCAGCTGGAGATGGTTAGACAGGTTTCAAAGGGAAAAAGAATAGGAGGGGTCTGTCCTACCTTGGGGCGCCTCCATCTCGGAGATAGTGCCCAACGATGGTGGCGCTGTTTTCGACCCCAATGCCGTAGATGCCATTGGTAGGACGAATACAACCGGTTCGGAAATTGGATGCAAGGTCATCGGCGCCGCGGATCATTCCCTCCGCCTCGGCTTTTGTCACGGCATAGTTGCTAAAGAATTGATCATGCTCCTTGGGCAACGGGTCCGAATCCCTGATCACCTGCACCAGGTACTTGGGGATTTGCGTCCAGGGGGCAAGCCAATAAGATGGCGGACGAATAGTGACAGAGCCCGACGACGTGGCCACCAGGCAGCTCGCACCGGCGCGTTTGGCGGCCTTCAGCACGTTGGCGGTTCCGCCCACATTCACGTTCCGGCAAAGGGGCAGGAAGGCCTTGCGTCGCTCCGCGGGTCTGATCACTGCCGCGTTGTGGAACACGGTCAAAGGCAAGTCGGCAACCGTCGGGGGCCATGCCTGCAAGAACGCGCTCCGAACGGCACTTTCATCGACAATGTTCGTTTGGACGAAGGCAACCCCTTGATCGAGAATCTCACGCTTTGGAGCCTGAAGGTCCAGAACACGAATAGCCGCCGGATTCTCGCCGCGGGCCAGAAGATGCGTCACCACCCAGTTGCCAACCAAACCTGCAAGAACTTGTTAGTCGATTCTACCCCTGAGTGTGAATCGCAAAGACGCCGGGTACACACCGGAACCGCCAATCACAACGTAACGCCGATTCTGTCTTGGAGGAAGACTCTTGCTCACGTCGACGGGCGAGTGGATGATCTTTTCATGAGCGTCCTTGATTTCGTCCACGGTCCAGCGGCGAGGAGAAAGACGACGAGCCTCCTCTGGCACCCGTTTCAAGCCCTGATCCACGTGATAGAGATAGAGACATCCCACGCCTCCAAGGCATGTGAGCAAGAATGGAAGCAGCATCCTTGTTGTCGTGCGTACTCTGGCAGAGCGATTCTATCGGGGGAGTTCAGACGATCTATAAGCCGGCAACCTCAAGGACTGTCACTCGCTTTCGAGGAATATATCACACTCAGCGATGGTGTGGAAGAATCCGATGTCTGCACCGTTACTCATCTGAGGCTGCGGATCGGGAGATTTCCGGTTGTCGGTGAATTTTGGCCGCGAATCGAGATCGCGCTTCACCGCGAGGAGGAAAGAGGTGATAGACGAGCGAGAGTGAAATTAACGGGCTTAACCCCTAAGAAACTAGTGAGCTCGGTTAGACCGTTGGAGCAATAATGGGGTGCATACTGGATGGAGCAGGTCCGTATCCACCTTCCACACGGGCCTGGTGGAGGCGATCCAGGGACGTGGGAGAAGTTCGAACAGATGAGTGGTGCATGGTCCGAGTCCAAATTGTAGAACATGATGGAACCGCCTCAATGGCTGGGAAGTTGTTACCAAGAACAAGTAGTACAGAGTAGCAACCGTTGCCTAAGTAGTACTTCTAATACAAGTTAGGTATAGTTGACCCTGACTGCTGACTCAGGTCTTGGCAAGACAAGAATGACACCATGCACTGCTGTCAGTTCGATATGATCGAGAGGCTGTACTTGGTTGCTGCCAGCGCGAACAATGCTACCCAGTTTGCTTCAGTGTGAAGCCACTATTCTAGGAGTCAAGACGATTTCCAGGGAGCAGAAAAGGAGAGAGAAGAGATAAACTTGGCTGATGACAGCCTCAGGCACTCCGTCCCTGCAGTGTCCACGTTAACCATTTTATCAAGGAAGAAAGAAAACCACGGAGTTTTACCCCAGAGACTCATGCTGTGATAGTCGGAATCTCGGAATAAAACCGGAGAAATTCCGAGTGGATCGTGCAAGTGGAGATTCAATTCCAGAAACACTAGAAAGCATTGATACCCAAGACTGAAAGACAAAAAGACAGACAGAAAGAAGGAAATCGGCAAACCGGCACGCGCGGCAAACCGGAACCGAGCAAGGATGCATTCCATTCCTTGGCTCTTGCCCTCAGCCTTTGCTTTCTTTCTTTCTTCTCCACGACCCATCATTCTCATTATCAATTATTATGGAACATTGAGACCTTCCCGTCCGGGGTAGAGAATCACGCCATCCACCATGATAACCGTGGGGAAGTCTAGGCTTCCAGCTCGAGCTGACCGATATCATTATCTTGCAGAGGTATCTGTCGGTCTGCCTTGCCTGTCTATACAACCGCATGCTAAGGCCGCAAAGGGACCAACTCAAGTTAATAGGTCATTAGGTATAGTTACACTCCACTCGTCAGCAGTCAGCACCTACAGGGTCTAGGTCCCATTCAAAACTCACAACTCACAACCTGATACATGCATTCCAACTTCCTAACACTCGCCGTGAGAGGTGGGGACTCGGAAAGCGCAGACCCATCCAAGGATTCCGTCGAGTAATGTTTCTTGACGATCTCCCTGGTGGCCTCGGCCCTACTCCCACACCCCGGGAAATGAACAATGAAATCGCAATCGTCGTCGCTGCAACGACCTCGGTTATTACTTATTAGTCCATTCCCCTCCAGAACCGGGGAGAACCTAGCATGGCACCGAAACGATCCTGGTCTTAATCCTAGTCCCCGGGATGAAGAAGGAAGGACTTGGGTAGTTAATACGTAGGCGGAGGCGACGATGCACAATGCACGATGGGGAATCCTGACTAGGGTTTCTCATTATTCATGACAACCTTATCAAGTATCATCTATCAAGTCAGATATACGTTATAAGTTTAGTTATACCAGTCAAGGCCCCATCTGCCCAAGCTCATTATTAAGGATTAAGTAGACGCTAATCGTCGCTGGAAATAAAACTGTCAATCCTGCCCACTGCTGGATTCCTTGGCCTTTTCTTTTTTTGTTTCTTTCTTCCTTAAGTTGTTGCTGGTTCGTGCGTTTTAGAGCTTGTCCTTTTTCTCCCTTAACAACCACGGGCATTTTTGGTGCATTGCATTAATATCCATACCAACTAATTACCTTAATATTGGGCTGATTTGGAAAGTCTGCAGAGTACAGACAGGTTTTGGGAGGGGAAAAAGGAAAGAAGAAAAGGCAGCCCGCTCAGACTCGTTCGACTATACTCCTCGCCTATCGTCCACTTTGACCTCCCTATTTTCATGCCCTCACTCTCTATCTTCTCGCAAACAGACATATCTTAAACCGAACCCTTCCATTCACTCCAACTCGAGATAATAGCAATCCAAACCATTTTGTAGGAGGCTGGTCCTTCCTCCGTTCCCTATGAACATGTCCGCATCCCAAGATCCCCCGCCAGAATCTCAAAAATGGCCCCAGCATCGCCAGGAGTCCACGGCCACAGATACCCATTCGATCGACGGCTCAACCACGTCGGAGGATACTATCGAATTAGAGGCGCTGGCTCAGAGCTTGTCCGCGCATGCATCGCGACTGTCCCAACCCTCTTTGGCTCGGAAAATCACATCCATCGCAACCAACGGCACGTCGGATCCGAACTACGAGGTCGATTTCGAGGACGAGGCGGATCAAACAAATCCCAAGAACTGGTCGCTGAAGTACAAGGCTTTCGGCATTGCGGTGCTATCTTATAATACTCTGATCGTGTGCGGCTATTCTTTTCTCGCTGGGCGTTGGCTTTGGTGAACGGCTGACTGACTGACTCTGTTCCAGCGTCCTGTATTCGACCTCGTACACGTCCGGTGTGGCAGAGATCGCTGCGGAATTCGACTCCTCTAATACCATCGTCACCTTGGGCTTGACATTCTATTTGATTGGCCTGGCGATAGGCTCCATGTTCATGGCGCCCTTGAGCGAGGTGTACGGGCGAAAACCGGTTTCCATTGTCTGTCTGTTCATCTTCACCGTGTTGATCATCCCCTGTGCCCTGGCCAAATCGGTAGAGGCACTCATCGTGGTACGCTTCATTGGCGCCTTGTTCGGAAGTGTCATGATCTCCACCGCCCCTGGAATGGTATCGGATCTGGTGAATGATGAGCAGCGGGCTCTGGCCATGTCGATTTGGAGTATTGGTCCCGTAAATGGTCCAGGTACGTTCGTGTCCTTGGTTTCGGTGGATGTCGATAATTTACTTATCAAATCACGCAGTGCTGGGCCCTATTGTTGGAGGATTTGTCACCCAGTACTTAGGATGGCGATGGATGTGCTGGATAGCATTGATCTTGTCGGGCGTGGCGCTGGCCCTTTGCTGTATCATGGAGGAGACGTACGGGCCCATCATCCTGCAGAAAAAGGCGGCGCGTCTGCGCAAGGAGACCGATGATTCGCGCTGGTGGAGTCGATACGACCAGAAGACCAGCCTCGGAGAGATGTTGAAAGTGAATTTGGGACGGCCATTCGTTATGGCCGTAACCGAGCCCATCTGGTGAGCCAAAGAGCCAGTCGCCCCAAAAGTCTGCTTCAACGATGAACTAACCAGTTCTCAGTATATTCTGGAACATCTATATTGCCATCGTTTACGGTATTCTTTACCTTTGCTTCACGGCCTACCCCATCGTTTTCCGTGACATTCGCGGATGGTCGCTAGGCCTCTCGGGTTTGGCATTCTTAGGCATCGGCACCGGTTGTCTCATCACTATCGCATGCGAACCGCTGATCCGTCGGATGATCAACAGCCACCGCATCGACCCTGAGACCGGAAAAGTGCCCCCGGAAGCCATGGTGTCGATCGTCTGTATCTCTGCCATTCTCATCCCCGCCGGTGAGCTTTGGTTCGCTTGGACCTGCGCCCCGGCTTCCATCCACTGGATAGTGCCCATTCTGGCAGGCGTTCTCTTTGGCGCGGGAAACACCGGCGTCTTCATATACGCTTCCAACTATCTTACCTACAGCTACGGCGTGTACGCTGCATCCGCCATGGCAGGTAACTCCGTCATACGGAGTGTCCTGGGAGGTGTCCTGCCACTTGTTGGCTCGTATATGTATGCGGGCATCGGACCCAATTGGTCCGGTACACTGCTGGGCCTGCTCGAAGTTCTCATTATCCCAATCCCGATTGTGTTCTATAAATATGGGTACAGGATCAGAGAGAAGAGCACATTGATCAGGCGCATGCAAGAAGATAAAAGACGACTGGAAGGAAAGCGGAAGCGACTGATGCAGCGGCTGGAGGCTGCTGCCGCCCAAGCGGAGGCAACAGAGAAGGAGAAGATGGACGTATGAAGAGGAGATGAAATGGAAGGTATGTGTTGAGGGCAACGCTGAGATGTCGGTCATGACTGCTCTTCAATGTTTGATTTTCGCATATAAAAGTTCTTATTCCCCACAGGGTTGGCGCGACTTGGCTTGGTCGCTCCTCTCGAGGTGCATATATGGAATATTTGGTCAAGGCCAGCCATAATTCATGAACATAGTCAGACAAAGATAATAGTTAATGAGTCACTAATGAATGCAACGAAGACTTTCGGTTTACCGCATCTTCGGGCAAAGGAAGCCCGCATCAATAAGGGATCATTCAGACTGGTCGTTGGACTCTCCGCTCGACCTCCATCGATTCATGAAGAATCCTTTCGTATTCTCCAAGTGCGATTGCACCGGCGGCAAAGACCATGACCGCCTCGATGTAGACGGTCTCACCGGCATTCATTGAACGTCTCACGTAGCCGAGCACATTGACCCATGCGCCCACGCGCAGCTCCTCCGACGTGACCGTCTCTAGGACTGCGTTGATATCAACCGATATGGTTGGTAAATCAGAGATTGATTTCCGCCGGGGATAATTATGCTCTAGTATTAAATGGCCTGTGGAAACGGAATAAGTTCTTACACTAAAAATTGGGCACAATGCCACAAGGGCGACGAATCAGCGGATGAACGAGAGCGTCAAAGTGTCATATGAACAGCCATTATATGTTCAATCAACACGAGTAGAACCACGGGAATAACAAAAAATCAGATGATCTACGCACCAGCCCAGGAAACGGACCTTGCAGTCGGCGGGGAGAGCGGCGAGGTCGGAGAGAAAGGCTCTCCTGGAGGGAAGAGGACCGTTCATCCCTCGAAAGCCCGAAGTGAAAGAGACATCACCGACAAGAGCAAGGAGATCGAGGGGAATGAGGAATGGAAAGGAGGAGAAATGAAGTTATTTGGTTTCTATACGGCCCGGTGGCACGTGACACACCGCATCCGATAGGCTCAGCGTATGTCATCGGCCAACGAGGGGAAAACGCATTTCCTCCATCGCCTTCGCCTTCTCTCGCCCTCGCTCTCTCTCTCGTCTCGTCTCTCTAGTCGGCAACATTCTTCCTCTCTCTCCGCAGCCCATCCCTCAAGTGATTCCGCTTCTGCCTGGCGTAAGATCCGATCGCGCTGTCTCTCCCCCTCCGAATCTCATCTGGCCTCGCCCCCCTCTCTTATCTTCGTCCTTGAATCTCGCCGATCTCTCAGATCTGTTGTCAGACGATCGCAAAGAAACTTTTGTTTCCAGGCCTTTCCAGAGCACCTTTTCTGCACATCCGCCCAACAGACCCCCGTATCGAGTGGGTCTTCGATTCCAAGTACCGCTTACACGCACGTCTCGTCTCTATCTATCATAATGTGGTCGTGGTTTGGTGGCGCCGCTGCCCAAAAGCGGAAGGATGCGCCCAAGAACGCGATCCTGATGCTACGAGAACAGCTCGATATGCTTCAAAAGCGGGAGAAGCACTTGGAGAATCAGATGGAGGAGCAAGAAAATGTGGCGAAGAAGAATATCAGCACAAATAAGAACGGTACGGAATTTGGACCCGGTCCCTGCTCGTTGTTCTTTGTTGAGAGAGTGGTAATCCAACTAACGCAATCGCACTCCAGCCGCTAAGGCTGCTCTCCGAAGGAAAAAGGTCCACGAGAAGAACCTCGAACAGACGACGGCACAGATCGCCCAGCTGGAACAGCAGATCTACTCCATCGAAACGGCGAATATCAACCAGAAGACTCTGGAGGCGATGAAGACGGCAGGCGCGGCCATGAACCAGATTCATGGCTCGATGACTATCGACAAGGTGGACGAGACAATGTACGTGCTGAGTCTGAAGAATCCGCTGCGACCGATTCATACTAACAGCTGGGAAGGGATCAACTCCGGGAACAACATCAACTCAGCGAGGAAATCGCATCCGTCATCACGAACAATCCGCTTGGCGAACAGCCAGACGAGTCCGAGTTGGACGCAGAACTCGAGGGCTTGGAACAAGAGGCCATGGACGAGCGCATGCTCAAGACTGGCACGGTACCCGTTTCGGATCAACTCAATCGGCTACCTGCCGCAGGGACTGGGGAACGTAAGTCACATCCTCTCAGATCATTTATCCGCAATAGGAAACCATTCTAATCATGTCATCCACCCTTACAGTCAAAAACAAGCCACAAAAGACCGAGGAAGAAGACGAGGAAGCAGAGTTGGAGAAGCTGCGTGCAGAGATGGCCATGTGACGATTATACGAAGCCCTTGTCTTTCCTTTGCCATGCTCGTCTCTTTCCTTTCCATTATTAGATCCCCTATATGAGCAATATCTCTGCTTTCTTTTCTCTTCCTCATATCCGTTGAACCATCAATCATGCGTCTATGTAATCGCGATTAACACGGAGTTCTATCTACCATCTGCAGCCGAACCTTGGCTTTATTTTGTTTCTTCTCTTGTTTGGAACTCCGGGATTCGTCGACAGAAGGTGTCTTTTTCCTTTTGTCCGCTACTACTCTGTCTATTTGTGTCTGTCTACATTTTAGGTTCTTGTTATTTTGTGCTCTTCTTGATTGGTCTCATAAACGTGCCTCTACCATTCCATCCACGATGGATATCTCATCTTCCTCTTCTGGGTTCTATTCGTTCAACCTGCCTAGCCTGCACCTCCTTCACGACATTGCATGGCTCTTCCATATATCTATTTATTCCATCTTATTTCGTCTTAACTTAACTACACTAAAGACCCAAGTCTATGTCATAACGAATGAATATCTTTCCAATATCCTACTGCTCTAATTGTACCATGCCGTGATGGCATCGCATGGTTGCGTATAGTCGTAAAACATATCAGTTCTTACTTATGACACCGGTAGAAATGCCGAAAGAGCTGTAAAGATCCCTTCTAGTTTAAAGAGGGCTAGTGTTTTCTTGTATTCTATTTGCAACAGAGATCTAACTTATCAAAAGAAAGGGACATCAGGTTTGATCTGCATTGTTAGAAACCGAGGTAGAGAAAGATATGAGAAGAATCACTATTTCCACCTTTTATTACGTAAACAAAAGAGAAAGACCAGGCAATAACGGCCAAATTGAATTTGTTGAGAAATGACACCACCGGTTAACTATTGAAAGAAAGAACAGAATATAAAAAAGAAGACCACACATTGAACTCCGGGTTTTTGTCTCATACCATCATCCAGGGAGAAATTGATCCCGCCCATCCCGAATAGAATAAAAAGGAGCTAATAAAGAGAGAAGAAAAGAAATTGAACGAATAGATCAAGAGTAGGTTGGTAGGTGAGCTCGCTCATGAGGGTTGATGATGTAGTCTGTTTCCAACCTGCAATTTCAAGTCGGACTGACTGACTCCTTCACTCTTATAACTCGGGTTAAGGGAACCATGCATAGCTCTTGAGAGGGGCTCTGCGAGCGCCATCAGTGGTCTCGCTGCACCATTTAGACTTCCATTCGCACTCCTGCGCGGCCGCCTCAATGAGGGCTTCCTTGCACTCGGCCGGGAGCTCCTCCAGGATCTCGGGGCTCAGGAATTCGGGATTCGACGGGTTGGCCACGCTGACGAAGCCGTTCGAGCCGAGATCATGCACGTCGCCATCAGGGCCGGGGATCCCCAAATTGGAGTGTGGCGGCGTTTCGTAGTGGACGTCATGGATGGCGAACCGGCGCGAGAGCGCAGCCGGGATGGTGGAAAAGATCGATTCCTTGGCAGGTTCTTCCTCGTTGTTCTCTTGCGTTTCGTCTGTGGCGGTCGAGGCTTCGACAGGAGGCTCCTCGCCCTCGTCGCTGCCATTCGTCAGGCTGAGGGTGGACAGTTCCTGGGTGAGTTTGGTCGCGACCCGCGGATCAGGAGGGGGTAGACGCTCCCAGCGCGCATGCGTGGGCTGCATGATTTTCGGATACTGCAAGACATTGGTGTGGATGTCGTAGTATCCGTCTAGGTTCGCACGACGAGCATGCGAAATGAGAGCATTGTAATTGCTAGACAGTATAAGCCGTTAGAATGACATGTGTGAAGGAACGATCCGGGAAAGGGTTCACTCACCTAGCTTCACGAGCATGCTCAAGCATCCAATTATCCCCGGTAACGGTAATCTTTCGCTTTTTCGAATCAACCGCCTTCCCCACGGGAACTGGAACCGAAGGCACGGCCGTGTGATAGACACTACTGGCGCCATGCCACGCGACGTATTGGTTCCTGTTGTACGGCTCTCCGGGCCCGGGGAGTTTGTCCTCGGGGACAGCCAGCTCGCCTTCAACGTCGCCGCGCTCTCGTGCTTGCTGAGCATGATAGTCGTCGACGACCTTTTTCCCGCCCACGATGATTTTGGCGCCGAACTCTCTGAATACTGACCGAGCGGTCACCACACCGATAGCTCGACCCTTGTAGGAATGGGGGATGATTTCGCGCTCGATGAGGTCGCGTTTAGCCTCGTCGTCGATGATGATCTTATAGAGGAGTTTGTGTTTCTGGAAGAACAGATACGAGTCCCGGAAACCGATGCAACGAGCTGGCTCCGTAGACAGCATGTAATATCTCTCGCCGCGGTTGAGGATGGTAAACGTTCGCACCCTGTACTCTCGATCTCCCTTCAGAAGGCCGTTCTTGTCGACCTTGGTCTCGCCCTCCGGGTCGTCCGGAAGAGCCACTTCGTCGTCGATCACGTCCATCATGTTTCCTTCCTTGTCGATGGGCACCTGCGTGACGTGCGACGGGCCCCGGTTTCGAGCCCATCGTCCTCCACTCGCCGCCGGGCGTCCTCGCCTCCTCTTCACCGGCGTGCTCGTGTGGATGGGTGTCTGCGGCGCTCCGTCGTCGGGCGCATCCCAGTCCGGGGGACGGTTCTTCGGCGGACGGCCTATGCGTCGTTTTCGCGGGATCGCGGAAGGGCGACCACCGGTGCGCGTAGGCGTATCCGCTCGCGACGGCGTGTTCGACTCCTGCGTGGGCGTCGCTGCGGTCTCTTCCTCCGGGACCGGTTCGGGTTGCGCTTCGGCGTCGGGATCGTCCTCCTTTTCCGACGCGTCTCCAGGGTCCTCTACGGCCGGGCTGGACGGGTTCGAGACGGGCGCATCACCCATTTCCTCGTCGGATGCGTCGGGGAGGGGTGGAGGGGCGTTTCCTCGGGGTCTGTCAGTGCACGCGCGCCCATGGGATACTTGTCTGCGAGAAATCCCAAAAAGGCGCAGAAAAGGCGAACGGGGAAAAACAATGACTTACTCAAGGATTGAGCGGCTGCCTGGGCAGCTGCTCGAAGCTTCCTGGCCATCGCGACGGCAAGTGTTTGGGTTCGACGTGAGAGCCAAAGACTGCGAACGCGGCGATGGAATTATTGCTCGACGCCCTTTAGCCTCAGTCCTTCCGCAGCATCGCCAGGGCCGGTCGGATTATCTGCCGCTCCGGAGCCGGGATTACGTCTCACGTGATGTTGACCCTTTGCTGCCTCGCTGCCTCAGGAACACATCAGTGCCACGTGCCTCGATCCAGAACAGACTCTGGACTTTCTTGGCACTCGGGGATCTGCCGCATGATGTCATCGCCATCCCCTCCGGAGCACATTCTCCCTGGGAGCAGGTACACAGTCTACACTTCTACACCGATGGAAGCTGGAATCCATTCAGACCACTTGACGCGTCCAGTGTCCCCCTCCAACACACCATCCATCCTAACCATGGATGATTACCCACCGGTAATTTTCCAGGAAGCTAGGTCCGGCACCTTCTCGAAAACGCCAGACAGCCCGGTTTCGAGATGGATACCGACGGAGTGACTCAACGATAAGGTATGCACAGACATTGCGATTGACGTATGGATGCATTGGATGGGTCTGCACTCTGCAATCCTGCTTCAATCCCCATTTCACATGTCATCGAAATTCTCAAAGGGGAAAGGTCATTGGAAGGAATTCTCGAATTCCTCCGCTCCACCGGCGCCTACGGAGCATTAGCTTGACCGCGGTGGGCATTGGACAAGCTCCGCATTTTCTCGACATCGGATGCAACCTGAAGGAGGGAGGGAGGGGCAGAGGGGAAGGATGACATTATTCTTCGACTCCCGGGACAATAACCTGCTCGAGATTGCTCATCATGTCTCGCTAAGGTTATTTTCTCCCCCGTGCATCGTCCGAGCGAGACTCGGTCGTGGGCTTGATCGGAGGGGTTCTGCTGTCGCTGCTCTGTCCCCTCGCGCTTTTTGCTCTTTTGTGACAAAACGGAATGCTGCATGCCACGCAGATCACTTACACAACCACGCCGCTGCCTGCAGATGACCTGCCTACTGACTTCGTACAAGTAGCCTCAGCCCGCACTCTTTTTCCTCCCTCCTCCTCACACCCCCTCCCTTGCCGACCGGGGCGAAAATGCAAATAGATTGGTAATCGACAGATCACCGTGGCTATGGGCAGGGTAACCGCCAGGGTTCTCCATCCAGGAATGTTTCTAGGAGGTCTTCTCCTGTAGGCGCCCGACGGGGTGCCCGTATTATTGGAGGGCGAGGAAGCCAGGATTGGAGATCGGGAGCTAAGTCGGTAGCTAGGATTGGCCTGCTATCTGCACGCACGAACTCAAGGGGGATCCGATAAGACCACTCGATCGTTCAGTTCAAGGTGGCCGGCTGATCCTACCGTCAAATCGGACAGATCTTCGGCCACCGTTTCCACGACACCCGAAGCCACCAGCTGCACTGACCTGGACCTTGCGACCTTGCTGAACAGCTGTTCTGAACCGGTGATTTGGACATGTAAGCATGTAAGGAGACGGGCGGAGATGTACCTGAGAGGTATTTCCGCTGTCTAGACTCTAGACTCCTCGAGTCTACGGTGTTTGGTTACTTGCACGATATCTGATGCGTCAAGGAGACGGGCATATTAGGAAAACAGGCAAGACACGATGATTTGCCAAGCAGCCATCACCGCAGGGCTGCACATCCTCCGGGATTATCCCGTACTATCCCTTAGTGCATGAATCGAAATGGCTGGGATGAGGAGAAGAGACTTATTCATCGTCATCGGACCAGCGGCAGATATTCTTGAAACCGTAAAAGGGAAGCGAAACCCTGATGGGGGAAGGTCGATGTTTGACGATCAAGCGCCGTTGACGAGGGCGTTGATAGGTTAATTGATAGAAGTGTTTTGCTGCATACACAGTGTAGATACTGTACATCCAGAGTAGCAGGTACCAGTAGAGAGGAGATGATTCTAGTCTGCAGTAAATGTATTAATGTGAATACCTTATACACAGTACACTTAGTACATGGACAAAATCCACGATCGGCCCGATGACAACATCGACGGAGTCCAACCCCACTTTTTGTAGGGATTAGATCATTTGAATAAACTCTTGTTATGGAATAGCATTGATCGCATTGACTCTACGGAGGAACTACAATACTGAGTAGGTCCTAGAGACCGGCCATCCATACTATTGATATGTCGAAGAGGTCCTCTGTAAGAGGATGGCGAATCCTGGAGATGGGCATTTGGAGTAGGCAACTGTACCTTAGAATTAAAGTGTATCACTACCTGCAGAGTGCAGAGGCATCCACGGACTCGACGTCCACACGAGGAAAGCCCCATTTTCCCGGTTTCCTCCCGACGGCGAATCACTGCGACAACCCAACTTCCCCTCCAAAACGAGACGGACACATGCCAACTTGCGCCTCATCATCGGACCTGTGCTGTCATCAACGCCCTTTCCAGGTTTCGTTTCACTTCTTTGATTCTGTGGTTCGATTATTATCAGGCGCGATGATGAGATTTCTCGCGACGCTCTGTCATCCTGCTGTTCCGCTGTCGAGTCTCCCCCCTCTCGAGGCAATCCAGCATATTTCAGCATTCTTCCTGCTGCGCCTAGCATAGTCCCCCTTCCAGTCAACCGTTCTTACTCCGATTTTTCTTTTTCGTTCTTTGGAGGAAGCCCTATCATCTCATAATTCCGCCAGATTGTTAGCTCTCATTGCCTGTCAGTCAGCAGAGAAATGTGGCTCCGTGGTTCCATCACGGTCTTGTCTATTTGCCAGCAACACCGCCGTCTCCACCGGGTGTGAGGCCTTTTTTTCCCCTCCCCATTATTTTCTTTTCTGGCGACCCAAAAAAGAAAAAGAAAAAAGAAAAAAAAAAATCCAGCCCCATTTTCTCGTCCTCGCCTGTTTCTAGGGATCAGGGCAGCTTTGCCTGCCTGACTGCCAATGACATTCGGCTCTCCCGAAGCTTTTCCCGGCTTCCAACCAGAGTCACCCGTGGTTTCGAATTGGAGATTCGTTTCCATAGGAGGTCAGGAACTTAAGGAATGAGGAGGATGAAAATCGCGAGAGGAAGAATAAAGAAGACCCGACCTGTCATCCTTGAGATTCACAAATCTATTCAGACTCCGACTCAGATTCAGACTCGAGATCGTCATTCATCTCGTGATTGGAATTGACGACGGCGTCTCCCATTCTTGGAAGCTTACGGGCACGTACCGTCCAGCACAAGAATATACTATCATTTCGCCCTGGTCGCATCACTCTCGTGACTCCGGTCATCGTTCTTATCAGTTATATTGTTCTGGTTCTGATCCCAATGACCCCGAGGACCCGTATTTCCTCCAATTTCAATGTCATCGAGTGATGGGTGATTATTGATTGCTGTTATTGCCCTTACCACCCACCGGTCTCTCGAACTAGAGAGCGGCATCAGCGGCAGCTTTGGTCTTTGGGCTTCAGCTTTAGCTGGTAAACGCCACCGCTGCAGGACCTTTTGATTTTATTTTTATTTTGATTATCATTTATCTTTTTATCTTTTGATTTTATCTTATTCAGCCTTCACCTCATCTCTCTCGCCTGTCCCCTTCTTGACGCGAGATACGCCCGGTTAACCAACAAAATCTGAAGGCATTGCCACCGGAACCACCGTCAGAGAACAGCGGACACAACCAGCGTCTGGGGAAATCCCGCAACGAGGCCAATACGAATTATTTGTGCCTCACTGCCTATCCACCACATCCACTTTACGATTTTTATTTTATTAATGTTCGTTCGGGCCTGGCGCTAATCCCAGACTGGCCGGTTCGCTCATCGCCGCCAGCACTCGGTTCCTTCGCTTTCTTCAGGTCGGCTTTTCGCCTGAGTAAGAAATTAAAGAATCCATAATAATCCCTAACTATCGCCCTCTGTCGGTCTTCAATTCTTTTTTTCCCTCTTCTCTTGACTCGTGTCTCTTGTACCTGGTCTTCTGTTCCTCTCGTCTCTCTTCTACTTTCCCTCGATGAATCCCCCGGATCGTCCCTTGTAACGTTCTCACGACCCGCGCCCACATTAACCTGACTTCAACCCCTCCATCTCTTGTTTCTCTTCCGAATCCGACCGAGATCCAACGTTTTCCTCTCTCCCGCAAACTTCCTTTAACCTTCCTTCTTTCTCCGCCCAGACTTCTTTTCTTCCTTTTCTTCCCTACTTTTTCTCTCCCTCTCGCACTTTGACCGCCTTCATCCGCGTATCAATCGTCGCCCGATCACTCGCCACTCCGTCATCGGCCTCTCTAGCGGACGATTGACTCTCGTTTCCTACCTTTTCGCTCTTTTCTCTTGTCACCGTCCTTTGCTTTTCCTGCGTGACTAGACCCGGAAGTCGGATGGAAAGATAATCATGGCCGCTCAGAATGGTCCTGGCTTGCATGTCGATGCCGAATTGTTAAAGCAGCCGCTATCGCAAAAGTGAGTAACACAACTTTCGCTTAATCATGCCGCCACAATGTGCTTTTTTTGCCCCCCCTGCTCTCATTGTCCGGGGTTCAATGCTGGAATCGAGGCGCAAATTGGTCTATTCTTTCGCTCGGAAAATTTCAATCAAGCAATAAATTCCCCTCGATTCGCTGGCACTGCAGCTTGAACTTTGAGATGCATCGGTTGGGGTAGCTTTGCTTTGCTGTCCATCCGGTCTGTCGCATCATTGGGTTGGGAAGGTAAAAAAGCGAAAGAAAGGGAAAAAGAGGCAGCATCCAAAGTTCTACACTCCAGCCTTACCGTTTGCCTTCTGGAAGAAGAACTTGCATTTGCCTGCAGCTTTGACTTTTCTTTTTTTCCTTCCCTCCCAACTGTTGGCCATTGCCATTTTCCCTTCCCTTCCTTGCCTTATGATGGGCGCCTTTCATCCATGATCCAATAATCCAACACCCGGCCACCATCCTTCATTATGTTTTTCGGCCGATGTTTTTTCAATAAACTCAACTTATCGTCGCGTTTTATATCAATGACTAACCGCCTCCACAGCCGAGGTTTGCATGACGACGACAACCAAGATCAAATCGGCTCCAAAAGTCCCAGTCCGACGGGAGTCGCTACACCGCAACCCGATCCTTCAGACAAACGTCTGCCGTCCATAATGCACAACTTCCTTCAGGTTGGTGTTCCCTCTGGTGATCAATCCAACCCCTTCAAACCACGGACCTTTCCTTCTGAGACTCCTACCTCCGCGTACTATGTACAGTCGAATGCGCCTACGACAAGGACACGGGATCACCGAAGTTCCGGCCATTCTTCCTCCTCCTCCTCCCCGGGCTCTTATGTCATGACGGGGCGCGACGCGGCTTCGGAGATGAGGTCGTCGCTCGCTGCCCGAGACAATCACTTTGTAACGCCGGAGAATTTGCCCCCGACGAATCTACCTACCCCCCCTTACTGCTCGGCATCTTCCCTTCTTCAGAAAGACTCGGAAGAGGCGGAATTGGGGTCTTCGGGCCCCGACAAGAGCATGGGATCGATCTTTAATGCGTTGAAGAATTACCTTTCCCCTTCGGGAAACTCCTCCCCTGAACCTCCCGCCCGCCGCCACACCTCTCACCCAGTCTCGAGCATCTCAGGCGATCCAGTCCTTGCCACCCACTTCTCCAATCCCACTCTCTCGTGCACTGCAGATGCCCTGTGTTTGCCGGAAGCTCCCCACTTCGACCATGAGAAGCCACTCGTTTCTACGTCTTCTGAGAACCTTGCGAAGCTAACTGGAAATGTGTCTGATTTTTCGCATTTAAAGAATACTCCCCCTCTCACGCCGCGGGCCATGTCCAACGAAGGTTCTCAAGTCGATCAGAAACCCAACACGTCTGCGCCGTCTACTTCGGAGCCCACGGAATCCGACGAGGTCGCCAAGTCCACCGACGAGATCGCGGGCAAGCTCAACGAGGCCTTCCCGTCCCCGTCCGAAAGCCCCCAACCGACTACTGCCCCGCCCGTTGGCTCGCTCAAGGGACAACTTTATGTCAACATCTCTCAGGCTCGGGGACTTCGACCGGGGTTCGATCCTTACGTTGTCTGCGTGTTTGAATGGAATGAGTGCATCTCGAAGAGCGCCCAGGATGAAGAAGAAGCCTCGATAGAACGCCAGCAAAAGGAACAGGAGAAGTCGGAGCTCGAGACCGGTCGACCCATGGCCATTCCCATGAAGAGCCGTCAAAGTAGCAACAACAGTGCCCTCGATGGCCCTGATCACAGGATTAGGGCCCCCGTCACTGACCCCCACTGGAACCATGAAGCTACCTTGTAAGTCATTAACCACACCCTCTTACTTTGCTCGATATCACATCGTGCACGGTCCGCTGACAAATATTATCAGTGATGTGCTCGGTGACCAATCTGAGGTCGACGTTTCGGTGTATGACCGTAAAGATCAGGAGGCGTTCTTGGGCCATGTACGACTTTGCGTCAATCTCAACGAGGACAACAGCCGGCTAGAAGGATGGTTCCCGTTGAAGGCTCGGGGAGCCGGTGACTCACAAGTATCTGGCGAGATTCATCTGGAAATGCGATTCGAAAAAACGGAGAAGAAGCAGGTGGGCCCTAATGACTTCCAGATCCTGAAGCTTATCGGCAAGGGCACGTTCGGCCAGGTCTACCAAGTCAAGAAGAAGGATACGCGCCGAATTTACGCCATGAAGGTTCTGTCGAAGAAGGTGATCATCCAGAAAAAGGAAGTGGCTCATACTCTCGGCGAGCGAAACATTCTGGTCCGCACAGCAATGGCCGCCTCTCCCTTCATTGTGGGCCTCAAGTTCTCCTTTCAGACCCCCACGGATCTCTACCTGGTGACGGATTACATGTCGGGCGGTGAACTGTTTTGGCATCTGCAAAAGGAGGGGCGCTTCCAAGAAGCTCGCGCCAAGTTCTACATCGCCGAGCTGATCCTGGCTCTTCAGCATCTGCACGAGCACGACATCGTCTACCGTGACCTCAAACCCGAAAACATTCTACTCGATGCGAACGGCCACATTGCTCTCTGCGATTTCGGATTGTCTAAAGCGAACCTTACCCAGAACGACACCACAAACACTTTCTGTGGTACCACGGAATACCTTGCTCCAGAGGTGCTGCTCGATGAGCAAGGATACACCAAGATGGTTGATTTCTGGTCGCTTGGTGTCCTTGTCTTTGAGATGTGCTGCGGCTGGAGTCCATTCTACGCCGAAGACACGCAGCAGATGTACAAGAACATCGCCTTCGGTAAGGTTCGATTCCCGCGAGACGCTCTCAGCACGGAGGGAAGGAACTTCGTCAAAGGCTTGCTTAACCGGAATCCGAAACACCGACTCGGGGCTAAGGGCGACGCCAAGGAGCTCATGGAGCACCCGTTCTTCCATGATGTCGACTGGGAAGCCTTGTGCCGTAAGGAAGTCATTCCGCCGTTCAAGCCGATCCTCAAGTCCGACACGGATACTTCCAACTTTGATCCCGAGTTCACCAATGCGCTCAATGCTTCGCTGAACGACCGAGCGGCTGCCGTTGCCAACGGTTTCATGACGGCGTCGACACCGCTCTCGCCAGGCATGCAAGCTAACTTCAAGGGCTTCACGTTCGTCAACGAGAGCTCGATCGACCATCACATGAAGAACGAGCCCGGCGACCACATGGATGAGGACACGGACACATGGCACCGATCCCATCGCAAGCAGAACTCGACAGACCACCGCATGAGTGGCGTCCAGAAGACCCACGATGGCGGAGAGCCCGGCATTTTCAACGTTGATGACAATTTTGACATGTGATGATGTCTTTGCGCAATGCATGATGATGGAGTTGTGATTTTGATTTTGATTTTGATTTTGTTGCATATATCCTTTGCGATTTCTGTACATGCCTTCGAATGGGTCTAAAACATGGGTTGTCTCCTCCCCATCTTTATATGATGCCCTGGCAGTTACATGTTTCTAATCATTGACGTTACTTATCATGGGCGAGACGAGTCTCTTTGTGTTTATCTTCTGTTTGTTGTCGTCCTTTTGCGCTTCATGCACTCAAACCATCCGGATTAGATGGATTGGATATATCCCTTTGATGGCTTCAATTTCCGTGGCTCATATCAATTGCGAGACTTTGATTTCTTCATATCTAACTCATTTTGTGTCCTATCTTCCGAGGATATACAGATTATTTCTTTTGCTCTTATTGCCCCCTTCTCATCATTCACATATGTCCTTTTTCCTTTGCCGCCTCAGGTTCTTCTGCTCCTACTACTCCCTTCGATCGATACCATCCGCGCAGTTTCACTTGGTACATTGAACGCGCATCGTCACCCTCAAGCCCGGTAGGACCGAGATCGACTATCTATCCTTCCCAGTTCAGGATGAAAGGGGGCTCCATCATTGTAGCGGCGTTTTCTTTTCCTCATTTTTATTCTAGGAATGGCGGCAGCACGGCGCATGAGAGGGAGTCAGGATTCCAGTGCCCTTGCATAACGGCATATCCGGTTGATCTACAATCTAGGCATTTACACTAAGTTCAAATATATGCGTCATGGTAATTGATGCACTTTTCAGCTTTTTGGATCTTTTCTCTCGTTTCGCCGATCTGTGTAAAGCTACCGTTATCAATGTCATAGAGGAAGTCTCCATGGTCCATGGAATCCTGCAGTTCAGGTGATACGGCTGTCATCAGCCTCGACGCTACGAAGTGGAGTTGTATGTACATTATGCAACCTAGCAAAAGTAATGATCAACCGTTATAATTAGGACTAAGGCTGACACGAGCGATAATGTTCCACCATCGAAGGACGGATCAAATGAGCATATTCACGAATGAAAGATAACAGACAAGCCGACGCGGTGGCAATGCCACCGGAGGAATCAGATAAATGAATCCCTCGCCGATCCGGAGAGCCGCACGCAACCCTAATGTTCGGTCTTCCTTCCTGCGCGCATCCCAGAATGTATTCAAAGTTCATCCACTGTCTTGTTCAGCAGCGTGGATGCTAGCGTCATCCTTTCCACAGGGGTCTTTTAGTGTCAAACTTCGGTGTGCGTGGGGGCCAGAATCTTATCGGTAGCACTGTGTACACCACGTTACGTGGTCTCTCCTACCGAGCCCTAGGAAAACAAGCAAGATGATTGTTTTACAGTCATTGTCAATCAGGAGGTATTGTTCCGTTGTCAGTATCCACCCTCCAGCCATGCGTTGGCAAGTATCCGGTCATCTTACGACTGATGAGGGATCCAAGGATCACCTTGGCATTGGGCTTCGCCTCCTCGTGCAAAGATTGGCAGCCTAAATCATGGCCGGCGGCCTTGGCGATTATCCCAGGGTTTTTAGTACGCAGTCCCTCGTTGACTTCCCAGACTGGACTCCACAAGGTTCGCTGAGCCTCCTGATCAGCCTCTTCCTGTGCTCCCCCAGCCCTAGGAGTCAGTACTGGCAAACACGGCTCGCGCGCCAATATTTGGAATCTCCAATATCGCTTAGGGCTCCTTTACACCGCTCGTCTCGCATGTCGACGGATCGGTGGATATAAGTATAGCGCTTGTGCTCCCTGCGATCTCTGGAGCATGGTTCTTTGGTAACCACCATCGTTGTTTACTTCCGTTGTCCGCTTTACTTTTTATTCGTCTGCAGAGGAGTTCTTCTACTCGTCGCGGGATATATCAACATGCGTCTTCTTGGGGCTACACTCGCTTCGGCGGCCCTAGCAGTTGCTCTACCATCTGCATCTCAAACCACTTCTGCCTCTTCCTCCAGCTCGTCCGGTGCCACCGAGCCTTGTGCTGTGGTTAGCCGCATCCTCGAGAACAGTGATGCCGAAGTCGTCGCCGCTGAGGCCGCGTACAAGTGTCTGAAGTCCGTTCCAGTAGCCGTCAAGGACGATGAGGAACTCATCGACGAGCTGAAGCTCCTCTGGCAGTGGCATTCCGAGACGGGCTGGCTAAAGAACCCTCCCTCAACCTGGGAACTGGGTCCACTGGACCTCATCGGCGAACTCGACAAGATCAAGAAGAACCTCCGCTCCTACGACAGCGAATATGATGTGCAGGCCGCCATCAATCGGCTGACCATCCGGACCGGGAACTACCATTTCAACTACGAGCCCGACATCCTGCAGGTCTTTAGCTTTCAGCGCCTGCTGGGCGTGGCTACCGTTTCTGAAGATGGCACCAGCGTGCCCAAGACTTACGTTTCCTCGGACCTCTTCGCCCACAAGGACGACGGCAGCATCGATATCTCCCCGATCAAGTCCATCAATGGCAAAGATGTCCAGGAGTTTCTGGAAGAGGTAGCGGACGACTCTCAGTATATTAACCCCGATGCGCGTTACAACAGTCTCACCGACCGGGGCCTGCAGGATTCTTCGCGGGGCTACTTCGTCGCGCAAGAGGCATATCAGGGTGCGTTCACGAACCTCACGTTTGTCAACGGCACCACGCGCAATATCATCAACGTCGCCAAGACGTATCAGAACTTCACCGGGATCACCACTGGCAAGGACTTCTTCCAGGCGTTCTGCACGGGCGACATCAGCAGCTGGGAGGCCGATTCGGAAATGATGAAGAAGGGTCACAACAAGGCCGCTCCGCTCCGCCGCTGGGCGAAGAGACAGACCATCCCCAGCGACGACTACCCCAAGCCCATCGTGGAGCACAGCCTGGGTGCCGTGGCCGGCTACTTCCTGTCCGGTCCTGGCTTGTCAGACGTTGCCGTGTTGAAGATCATCACTTTCGATCTTGAGGTGACCGGCTACAGAGAGTTTCAGAAAGTCATTCGGCAGTTCTTGGAGAGGTGCACGCAGGCCAACAAGAAGAAACTTGTCATTGATCTCCGTGAGAATGGTGGCGGCGAAACGGCCCTGCTTCTGGACGCGTTCATGCAGCTCTTCCCGGATAAGGAGCCCTTTAGCGCGCAGAGATACCGTGCCCAGGACCAATTCAAGCTCGTCGGCGAGGCCCTCGACGCCATCCGGGCCAACGAGACTGCGCTGAAGTGGGTGGAGAAGAATACCGAGCTGGGTAAGTTCAAACCAGATTGCAAACGATAAGACGCTGATCGTTTTCCCTAGATATCGCCTCGGGATACAGTCTGAGATACTGGTCATACTGGAACTTCGTCGATGCCAACGGCAAAACCTTCTCCTCATGGGACTCCTTCTACGGGCCTCATAAGTTTAACGACGACGAGTTCTCATCGATCGTGCGATACAACGTGAGTACTCACAACTTGAAATCAACCCACAAGGCATCATGACCTTCATATCTAACCCCATTTCTTCACAGCTATCCAACAGTAACCCCAACAGCATCCTCTCCTCCAACTTCACCTTCACCGAATCCTCCTCCACCAAAAAAGCGCCCTTCTCGCCCGACAACATCGTCATGTTCACCGACGGCCTCTGCGGCTCCTCATGCGCCTCCTTCCACGAAGAACTCAAGAACATCGCCGGCATCAAAGCCGTGACCGTCGGCGGCCGCACCAAACCAGGGCCCATGCAAACCATCGGCGGCACCAAGGGCGGCGAAGTAATCCCTTTCTCCGCCGTCTCCGACGAGATCCCTCAGCTCCTAAACGCCACCACCCAGCTCGGCATCGCCCCGGATCTCGAGTCCCCCTCTATCCTCCGTCTCCTGGACACCGAGCAGGTCTTCCTCCGGGTCGGCGACTCATACTCCCGTCTCCAAGTCCAGGATCAGATCCGGAAAGGCGACTCCTCGCAGACTCCTTTGCAGTATATCTACGAAGCTGCCGACTGCCGCATCTGGTACACCACTCAGACGCTCCTGAACCCCGAGAAAGCGTGGGCCGCGGCGTGGAATGCGCATGTGAACCGCACGAACTGCGTGGCGGGCTCGACGGGGCATAATTCCAGTCTGAGTGGTGGGTATAAGGCCTACGGAGCGGGTGCGTTGCATGGGGAGATGGACAAGGGGGAGGACGGCAGTAGTGGTGGTGCTGGTGAGAAGGACAAGGACTCGGAGACGAATGCTGCGTCGTCGGCTTGGAGGCCGAGTCTTGGGTTGGTTTCGGGGGTGGTGGTTTTGTTGGGGGTTTTGCTTTAGAGGGGGATGTAAAATTTTTCTTAAATCTTCCTTCTTTTCTCTCATGTGTTAAAGAATATATATTATGTGTAATGTATAGAAGAATAGAGGCATATAGAGACATGCAAATACTAATAATGCCATTAATATAATAAGTCTGTGAACCGACACATCACCATCGCCAGTTGATTATACTCTTTGGTGTTGGTTGGATAGGAACACAATGCCTCCCTACGGAGTATGTAGAGCCTTCCTTGGGACTAATGGACTAAGATCTGGTTTACAAATCGCGGTTCGGGCCATTTCTTTTAGTCTTAATCTTTCATATCCTCATTTACGTTGACTGTCGAAACAACCGTCGTAGGTTAGCTAATTAACGTAGTGTAACTTATGAGAGGCAGCTCAACTCTACCTAGTCCAAGAAAGAAAAAGTGAGAAGCAGTTGAAGCACAAGCATAAACAAACCTCTACAGAGGTAACTACGGAGCAAAACACTCTGACGTCAAGACCCCTGGACCGTGGAATGGATATATTAAAAATAGCCCGGCTAATCTGTTTTAGGGGGCAAGCATTTTATGTTCAAGCTGAAAAAGTTAAACGAACAGTCAGGGATCGGTTTCGAGTTCCGTCCCGGAAGGATTTCGACCCAACGGACTTGCCGTGCCGTGTCTTGTCCATGCAACGTGACAGACAGAAGAATGAAGATGTTGATATGATTGAAGGAGAAATCTGTCCAGATAGTTGCACTGCTGCACCGCACAGCAAGTGATCATCACTCGATTTAGAAGTGTAGAGGACGGGGATACCGTAGATCATGTTCAATCCAACCTCATCTATCGACTAGAAAAATAAAAAATCGATAGTCTGAGCCTGAGCCTGAGGGCAACAGCCAACAATGGGCGTGTTCGTCGCAAAGTGAGTACTTCATGTTGCAGATTTGAAATCCCTGCACTGACCCACTGGATACGAGTCAGAAGGAACTACGGACCTTCTTTTCTTCTTACCGAGTTCTGGCTACATACCCAGTTGCAGAAAATCGAGTCGGTTGTCCTCTGCGAGCACCGGAATGCGAGCACGGGTGGGCAAAACCAAAGCGCTCCATGTTTCACGGTGCTGGGTGTACTCCGTGCTCCACTTGTGCTCGGGAATAAATCGATCTCGGAGGGCTGATAATGCACAAAATATTGCCGCAAGGAGGACAGAACATAGGGGGCTAGATAAACTCGTCATTGGTCAAGCAGACCGGACCGAGAACGGCACCTGCAGTCCTGCACCTCATTATTTGTGTACGGAGTATGGACCCTTCGGAGGATATCCCGCAGGAAGAAACCCCCGAACGGGTGTACTCCGTGCTCTTCGGATTTGGACTGCAGAGCGGCCAGTTTGATATAGAGCGGATAAAGCAATGGCGGTTTGGACTAAAAGCGTATAATATATATTTATATATACTGCGGATATCTATCGTAACGATGTTTCTCTTGATAGGGTGGACACTGGACGGTAAACGAATCTCGTCAACCCGCGCACCCACTCCACGGGCAGATGTCTGGGATTGATATGACCCATTATTGATCATATGGTATTGATAATTTGGAGAGTGGTCAGGGCACTAGCCAATGATCGAATCCGCTTAACGGTGCGAACCGATGGGTAGAATGGGTCCATGGGGATGGTGATTCGGATGTTGTAATGGGATCTCATCATCTCAATCATTTCCTGCCTGAGAGGAATCTTAGTCAATGGTTTGTCAGTCCATGAATATGAGTATGGAGGTTGGAGATTGAATCCGAGACTCCAGAGGAAGGCAGAAGGCAGAGCAACAAAGGGTGCAAAATATGCAAAAAAGACAAATAAAAAAAAGGGGTTGAAGTGCAATGAACCGCCCCAAAGGGGGCTAGTGCCGTGTTCCTGAGGCCGCCCAGACCAGCCCCACCACGCTAAGCCCTGGAGGGCCTAGCGCCAAGTCACGACCACGGATTTCTTTGGGATTTTCTGGCGATTTCTTTCTTCGGCGTCGACAATCCTGACGATGATTATGTCCCCCCCAGTTCGTATCCAGCCTGAATGGCTTTGACCCCATGTGGCTTCATCCACAGAAATTCAAACGTTTATCCTGATCGTCAATGCAATGAATGTCAATTCTGATTTCTCAGAACCGAATGATGGATGGACCGACGCATTTGGGTTTTACTTCTGGCCTATGGTCGAATGAGAAGACCAACTAACTCTCTGGCTACTGACTAGTAACTTAGTCCACCTCCCCCTTTAGCACTCATGCAGTTTCCCCTGGGCAACTTGACTCCTCCAACTTTCCTTAGCCCCGAATCTCTGACTCTCTAGTCTCTAGCCTCTACTCTAGCTCCCTCCCAAGTCTCCCCTGGCCCGGGGATTTCTCCTTGCCCCTGATGGTTGGCCGCCGATGACACGAGCTCTCCGCCTCCGAGCACGAGTTGCTGGCATACGGAGGAGTAGGCGTGAACCCAAGATCCTCATTCCTGGTGGGGACGATCGGCCCTCGAGTGCCGCCCAGGTCCTCCTAGTTTCTTGCTGCTAACCTAAACGAAGAAGTGGCGTGTCTGTGGTATGTGCTCAATGCCTCATGGCCCTGGGTTAAGCCCCTTTGGGTCACTATTATGGACTGATTAGGAGATAGTATGCTGCGATGCTCTCTGTCGCTGGTTGATGTCCCGGTTGGATTCCTAAAATAGCCTCCCTTTTCCATCTTTCCTTTTTCTTTTTCTTACTACTCCTTCCCCCCCCCATCTCATCCCACGACTAGTTCCTCTTCTCACACCCTCTGTCTGGGGTTTCCAAATCTATTATTGTTTATTTTGATTTCTGATCTTCTACTCTTCACCTTCGCCCCTACACATATGAGATAAGCATAACTCGAGTACGGAGTAGTGGCGTAATATCTCTCGGCACATACCAACGCGCATCCTGCTCTCCTTTCTATTCCCCACTTAATCACTTCTCTTTTTCCCCTTAACTCTTACTCTGTGCTCCAATTTCAATTTTTTCTCTCTCTCTCTCTCTCTTCCCTTTTTTGGACCATCGCCTGAATAATCAATCGCTCTTCATGCTGGCCAGATGCACATTGAGGGCTCAGGATGAACGTCGTCGCTACTAGACCCGAAAGCGCGTCCTTTCCGTCTTCTCCCCATTCCGCCCACGACTACAAAGATTCCGCATACACAGTGATGGTACAGCCGGTCTCTTCTCGGACGTCATCGGTATCGTCCTTCAGAACCAACTACAGCGTGTCGACCGCCCCTACTTGCTACTCCCCAACTTCTCCAGGCTCCTCATACCGTCAATGTGATTCCGCCGCCTCTCTGGATAAGATCCTCGAGTCGGTCTTCAAGCGACTCCCTTATGAAGTATACGAAACCATTTTAGATCAGCTCTACAGCCTACATACCGACCCAAACCAGACCGGGTGTCTAACATGCTATCAACGCGACCTGCATGCCCTCTCGCTCACCTGTCGGCCCTGGGAACGGGCCGTCAGGGCTAGACTGTGAGTGCGGGCGTTTCTGCCTGACAGATGACTTGCTAACGCGAGATCTTTACTTTTAGGTACAACCGAATTCACATTGTCGGAAACGATTCACCGTCCCAATTGAAGAAGTATAGATTGAAAAGAGGAAGCCGATTGAAACTGTTGAGACGGACTCTCAGGGAAAGGAAATTGCTGGCCAATCTCGTCCTCGAACTGCGCGTCCCCCAGATGGATCTGCTATTTACGAACGGCAAGCAAAGCTCTCCATGGCAGGAGTACCGCGATCTGGTCGCATCGGTCGTCATGGTCTGCCCTAACCTGGAGCGGCTATTGGGGCTGTCCATTCCTTACAACCACGAGTTCGACCGGCTCACTCACGCCTTGTCCACCCGACGGAAATTGAAAGAGCATACCTGGGTTTTGGGTGAAGCAACGGAAGCTTCGGAAGGCTCCCCTCGCAGCACGTCTTGTCCCGGAAGCTTGGGTCCCTTGCAGATGTTCGAGTTTCTCGACTACCACGTTTCGTGGACGAATTTGGAAACTCTGATGCTCTACGGGCTGACCGAAAATAGCGCATTGGAACCGAGCATCTTTCTTCGCATGTTCAGCCTCCTGCCTTCGCTACAAAACCTGTGCATCTCGAACTTCAACGAAGACGCCTTTGCGGACAGCGCTTTGCTTTGTTTACCCCCTCTGAAGTCGCTTCGGTTGGAGGGCCTTCCCGGTGTCACCGATACAGGTCTGGCGCAGTATACTTCGCGCCCGGAATCAAGTTCGCTCCGCACGCTGGCTCTTATCGAACAGAACGTCCAGTCAATGCTAGTGATTTCGAAGATCCTGGCATCGTTGGGACAACTTGAGCACTTCAAGATTGTCCAGACTAACAAATCCCCGATTTTGGATGCGGACGGCATTGTTTTCCAGCCCTTGTTGGCTTCATCGACTCTCAAACATATGCATTGGGATGTAGCCTGTCCAGATCCACATACCGCTCTTACCAAACTCGATTATGCTCCTTTCGCTAAACCTCCGAGCCATGTCGACACTCCCAATTCCCATCTTGCACAGAGCATTATCGCTGGGGGATTCCCTCAGCTAGAAGCTCTCCGTGCGCCATCTGACATAGAGCCCCCTGGTGTTCTCCAGGGCGTATGTCAACCGATCCCGCGTGGACAGGCCCTGCTCCAGCCAGACCGTTACAGTCTTCCACGCAGCTCCCATGGCTCTGTTAAAACCCGCCCCATGGCCCTGCCAGGGGGGAACAATCTGACATCTGCCCGAATCCGTGCACAGACATTCATCGATACCGCGGTGAAAGATACAGAAACTGGCATGAGGGTGCTTATCACCGATCACTCGGACTCTTACGTCCCCGATAGTGCTCTTGAAGAGGAGGCCCTGTCGGACGAGGCGTCGGAGCTAGACATCAACGAATTCGGCGTGTGCGGGTCACATAAACGCCCAAATGAAGACGATAATGCGGCATCCGAGGACCCGGAAGGGCCCGTTACCGTATACGACTTCAGAATGCCTGCTTATATGGGCAGGATAGGCACAACCACCAGCGCGAAAGACGTGAAAATCCCTCGGTTCATTCTGCGTCCCGATATCCAAGGGCAAGAAGCCGACGGGGGTCTCGTTGGCTGGAAGCACATCCTTGCCTCCAATCAATCATTAACGTACGCAGCGGGTGTTGGTGTAAATTGCTTCGGTAACAAGGGCATGCCTACTCCACCCCCTGATGAGCCTCCGTCACCCGCGTCGACTCCAAGCTCTCGATTCGGGTGGGGTAGCATTGGCAATCGCTCAGCATTAGGGACAAGCCCAAACACACCCACCACCCCGTCTACTCCGATGAGTCTTGGGTCCACGACCTCGCTTCCCTGGGAGAAGGATACCTGCACGGGCTCGTGGAACTACAGCCATAAAAGTGGTCGCGAGTGGTGGTTCCACATGGAACGAGAGCGTCCAAAGAACATCGAAATGGTTGATATCAAGCGACTTTTCTGAGCTATAGCCACCCAGCTCTAGGGATAGTCTACGGCAACCTCTCATTCTCCTCAATTTCCTCTTCAGGAGAGGACAAGAAACCAAAAAATAAATCGGCTTGCAAGGAACATGCTGAAGTATGGAAATAACGCGGAAAATGGCGTTACGACATGGCGTACGATATCGTCTCGACACTGCTTGCAGAGTCCAATGTGTCGAGATTGTCCGGTCTAATTTCCAAGTGGCGCCAACAGTTTCACTGGTGCTTTTCTCTCTCTCTCTCTCCCCTTCTCTCTGTCACTATATACCCCGAACATTACATGTTCATTTTGTTTTACTCCAAGGGCAAGACATGGCACGCACCGGACGGTCCATCATCAACCCTTTTTATATCATTTCTTTGTAGATCTGTTTCGCATTGCTTCACCCACTTTCTCACCGGACGGCGCCCGTGACGAACTAGGAATTAATTAGGATTGGATATACAGCCTCTGTTCGACTTTACTTTCTTTTTGTCCATACATCTTTCTGCCATCCTTTAATGCCTGGCCTCTTTCCTGACTTGACTCGTTTACTTGGTCTTGGTCGGCAGATTCATAACCCCTGTACAGTGAACAAGCTAGATACTCTGATGGATGTGGTTTATTTAGTGCATAATGTAATGGATGGATTTTCATTTTCTTTGCTTTCATCTATGGACATCGCTCCTCGACTTGAAGTAATAGATTTTATGACGTCGCTCGTGTTTATGAGCCCTACTACCCATTTGACTAGGTATTGAATGCCTCTCTCGAGGCAGTTTTCACATATATCGAATATAGAGATTAGACCCGGTGTACGTAGATACATGGCTAAATAAAGGGTGGTGAACAAGGATCATTCATTGCAAAAATTCATTCGTAAGGGACGAAATTAGAAATAAGAAATAAACAAAGACACCCCCTCTAGACGTAAATACCCATGTTCGTGTCCTTCTTCTTGGCTTGTACTTCGGCGATGGCATCCACGTAGTTCTCGTGACCGATCTTACTCAGGCCCTTGCGGAGCGCGATCATACCGGCCTCGACGCAGACAGCCTTGAGCTGGGCACCGCCGAACTCGTCCGTGCTGCGAGCCAGTTCGGCCCAGTTCACCGAGTCCTCCACGGTCATCTTGCGGGAGTGGATCCGCAAGATGTTGGCCCGAGCCTCCTCGTTGGGCAGAGGGAACTCGATTTTACGGTCCAGACGGCCGGATCGCAGCAGGGCGGGATCGAGAACATCGACACGGTTGGTGGCGGCGAGCACCTTGATCCGGTCGTCCGAGGCGAATCCGTCCAGCTGGTTCAGGAGCTCCAGCATGGTTCGTTGCACTTCACGGTCACCGGACTTCTCCGAGTCGAAACGTTTCGTACCCACGGCATCCAACTCGTCGATGAAGATGATCGACGGGGCCTTCTCCTTGGCGAGAGCGAAGCAGTCACGAACAAGCTTCGCACCGTCACCGATGAACATCTGCACCAGCTGAGGACCGGCAAGCTTCAGGAAGGTGGCGTTTGTCTCAGCCGCACAGGCACGAGCAAGAAGGGTTTTACCGGTACCGGGGGGGCCGTACATCAAAGCACCTGGGAGAGAACACAATGGTTAGTGGGCCAGGGTTATAACGGGAGGAATCAAGAAGGTCCAACATACCCTTTGGCGCCTTGATACCGATCTTCTTGAAACGCTCCGCCTCCTTCATCGGCCATACGATAGCCTCGACAATCTCCTCGATTTGCTTGTCCAAACCACCGATATCCGTGTACTTCTCCGTGGGCTTCTCGTCGACCTCCATGGCCTTGACTCGGTTATCATATTCGGCCGGTAGTGTATCCAAGACCAGGTATGAGTCCTTGTTCACACCGATGAGATCACCGGGCTTCAGTTTCTCGTGGTCTACGAGACCGATGAGAGGCAGGTAGATGGTTTGGCGAGTCGACGTCTTGATAACTGCAGACTTGCCCACTCGAGTAGCGTCAAGATCGATGTTGGCTCCTTCCTCGGCGGCTTCGGCCTCGACGTCCAGGTCCAGCAGCTCAACGACGTTTCCGACAAGGTATGGTAGTTGTCTAAATAGAGAAAGAAGCAAGATAGTTAGGACAGATGTTCAACCGATAGCAACCGCTTGAGAGGATGGAGCCATCGCCCTCATCTCATCCGAGAGAGAGCAGTGGCAAGGAAGAAGCATCCATCGCGTCAGCATAATCCAATGAAACCAACGTACCTGTTATTCTCGATCTTCTCCTGGTTATCCTTGACCTTTTCTCTCATCGTGCTCTGCTCGTGCGTCAACCGCTGGTATTCGCTCTTCATTATGCGCATCTCGTTCTCAAGCATCCGCCGTCGCTTGACGATGTCGGCTGTGCTGGAGTGAAGGATTTCCTCGTCCAGAAGTTCATCATCCTCGTCCTTCTTCTCGGCATCGTCCATCTCGGCGTCGCCGTCACCTCCGGGCTTCTTGCCGTCGCCATCGCCCTGCTCCTTCTTCTTGTCTCTCTCCTCACGCTCAAGGTCGTCGAGATCCTCTAAGGTGGACATGATGTAGGATGTGGGGAGTAAGGGGAAAGTAAATGAGAATTGGCAGCACGCAGCAGTTCTAGATTGGTGCAGACAGGGGGAAAGAGGGGGTAGAGAGTGATGGGGTATGAGATGGAAAAGGACCTGCCGGGCAGCTGTTGAGCTCCGGCCAAACAACGTCAGCTGTCCTGCCTGCGTCACGTGATGCTACTGACAAATGGTGCTGCTGACTAAGAACTCTTGCACGCAACGAGCTAGTTAAACCACAGTAGATGCGATGCTGATGCTATCTTGGTATCTAGCTACAGATTTACTTCTATAATTTACATGCGCTCTGTCCGTGCTGGCCCGAGCACGTACTTGTACTGCAATCAGTAGCGGAAGTTGGGGTTGTAGCTGAGGGGGGTGTTGTTCCCAAGATTGTCCAAAACTTTTTGGCGACCAAACTCGAGAAGACGGTATTTTGACAAAAAGTCATCGTTGTTGACTGGGAAGATGTTAGCGCGTCTTTCGTTGACAGTCTACGGCAAACAAGGGGATACTGAGGGCACATACTGTATCCACCACACATCCTTCGCTTTCCAGTGAATTCTGAGCGTCCATGAAGCATTCTCCAGTTATCGAAAACTAAATTCTGGGTCAGTCATAATTCGCAGACCTAGGCGGGAAGCCCTTACTCAGTGCCGTTCCAGGCTCAAGTTGTGTCCAAAGCTGCAACTGCTGCCGGTGAATGATGTCGTTGAAGGCACGAGCTGCCTCATACCATTTTATCTGCTCTGCCATATTCCAGTCGGTCTTGGCCGCCCGGTCGTAATTGTTCCATCGTATTTGGAATAGCCTTTGGTGTTGCGGGTGAAGGCCGAAAACGGGGGCCTGGGCTGCAGGCTGTATGGAAATGTCTTCGTTGCCGCTGGCATGGAATGGCTGCGGGACTTCAGCTAGAGTGTGGAAATACTCGCGGTTTTTCACAAACAACAGTTTTGCCGCATGAAATCCATCGACAAGCAAGCTAGCACCCCCATCACCGTCAGTATGAGATAGAAGATGGAAGAGTTGAAGCCGGGCTGGGTCAGTGAAGTATGTGTTATCTGTGTGTGCACCAAGCGCTTCCGTGGTGTAGGCAGTGTCCTTGAAAGTGAGATCAGACGTGAAGTCCCAAAAGCCACCTTGATGATGTGAGCAACAGCGCGAACCGCCAAGAGGGAGTCGGGAGAAATACCGTAGTGAGTTTGTCTGATGAAAGCAATTCTTTCCAGGAGAGACTTGGTGGACTCTGGATCTACAGGTACACCTTGCACAAAGCAGAACCCGTATACTTGCTAAACTATTGTTAAACAACGCTGGGTGGTTTCGGAACAAACTTACGATCGCTTCAAGCCACCGCCACAAAGCCTGATCGTCAGACATAACGTTGGTGTACGAGACAGCTGGAGGGAATGGACTGCTAGGATCATGATGCTTGTGAAACCTGGAGCAAAGAGTTAGCAGAAAAGAAATGGGCGTATGATAGCAAGCATCCAAACTGCTTTACCGAATAGCCATCATGTGCGGTTCCATTGGTTTCTTCTTCCCATTGGCATGGAATCCGAGCCATGAGAAGGGGTAGAAACCACGATGACCGTCCGACCCTTATAAAAAGTCAGCCCTCAAACCTCCAGAATGATAAACAGCGAGCCGGGATCAGTACACTGCAGTTCCACCCCATCCTCAACGTATTCAACCTTTCCTGTCCTTATATTTTTGGGTATCTAGACCCAGGTGACAAAAGGTTAGCTGTTAGCTAATGCGAGCTTTCCAAGGGCATTGTGAATTATCGTACCGAGAAGGTGTCTACAATGCGTTGCCTTGTGTCCGGGTGGATACACTTCGAGCATTGGCAATTTTCCCTAGAACCGAGTAAGGCGGCCGAGAATTAGCGACTTGATAATCGGCCCAAGGGGCGTCAAGCCCAATACCTAAGCCAGAATTTCCCACTGCGACGCTCGTTAGCACACAGCAAATAATTGATGCTCTTAGCAAAAGTAGCCTGCTTACTAAAGACCAATGGGCCCATCGGGTGCCTTTCGCAAGGATACATACTGGTCCTTGTGTTCTTCAGTATCGAAATCAACAAAAGGCTCCAATGCATTTTTCGCGACCATAGGAGTTTCACGAGACGGTCGCTCCGGAATTGATGAGTTCGCCCTCGTCCAAATAACAGCGGGCAATCGGTGGGATGAAAGACGCAGTCGAGGGTTTTGGCAGATAGCCCCCGGGATTATGGAAGAACTTCGCCGGCTTGCAGCCTGTGTAGCGTTAACACCTTTAAACTGGCGCTTAAGTGTGGCCATTGCATCACTTCGGCTGTTACTTACAAGTGAGGATGGCAGAGTGCTAGCATTGATGTCAGAAGCAGCGTCCTAAACGGCGGGATAGGGGACAACTTACCCAGCATTCTTGATGGACGCGAAAGCCCCCGAAATAGGAATGCGACTCATGATCTTGACGGGCCTGCCTGGTTCACGCTGCGCAGTTGTGGCGGGAGAAAGAGAAGAGTATCGCAAGTTATTCCGGCACGTCGGCGGCCTAAGAAGCCTCGGCGTCACGTGCACAGACCATCCTGGCGTATACATTACATTGGAGTGAATTACTGCTAATTAATTGCCCAGCTATAGAGATACACCAATTTTTCTGATCCTCCCAGATACAATGTCTTTGCGTTACATAGGGCAGCAACTTAAAGTTTACTTTGAGACTTGGCCACCTTCATCAGGCAACGACCATTGCTTAGGACCACCTTACCATCACCATTCTTCGTGACAAATCGAATCTCCTCGAGTCCCTTGTTGGATCTGCCAGTTCGCCAGATTTCAGTGACAAGCTTGTCACCGGGCTTGACTGGCGAGGCGAAACGCGCCTGGAACACTTTGAGGTTGTTGGGGTCGCTCGCGCCCAGCTCTTTCAGGATACCCTGCGCAGCCGAATTCCAACTAAACAACCCATGGATAATGATGCCCCCAAAGCCCATCTTGGAACCGGGCTCTGGGGTAGCGTGAAGCGGATTGTAATCCCCATTGAGCCTAGCAAGAACCCGAGATTATTAGTTTTCGATTACTTACCGTGGGAAAGTGACGCGTTGGATAGTTTATCCCTTACCTGTAGAGATGCGCGGTTTCCATATTCGTCTGGACCACATGAACAGCATCGGGCTTTTTGCCCTCGGGAGGAGGATAGCTGACGGTGCTAGGGCCTGGCAGTCAAACGACAATGTGAGCCGAAGCGTCTCAGAAGAGCGGTGGATGATTTCTCTTACCCTTCGGTCCTCCCCAGTTGCCCTGACCAACAAAGAAATTGCTGCTTAGCGTCTTGGAGTACACTTCACCACTATCCTTGTCCACAATCGATTGCTCGGTCTCGACAACCGTGCCCGGTTTGCCTTTGTCATACACGCCAACCACTTTGTTGCGCAGTTCAAATGTACGACCGGCGCTGGTGGACGGCAGAGGTTTCAGGATTGTGAGCTTGCGCTGACCATCCACTACCCTGCTGTAGTCAAATTGAGGCACTCCGGGAATAGGGGTTGCTGTCGAGCGTGCATAGAAATCCGTCACTTCTTGGTCCGTGAGCTTGAATGCTTTACATTAAGACAAACATCAGTGTCTGGATTCGATTGCTCTAGTTGGTGGTTAGAGGTCCATACGGAGAATCAGAGGATATGTTGGGAAGACAGCAAAGTTAGGGTGCAGTTCCTGACATTCGAGCATTAGCGATTCCGCAGATGACAGTGCATTGATTTGCGCATTGGCTTACATAGAGAAAATGCAATTCATCGGCCTTGCAGCCAATGCTGTTAGCAAACAACAGAACATCCCGCTTTTGCCAGGAAACCTCCTGGGCAGGATATTCGAAGCCAACTCCTGGTGCCGACATCAGGCAATTGTTTTCTGAAGCGACGGAAGTACGGTGCCAATGTTAAACAAGGATGGCAACCCCACAAATCAGGCGGTAGGTAGAAAGGCTAGTGGCTGCTGTCAAATAAACAGAGAAAAAGAAACGACGTCCAGACAGACAATCCCAGGTTGATCTACCTCTGAATATTTAATAAGTCGACTTGGTTGCGGGGCCTGCCGTGAGGAACCGAGGCCGAAACGCGCCAAGTCGGCTAACTTTCTGTTATCAATCATATCACAACACTAATCAATCAATGAATCAATCAATCAATCGAGCTCTAGCTAGTCCGAATAGATAAGACAAAAAAGGTATATTTCTCTATATTGTGATATAAACTTCAAGGTCCATGAAAGAGAAAAAAACACAAAAGAGTTCGAACCTTAACAAGATAAGGAGATCGGAGGCAGCTAGACTAAGCGTCGACTCGGGGTATCTACTTGGGGAATTCGAGGAGCTTCATGATCGTCTCTTGTGGAAATCATCTCTCCGTATCGCGCCGAATAATGATGCCCGTTCCCCTGCCTTCTTCCAAAAACAACGCCGTAAAAGCAAATCTCAACAATGAAAAATCGAAAACAAAATAGATACCGGACCATGATTTTGAACCAGAACTTCAACAATATCCCAATGCCCATATTATGGACCCTCATATATGCTATGCTATCCATGCGTAAAATTTTTTGCGGGTACGAAGTTCCGTACGGGGCTATGACACAACATTCGAATATCGTAGACCGCAAGTGGTCAGAAGCGAATGTATTGATTTAACACCTGCCCAAGTCAGTCTTCCAGTTCCAGTGGCGCAGGACGATCTTGTGACTTACATCCTGTAGAAACAGCTGCCCTCCGAGTACCGCACCGGATCGGTGGTCTCGAACTTGTAATCAATGGTGATATCAAGATCACGCTTGTTCTTGTCGTTCGGCTTGTTCTCCAGAACACCAGTCACGGTCTCCTCCTCCTCGACGGTCAGCACATCACGCAAGTAGAAAACGGTCTGCTTCCAGTGCGTGTACTTGGCGTGAGGGCCGGTGGAGAAGAGGATAGGCTTGTGGCAGGCACCGAACTCGATATCAAACCAGGCAATCACGGCGTGAATGAAGTCGCTGCGCTTGGCAGGCAGAGAGAAGGGGACCTTGAAGGCCAAGTCGGCGGTGGTGACGGTGTAGAGATCGAGGGTGATGATGGGGCAGGGGTCAGTAACCAAGGCCTTCATCTCCACGGTGTCGACCAGGGGCTCAGTGAGAGCAATTTCCTTCATGGGGCTGTAGTTGAAGCCGTAAACGTTGTCCCAGACTAAGAAGCGTTAGCGTTGGGAAGACTGGGGATACTAATCAGAGAACCAATGCCACTTACATCCAATCTTGTCGTCCTTGTATTCGCCATCCTCAATTGCAGCCAGGTACATGGTGGCCTTGTCGGGGAAGATCTTGCCGCCGGGCACGAGGTAGCGGTCACGGGCGTAGAGGACGGTGTCCAACATGGACTCATAGAGAAGGAAGTATCCCATCCACTCCGAGATAATGATATCAACCTTGGGGTAGGGGAGAACGACTTCCTCCATCTTTCCTTGGAGGAGGGTAATCTTATCGGCCATCCCGTTGACGGCGACAATCTCGCGGGCCTTTTCGATGATCGAGGACATGTCAACGCCAATCACGTGTTTGGCGCCGGCCTTGACGGCAAACCTACGAAGCAATCCATGTTGTCAGCTCACCGAACCAGAACCCTTTGGTCACATGAGAGCACTCACATGCTGAGAATTCCAGTACCGCATCCAACGTCGAGGACAACCTTATCCTTGAAGATATGACGGTTCTGGTAGATAGCATCGCGGTACGATCGGGTACGGACATCATCTTTCTAGAAATCCCAGGCATATTAGTGAGGTGTCAAGCCAGTTTCAACGGATTGTACTTACAAGCATTTCCTCGTGGATGCCTGAAAGAAGACTCGAGAGTTAGCGGGCTGATAAGCTCAATGGAGATTTGCAGCGATTTGGCGGTAATTACCATGATGATCGTAGCTATGCTTCCAGTCAGCAAGAAGAATGATTTACCCAAGACGGAGTCACCTCTCGACATACCTAGTAAAATAACGGACTTCGGCGTGGTCCATGCCCACCATACGATCCGCGCTGCTGGTCATCGCACCAGCAGGGTCTGCAGATTGTTGTCTCTCGGATCCGTTCATCTTCACGAAAGGTATTATTCGATTAAGAGGAAAGAGAAAAAGAAAGAAACGGTATAAGAATGAGAGAAATGCAAGAGACAACGAAGAAATTTAAGAATAAAAATCTTCGTATGAGATGCAATGAAAGGGAGGAGGAAAGTTAAGCGCCTTTGAGATCCCTTCAAGGACTTTTTTTTTTTTTTTCCTTTGACTTTTGCCCTCATTAGTTAGGCATTCTTCCCCTCCGCACGGCCAGAGACCGCTCGTTTCCAATCTGGGTTTAGCGCATAGATAGAGGCACTAGACCCGACATGGACGTCAGGTGATTCAAATATCGTTATCATCCCAATTAGGGATAGCGTTGCCTCGACACTGCGCCGTACGATGGAAGTATTTGGAGATGCATTATTGAACAGTTGCAGTCCGACTCTCCGTTGCTTAGTCTCTTTGAACTCTCATTCAGAATATCTGATACTACCGTCGCACATCAACTAAGTCTCTTAAATAGTTATGATATCCTGCAATTGAAGAAGACTCCAGTCACAGCGTACAGACGGGGTTTTGCCTCGTGATAGGTTGTCAAAGAAACAGGAACAAAACTACCTACTCTGTACAACGAAGAATGAGAGGACACGAGTATCAGAGACTATTATGTTTCCTCTTGGACCAAGGCATCGATTTGACCTCAGAACCAACCCAACACCCTGAAGCCTACCGGTCTTGCACTTCGCTTGTTCAATTGAGACGGAACGCCAAGATGTTCCCCATCGCGCGGCAATAATGTCAGGTACTCCGCTCGCGCTCCAACGATCGCGCGCCCTCACTCTAGCGTCGGGTCTCTCCTGAAGCTTCCACGTTTCACCGGCGCACGCCACACACAAAGAGCACCATGATTCTCGGACCGACTAGGAGGAAAGCCGGCTGTTCCCTGCTGTTGCTTCTCGTCGCCACATTAATCGGCAGGACAACAGCCTCTTTAGGTGATCACCTCCCGGACTTCAAAGAATGTGTTAAGGTACATACTACCCCGAAGGCTTTCGATGTCCGCTAGCTGACCACCCAACCAGATCTGTCAAACCGAGAATTGTGAAGCTGGCAATTCGGCTCTTCGTAAGTTGTTCTTGTCCGATATTCTACCTACGCGTCATGCCTGGTCGCTAATGCCGTTCTTATCCCGATAGCGATCCATCTACGTTTGATGCTGTGGACCTGCTCTGCCGAATGTGATTATACCTGCCAGCATGTGGTGACGGACCGTCGAGTCGCTCGCGACCCTCCGATGCTCAATCCGGTTGTACAATTCCATGGGAAATGGCCCTTTCGCCGCATTCTGGGCATGCAAGAGCCCTTCTCCGTCCTATTCTCCTTCCTCAACTTCGTTGCGCATTGGCAGGGTATGGGTCGGATTCGCGAAGTCATTCCGTCCTGGCACTCCCTAAGGAGCTACTATCTCGCTTTCGGGTACTGCGGTTTATTGTGCTGGACCTTTAGCACGCTTTTCCACACCCGGGATTTCCCTCTCACGGAGAAACTGGATTATTTCGGAGCCGGGGCCAATGTGATGTATGGCTTTTATCTGGCTATTATTCGGATTTTCCGTCTGGACCAAGAGGAGCCTCGCCATAAACCAACGCTGCGCCGTCTCTTGACTGCGGTCTGCCTGTTCCTCTACACCCTGCACGTGTGCTATCTCAGTTTCTGGTCCTGGGACTATACCTACAATATGATTGCCAACATCGTCGTCGGGATGACCCAGAACGTGTTGTGGACTGCCTGGAGTATCTACCGCTATCGCAAGACCGACAAAATCTGGACCGTGTGGCCCGCGTTGATTGTGGTTTGGATCATCTTGGCTATGAGTTTGGAGCTGCTGGACTTCCCCCCTTGGAGAAGCCTGATTGATGCTCATAGTTTGTGGCACTTGGGAACTGTTGTTCCAACGGCGTGGTGGTATTTGTAAGTCTGGCCGGCACCCTGGCACGGGATGCATCAAAGCGCTAACATGACGGCCCGCAGATTCCTCATCAAAGACGTTCAGAACGACGTGGCTGGGGACCGATTAAAGGCCTAAGCTAACCAGGTGTTTATTTGAATGCTATGAAGCATGAACGGCTTGGGGCCTCGTGAAGGCCCATACTAGCGTTACTAGTTACTAGGGCTACCAGTAGTAGGGAGTCTAATAGTCTATTCGCATTTTCCGCCATTCATCACCTAACAGAGATGGCAAAACTTAAGATGTTGAGTTTATGTATTACTTTAAGGACTTGTTTCTTCACAATTTCTCTTCTTTTTTCTATTTATCGGCCATAAAATGAACTCCGTAAATACTGGATATCGCATTCGATAAACTTTCCCACGACCGGGAAAATTACTTCCACGGCCTTCGGTTGACTTCTAAGGCGGTGTGTCTACCGAGCCTCTCTTGCTGGCTCACCGCTCGGCGACCCTGAGGCAGTACCGCGGAAAGAGCTAGCCGCAGCTGGCCATTCTGTCTCACCTGGTCACGGGCTGTGCCTTGTCCCTTCTGCCCCCCCTTCGAGTTTTTCTACATTCTTCCCTTAGCCTTTCTGCCCTCGTCTTCTTTTTCCCCTACTTCACTTTGTGTCTCTCCTGGGCAATTGCCTCTCACTAGTTTTCATCAGACCTTTCCCCCTCCATCGACACTACTTGCGCCAAAATGGCGTCTCCGGCCATTCAGAAAGCGATCTCCGAGGCGGCGGTGCAGTACATGAAGCCTGAAGGCAAGGTTTTCCAATATGGTACCGCTGGCGTAAGTTGGTCCCTTTTGGCGTTTCATTGTTTATAGTCTGTGGAGCCGAGCTAACTGACATCCTTTTTTTGACAGTTCCGTATGAAGGCGTAAGTCATCTTCCACTTTCCACCCACCCCCCTTTGAAGGATTGATCAGCCCCGCCTCCACAATACCCCGCGATCGCCCTTTTGTTTATACCTCGACCAACGCTTGCTCCCAGTGACCTCCTGAACACGGTCGTCTTCGCCGTGGGCTTGCTTGCTGGACTTCGGTCCAAGAAACTTAGCGGACAATGGATTGGTGTTATGGTGACCGCTAGTCACAACCCGGCCGAGGACAATGGTGTCAAGTTGGTTGACCCCATGGTAAGTTGATCAAACAAAATAATCGTTGGTATGCTCCTCTAACACGCGTGTCTAGGGCGAAATGCTGGAAGTAAGTTCTATCGCGAAGAAACAGACCATGATAGTCGGTCTAACAACATAATGTACAGGCCGAATGGGAGGCATATGCTACTAAGCTGGCCAACGCCCCTCTGGACAAGATTGGCGAGGTGTATGACGAGCTCGTCAAGGAGATCGATGTGAGCATGGAAAACCCTGCCCGTGTTGTCTTCGCCCGGGATACTCGTGCCTCTGGCTCGCGACTTGTGAGCGTTCTCAACTCCGCCCTCACCGCCAGCGAAGTCGAGTTCCTCGATTTGAAATTCATGACTACCCCTCAGCTACACTATGTTGTTCGTTGCAAGAACACTCTGGGGACCCAATACGAGTATGGCGAGCCCACGGAACAGGGCTATTATGAGAAGCTTGCAGAAGCTTTCAAGAGAGTCATGAGGGGCGTTAAGATCAACGGCTCGTTGACCGTGGACTGTGCCAACGGCGTCGGTGGCCCTAAGCTGAGGGAGCTCATCAAATATCTTCCTTCTGCGGAAGAAGGTGGTGTCAACATCAAGGTTGTCAACGACGATGTCATCAACCCTGACAGCCTTAACTTCGATGTAAACGCGTCACCTCCTGCCCATCATGTTGCATTCGCTAACCCTAGTTAGTGCGGAGCCGACTATGTCAAGACTAAGCAGCGCGCCCCGCCCTCTTCTAAGGCGGCTGCCCTTGACCGCTGCGCATCGCTGGATGGTGATGCCGACCGTCTCATTTACTATTACGTCGACGAGAGCAACGTGTTCCGCCTTCTGGACGGTGACCGCATCGCCACGCTTGCTGCTTCTTTCATCGGCGACCTTGCCCGCAACGCCGGAATCGCCCAGAAGCTCAAGATTGGCGTCATTCAGACCGCCTATGCTAACGGAGCCAGCACGGACTACATCGAGAAGGTTCTCAAGCTTCCCTCCGTTTGCACCAACACTGGTGTCAAACATCTCCACCACGCCGCCCTGCGCTTTGACGTCGGTGTCTACTTCGAAGCCAATGGACACGGAACCATTACTTTCTCCGAGAATGCTTTGAAGACCATTAAGAGCACTGAGCCTCAGTCTCCGGCTCAGCAGCGTGCCCTCGAGAGCCTGCAGGCCCTTACTGATCTGATCAACCAGGCCGTTGGCGACGCTCTCTCGGATATGCTTCTTGTCGAGACCATCCTTGCCCATAAGAGCTGGAGTCCGAAAGAGTGGCTGGCCACTTACACTGATCTGCCCTCGCGTCTTGTGCGGGTGGAGGTCGCGGACCGTTCCATCTTCCATGCCTACGATGCGGAGCGCAAGCTTTCATCCCCCCCTGGACTCCAGGCCAAGATTGAATCTTTGCAGTCTCGTTACAACAAGGGCAGAAGCTTTGCTCGTGCAAGTGGCACTGAGGATGCCGTGCGTGTCTACGCCGAAGCCGCCAGCCGATCTGAGGCCGACGACCTTGCTACCCGTGTGGCCAATGCCGTTCGCGAGGCGGGTTCGGCCTAAGAGCTTTTTCAACTGCTCCATAATCTATCACGGTGTATTGGGGTTAAACACTGCTACGTCCGCTATGCCTATAGGACTGCACGGTGGAAGGAAAGGACAAAAATACTTCAGGGGAAGTTGAGTTGGAGGAATCCTCAAACTCGATTTTTCTCGATTGAATCACATCCAGTCATAGAATTACGGGATCTGTTATGAAACGAATTGATGAGTTTAGCTTAGTTATTCTAAGACATTAAATTATGCCCATATTAAATTACTTGATTTTCCCAGTTATAAATAGTATGGACCTGTGGAAAGATCGGGTGCCGCAGAATCGTTGATCCGTCGCTCCTCCGCGGCTTTGCTCCGCCGATCTACTTTTTCGGCCCAGAAAAAAAAAAGTCCGTTCCTGCTCCGAGCAACAGAGAAGAATTTCTCTACGGGCAACCATTTTCCCGTTCTCATTTTCCCTTCGCAGATTTCACAATGGCCAAGGCTCGTACTAAGAAGCGCACTCATGTTAGAGCGCAAAATGCTTCCGCCAGCGCCAGAGGCGGCGGCGCATCCATGAGCAAAACTCCGAAGTCTATGGTCATCCGAGTCGGCGCCTCTCAAGTTGGCTCCAGTGTCAGTCAACTGGTCAAGGATGTTCGTTTGATGATGGAACCCGATACCGCCGTGCGATTGAAGGTATGTGCATGATACCCCACAGATGGATTAGCTTTAGTGTCCACCATACTGATTCGACCAGGAACGCAAATCGAATCGACTGAGGGATTACACCTCCATGACCGGTCCTCTCGGCGTCACGCATCTCATGCTCTTCTCGAAGTCGGCGACCGGCAACACCAATCTGCGTATGGCTCTCACGCCGCGCGGCCCGACCCTCCATTTCAAAGTCGAGAATTACTCGCTCTGCAGGGACGTCGAGAAGGCCATGAAGCGTCCCCGAGGCGGCGGCCAGGATCACAAGACCCCGCCTCTGCTGGTGATGAACAACTTCAATTCCCCTAATGCCGATGAGAACTCCCGCGTCCCGAAACGTCTCGAGTCCCTCACCACCACGGTCTTCCAGTCGCTCTTCCCGCCTATCAACCCCCAAGCTACCCCCCTCTCTTCTATCCGCCGTGTCATGCTCCTGAACCGTGAACTTACTCCCGAATCGGAAAAGAAAGAAGACCAAGAAGAAGACTCGTACGTCCTAAATCTACGACACTACGCGATCGCGACGAAAAAGACCGGCATCTCGAAACGAATCCGTCGTCTAGATCCGAAGGAGGTCCGCAACAAGGAAAAAAAGGGCGCCGCTGTGCCCAACCTGGGGAAGTTGGAGGATGCCGCTGACTACCTGCTCGATCCCTCTGCGGCGGGCTATACCTCTGCCAGCGAGACCGAGATGGACACCGACGCGGAGGTCGAGATCGCCGAGAGCACCACGAAAAAGATCTTGAACAAGCGCGAGCTGCAACGCATGAAGGCCGGTGAGAAGGATAAGGCCCAGAAGAAGCTGAACGCTACCCCGGGCGTGGAGAAACGCGCGGTGAAACTGGTGGAGCTGGGCCCGCGTCTACGGCTGCGTCTCATGAAGGTCGAGGAGGGCATGTGTGAGGGTAAGGTGATGTGGCACGACTTCATCAGCAAGACTGAAGAGGAAGCCAACGCGCAGGAGAAGAACTGGGACAAGAAGAAGAAGGAGAAGGAGGCGAGAAAGAAGCTGCAGAAGGAAAACGTGGAAAAGAAGAAGCAAGAAAAGGCAAAGGCTCGAGCTGATGGCAAGGGTGGAGACGATGAGGACGAGGATGATGAGGAGGATTGGCTCAGCGACGATTTTGACGAGGACGAGGGTATGGATGACAAAGAGGCCAACGACGACTTGTCGGATGAGGATGAGTCCATGGAGGAATAGATTGGCCGTTTAAAATGAATGCTTAACCGCAAAGACCCCCAAAATTATACCCGCCATAATCTGCTAGGAAGATTTACTACAGAAATCCAAAAGCGATGACCAAATAGACACCTTTTCCAATGAAGTTTTCATGTCATGAATTCATAATCCAATAACTATGCATTAAACTACGTGCAGTCTCCATAATCACCGCTTCAGCTTCTCATCCACAATCCGAGACACCATCTTTTCCAGGATGCTCATATCTCCACCGGCCGTGCCGGCAAAGTACCCCTCGACGCTCTTCTCCACGTACTTGCCCACAATGTCAATCTCGACATTCACATCATCCCCGGGCTTCTTAGCCGCGGTGACGATCTTCTCCTGGGTATAGGCGATCAGCATCACCTCGAAGTACCCCTCAGGGCCATCCACCACCTTGGTGACGGTCAGACTGGCGCCGTCGAGTGTCACGTAGCCCTTCTCGACGATATACCGCATGACCTGCAGCTCGCGCGGCTGCAAGCGGAAGACCAGTGCATTCTCGTCCGGCGTCACGGAGAGCACTGTGGCGATGGTGTCGACGTGGCCCTGCACGAAATGTCCGCCCATGCGGGTCTCGCCGAGCACGGCGCGCTCGAGGTTCACGCGGGAGTTCGTCCGGAGGGATCCGAGATTCGTGCGGCGGAGGGTTTCGGGTGCGACGCCGACCTTGAACCAGGTCTTGTCGGTGTCGAAGGTCGTGACCGTGAGGCAGGTTCCTTGAGGGGAGAGGATGTTTGAGTTTTTGTTGCGATTCAATTCATGATGGCTTATCTTTCTGCATCATCTTGAGTCTGTCATGATTCCGCCGCTCTCATTCATCTCGGCTCACTCCACGCATGACAGTGGGGAAGAGCCACGGCAGGATAGAGGACAGAAGGAGGAACAAAGTCAATCAAATCATTGTCTGCATACCATTTACACTAATGCTATCTCCCAGGTGCACATCCGTGAGGATTTCCGCGCAGTTGGAGATGGTCAACGAGGTGCCCCCACCCCCACTAGACGAGGTATCGAGGGGTTCCAGGGACGACACGGCTGGAAGCAGCTCGATCAGCGCGAGTCCATGCATTTTTCAATTCCGAGCGGGGGAGGAACACTCACTCCCGATCGTTTCAACCAAACCGGTAAACATGATGGCGAGCCGAAGGATTATATGGGGGGAAAAGCGGAAGTGGAGGGGAATGGGAAGGGGGAAGAGCGGGAAAGCGATGGATGCACCTCGGCTTTGGCGTGGGAACTTCCGTCGGCGATCGTGCCGAATGACGGGACCTACTTGAGTAACTCTCTTCCTTCTTGTATATACTTTCATATCTCCCCCCTTGAATATCTCGATAATTGGTCTGTGTCATTTTCGATTCAATTTCAATTTGCTCTTTTGTTTTCAATGTCTAGATTGCGATCACAATGCATGGCCTTTTGAAGTTGCACCGCGCCGTCGTCGCTCGTCCGTCGGCTCTCCACGTTGTCCGTCGCACGCCGCAATGGCGCTCCTACTCCACGCCGTCGAATGACACCCTCCCCTTATCGGGTGTCCGAGTTCTGGATATGACGAGAGTATTGGCTGGTGTATGTGACCTGGACCTGATTCACTGGGCGGTGTTTCCATACTGATTGCTTGCTGCACTATAGCCATACTGTACTCAGATTCTCGGAGACCTGGGGTATGCATCGCAATTTACTAGCCTTTTCTCCGATCCATGCTGACTTTGATGGTTTGGCGAATAGAGCAGATGTAATCAAAGTGGAACATCCCACTCGCGGTGACGATACTCGCGCCTGGGGTCCGCCCTATGCAAAGTACGAGGACGGGTCGGAGGGTCCTGGAGAGAGTGCTTATTATCTTGCGGTATGGGAAACTCTACTAGACATTGTACGGGCCCTCGTACGGATGGAATACTGATAGATTCGCACAGGTCAACCGCAACAAGAAATCCATCGGCCTCTCCTTTGCGCACAAGTCCGGAGTCGAGATTCTACACCGGCTGGTGAAAGAATGCGACGTGCTGGTTGAAAACTACCTGCCCGGGGGACTCAAGAAATACAATATGGACTACGAGACGCTTCGGGAAATCAACCCCAAGCTTATATATGCCAGTATCACCGGCTACGGACAGACGGGTCCGTACAGCAACCGCGCCGGTTACGACGTCATGGTGGAAGCTGAGATGGGTCTGATGCACATCACCGGCGCCCGAGACGGCGACCCAGTCAAGGTGGGTGTCGCAGTCACGGATTTGACGACGGGACTGTATACATCCAATGCGATCATGGCGGCCTTGTTGGCCCGAGTCAGGACTGGAAAGGGACAGCACATTGATGCTTGTTTGAGCGACTGTCAGGTTGCAACCTTGGCGAATATCGCCAGTTCCGCTCTGATCAGCGGGCAGAAGGATTCAGGGAGGTGGGGGACCGCGCATCGTAAGTATTTCCGGTCTTGAAGGCAAAACAACATCTTGTATTAACCCATTTCAGCATCCATCGTCCCCTATCGAAGCTACCAAACCCGCGATGGAGACATCCTCTTCGGAGGAGGAAATGATAAGCTCTTTGGGGTGCTGTGCGATCGTCTTGGATTTCCCGAGTGGAAGACCGACCCTCGCTTCATCACCAACAGCGACCGAGTCAAACATCGAAAAGAAATTGACGGCCTCATCGAGGAGAGGGCCAAGCAGAAGACTACTCAGGAGTGGTTGGAGATTCTGGAAGGCAGCGGGATGCCCTATGCCGCGGTCAACGATATCCAAGGAACATTGAACCATTCTCATGGTGAGTTCCCCCAAGATATATTTTCGGGTCTGTTTATCGATTTGATTGCATAAACGCTAACTGCCAATAGTCCAAGCTCGGGGAATGGTTACTGAAGTGGATCACCCGGCGTGCGGTCCCATTAAGTTGGTGAACACGCCTATCAAATATTCCCATGCGACACCTGGCATCCGAACACCACCCCCAACCCTAGGACAGCATACGGATGAGGTTCTCGGAGAGTTACTTCAGTATGAAGCAGAGGAGATTGCCCAATTGAAGCAGGAGGGGGTGCTGTCGTAGAATGCGACATGATAAGTGACGTGGAAATGTGAGGCACGAGTGAGTGCGTGAAGAAATTCACAGGGGCTCAATAAAAACCTACCATATAGAGAAGAACTCAAAGAAAATAGACATGAAAGTAAATATTTACATGAAGAATCCGTAATTCTCTAGAGAATCCCCAGTCAGCAATGGAGACCATCACGTGACAATATATAACGATCTTTGGAACGGTTCACCACCAAATGGCCTCCCTTGGATAGCGACAGCAACAACTAAAACCCTGAGCTGTTCTCTCACTTCGCTTTCACCACCCTACCCTACTAAACACCCATAGACAGGGCGTGTGTGTTTCTTTGGCCTGGTCGGGGGCATGTCATCACAACATGGGGTTTCTTCCTCCCTGGCGTCTATAGAGACAACGCCACCAACCACCTCCGGTTCGCAACCGTCAGCTCCCAGTATTGACTCGTCCTCGGTGTCCATTTCATCGCATCCCGAACAGCGGCCATCCAGTACCTCTTCCTTTACCTCCAGTAAAGTGCACATTCCGAAACTATCCGCGGCGACCACCGAGCTCCTTGCCCGGGTCACCGGCAATATCAGACGAGAACAGCAGCAACAGCAACCGCCGCCGCCACCGCAGCAGCAGCAGCAGCAGCAGCAGCAGCAGCCAGGAAATGAAACAAATCCCACCAGGTGGACGAATCCATCCTTTAGTCAAGGTTTACACAATTTTCGCTGTATGCAGCCCACAGGCAAGATGAGAGCTTCTTCCACCATTATAGAACTGCCAACGGCGCCGTTCGTCTATTCAAGTCATATGACCTCGAAGACACCTGCGGCTTCCCAACAGGCGCCGAGCTCAAGTGCATCGACGCTTCCCCAGGAGAATCATGGAAACCCAGCACATCTCATGGCCATTGCTCCGAGACCTTCAGATCCGCCTTCTGCTGGTCCGGTGGCCGCAACTCAACCCCCAGTGCCGTCGCAGGTGCAGTCGCAGCCCATGGCTCCCCCGGCTTCAATGGGTCCAGCGATCCCGGCAGCCAAAGCTACGTCCTCGCCTACCTCCTTAACTAAACCAAAAAGACCAGTAGCCGACTCTCGTCAACGCAAGAGTACGACATCTATAAACGGGGCGAAGCGCACCAAAAAGCGCAGACGAGGCAACCGCAGTGATGGTGAAGATATCATCCGAGCCGGCGACTCCAGCTCGGATGAATCTGATATAACACCGGCAGCTACGCAGACGAAATCCGGTCGACAGGTGAACCGTCCCTCGCTCTATGTTCCTGCGGCGCCCTCGCCGGTGGCGGCCAAAGCAAGTAGTGGTTCGCTAGGCACTCCGAGTTCAACCGCGGCTGCTCGCAAACGCAAACGTGTGAGTCAAAAGGGAAAGGACATCAATATCAATTGTATACATTGCCAGCGAGGCCATAGTCCGATGAGCAATGTGATCGTTTTCTGTGATCTATGCAACCAGGCGTGGCATCAGCTCTGCCATGATCCTCCGATCGAAACCGAGTTCATCACGGTCAAGGAGAAGGAATGGCACTGTGGGGGGTGCAAGCCCGTCAAGATCACCATCACGCAGCCTACCGTGGTCCGCAGCAACCCTAGGCTCAGCGGGCCGTCGTTCAGTCTTCAAAATCATCTTCCGCTGGCAGTGCCCAGGTTAGAAACCGGTAGCGAAGGGTTTTCCCTAGATGAACGACGCAACTTCTTGTCGACTTTTTCGCATGCTGCTCTTGTCGAGCTGCTCGTTACCCTATCCAGTACTTATCCGACCATCCCAATGTTCCCAGAGGACCTAAAAAGTCTACCGTCGTCCAAGTTTTCCTTCCAACCTAATCTATCTACCGCCTCTACACCCCTCTCTGTTCCGTCGACCACTCCGGCCCTCACTAACTCGGCGAACTCGGCGTCAGGAGCTGGAGAAGACCTTGTTCCACCCATTTCTGGCACTCGCAAAGGGCACATCGATGAGTCTGCGGACGATGACTCAGAGAACGAGGTCGAGGAACATCGCCTGTATCCGCGCGCCGGGAATGGTGTTCGTCTCCCAATGAACGTGGACGATCTCGACATTATGCGCGAAGATCCTCATTGTGCCACATTCAGCTACATGCTGCATGGTCCCGCCCAGGCCCAAGCCAAAGTGAATGGGGTCGCACCTACCTGGGGCAGCTGACCTCTCTCTTTTCTCTCTTATGATTCTTGGAGAAGTGTTTCATTCTTAGTTTATCAGACGACTATCTTCTAGAGGTTTGCGGCGTTGATACAGCGGGAGTTTATGATGATGCGGTTTCTCTTGCCTCCCCCTGCTTTGGATCCTTTATTTAGATTCTGACACCCATGTGTATTAGAGAAATTTTCTTCGGTCGTCTCTTGTTTCCCGTAGTGCATCGCCTTCGACATAATTAGATGTTTCATTCATTGGGACAAGACCAGACTTACGTTGAATTGAAGTCATTGGATTGAGCTGGCTTTCACAACAACAATGACTTCGGAATCATCTTCATAGCACCTCTTATGACAACGCTCCTGCTCACTCGGGCAGGCGGGTCCCATACGACATCCGCAACTCGCGTTCGTGGCCTGGGCATGGCGCAGCCGGCATCATCCATACAGGAAAACAACAACATTTCGTCGGGATCACCGTCTTTCAGGGCTAGACCAGATGACGATGACGATGACAAGCCAATGGCCGCGCGGGCTCGTGTTGAGACGCACTCGTACAGCAATGTCGCGTCCGCCTGCGTGCCTGCCTGATAAATACCCACCCCCAAGCAAGCCAGCGACAATGGATCCAGCGACCCCCACGGCGTAAACGCATTTCCTACATTATTCACCCCAATGACGGCGTCCAGGTTGTACTTGCGGATCATCTCGGGGACTGGCAGGGTACCCCTTGGCTGGCCATTGCTTGGGCCATCATCCCCACTGCCAGGCTGCGCAGCCATATACAGATCGCTCGTCGGCAACCCAACAAAGCTCACGGGGAGATTATCCCGACGGATCTCATCCGCCAGCCGGCTCCATTCCTCATGGTTAAACAGCGTCAGTCGCGTACAGTGGCCCAACATCACCCGTTTGTCGGTCGTGTTGGCCGTCCACCGATTCCTCCGCAGCACGTCCAAGACATACCATACGAGGGCTTCCCTCTCGCGATCTAGATTATAATCCAGATGGAAATCCACATGCTTGCCCAACCGCAAGGCCTGCGTCACCGCCCAGTCGATATTCCGCCTCGCCGCCTCCCCACTCGCCTCCACGTACGGCGTCGTCCCGATAACATCCACGCAGGGATACCGGGCCAGCGCCTCCTCCAGCAGCGCACGATTCGCGTCGCCGACCTCGCCAGAGAAGATCGGATCCTGGGCGAAGCAGACTAGCTGGATCCGACAGAATTCTTCCCAGCGCGTTTGCAACTCCTTCCCGGCGTCCAGACAGGCCAGCCCCACCGTCTGATCAACTTCCACGAAAGCTCTCATGGCCGTGACACCCGAGGCGATGGACTCGGCGAGCAACCATTCGCCGCGTCGCAACAGGTCTGCGCGACGGAACTGGGCCTTTGCTTGCGCGGTCAGGGACAGGGCTTCTTGGAATGAGCCGGTGGAGGGGAGATGCGATCCAGAGGGGAGGGCGCTATGCACAAAGGCTTTGTCGAGGTGGATGTGGGGATGTGTTAGGGCAGGGAGGGCCAGGGGGTCCCCCGTGCTGTTATCCTCGGTGGAGGGAGTGATCGAGATGGAATGGTTGGGATCGAAGGTGATTTCCCCGGCGAGAGTATTGGGATCGGGGTCCGAGGAAGCCAGTCGGGCCCTAGGGATGGATTTCACGGGGACCATAATAGGCCGAGGCATGTTGATGGTGTTATGGTGATATGGTGTTTTGACACTCTAGAGTTATAACTTAGTTATATAGTGTTGAAGTGGAATGGTAGATGCAGGATGCAGGTACCAACTCCGCATGTTTACCCCGCCCCACTCGCTTTATATATACCCTTCCTAACTCCCGGCTCATCCATCCGGAGTAGTATTTCCTACTCTCGACCCAATAGTACCACCACCACCATGTCCAATTCCAATTCCAATTCCAAATCTCCTCCCGTCCAACCCTCCCACTACGACGCCTTCACCCTCGACCTCGTCCTCCGCGTCCTCAACCGCACCCTCCTCCACCCCTGGGTCGCATGGGTCCTCGTCCTCTGTCTCCGCGCCCAAGTAACACCCTACAGCGACCCAGCCTTCCTTATCGCCACAGGCTACGCAACCATCTTAACCGTTCTGGCCGCCCTGCGGTTCCTCAACCGGCGCGTCGCGTACGGGGGCCCGCGGTCCGTGGATCCGAGTCATGAGGTCGTCATCGTGACGGGCGGCGCGAGCGGGTTGGGATTGCTCATTGCGAGGGTGTATGGCCTGAGAGGCGCAAGTGTGGCCGTGCTGGATGTTAAGGATGAAGAGGAGTTGAAGGGGTGTTTGGGGGAGTGTCCTGGGGTGGATTATTATCGGTGTGATATTGGGGTGAGGGAGGAAGTGGAGAGGGTCGCGAGGAGGATTGAGAAGGAGGTATGTTTCTTTTTATCTCATTTCCTATGGGTTTTATTTTTTATTTTTTATTTTTTATTTTTTATTTTTTATTTTTTATTTTTTATTTTTTATTTTTTATTTTTTATTTTTTATTTTTTATTTTTTATTTTTTATTTTTTATTTTTTATTTTTTATTTTTTTTCTGAACTTGTGGGACTATCACGGTTTTACAATTACGGGACATTTTCTACCCAGATTGGAAGAGATATTTGAATTGATCACATGCTAACGACTTCTGAATTCTAGCTGGGTCCGCCTACGGTGCTGGTCAATTGCGCCGCTGCTCGGATCAATGGCCAGTCGCTGCTGTCCCTGTCGGCCGATGCCTTCCAGAAAACCATCCAGACGAATCTGCTCGCCGTGTTCCATACCTGCCAAGTGTTTGTGCCGCGCATGTTGGCTAACCCGAACGGGGGTACCGTGGTGAACGTTAGCTCCGTGCTCGGTCAGCTGTGTGCCGCCGGTCTCGCCGATTATTCCGTCAGCAAGGCCGGTCTGAGCGCGCTCCACCGTACACTGGAGGCCGAGCTTCGTAAGTCGGGAAACGATGACAAGGTGAAATTAGTCCTGGTCGAGACCGGGCAGCTGGCCACCCCGCTGTTTGAGTCCGTCCAAACACCGAATAGTTTCTTTGCGCCCGTGCTCGAACCGGTGCACGTTGCCCAGGAGATCGTCTCGGCAATCGACAAAGGCCATGCGGGCGTGATTCGGATGCCCACCTTCGCTTCGCTGGTCAATTGGTATGCGGTGTTGCCGGCTAGTCTGCAGCGATTTGCCCGGTTTCTGAGCGGCATCGACCATGCGGTTGCACAAGGGTCGTCCGTTGCAGGGTCAGTCAAATAGTTGGATTCAAAACTTTTCATGCGGGACCTGCCCCCCATGTGTGTGGAACGTATCGGCGTGACGTATGTATATATGTGAAATGCCTTGGAACGACTTCGCTTTACCTCTTTCTTCGATCGTTCCTTGAATGTAGGATCGTGCCTTTGCGGTAACCTTGATCCAGAGACAAGGCAGAAAGGCATTGGCCCCCGGAAGGTCGGCCTTCTATTTCTCGTTGGTCAAGATCATCTTCTCACGCTCGCTGCGTCTCTTCGGCAGAGCATCCTTCCTAGTATGCTTCCGCACGTTCTCCTCACGTCTCTTAATAGCCGCAAGCTCCTCTCTCTTGATCTCACGGGCCTTCTTGATGGTTCGGGGCACATGACGCTGGCGGCGGATCCTCTTGATCTCGGGCATGTGCGAGTATCTCTGAATCAAAGCCTGGTCATATTCGAGCTTCGATCGTTGACGGGCACTCTTGATTCCACTGCGATCCGAGGCGTTGGTGCGCCACAGTCGGATGTTGCCATCGTCCGAGCCGGAGAGGATGTATTTGTTATCGGGCGTGAATTTGGCGGAGAAAACACTGCATCAGACGGGTCAGAATGATCAATTGTGTTCGGAGAGAATCCAAGTGGGGTACATACCGCTGCATTCTCTGGGTGTGGTAAATATCACGCGAGTGGCCTTCAGCCCGCTTCCACAGACGGACGGTTCGATCGTACGACGCCGTCACGAGGTCCTCGCCAGTTGGGCTGAATTCAACATCCATGACCGCCGCAACGTGGTCCTTCAGCACATTCAGGGCGCGGTCCATCTTTCGCATATCGAAAATGTAGGCGTTGTGGTCTTCGTTGGCCACAGCGAAGTTGAATGCCTCCATAGGGTTCCACGAAATCGCGTTCGAGGCCAGCTTGAGGACAACCTTGCTGAGCGGGGAGTTGGTTCGGAGATCGTACATAATGACAGAGCGGTCCATGCCGGTGGACGCCAAAATCGAGGTTTCCGTTTGGTTGAAGGCAACCGAGGTGATCGTGTCGATGTTAGTGGGCCAGTGAAGGACCTGCGAGGGCGTTGAGGAAGGCCGAGAAAGATCGTAGATGGAGATCTGCGAAGACGCGACAGCGAAAGAAGGGTGGTTCCTGTGGTGTGTAACACTGGTGAAAGGGCCCTGGCCCAGATACGTCGCCCGTGGGGGAGAGTCCGAGGCAGAATTGTACGGATCCCACAGCTTGACGGTCTTATCACTTGCACAAGACAGTAGTTTGCGCTCGGGCGTCCAACAGACGCCCTTGACGATATTTTCGTGGGCCTGTGTGTTCCAGACCTCGCCCTTGGTGGTCAAATCCCAGACCTTGACCACGCCGTCGCCACTACCACTTGCGAATCGTTCAAGAGAGCCGGGATCTTTGGCCATGGAGTACACTCCGTCCACATGACCGTCGCCCATCTGTCCCAGGAAGGGCGCAGCGAAGAGACGCTCCAGCTTAGTAGCATTGAGCGCTCGCGTGTACTCTCGAGCCCGTTCGAAAGGATGCTGGGCAGGGTCCAGGTTTCGGGGCTGTCGAACGACAGAAGACCCCGGGGCCTGCTGCGAGGACGTAGGACGAGAAAGAGCTTTGATTTTCTATGACTCACGTTAGCGAGGACCAAGAAATACTCAGATTATCTTTAAAATCTGAAAGATTTAAGGTCACTTACCATGACGCCCTTAACTTCTGGTTATGGAAGATGAAGAAATCCAGTATTGTTTTGGAGCGCAACAACTTTTTTTTTTCTTTTTTTCTTTTTTAAGGCGGATAGTCTCCTGCGCTGGTTGGTCCGCCAAGCCGCGGGCGGTGAGCGCGGCAGCTCCAGCAGTGACGATTCGGCGTCCCCCATCTGCCTTGTCATCACCTCTTCCAGCTCATTCCGCCGCCATTCCTCGACCACTGCCATCCCATCCTGCTCGCAATTTCCTCGAGAAGATACCTGCACGCATCCCAGTACCTCACACATACTCATACAGCTATGGCGCCCTCCTCGATAACCGCTCAGCGGATCGAGGAAGCTCGGACTCTCTCCAAGACCAACCCTTCGAAGGCTGAGAGTACCTTGAAAGAGATCCTAGCCCAAGGGCCTGGGTCGACGGAAGCTTCCTCTCGCGATTATGAGAATGCTCTGGTCGGATTGGGAGAGCTGTACAGAGATGGAAAGAAGCCGCAGGAGATCGCGGACCTCATCAAGACCAGCCGGGACTCGTTCTCGTCATTTGCCAAAGCCAAGACTGCAAAGCTAGGTACGTTAAACTGAAGATGGGCGGACGAAGTCGCCTGTGGGATAAATGGAACTCGAACTGACTGTTTTGCTTTTCCCTCAAAGTCCGCCAGCTACTGGACTTGTTCAGCGAGATCCCGAACACGCTCGATATCCAGACCTCCGTCATTCAATCCTGCATCGACTGGGCCATCGCCGAACGCCGGTCTTTCCTTCGACAGAACCTCCAGACCCGTCTGGTGGCCATTTACATGCAGAAACAATCCTACTATGATGCTCTCAACCTGATCGGACCCCTCCTTCGCGAGCTGAAGCGATTGGATGATAAGCTCATGCTGGTCGAAGTGCAGCTGCTGGAGTCGCGGGTGTATCACGCCCTGGGTAACCAGGCCAAGGCGCGTGCCGCCTTGACAGCTTCCCGGACATCGGCCGCGTCCGTCTACACACCTCCCAATCTGCAAGCCGGCCTGGACATGCAAAGTGGTATGCTTCATGCGGAGGACAAGGACTTCAACACCTCGTACTCCTACTTCATCGAAGCTTTGGAGGGCTACAGCTCGTTGGACGAGGGCGAGAAGGCGACCGCAACTCTCCAGTACATGCTACTCTGTAAGATTATGCTGAACCTGGTGGATGACGTGACGAGCCTGCTGGGCTCCAAGCAAGCCCAGAAGTACGCCAGCCCTCGGCTCGAGGCCATGAAGGCCGTGGCACGTGCTCACGCCAACCGGTCGCTGGAAGAGTACGAGAAGGCTCTCTCGGACTACCGGTTTGAGCTGGGCAGCGATGCGTTCATCCGCAACCACCTCCGCCGACTCTACGATGCCATGTTGGAGCAGAACCTGATCAAAGTGATCGAGCCCTTTAGCCGAGTGGAGTTGGACCACATTTCCAAGATGGTCGGGCTGGACACGCAGCAGGTGGAGCGCAAACTTTCTCAGATGATTCTGGACAAGGTGATTATTGGTGTGTTAGATCAAGGCTCGGGATGTCTGATCGTCTACGACGAGACGGAGCGAGACCAGGCCTACGACGCTGCCTTGGATACTGTAGCCAAGCTTAGCAACGTGGTGGAGGAACTGTACACAAATCAGGCCTCGCTCTTGGAGTGAGGTAGGGGAAGAGATGATGGCAGAGAAATGATATAGTATTTATTGCAGACATGAAATGGAATAATCGATCGCAGCAAGCACACCCATAGTGTAGTGTATGTCCAGAGTCGAAAGAGGGAAGAGGGAACAACTGGTTACCAAAAACGGACTAGCGCCCATCGCGGCAAAAGAATCGCGACGCCGCGAAAGAAACGACCTCCTTCCGACCCATCGGAAGCTGCTATTCCATCGTGTACCCCCACACCGTTTTTGTCCCAACTCCTAATCAATCCGATCCGATCCCTTGCGGGTTCTGTCCCTGTCTGCTAAGTCACGAGCACCATGAATGCCCCAATGCCGCCCAGCTACGGCCGTGGCTTCCCGCAGGCCTCCCAACGTTCTCCTGCCACGCCTCGTCGCGGACCTCCAGGACCAGGTCGGTTCTTCGGCCCCCCCTTGATCCGCCGTGCCCTTTTCCTTCTCACGCTAACTTCTAATTTCTTCTCCTCTGCCCAGGCCCTGCAATGCCGGTTCCCATGGCTCAACATCCCGTCCCCCCTCAGTATCTGCCTCCGCAGCGCAACATGGCACATCCCAACGACGCCGCTCTCCGTCGCAGCCGCAAGCCCACGGATAAGAACATCCCCGACGGCATTGAAGATGTGATCGTCGGCGAGGGCGTGCAGCAGTACAAGAGCCTGCGCGACCTGGAGAAACGGCTGGATGCCGCCATCGTTCGCAAGAGGTTAGACATCCAGGATTCGATTAGCAAGACCGTCAAGAAATACCGCACCATGCGTATCTGGATCTCGAATACCGTTGAGTCTCAGCCCTGGCAGGACGCCAGCGGACAGAACGGCTCGGCGCCCGGCAGTAACCCCGGCTCGGGACGATACAAGGTCCGCATTGAGGGACGTCTGCTGGACGACAACAGTGATCCTACGGCGGCGGAGGACAGTGACGACGAAGGTGCCGCCGACGAATCGAATGGAGATTCTATGGAGCAGGATTCTTCGGAGGCCAAGAAATCTGGTGCCAAGCAGCAAAAGCAGCGCTTCTCGCACTTCTTTAAGACCATCTCCGTGGACTTCGACAAGGCCTCCACGGTCAACCCGGAGGAGGTCAAACCCGTCAGCTGGGTCAAGCCTCAGCTGCCTCCCAACGCCGCCTCGCTTCCCCCGTCAGCGGACTTCGATTCGCTGCAGTTTTCTCGCGCGTCCCAGGAAAACTTGAACATTACGATCAGCCTGGTCCACGATGAGGTGCCCGAGCGATACAAGCTGAGCAAGGAGCTGGCGGAGGTCCTCGACGTGGAAGAAGAGACTCGCAGTGGCATCGTACTTGGCATTTGGGATTATATCCGTGCCATGGGTCTCCAGGAAGATGAGGAGAAGCGCCTTGTCCGTTGTGATCATCGTTTACGAGCGGTTCGTTCCCCCTTGCCTTCTGTTCCGGTTCTCCGATTGCTTGCATCCCTAACAATTTCTATCCTGCAGATCTTCGGCAGAGACCAGATGTTCTTCCCTCAGATCCCCGAAAGCATCGGTCCTCACACCAGCCCTATCGACCCCGTCAAACTGCCCTACACCATCCGCGTCGACGAGGAATTTCACAAGAACCCCACCGCCACCGTCTACGACATCCAAGTCGCCGTGGAAGACCCTCTTCGCGCCAAGATGCTCGCTCTGACGAAAAACCACCAATACTCCATGGCCATGCAGAAGATCACCTCCCTGGACGACCAAGTCGCCCTCATCGTCCAGACCTTGACGCATTCCCGCGCCAGACATTCCTTCTACACCGCCCTCAGCAAAGACCCGGTTAACTTTGTGCGTCGCTGGATTAACTCCCAGCGTCGTGATCTCGAGACCATTCTCGGTGAGGCGACGCGCGGTGGCGGCGAAGATGGCAGCGGGCCGGAGTTCCGTCGTGGAGGTGCGGACGGCGCTTGGGATACCCCTGTGGCTCGCGAAGCTGTACGATACATGCTTGCGAAACCGGAGGCCGCGATGGGACGGTGATTTTGTTAAATCAGCCTGTGTTGTTTGTTGGTGTTTGATTACTTTTTGATGATAATTTCCTCGGATATGGGAGGGAAAAATCTGTTGGGCTTGGAAGAGGCGCTTATGCGGTGTTTGGATTGGAGTGTTACTTTTAATATTCGAATTGTTTCTTTCCATCTTTCTTTTCTTGTACTCTCTCTAGACTCTGGGGTGATGTCACTCCAGGGTAAATGTCATTTATGATACTCTTAAATCGATGTCCTTGTAGATGCAAATATAACTGTAGATGTAAACAGAAATGTAAGATAGTCCAGTTTATGATATTCTTAAGCATGTCCCGAGTAAGAAAGAGAAATTCAAAGGAAGCCACAGACTCCATAGTCCAATCTAGTTGCAAGGATAGAAGGAAAGAATTCGTTCACGCCGGAGAACAAGACAGCCGGGACCATCATACAAGATGATAGACTTCCTTTGGCTTGACCCCTCGACGCAAAGAAAGCTAACAGACGTGACAGACATTGACGAGAAAACATCAAGGCATCAAGGCATCAATCAAGGCAAGAAGTGTTATATAACGTAGATAAACCGAGGACGAGAGTAGATAGATAGATATAAAAGAGACCAGCCCGATTTCAACAACATCGTGATTTTCAACAAGAAAACAACTCATCTTTTCGCATCTTTCAGAAGATATAAATGGACAAAACTATGAATAAAGCAGGGAATTATGGGTAAGAAGTAAAGAGTCCTCGTCAACAGAAGCATGTATTTAGGATTAGATAAAATGCTTCGGATTTCGTTTGCACGTTTGAGCACTACTGTGCATTTGTTCGAATTGAGAGTCCGGTCTCGAGCTGTCTGTGCAGGATGCAAGGATCAATCACACTTGGAGTGAATCACTCTTAAGACGCAGAGGCTACGTCAGCCTTCCTCCTGCGCAATTCATCCGTGATCCCGGTATCCACGGCGGAGGCGATCTTCTCGTTGATTTCATCGCCGTGGAATAAGCTCCCCTCCTCCTGCTCCAGCTTGGCGGCGGCATCGAGAACGACCTTCTGCGCGATGTCGTCCGTCAGCTGAGCGGTTTTCTCTTCCTCATTCTTCGCCGCAGGCGGCGGTTGAGCCGGGTTCGCGGGACCGCGGAACCGCTTCATGACGGTCTCGATCATCTTCGAGAACCAGTAGTAGTTCAGCGAGTTGAGGACCACGTTGGAGACGACGTACGTCAAGACCAACCAGGTGGGGATCCCGCCGGCGGTGTGAGAGGCGTAGCGGGAGATTTCCGCGCCGGCACTCCGGCAGACCTCGTCGAGCTCGTGGCAGTGGGCCGTGGGGTCGCGGAGACCGAAGACCTGCGACGAGATGTCGACGGGGAACCCGGGGCTAGAGCTGGAGGTATCCCAGGTTTGCTTGAGGGCGTACCACATGTCTCGGTAGACGAGGACGGATTGCCAGGTGCCCCAGACGAGACGACAGCTGAAGAACATGAAGAGGAGCATCATGCCATTGTACCATTGAAGGTTGCTGCCGGTCATGTTGAGCTTGTCCAAGAACCAGTGGATATTGAGGAAGGGGCTGGAGAGCTCGTAGAGAATAAACACGGGCGAGTAAAAGTTGACAAACGGTCTCTAGAATGGTAGGTCGGAAAGTTAGCGCTGAGTGCTCCACAATTGGGGAAGACGTAGAATGGGAGGTGTTCAAAGAAACGTACGTATCCGAAGCTGAAAACCCACAGGGCACTGACAGCATGGAAGAGCATGCCGATTCCGAACATCCGGACATAGATCAAGCTAACGATCAAGTCGTAGACAAAGTATCCCGCCGCGAAAGCTTGCACCATGGCACAAACCCCCGAGTATCCATAGATGCGTTCACCGATATTCATCGATTTCCGCTCTTCGTCCGAAAACATAGCCCAGAGGGCCAGTGCATTGATGAAGGTGCTCTGCACCAACGACACAACATGCACATCCCAGTTCAGCTTCGTCCGCCGGTTGAGCTTGGGGTAGTGTCGCGGAAAGAGGATCGGCGAAAGCAACGGAGAAAGGACGAAATGAATGAGCCCGTACGCCACGAAGGAGAACAGGACCTCATGAATATGATCCGATAAGGCGGGAACGTTATAATAGATCGCCCAGGGGTCGACAGCGTCTCGCAGCCATCCCGGAGGAGGCGGCAATGGGTCCAACATGCCGACCGCTCTTCCGACGGGGAGGGCCGAGAAGGAAGAGGTACGGTACTCCTAGTTGTAGATAGCTACTCCAGGGGCAAAGCTAGGATAGCGATGCCTCCAGGAAAGGGAGGAAGGAGAGGAAGGTCCAGAAAAGTCGGGTGGAGACTTAGACGGACTCAAGGCCAGCCATAGTGGAGAAGGGGGAGAGGAGGAGTTAAGAAGCGAGGAGAGCAGAGAGCCGAGTGAGGGAGAGGGAGAACAAGGCAAGGCCGCCTGAATAATGAAGCGCCGAGGCTTGCTCGCGTGCCTGCTGATGCCTGATTCGTGGGGCCGCCACAGTTGGGATTCCGTTGGGAAGGCTGATCCGGCACGTGATTACACCCGGGGTCATCTGACTCGCAGGGGGTTCCTGACGTCCTCAGGCAGTCAGGCTACAATATCAGGCGATATGGAAGGATAGAAGACATTCATTATTCATGTAATTCACTGGGACTCTGTACATAGGAAATTGAACCATAAAATTAATTTGCAAACAAAGGAAATCACAAAAGAAAAGAACTGCAACGCCGACATGAATCGGGTGCCTGGCTCAAAGAAAACTAAAAGAGACATCAGAAGAGGAAAACATATCAACATGCCAGAAAGGAACAGAGGTGGTATAAGAATATCACAGGGAAGGATTGGCATCAGATTGCTGCTGCACACGATCATTTCGGGTCGTAAACGTGACGGAGGGTATCATTTCGGTGTTTATCCCACGGCACTCGTGATCTCTGGGCCGAGTCCGCTGTCGCTATGCTGGCCGTAGAGTACCATCTTGGATGCCTCAGCGTCCAGGTCTCCCACATCTCGGTCATGTGAAGGTTCGTCTCCCTTGGTCGTCTGAGCATCGTCATCCTCCTCTGCACCCGGTTCCTCGTTCTCATCCTGTTCCTTATGCTGGTCCGCTCCAGCTCCCCCGGGGGTGGAGCTAGCGGTACTCACTCGTCGATCAGTGGAGACAACGCTGCCGGTTCCATACACCATGCTGTCCGTGTAGGTTCCGGTGTAGCTGGTTCTTCGCTCCGTACCTGTGTCGCTTTCCTCACCGCTTTGGTTTTCTTCCTCCTCTGGGAAAACCTCGTTCTCCTTGTTTGCTACCGAGCTGCGGCCGCCCCATGACGCTTTGCGTTGGGAGAAGTTGGACTTGACAGAGTGACTGCGCTTGAGGCTGGCAAAGCCACTGTTGCCGCTGGCTTGACGGTCTGAAACGCCCCGGTTACCCGTGACGTGACTCAGACTCAGAATCCGCCTTTCTTTGCTGGCGTTGGATGGAGCCACAGAGCTACCCTGTGAAGGAGTTTGCCCTCGTTTCTTCAGGGCCAACCCAACGCTGCTGCCGAGGATACTGCGGTTGTCCTTGGCGGTGCTGGCATTGCTAGCGGCACTAGGCCCTCGCGCCCGAGAACCGCGAGCCTTCTTCATATTCAAACCCGGAATGTTGTTGGGGCGGCTAAGCAGCACGCTGCGGGCATGATCGAGAACGCCTTCCAGGATGCGCTTCTCCAAACTGTCTGCACGGTCCTCCATGACTTGCATCTCTTCCTGACGAAGCTCGAGTGCCATTTCCAGACCAGAAACCTCCTTGTTCAGCTTGGTGTTCTGCTTGACAAGGTCCTCCTTTTCGGTCTTCAGGCTGCTGATCATCTTCAATAGCGATTCCTTCTCTTCATTGAGAGTAACGATCTCAGCTTCCACTTGGTCTCGCTGGGCGTTACGTCGCTCAAGCGCAACCGCGGCTTCCTCGGCTTCCTTGCGTCTCCGTTCGGTGTCATCAGCGACCATCGCCGACTGGGCCGTGAACATCTCGTTCATCTTGCGGGATGTTTCCATGATGTCTTTGTGCATTTCGTCCAGTTTCATCATCTGCGTGACCGACTGCTCAGTGTTGGTAGCATGACCAATGAGGGTATCGAGTTTGTCGTGTACGGGCCCATTGGTGCCCGTAGTGTGACTGAGCAGCTCATTGAGTTTGTCGTACATCTCGCTATTTGTACTTGTAGTCTGGCTCAAAAGCTGGTCGAGTTTCTCATGCACTTGATCATTCGTGACACGCTCCACAAGGATGTTGAGTGTTTCGTGCACCTTTTCATTCTTGGCATGGTCGAGGATGCTGTTCAACTTCTCATGTACTTGGCTGTCGTCGTATTTTTCCGGTTCGGGCGGCGGTAACGCAGGAAGCATTTGCGGGATTGTAGAAGGCAGAGTGGAAAGGTCCATTTTCAGGTCTTCAGCAGACTTCTGAGAGTGGTCGTAATGCTGACCAACAATGGAAAGAATCTCTTGAATGGACTCCAAGACCTGAGGGTGGAACTCGTGCAACTTGCTTTCTACACGGTCAGTCGCAGCGGCGGCTCTTTCAATGTCCGACCGAGCTTGTTCCTGCTGTGTCTTGACCTCGTTTTGCATTTCCTCCATCTTGTTGTACGACGTATCGACTTTCTCAAAGATGGTCTTGGTATCGACACTCATCCGCTCGCAGGCCTCGTTGACAGTGTTGCCCATCGATCCAATGACGAGCTTGATATCTTCTGCCAGCGCTTTGGTGCTAGTGACCACCTCGAGGTTAGCTTCGTCACGTTGAGCAGAGTCCGAGAACTTCGTTTCCATGACAGTTTGAGCTTCGTCGTATTTGCCGATGACTTCGCCAAGCTTCTCATCGATCTTGGTGCCCAGCTCGACAATGATAGCGGCCCTGGTCTCGTCATGTTTCACAACAGCTGCAGCGTCCCGTTCCTCCTTCTCCAGCTTTTCCGCGTCCTGTTCGCCGCGCGCGCGTTCGAACTCCCGGTTGATCAGTTCTGTGAGTTCGTTGACATTCTCAACCGTCGTGAAGCTTTCTGCAGAGGCTGCTAGCCCCTCCAGAAGTTGCTTCAGCTCGGAAAGACCTTCGTTGCTGCCATCGAGCTTGCTCTTCAGTTCGTCTCCGAGACCCTCAACGACCGCCCGAGCTTCGTCAACCTTCTCAGCTAGACCGGCGTGTTCCACCTTCCGTGCTTCGAAGCCTTGGGCCGTCATCTCGTTCTCGGCTTCCGTCTTCTCCCTGAATTCAGCAACAAGGGCAGAGAGGTCTTGGAAATCGGTCTTGGTCGGTAGAGTCTCGACATCAGGAAGCTTAAGCTCGTCCACCTGTGTCTTGACTTCAAAGATCATCGCTTCGACCGTCTGCAGGTCGGCCTTGACTAGCTTTTCACTGTCGGTTTCCTCCTCTGTCCCCTTACCCTTCAATTCGTCGAGGGCAATCCACATATCCTTCATCAGGGTCTCGAGGGTTCCGATCTCAGCCTTCGTTGGACCCTCGGCTTCCAAGCGAGTGCCCATCTCAGAGATAGCGTCCTTGGTTTCCTTGACCATGGCCTCCAAGCTTCCGAGCTGCTCAGCCCGTGCTATTTCGTCCGGGGCAGGGAACGTCATTTCGTCAAGTTGAGACTTCGTGTTACGAAGCAAGGTCTCGATAGCATCCGTGTCCTCCTTCTTGGCTGTCGTCTCGTCTGCAGGATTCTCGCGGGCTACAATTCCTGAAATAGAACCCTGGAGCTCGTGAAGACCTGCCAAGACATCATCGAGGTGCTCCTTCTTGAGAGCATCCGCAGATGGCTCAGCCGCCCGCGGGGTTGATTCGATAGCCTCGACTTTGACTTGAAGCTGGGAAATCAGTTCCTTAAGCCCTTCAATGTCGGCGCTTGTGTTCGGTTCGTTGGCAAGCATCAGCTCCCCTCCCCTGGTCGTCTCATTTTCTTCGGGACCCTTTGGTGACTCGCGCAGAGTCTCGACGTCTGCCTTCAAACTGCTGAGACCTTCTTTCAGGGTTTCGAGGAGCTCTGAATGGTCCGAGGCAGCTGGTCTTTCGATGAGTTTGGCCAAGTCTTCCCGGATGTTACCAACTCCATCTTGGAAAACGTCAACCAGCTCGTTGGTGGAAAAGACGTTTTCGCCGCCTTCTTTAGGGGCCTCTCTTTCAGTGTGGAAAGTTTCAAGGCTCTGACGAAGCGCGGCAATGATATCGTCCTTGTCAGATTTCGGCTCCTGTGCAGGGACAAGACTCATGTTCATCGATTCACGAAGACTTTCAAATTCCTGCTTGATAAGTCCGGCAATATCTTCAGTACTGCCGCTTTTCCCTGTGCTCTCGGCCTTCTGGCTTTCGGATATATCGCGGATGGCGTCAAGGATTTCGTCTTTCTCAGCAGATACATTACTTCGGATTAACATGTTGCTAAGACTGGTTCGAAGGTGTTCGAATTCCTTTTCCATCGCGTCAAGAAGCTCCGGGGTGTCAGGATTGCCACCAGATCCGTGGGAGACAGCGGTTTCTGTAATGGTCTTCTCCATGTCGGCCTGCAGTAAGCGAAATCCTTCTTTGACCGTATCCATGATCTCATGTTTCCCCGCGGCTTCTGAAGCGGCAGCAGCATAAGTCTCAACTTCCTGACGCACGACAGCAATTCCATCTTTGATTGCGTCCAGAACCTGCGATTTGTCCTGCTCATTAGACATAGAGCGTTGCTGTGTCTCTTCCTTCATTGCCTCCAGCTGCTCCTGAAGGCGTCCTAGCATTTCATCGCCGACAGCATTATTGGTAGCTGCATGTGCTTCTTGGAGTCCAGCCGAGATAGCCTCCATGAGATCGTCCTTGTTCAGCTCGATTTCCCTGATCATAGAGTTCTGGTTTTCCATGCCTTCTGCAATGGCATTCAAGATATCATCGCGCGAGATAGATGGCTGGGTGTTAGCGCTGACCACAGATTGTTGGGCAGCAAATGCGTCATTGACCACATTGGTTACATCTTCCTTTGTGATGTGAGGGGTGTCCATTTCTTTGGCCGCCGTAAAGTGTGCTTCGATTCCATCCGATACCGCGGTCAGGATCTCATCCCTGCCTAGGCCGGAGTCGAGCGTTTCCCTGGTGAGCGTACTTTGTGTGGTAACTGATTCGGTAACTGCCTGCAGTATTTCATCCCGAAAAGTTTGCAAATGCTCAGGCTCCACATAGCGAGCTGTCGGCTGGTTGTGTTCGAAGCATTCCCGAATCGTTTGCGCGATTTCGTCCTGGGTAATGCTGGGAGTTATCGATTCGGTAACTGCGTGCAGTATCTCATCTCGGATAGCATGTAGATGTTCAGGCTCCACAGACCGAGGTGCGGGCTGACTGTTTTCGAAGCATTCTCGAATTGTCTGTGCGATTTCGTCCTGGGTAATGCTGGGCGTTATTGATTCGGTCACTGCGTGCAGTATCTCATCCCGAATCGAATGCAGATGCTCAGGCTCGACAGACCGAGGTGCGGGCTGACTGTTTTCGAAGCATTCCCGAATAGTTTGTGCGATTTCATCCTTCGTTATGCTGGGAGGAGGTGCAAAGTCCTGCATTCCTGCTTGTACAGCTGCAAGAACTTGGTCGTACGTGACTGCGTGCTCGTCCTTCGGCTGATATTCCTTCAACCCTTCTGCAAGGCATTCCAGAATTTCATCACGCTCCAGTCCGAAATTTTGTAATTCGATCTCAGGCTTGTAAGTTTCCCAACACTCTCGGATCGTCTCGAGGATGTCCTCCTTCTGCATGTCGTTTCCTTGGGGTGCATTCCGCAGCTGCGACCAATCGAGGTCCTCGACAGCGCCTTTGATAATCGAATAGATTGCCGAACTGTCCATCGCAGCGCGGAATTCTGATAGAGCAGACGAGTGACGCTGGTTCTCGGCGAGTATCGATGAAAGCTGCTCCTTTAGGTCGTTAAGACAATCGTCAACTATCGCGGCGATTTCTTCCTGTCCAGGAGGGCCGTTGGGCCCGCCTTCCAGAGCTCGGGGCCCTTGTGCCTCTTCAAATTGGCGCGCGAGATTTCTGCCCATTCCCAGAACCTCTCCGCGGAGTTCTCGCACCAGAGCTTTCACTTCATTCGTAAGCCCCCCTCCCTCGATAACACTGCTCCTCACTCTTTTCATGATAGCCAGCAGGTCTTCCTGATTTTCGGTCGGAATCAAAGAACGACCTCTGCCATTGACTCCTTCCATGTTGTCCATTTCGGACACAAAGCCCTGCTCCGCATTGAAAGACCTCGACTGAGTGCCGGTGAAGTCTGAGTGCGAGCGTTGCGGCATCGGACCATCATCGAAATTGAGTCGCGCTGGCACCAGTGCCTTATGCCCCGCATCTTCTTTCACAACGTTCAGGATTTCTTCGAGCATCTCCATGACATGGCTGTCAACGTGACTACCAGACGCCTCGGCTCCAGATTCTTCGGATGGCGGTCTGGCTTTCAGTTCTTCCGCCAGCTCCACGAGCTTATCCTGACCTTCCTTCGTGGCCATTTCTCGTAGGACCTTCTCCAACAGAGCAATGCTGGCAGAGCCGTCAGAAATCGGTGCCGGGGAGCCACACATCTCACGCTCCATCGCTGCAGCGAAAGGGTTGGGGCTTTGCATGCGGGGGGCTGAGAAACTTTTCTTCGAGTTCGGAGAACTGTCCGGGTCCCTGTTGTTAATATCTTTATCAGATCCCAGGAGAGTGCTGAAATCCCACCTTATGGCAGCATCACTATCTAGAAACTTTTCAGACAAGCTAGAGGACAAATCGCGAAGGCTCTTTCGAATGTCTTCATCTCGGGCGTTGGTTGCGGCTTTGAGGCTGACCAGGTCCGTGGCGTTATCTTTGCTTCGACGGCTTAGCTGTGCCATCTCTCGTTGCAGATTACTCGCGATGTCCGTGAGACTGTGAATCTGGGTCGATAAAGAGTCGAGACTAGATGGATTGGGGTCACTAGCCACTACAAACGGGTCGGAGTCATCGCTCTTCGTGGGCGGGTGCACGTCGCTTTCACTCGGCAACTGCATATTCTGCAAGGCCAGCATAGTCGCTGAAGGAGGAGTGCTTTCGCCGAGAATGGGTTTCGAGAGGTAGCGGTTTGAAATGAGGAGATTGGGAAGATCGCGATCCGCATCTCGGTTCTCCTGATCCTCGCTAGACTTCGTCGGGCTCTTCTCCTGTTGCTTGGTATTCGGATCCAGTATCGACGCCTTCAGCGGCCTTTCTGGGGATCTGCTTTCCAGGTAATTCAGGAATTCGGACCGAGGGTCGTTGTTCTGGAACGATTGCATTCGCTTATGGAATTGACCCTTGATCAAGGACTTCTCGGGCGACGATGGCTTCGGCATCGGATTGGTCGTGTACGGGCTGGGTGCGTTTTCGCGCATCTTCTCCGCGAAGTTAGCCGCCACGGCTTGGATGCCCGGGGAGACATTGCCCTTCGTGGCAGGACTCGTGGAGCCGGGATTCATTGGCAATGGCGGAGGCGCCCGTTCAGGGTCTGAACTGTCCCACCTTCGTTTCCACGGTTTGAAAGTCAGTCTAAAGTAATCCATCGTTGAACGATCGAACAGAAAAACATGAAGAAGAAAGAAGACCCTCGTGGTGGGAGGCGATAATCGACACCTACATGGGCACTGATTGACGTCTTAGAACTAGCTCCCGATCCTGGGAACCTTCGCGCGTATGCGATTGCATATTAAGACCTAGTCTTAGGGTGGAGGTACTGTCGTCAATCTTGCAAAAGACGAAGTGGGTTGTGTTGTTGGAATGTGCGTCGGAATGTTCGTCAATCAAAGTCGTAAAGGCATATCAATTCATCAAAACAAAAACAGAGAAAGCAAACGACCAGAGCTGTAGATCTAGTCGAGGGATGGCGCAAGGGTAGCAAACAAAACACACAGAAAGAGCAATGACGTGAAAACCGTGAAAGAAGCAAAAAAGGACAGAACTATACGCTTGCTAGCAAAAGAGGAAGATGGATGCCGGGCAGGGCAACCAAGGGCTCACAACAATGCGACGGCGATGGGGCAAGGCAGGCAGGAAGGAAGGAGGAAAAGGCGGTTGAACTCCGGAGTAGATTATCATTCAAATAAGTAAGTAGTACGGATAGATCAAGAAAACATCAGAGTGGAGATGCACGCCGCAAGGCACGGTAGCTCATGGGGCGTCAACTGCAAGCCGGCCCAATCTCCGATGTACACATCAAAGCAACTCTCATAGCAACCGACGCTGGTTTGGTTGTCAGGTAAACAGACCTCCCCTAGGCGGTGAGTGCCTGCCCGGGGTCGCGTTTCTCCGCCATCTCGGGCGCTAGGCTGCATGGGGGAACTCTCCCATTCTGGCATAGTCACAGCCCGGCGCTGAAGGGTCGGTAAGTCGACCAATGAGAACGGGGCACACAAAGCCGCTTGCCCTGATCCCGTGTCGTTGTGCACTCGAAAGCGAAAAAAAGAACTGAACCTTCTCCTCGACCGAAGCACCTCGACAACCACCCCATCGACCGCCGCTCCCGGGACTTTCACAATGAAGTGTTAGTTGTTCGCCGCTACATCTCGATTCTACGGAATTTTTTCCCCTTGTCCAACGATACTGACGGAATGTTGTTATAGTCATGAAAGTGGGCCGTGTGGCCATCATCACCCGTGGCCGTTACGCCGGTAAGAAGGTACGACTCACAAATGAACCCGCTTGATTTTATCCCCGGCGAGATAGAAGGAACGGAGGGAATGCGATTACAACCGATCGAGAAGAGACGAATTCGAGAATGAGCGATTATCGATATCAACCGAAAGACCAGAAACAGGTGGAAGGAGGATGGAAGGATACAAGATGCAAAATGAGGATGGACTTGAAAACAGGCGGAACGTGTGCTGACCAGGGTCTTTTCGGAATCTACAGGTTGTGATCATCAACCCCAACGACACTGGCTCCAAGGCGCACCCCTTCGCCTACGCCATTGTTGCCGGTATCGAGCGTTACCCCCTCAAGGTCACCCGTCGCATGGGCAAGAAGACCGTTGAGAAGCGCAGCAAGGTCAAGCCTTTCATCAAGGTCGTCAACTACAACCACCTGATGCCCACTCGCTACACTCTCGAGCTCGAGGGTCTCAAGGGTGCCGTTTCCGCCGACACCTTCAAGGAGGTCTCCCAGCGTGAGGACGCCAAGAAGACCGTCAAGAAGGCTCTTGAGGACCGCTACACCAGCGGCAAGAACCGTTGGTTCTTCACTCCTCTGCGTACGTACCCGTTCCGGACGTTGATCGGTCTCGGACTTTAGTGCTGACCATTCGCAGGTTTCTAAACGGGGTATTTAAGGGCGTTATGTCGTTTGAGCGCGCAAGGTCTTAGATGCGGCAAAGGGAATAAAAAGGCATCGAGCACTTCGGTTCAGGAGCATGGGAATGACCGGAAAACGTATACCATCGCTGGAGGAAGGATTGGGGATGTATCGATGTACAAGTCCAGTACTTGGCCATTTTTCTTTTTTTTTAATGAAGGAGGCCACTAGGAACTGGCATCCTCGAAATGAAATGGAAATATGAACAAATTCAAAATCTTTCTTTGTCTCTTCTAACCACTCGCCGTCACGTTGCCCGTCTGGGCTCACATCATTGCCGCGCCGATGGCTGCTAGCGAAGTGCCACACCCTCCGATCGCGACTACGCTCAGTTCAACTCAATCGGAACACGAGTCATTCAAGTCCACGTTTTCGTCCAGTCACATAGCGTGGGATGTGGGATGCTTTCGAATGGCGTCTGGACTGCACTGGTCCCAGAGGCACGTCTCTTGGCGCTACCGTCCCCGCATCACGCAGTTTTCCCATCTCCGCATTCAAGGCCCATCTCGGGAGCATGAAACTGGATAGCCGAATGGCGGGGGTGTACATACGGGCTCTCAATCATGACATTCATGGCCCACGTACTCACCAACGTCAACGGCGCATCCAGCCATCACGGACCGGACCAGTATAGGCCGGACCGGTCTATGGCTTTATGCATGCGAAATGGGCGTAGACGGCACGGAGCGGCTCGCGGGTCAACAAGATTCAATTAGTAGAAGCCAGCCCTGGAACAGCTTCGTATTCGTCGGCCTTTGACCTACATGAGCTACTGCGACGGGCTGCATTGCCGGTCTTTGTCTGTCTCTCTTGCCCTAGAAACTCCCTTTGTCCGCCGGATTAGGCCATGTAGTTCCGACCCTATCGGTTCCAGACATATGTAAAGATCGTCGGACATGTTGAGGCAGCATGTACAGGTGAGTGCGTGGCATAATAATTTGAATTGGATTTATGCTCGCGAGGCTCCTTCCTCGGTGAAAGAAATTGCATATCCATGTCGCAATATATGTTGCACAGGTATCCGGAGCTCCGGACCAACTGTACAGCTCATCCATTACACAACCCGGGACAAACCAGGCCTTAGCAGAACTTAGTGTGCATATTGTGGTACCGTTCAGATAACTAATACTGGATGCGATCCGAGGATTCTATCGACGGTGGGATTGCGAATAGCAAACAAGCTGTGGATACTAAACATAAGTCTGAACAAGGAGGGCTCGGCGAGAAGAAATAGACAGAGAGCCGACAAAAGTACGAGACACGCAGAACAGCCGCTGGGTTTCTGGAAAAGGAATCTGCCCTCTCCATGGGGATAGTAGACCGAAGAGGGGGAGAGGGGGAAGACGCTCAGACCAGAGAAAAAGGCTCGACGCGAGCTGCAGACGAAGGATCTACGAGGGGAAAACCGTCGAACCTGTCAAGTGTCAAGAGTCAAGGCGCCACCGGACGAGGTCCAGGCTTCTTTGTTCATTTTAGTGTCTCCTGGACAGCGACAGGGAAGGGGAATGTCCGCCGGTCCCAGTAGGCGCCCAGCGATAAGAACGAATTGACCCAAGCCGGTGGAGGGACCTTGAGGTTGCAGTCCCATTCATTGAGATTGTACGGTAGCAACGAGGAATTGCCCGTTTAGGACTGGATTTTTTTAGAGAAAAAAAAAGAGATGGCGAAGGTAGAGTGACACATGCCGACTGAAATACTTCGAAAGAAGTAAATGCATAGGTAGTACAAACTGAAACAATCAAAATAGAAATAAATTAAATTAAAAAAAGAAAAGCGAAAATGACAGGCGGTTTGGAGACCCGCAATCACATGCCATCAGCCCACCCCCTCGTTGCACTTCCGAATTCATCATCTTCGACGGAGTATCTGGTTCTTTCATGCTTCAGCCTCTTTCGCCACTGGCAGCGCCGTCCAGCCTCGTATTGATCGGACCTGATGCGATGCTAGCGTCTACTATCCTTAGATGACCTCAGGTCTGATCACGAAGAAAGAAGAGAAAATGCCCAACGACAAATTGAACCAAAGGGTAAAAAGAAAAGTCAAAGCATCACAAACTCCTCGATGCTTATCTGCTCGGGAAGGGAATGCCAAACGACGAGGCCCCGGCGTGGCCGAATCATTGGGCAGGGAAACAAGGAGGACCGAACGCAACGTCCCCCTCCAGCTTCGCTAGATGCAGATTCTCGGGGATGATTGGGACGAATGGGACGAGTTGCCGTCGGTTCTTGGTTCGACTATCTCTCGGGTTGGAGTTCCAGGCCCCGATGAGATGATAATGATGATTATGATATGATATGATCCCCCAGTACTATACTGCCCAGGTAGACGGCCCGCTATCACATGCTTGCCAACGCTGGCGTCAGAAATGCAGTGGCTCTCTCCAGAAGCACCGTTGCCTGCTTTTTATTTATCGGGTCATCCCTGTTCTTCTTCATCTGCTTTTCTTTTCTCTTCTTTTCCCCTTTTTCGTCTCGAGGCTCGGGTTTTATCGCTACTACTATATTAATATCTCACATGCCTGCTCTGACGCCCTTCTACTGTTAGCTTTTTTTTTTTTTAACTTCTCCTCGAGCTTGAACTTCGGTTGCTTCTGATAAAGTGATCCCTTCATGTAGGTCTTCCCTTTCTACTTATTTCTCTCTCCTTCCCCCGCTCCTCCTGCTTCTCTTCCTCCTCCTTATTTCCCCTTCATCTATCCCTTCTCAATCCACTCCAATTCATCCGGCCCTGTCTAACGTACCTTCCTTAGTGCCACATGCCGCACGCTAAACAGGACGAAATGGGCGACACTCCGGTCAACGGCGAGCAGCCTCACTCTTACTTCTTCGACGTAAGCTCCGCTGAACATCCTTATGGGCCTTGGTGTAACGACTGACATTTCCTGTTACATAGCACCTGGCGTCATACCCTGTGGTTTCCGATTCAATCGTCGTGTTCAAGAGCAACAAGTTCGGCGCAAAGTACCTGGCTTTGGCCGACCAAGGATACGTCCATCTCGCCAAACCGCTCCTTCCGTACCTATCCAAACCCTACGGTCTCGTCGCTCCTTACGTTGCTCGTGTGGACTCGCTCGGTGACAAGAGCTTGACCAAGATTGACTCGACGTTCCCCTTCATCACGCAGGACACGGAGACCCTCAAGACCACAATCCAGGATGGCGCGTATTACCCCGTGCGCTTGGCCAGCGATGTGAAGGTCCATCTCTTCGACCTGTACGGCTCCGAGTACAAGAAATGTGGCGGCGATGGAGCTCTGGCGAGCGGCAAAGCACTGATCACTACCGGCCTGGTGCTGGGCCAGGAGTCGCTGGGCTACGTCAGCTCTCTACTGCAGAAGAAGAAGGCCCAGGTCAAGGATGCCGTGAATGACCAAACTGATGGCTAGATGCTCGTCAATCATTCGGGCGCAGCTACAAAATTTCAGGGCGGGTAGTATTGCGGGTGCTGTGTTTTGTCTCTAGAAAGTTATGGTTCTGGCCGGCCCTTCTCTTTTGAACGTTCACTTTTTCCTCCTCCTTCCTTTTTTTTTTTCAAGCCACGAGAAAGCAGGGGTGTTCTGATTTTCACAAGCTTATTGGCGTTCCACGGTAGCTCTTTGATCGAAATTCTCATTTGTCTATTTACCAGGCATTATCACAGGTGTGTAAGGTAGCAGTAATGATCCCAAGTTGCTTATTTCTCACTTGCTTCAATCCCTCCTTAGCCTTTCCAATTGGCATGTGAGCTTTTTCAGTCCTGCAGGGGTTTTCCAAGCCGAACCCAACAAGTATGCACAAGAAACTTGGAACTGATATCTTTTGATTAAATTCCGCCCCCGTCGACTGATGCCTGCAGATTTGGCATGTGATTCTGCCCTTGGCAAAACATGTGATTTCCCAATCTGGCTAAATCACGTTAGGTCGATCCACTTTTTGGCCGGCGCGTCCAGCGCGTCAATCAATTCAGTTTGAGATGGGAGATCGGCCTTCTATCTGTTAACGTCCATTGAGTATCGTTTTGGTATCACCAACAACCATATAGATTCAATAAGCTGCTCTGATACACTTGCCCAATCTCTACTTTAAAATCTCAAGATGCCTCTCATTCGCAAACGTCGAGCAGTACGTCCCTCCCACCCCTCCGCGACAAGACCACAAAGAAAAGTCACTAACTGTGATCGCCAACTCAGGAACCCGAGCCTGCCAGCGAAGACTCTAGCTCTGCGGAACCCGATACCCAGGTTTCCTTCGAAAATGCTCGCCGTCGCAGGCGCACAGAGGTTGCCTCGTCCGAAAGCGACGACGACGACGACGGGGATGAAGACGAGGCGCGTGCGCCGAGCAGCACCGACGTGATGGTGAAGAAATTGGTGCGCTTAGCGCTGGCAAGCGAATACTCTCGACTACCGATCCGAAGAACGGACATTAGCGCCAAAGTCCTGGGCGAGCAGGGTTCGAGACAGTTCAAGACGGTGTTCAATGAGGCACAGGAAGCTCTGCGGACGACGTTTGGAATGCGGTTGACCGAGCTGCCGGGGAAGGAGAAGGTGTCGATTCAGCAGCGACGAGGTGCGCGTTCTTTTTCTTTTTTTTTTTTTTTTTCCCTGATTCCTGATTTGACAATGTGGTTATGCGATCCCGTCTCCTCTTACTGACTTCGTCGATCTAGCGGCCCAAAAAGTTGAACGTCCCTCGTCGACGAACAAGTCCTGGATCGTGACCAGTACGCTCCCTGCCGCTTATCGGAAGCCCGAAATCTTGCCCCCCACCAAAGCGCCTATGGAAGGCATCTACACCGGAATCTACTCTTTCATTATATCCTTGATTCTACTCAACGGGGGCTCGCTCCCCGAGCAGAAGCTCGATCGGTACCTGCGACGGACGAATGCCGAAACGTACACGCCCATCGACCGCACAGACCGGCTTCTGCAGCGCCTCTGCAAAGAAGGTTATCTTCTGCGGATTCGCGAGATGGACGGCGGAGAAGAAGTGATTGAGTACATGGTCGGCCCGCGGGGCAAGATGGAGGTTGGGGCGCAGGGCGCCGCCGGTCTAGTGCGCCAGGTGTATGGTCGCCCGGATCCTGATGAGGAGGACACCACTCCCGCGGAGAGGGCGCAGACGGAGGAGTTCGAGCTCCGGTTAGCAAGGAGTCTTGGGCTCCGGAAACCTTCGCGACGAGTGGACGAAGACCGGGCTGACGAGGCAGATACGCCGCAACGGGGACAAACGCAACGACAGTCTCAGCGACAGGCGGCGGAATCTGAAGAGGAAGAGGAGGAAGAGAGTGACTGATTGGCTGATATGTTGTATATAGTCCTGTTCTTATTGATACCCTTGTTAAATGGCACTGTATGCTTATATGTGTCTCGGATGACCGATGATGATTGCTCTATATACACTACGTTACCTACCACTACTAGGTACAGAATGTGCCTACCTTAGCAGATGAAACTTATAAGCGCAGAACGTGGTGGGTCCAGAGTGATGAGTGATTAGGTAGACCAGGATGTTTTGTACTGTGACATCTCAGTAAGAGTCATACATAAACACGGTACCCGAATTCAACAGCATATAAATTCATTTTCTAACGCCTTAACCTGATGAGTTTGAGTTTTTATATAATGAATATTTTCATACCACGTAAAACGCCAAGGGTATGTCTTGGTTTTTTCTTCGGGGCCGTCAATAAGAAATATATCTTCATGCTCGAATAAGGACCATAGATATAGATGGATATTTACTACCTATCCAAGTAACGTGACCGGATTTTCCTACTGAAAACCAAGTCTACAACGCAAAGTAAATGATATGACAGCTATTTCAAGAATCTACAGCCAAGGATGAATTGCCTATGCTACAGTAAATACAGCCAGGAACTCGCACCTGATATCAACATAACATCAACGCCCGAAATATGTTTCAACCAAACCATTGAAGGTTATGTATAATGAAAGAGAAGAAACGAAAAAGAAAAATGGCCATTCATCACGGTCGTATATCTATGGGGTGGAGAGGACAAAGAAGCAGACGGACGACACGAGATGACTGACATCGACGGTCTCCGCGTTCGGTTGTTTACTCGCTGTCGCTGGCACTGCCATTAGCAGAGCCGTTGTCCGCATCTTCTCTCAGACCCTCGGCGAGAACGTATTCGGCCCGCTGTAGGGCCGACTTGATCTCCTGGTTGTTGTACACAAGGTCGGCGGGTTTCTGTCCGTGCTTGTTTCGGACCCGCGGGTCGCATCCGGCTTCGCACATCATATTGATCATTTCCAGTCCTAGTTCGGAGTCCTTCTCGTTGGCGAAGCGCACGGCGGCATGGAGAGGGGTGTCTTTATCAAGGCGAGTGAGGGGGTCGCATTCAAAGTACTGAATGTCGAAGAGAGTATCCATGGTGTCGTCTGCGATAACGGCCAGTTAGTTCCAGGTCCTTTCGCCGATCGATTCCGCCAAGCGGACGTGTATTGATTGTGACACTGGAGTCTGCAAGACTTACAGCTTCCGTATGTCGCACAGATGTGCAGGGCGTGGTTCCCTAATGGGTCCGTCACGCCGTTGAAGAACTCCGCCACTTGTTCGTTCGATTTCCCCTCCAACCCGTCAAGAACTTGTTCGATCAGATGAGGCTGGTCCCGTCGACAGGCTTCCACCACAAGCTCACGAGGAGAGGCACCCTAATCGATCAATTCCTGGTTCCCGAACCAAGACAACGGAGTAGGACAAGACTTACATCGTCCGCCATGATTGCTGATTTAACTGAGATGGCCACTAGAGGAACAAAGGCCGGGATTGCTCTGGAATGGATGCCAAAAGCTGGAAAGACGCAAGATAGTATCAAACAGGTATCGGAAGGTATGGGTCTGGTTCAAGTTGAAAGAGGCCGTCGGTGGTCAGGAGACGGTGTGTTATGGCGGGAATACCGGAAACCACGAGCTATTGGAATAGGAGGTAAGTATACGAAGGCCTGAACAATAACAGAGAACAAGCGCCCATAAATGGAAATCCAAAGCATGTATACGTACCAGTCTGTCAAAAGGGGCGGAATTAGCAGCTCGTCGTTGGTCTGACCTCCCAGGGGTTCAATAATGGCTTTGCCTACTACCTATTATTAGGAACGGGCAGTATCGACCGGATCCCCCGCTGCCAGTCGGAGAACCGCACGGCTCCCGCTCGGAGGATCAGTTGTCCCGATCCGCTTCGCCTGCCCCGCGTCCAATGGTCGGAAGCCGCGCGGTAGGGCGGTAGGGCGGTAAAGGCGGTGAGCCCGAATTTCTCTCCGCCAACAGCCTGTGGTGGCTTTGATAAGGGCATGAACGAGGGACGCATGCACCCTTGCTGCACGACAGTAGAAGCAAGCACAAGTGGTCTTCCCGTCACTTCATGCGAGTGATATGTGATATATGAACAGTTGCTATTCCAGACCTGACTAACAAGCTTTGTTGCGTGCTGCTATTGACGGACTGTACTATCCAGCCACTACAATCTTTTCAAGCAGAGGGGGAAAATGCCTTTGACTTGTGAGTCTTTTCTGAATACGTCCACTTCGTGCCTTTTGTTTCAACATGTGATTACTAACCCAGACTGATCGATTGAATAGTCTGTCCCAACTGCAGCAATGCGCTGACCATCTCGCGAGGGGAAGCAACCTCAAGACATCCTCTCGGAGCTAACCGATTTGAATGCCGGACCTGCCCTTATCAATACGTTCTAGAACAGAGCTGGTATGAGAAAACGCCCATGAAGCAGAAGGAGGTGGAGGATGTCTTCGGAGGCAAGGAGGAGTTTGCAAATGCAGATAGCATCGGCAGTAAGTTCTTTGAGGTCCTCAACGTGTTTGGCAAGCATGGACTGACGTTGCGTCCTTCTTTTCACCCTTACAGCGCAATGCCCCGCAGAGAACTGCAATGGCGACCGTGCATACTTTTTCCAGCTGCAGATTCGAAGTGCCGATGAACCTATGACTACATTCTTGAAGGTGGGTGCTTCCTACAGTCTTAACTCATGCGGGTAGGCTTTGCATTGACCGCACGTACTGATTATTGCGAACAGTGTACGTCGTGCGGTGCCCGATGGAGAGAAAACTGAGATCGTTGTGTTTGGATACTATACTGCGGCTCTACAACAGTGATTGAGGGACAACCATGAATAGACAGGGTCAGAAAAGGATTGGCGAACCCAAAACAGGAGCTGCTCGTCCAAGCATGTTAAAATTTGGGTGTGATTTACACGGAGCTTAGAGATACCCCTCAATTGTTATGATCAACATTATTATTATGATAAGTCTTATGCCTATTGCCTAGTATCTAGATCCAGGTGGCTACGTAGTCCGTACGGAGTAAACTAACTAGAAGTCAGATCAAGCGTGAGATTTTTCTTTTCTGTTAGTGGCGGCAGATAATCATCAATTTTGGATTGGGTGAACAACCGTGGTAAGCGTGTGCGTCTGGACCGGAGAAAAAAAAATTTTTTTGCCTCCCGGAGTCCCGAATAGGTATGCGTATCATGGCGGGAACAACCAGGGAAGGAAAGAAAAAAGAAAAAAGAAAAAAGAAAAAAGAAACATCCCACCTTGCCAGCAGTTGGATAGTGAATGCTCCAGCCTTCCCCTTTGTTTTATTTTTTTTCTTTTTCTCTCAGTCCTGACTCATTTTTCTCACCCCTGTATTTGATGAGTCTTTTTTTTTTTCTGTTTCGCTTTTTCATTCTATTATCAGGATTATAATTATTATCATTATTTATTTTGCCATATTGTTTACCACGTAGGAAGGTTACAGACTAAGGAGCACGTTGACCTCATACTTCGAAAAAAAAATTCCCACAAGTGGATCAAGCGGGCGCATGCCACCGCTGCTTTGGCAAAATTAATTTGAGCGTCAACGCCGCAACGGACAATTAGAAAAACCTCGCAGCCGCGGGGTTCTGTTGCAAACAAGACCAACATCCCGTAGCATGTTAGAAACTAAACAGCCCACCACTGCGTTGATGCCCAGTATTCCAGTCCAAAATCCACCCGGACGAAAGAGCAGCCAGAAAAAAATTTTCATTGAACTCCGTAAGGTGGCCATGGTGGGGTAGGTTGTCGGCGCACCGAGCGAGATGGACCCAAGGACCCAAGAAAAAAAGGCAGAATAGCAGGACTCCGCCGTGAAGATTCTGCGCTGGTCCCGCAAGTGCGTGGTGGGGCATTACCCCTCCATGTCCAATGATAAGGGCCCCTCGCCAAGGGTTAGAGCCCGCCCGCTAACTTAGTCAGCCACCTTCTCGCTTGCCCCTCCATATAAGGATTTCCCCTCCTCCCCTCCCACAGACTTTTTCCTCTTCCCTCCCCGTCCGCTTCAGTACGTATATCATCCCCCTCCCAGCTTGGGTTTCCTCTCTCTTCCTTCTTCTTTCTTCATTCATCCTCTTCTAACTTACCTCTTTGCTCAGTACCTCTACGCGAGAAGCCGTAGTATCTGAGCAAGTTTCCAGAACTCTTCTAGTATCTTACAAAGAACTACAAAAGTTCAGCACAACCAGCCAAAATGGGGTAAGTTTCATCATCCTGATGAAAACTCTACCCGTCAGATCAATCCAGAAGACCATCAACTAACGACTTTTTTTTTCTTCTGTCAACAGTAAGGAGGATAAGACTCACATCAACATCGTCGTTATCGGCCACGTCGATTCCGGCAAGTCGACCACCACTGGTCACTTGATCTACAAGTGCGGTGGTATCGACCAGCGTACCATCGAGAAGTTCGAGAAGGTAAGAAACAACTTCCCTTCACTGGTGCCTAGAGACAACCCACTACCAACGCGTTGTCACTTGCACTTCTTTCGCATAACATCGATGCTGATTGCCCCGCTTTATAGGAAGCCGCCGAGCTCGGAAAGGGTTCCTTCAAGTACGCTTGGGTTCTTGACAAGCTCAAGTCCGAGCGTGAGCGTGGTATCACCATTGACATTGCCCTCTGGAAGTTCCAGACCTCCAAGTATGAGGTCACTGTCATTGATGCCCCCGGTCACCGTGACTTCATCAAGAACATGATCACTGGTACCTCCCAGGCCGATTGCGCTATCCTCATCATTGCCTCCGGTACTGGTGAGTTCGAGGCTGGTATCTCCAAGGATGGCCAGACCCGTGAGCACGCTCTGCTTGCTTTCACCCTCGGTGTCAAGCAGCTCATCGTTGCCCTCAACAAGATGGACACCTGCAAGTGGGCTGAGGACCGTTACAACGAAATCGTGAAGGAGACCTCCAACTTCATCAAGAAGGTCGGCTACAACCCCAAGGCCGTTCCCTTCGTCCCCATCTCCGGTTTCAACGGTGACAACATGCTTGAGCCTTCCCCCAACTGCCCCTGGTACAAGGGTTGGGAGAAGGAGGGCAAGTCCGGCAAGGTCACCGGTAAGACCCTGCTTGAGGCCATCGACGCCATCGAGGCCCCCGTCCGTCCCTCCAACAAGCCCCTCCGTCTTCCCCTCCAGGATGTCTACAAGATCTCCGGTATTGGAACTGTGCCCGTTGGCCGTGTCGAGACCGGTATCATCTCCCCCGGCATGGTCGTCACCTTCGCTCCCTCCAACGTCACCACTGAAGTCAAGTCCGTTGAGATGCACCACCAGCAGCTCAAGGAGGGTGTCCCCGGTGACAACGTTGGTTTCAACGTCAAGAACGTTTCCGTCAAGGAAGTCCGCCGTGGAAACGTCGCCTCCGACTCCAAGAACGACCCCGCCTCCGGCTGTGCCAACTTCACCGCCCAGGTCATCGTCCTTAACCACCCCGGTCAGGTCGGCGCTGGTTACGCCCCCGTCCTCGACTGCCACACTGCCCACATTGCTTGCAAGTTCGCTGAGCTGCTTGAGAAGATTGACCGCCGTACCGGAAAGTCCGTCGAGTCCTCTCCCAAGTTCATCAAGTCTGGTGATGCTGCCATCGTCAAGATGATTCCCTCCAAGCCCATGTGTGTTGAGTCCTTCACCGAGTACCCCCCTCTCGGTCGTTTCGCCGTCCGTGACATGCGTCAGAGTAAGTTATCTCTTAAACCTCTTACAACCTTCACATCTTTGCTAATACCTATGTGTAGCCGTCGCTGTCGGTGTCATCAAGGCTGTCGAGAAGGCCACCGCCTCTTCCGGCAAGGTCACCAAGGCCGCCCAGAAGGCCGGCAAGAAATAAATTATTTACGAAAGTTGATAATAAAAGACCGGAATGGAATTAGATATGAGTATGTAGAACACCTGCATACACGAAATGAATTTCTGATTGCTTTCATGCAACCTGTTACTCTTGTTCTCCTTGTAATCTTGTAAAGCCATTTCGTCTCAGTAGTCGTCCGTCTTAGCCTCCTTTCTTGAACCTCGTAGTCAAGTCCAATTTGAGCAAGTCCGGTAGTCCCATGCGTTTGTGCGTTTCAGAGCTCACTCTCGAGACTCCTGCTCATCAGAGAGGTTCTCAAAGACCGCTTACCCCAGTTATCGTAGGTCCTTCAGGTCCTTCAGCTCCCTTTGATCTTAGAGAAGAGAATAATACAAACATTTTTCTAAAATAAGTTGGGTCAATTCCTTAATCTTATCTTCTGGACGAAAGCCCAACATCTCAAGTCTGTAACCTCGCCATTAACTGGACTGAGCAGAGGTCGCGAGAGATGCATATGAACAACTTAGCAATATATTGTCACTGTGTCAAAAAGATCGTTCTGTCTTGAACATTCCTGAGATCCTATGAAGTCCATCAATGAAGGTTGTCATCAGTTTTCGTTTGCTTATATATAGTTGTTCGGGTACTACTGTCCGTGGAATCATCTTCGCACCGCTGCATTAAGATTACAGACAATGGCCCAGACACCAGACAGATGAACAAAAATAAATCTACATGTTGCATAAGTATACGCCTTTAACCGGGAAATTGTCAATTTTTCCCAATTTCTCTTGTAAAATCAAGATCACTCGATCCTCGTGATGATGTCACTATGAGGAGTCCTCGCTACTATACCCATAGGTCTTTTGCCTGAGGCACGAATAAGACAGTGGCCCCTTTGACCCCCATTGCAGATTTCCTTCGATTCCTAAGTTCCAACAGACATTGTTGTTGTTTGCAGCGTGGACTTTGAAGGTATTCTCGAACGGATCTCGCCATTATGAGTCGGCCGCAGTATTACGCGAATACCCTCGAGCCGGTCGATATCACGCCAGAGAAGCTACAGAAGACACTCGAGGACTTACTTGTGGCCGTGCGGCGCGGTATCGATGTGATTCAGCAGGAAAGTCCGTCTTCAGAGGACTGGGGCAGCTCTGGTTTATACACAGGACCTGCAGGTATGTTCTGAAGCGTTGACCTCCGATGGCAGGCGGGGGTGGCGTGGATTTGGTGGTTGCGTGAGATAAGATTGCAGATGCTTTTTGACTGTTCTACATATGTACATACTACAATGTTCCCCTGCTAACGAATGTATCTAAGGAATCGCTCTCGCTTTCCTTCGACTCGACCGACAACGTGAATTAATAGCAGTACAAGGCGACTCCCCGACTGATTTTGGCAGAATCGTCCAAGAGAGAATCCCATCGCAAGGACCGAAAGTCAAACTCCAACCGGGAAGGTTATCGCCCGTCGGCTCTTCTTCTCCGCTAACGGCCGTTGTCATGCGCATCTTAGCGGCGGCTTCTTATGGTCAGAAAGTCAATGCGGATGATATCGAGCTTCTACAAGATGCAGTCAATGTTGCGCTTCAGAATGGTCCGATTGTTCCTCACGGGGGACGGATGATGGGAGGAGACGAGGTGTTGTTCGGTAGGGCTGGGCTGCTCTGGGCGGTCTTGAATATTCGAGAGCATACGTTCGATGAGCAGACAATGGCATTCCTGCAGCCTGTCTTTGACACTGTTCCTGCCCTTATCGATGCGATCGTTGACGCCGGAAGACTGGGCCGCAAAGCTTACATCGACAAGCATGGCAGCGAGGGAGCTCTTCCGCTGATGTGGACGTGGATGGAAGGCCACTACGGCTTGGGGCTGTAAGTGGCTGGCCATACGGAGCTCGAAAGTAGGAAGTACTAATGCAGTGGATGAATTTAGGGTCCATGGATTGAGTATGTACCTTTGCAGCTTGCACGGGAAAACGATGAAACTGATTCTTTTCATAGCTGGTATTCTCGCCGTCCTCCTTGCCTGCAGCCCATCGGAGCTCAACGATGGCACCTCACGAACTTATCTCCCCTGGCTGGCTGGCACCGTCACCGGTATCTGTCAACTATGCATTGCTACCAACGGCCACCTTCCCACGGCCATCCCCGCTCGCCATTCCTCATCTCACCGACCCTCTCATCTTGTCCAGATCTGTCACGGCGCTCCTGGAGTATTGCATCTCATGGCCTGCGCCAGGCGAAACACACACTTGGTTTCCAAGTTCTGGGAGCCCACCTGGGATGAAGCCATCCGGCTAGCTAGCGAAAGAACCTGGGAGGAAGGTCTTCTTTCGAAGGGAGGTGGTCTCTGCCACGGAATCGCCGGAAACGCATGGCCGTGGCTACTTCTACACGACAGTTTCGAATACGACATCGACACGACGGCAATTGCAAAGCGCAACTACGCAGAGCGAACCGGGATGACCGGCAGCAAGCCCACGGAACATGAACTGACCGGCGACTATTTCTTGTCGCGAGCGCTGGCCTTCTTGCTCCACTCGCGCGAGACACCCCCTTATGACATGTCCTCTGATATCTATCGTCTTCCTGACCACCCGTTCTCCTTGACGGAAGGATTAACAGGCACTGTTTGTGCGTGGGCGGATGCCTGCGTTGCTATCCAGGCGAGACTTCGGAAGATAGAGTTGACTGCGCAGGGGCCTTGCTCGGGGGTTGCTCTCAAGAGCGATTCTGTCTTCCAAGAGCTCGGGGCTTGTCAATTAGGGTTTCCAACCCTTGCTTATCATAGACCTACTGGTTTGATCTGAGGCGGCATCTGTGCTTTAGAATAGATGGGGTGAAAAGAAGGAATATAGAAAAGATCGGGAGTTGGAAAGGGGGGGATATAAAATCTAAATTGCACGCTCAGCTCGCTAGGAAATATGGGATATATACATGCTATGCATCAGACATTGAAAACATTGAAACAAAAGAGAAGATAAGAGAAATGAATGTAGTCCCAAGCACCTGGCCTGGAATCTATCGCTGCTCAAGAAGAGTTAACTTCAAAGAGCAGATGATTTCAGTATAGAGTAAACCCGGTTCGATACATTGGCGGATGACCTGGAATTTCCGTTCGATATTCGATGCGTTTCGGCATGAAGTTGCCCGATGGTGCCTCGACGGCAACCCTCCAGCGACGCCAGCAATGGCTCGTCTGGTGGTGCGGATCGCCGCAGAAGGTGCAGCGCGTCCCGGCCGGTTTCGACGAAGAGTGATTCTGCTGTGCTCGCGGTTCTGGCTGACTTTGGCTGCGATTCCTGGGTTTCTGGGGTTCGTTGTTCCGCCGCATCTGGTGGATCACATAGTCGTTGATTTCCTCCTGACTCGGCTTCTTTCGATGTCCCCGAACAGTATGCCGACGACGGGGATATCCGTCATCACGGCTCATCTGCTGCACCACGAATGCATTGATGTCGTCCTGAGTGACATCCTCCTCCGGCACGGTGGGGATGTTGGATGGGGGTGGTAGTGGTGGTGGCCCGGCCAGTGGTTCAGCAGGCAAAACCTTTCGAGTTTCATATCGCCCTCCTCGGGCCCCTCGGAGAGCCTTCTCATGGTCGATGGCTAGCTCCGCAAGCTCCTGAAACGTCATCCTATGTTCCGGGTTCGGGGCGTTGATTCGGTTATCCCGCAGCATGGCCGTGGCCCATCCGTCCCATTCGGGCCGCGCTTTTAGCTTTGTCAGAAACAACGTGTTGATCTGAGAGTCTGGAATATCGAAGTCATCATCGATCTGAGTGAGACCTTCCCGCGTCGCCTGGATAAGCGCAATGAAATCGGCTACCGAATCGGATTGGGCAGAATCGAAGTCGACAAACTCGCTAATTTGATGAATCATACGCATATTCCGCTGCCAGGCGTCCATCTTCGGTAACTGGTCAAGGCGACTTGGAGACGAGACAATAAGAGGCCTTAGGGGTGATATGGACCTGGCAGAAGGAGGGGGGCGCTAGAGAGAGGAGATTCTGACCGTCAGCTTTGGGCAATTGGTTTGTTTGCTGCATGAGAGGCGTGACGTCATGTGAGAGCCCTGCATCTTATGTAATGCGATTGTAGATCTACTCCAAACTGTACTCTACTCCCCACCTTCATCTGCAATTCTCGTGAGATACCCTAGGACTCAATTTTGACTTCCTCCGATGTTGCTGTCGAAGAATCTGCCTATCAAATCCCTCTACCAGCCTAAGAATCCCTCGCACTCCGTGCCATGTGGTTGACGCGCCACAGCCTATGAGCATCCGCCGTGAACACGAGGAGTGGCAGTGCTAAGTCGATCCTGGTGATGATGGACGTCTTGGGGGCCATTTTCTTAGCTCAACCGAGTCCGCTTGCTGTTAAGGACGACTACTTCTGCCACTATTTGTTTAGTTGCAAAGCTTTCCCGAACATGACGTCGGTTGAAGCTAGAGGGACGTTTGTCGGTCGCTAGTTTTACGCTGTCATGCTGCCCTACGGTAATTGTTGATTCTCCACTGCATTCGACATAGAAAAAAAAAAAGATGGACATCGTGCCTCCATCCTATCAGTCGGCAACGACGAGAGATGCGTGGTCTATCATTGCTCGCTATATCCCGTCCAGTGACTTATGTGCGGCTGCCCTGGTATGTCGAAGATGGCATGAACTCTTCATGCCGTTTCTTTGGGGGGATCCTGCCTCTCATTTCGGGACCGATAATGATGCTGTATATGGTAAAAATTGAACCGAAAAAGCTTCATTCGATTCCGCATCGTTTACTAACGAACAATTTTGAACGACAGTCGCTCTTACGAGATTTAGGAGGACGTTGAAGTATGCAAGCCTTGCAGTGCGCATGCTAACACACACCCTTCACCTTCCACCGGCCCTGTCTGAGATATACGGAGGTCCGCGTCCAGAATGGCTAAAGGAGGTCCTCCATTATCTCCCCAACCTACAGTCGCTGATTGTATCAAAACTGCCTTTCTTCGACCATAATGCGATGATGGCCCTGAAAGGTACAACCCGAAATGAACAACAGGCCGATACCGCTGTCTCCAATGCATACAACGTCCGCTTATTACTTGCGGATCGGGAGCCCAACACGACTTCGCAGGGTCTTGCGGAAGCACTGCTGAGATTCCCAGAACTGGTGTACCTCGATTTATCATACACAACACCGGCTCGGGATCGTATGGTTCTATCCTCGTTATCCCAACTGGAACACCTCCAGGTGTTGAAATTGCGAGGTATTGGTCTGAAGGATAATGATGCGGAGTTCCTGGCCAATGCTGTTGGATTGCGAGTCCGGTTCTTGGACTTGCGCGAGAACATGCTGACTGACATGGCCGTGCGATCTCTATTACAAGCCTCGTTTCAAACCACGGGCGACGCTGGGATAGGTTCAAGCGAAGGAGCTACAAACACTGGGACATTTTGTGCTTTCCCCCAGTTGACGCCATCGATCTCGAACTCAAACTGGCTGAGCTCCTCAACCTTAGATGAACAGTTCGTGAAAGCATTGACGCAACCCCTGACGGGCCGTTCGTGGGTTGAGGGCCTATCACATAGTGGTATCACGCACCTCTACATAGCGGATAACCAGATTACGGTGGAAGGCGCTGCGAGCCTTCTAGCCTCGTCTAGGTTGCATGTGCTCGACGTGGGTACAGTAGATACCGTGGAGTCTCTCACTCGAAGACCGAGTTCCATACCCTCACAATCCCACGAAGGCTCCCAGAAACTTCCTGGAGCTGAAAAATTGATACCGATTCTTGGGTCCGCAGCCAAGGAAAATTTGACATACCTGAGAGCTCACCATGTCATCTGCACAAATGACAACCCATACAAAGAATCTGTTTCGCTGAACAATTTCCTGCCCGAACTACCAGGCGACAGCGACAGCGACACTGACACCGCGGAAAGGCAAGCAGATGTAGAGCTGGATGCTGCGAATGAGATTCACGAACTCCCCGCTCAAGAGGCCCCGATATTTGAGCTCGAAGGGTCTCCACTTCCACCATCATCGGAGACGCCCGTGAATGGACCTGGTCAGCCGACTATCTACGAAGACGAACCATTAACCTTGCGCCGACGCGGTTCGGCCTTTGCCCCGGAGGTCATTGAGGGCGGACAGTTCCCCGAAGTTGCCAGAATGGATGTGCTAGGAAGTCCCATATCACCAACCGGAGTTCCTTGTGGGCTTTCATTATCCACCGCTTCAAACCCAGAAATCAGTGCGGGACAGACCGGGACAATTCCTCAATGCAGTTCGCTCGTGTCAATGGACGACCCTCGAGGCCAAATGATTCAACAGCTACTTTCCAAGAGACCCAAGAATCAATCGCTCCCACGACGTGATCACAAAGACAACAGCTTTCCGTACTTGCATCCCTCCCATGTTCCTAATCTAGAGACATTGGTTCTGACCGATGTTCCATCCCACGTGCCTGCAAATTCTCCCTACCTGAAGTCTCTAATCCGATTCATCACTGCCTGCTCTAATGAAGCGCTGCTGGCCACTCTTCAAGCAGGCTCTGACTACTCTCTCCCTCCAGGGCGGGATCGTGTGAAGGCCGAGCAGGAACGATCCCGGTCACTCTTTGCTTTACGGCGATTGGTGCTCGAGATCACTCCTACAGAGAAACTGACTGGTCCTGCCCAGCTGACCGCGTGGAAACCCGCTAGCTACCACAACGGGACGTCAAAGTCGACCACAGGAGACCGGGACCTTGAAAACCTGTGGACAGCATCGATGGATGACTTCAGTTTCTTCGACGAGACCGAATGTGGCATTCCCGAGAACGACCCGGGCAAGTATTTCCCGATGGCAGCCCTCAACGAGAAGGTTACCTTGATGCCCGAAGATGACTCTGGGGATTCCACACCCATATCCTCATCTCCAGGCCTGCTTCATCGCAACTCCTCGCTACCGAAGCACATGCGACCCGACGTCACTAGCAGGAGCACAGCTGCTAATGGTACACGTCCACCACAAGTCGAGGAGCCGGAAGTAGACCTGGTCGCCGAACTGGCCGCCTTCCGCCGGGCAAAGAAGGTGGAATATGAAGAAGTAGTACGGCGGGATCGGAAACGGCGCAGCACGATAGGGTCGGCGTCACTGCTCTCGCCTTCGACATCATCGGTTCGATCCGTATCCCCGTCGCCGAGTATACGGTCCACCACAATGGTCTCGACGGCTCAGTTGTCTATGGCTCATTTTGTGGAAGGGAATTGGAAAGGAGAGGTGAAAATCGTGCGAAATGCCGCGCCTAAGGGCCGGAGCGGCGTGGTGGATATGTACGGGAATTACTTCGAGAAGGGGTATTTGTATCCTTGACGAGAAAGATGGACAAAGAGTTTCTTCCTCTGGTCTCCTGAACTATTCCTGCCTGGCATAGCGTATTGTGGACGTGCTACAGTCGATTACTGTGTAGATATATGATAGATCCCAGAGCTAATGATGTGGGCCTAAGTACTCCGCACAGGGCAAGATGATGTAGTGGAAATACTACGGGGCGGGGTCGATTTGTTGGATCCATAATTTTGTCATTTTCTTTCAGTCGTAAACTTGGCGAGGAAGTTCTGTTTGTCGCCAGAGTCATCCGTCATGGTACATACATAGGCCCTCAGGATAGGCAAGTGGTAAAGAAACTAGTCCGTCGGGACCGAGTCCAACAGACCGTCCCGAGTTCTCCACGGTGGGGATACTCATTATCATTGTTCATAGCGTGGGCAAACCGATGTTGAAAAGTCTTTTGTTTTGTTTTAATATCGTCTCCTGCCCACGGACGACCCGTCATGCAAGCCTTCAACCCGAGACTGAAACCCGTTCATTCCATTTGAACCAAGTAAGAAAGTTTGTTCAAGTTCTTAACAAAAAAAGGAAACGAAAAGAAGCAACACAGAAGCCTTTTAAAAAATCATTCCATTTTTCTTCTCTGTTTTAACCTTCCTTACAAAGCCTTGTTGGCCTGAGGGGGAGCCAGCTTCTTGCCGTCCTTGTTGTACCTGATACGGGGAGGGGGGGCACGGTTGCGGCGACCTTCCCGGGAACGGACACTGTGAATCAAACCGTCAGCTTTTGTTCATCTTGGATGGTCTTTCTAAAGACAATTGTGGAAGGAATTTGCAGAGGCGGAGGGCGACGCGTACCGAACGATCTTGCCGTGGATAGCGCAGGAGACGCAGTACTGCAGCTTCAGGTACATCTTGGGGACGGCGTAGTCAGTGAAGACGGAGGCGTCGGAGATATCACCTGCAGGGTAGGAAAGAACCCGAAAGTCAGCACGGTTTGCTCTGGAATTCGCAATCCCGTTCGAGGTTTATCCACGCGGCGCGGCTGTAAAATTCCATTGATTCCATCTGATCATCGTTTCCTGCTTCTCATTCATCTCCTTCATCTTTTTTTCTGTCGTTTCTTGAACTCCAGCTCTTTTCGGAACAACAGCGCGCGCGATGGACGGTGGGATTCATTCAATTGCGAGAAAAGGCTCGAACGTACGGATGGCAGCGGACTCAACCATGTTGCGGATGGTGAATCTCTTGATGGCCTTGTCCTTGGGGACGCAGCGAGCGCAGTTGGAGCAGCGCACGGGCTTAACGTGGCCGCGGCCGTTCTTGTTACGACCGCTGTAAAAAAAGAAAACACACCGGTTAGTTCTTCAAATTCCCATTGAAAATCATCGCGGTCATCTCAGATCCATTGCCGTGTGAATATCGGTTATTTTTCTTGTGGTTCGAATGACAGAACATAGTTCCGCTGGCGTGGTCGATATTGGTAGACACGGACGGACGGCATGAGATAGGGAAGGGGTCGGTCCTTACTTGTTAGCCCTCTTCTTGACCATCTTGACGGATTTCTCTGTAGCGACGGGTTAGAGATGTTCAGTCCGGGAGAAGAGGGAAGGCGCGTACTTGGCTTGTCGGGGTTGGTTGTCGGGAGGCAGGAGACTCTCGTGATAGAGTTGTGTCGGGTTTCAAGGTTGTGTGCGGCTAAGCGAGCCCAGCCCTGAGGGTCACGGTCACGGGATGTGACGGTGTGGGTGCCTTGACACCTGAGTGCCTTAAGACATTGCCGATGCCTGATGGCCTCAGGTCCACGTGATCGGGGCCTTACGGGACCCATCGTCCCAATACGGGTATTGTGTTTACCTGACGGGTGGTCCCATTTGGGATTCTCGTGACCGCAAGCCAATAGTTCGCGCCCCGAACCCCTGTCTGTCTTCTGATATCGTTCGATCTTTGGAGTCATTGCCGGCCCTCCTCTTCCTCTTCCTCTTCTTCCTCGCTCTTCCCTCTTCGTTGTTATCATCCCTTCCTTCCCCCTTCCCCTCATATTTCCCGAACCTCCCCCCCCTTCATTTCCTCTCATTGGATCCCTGCCCCTCCCCTTCTCCAGTTTGGTGACATGTCGGCGACAGGTACTTATAGGGGAACCACCAGCCACAAGACTGTCGGTCGAGGCAGGCTGCCCGACTTCGAGAACAGTCCGCAATCCCACATCCCTCGTCCTCGCCCGGACAGTTCTTCCACAATTCAAACACCCCATACCCCCTCCAGCGATATTGGAAGTTCCACCATGAGTGCCGCCAGTAGCCGGCAGCGACAGAACCAGTCGAAGCGCGATGAGGTATGCCATCTTTCCTGCTTGTTTGTCTCTGCCCAACCTCGGATACCTTCTTTTACCGCCAGTTCGTTTTGACTTTTTGAGTTTTTTTCTGGCTCGCACTTTTGTCCCTTTGGATTTGTGCCATTTTCTGGTTTATTTTTCTCCCCTTGAAAATTGTTTTGTTTCCAATTCGATTTTCTATGCAATTTTTCAATCCCCTCTGTTGTTCATGCCTCCGTGACAAATAACCATGTGATTCAAAGCATTGGAACCACCTGGATCGACTCTAATGCATTGTACCAGGCGATTCGTCGAAAGTTGGAGGCCGACCTCAACAAAAAGAGGCACAATCCCGCCCGTGCCAATCGCTCTCGAAAGGCCCCTCCCGGTACCGTGCTTGCCTTGAAACCCAGCCAGGCCCTTCAGATCAAGCCCAACACCACCATCGCCGAAGCCGCTCAGTTGATGGCCGCAAAGCGGGAGGATTGCGTGCTGGTGACCGACGATGATGATCGAATTGCCGGTATCTTCACCGCGAAGGATCTCGCTTTTCGCGTGGTCGGAACCGGACAGAAGGCGCGAGAAATCACGGTGGCCGAGATTATGACGAAGAACCCATTGTGCGCCAGGACGGATACCAGTGCCACGGATGCCCTCGACCTGATGGTGAGGAAAGGATTCAGACATTTGCCGGTCATGGACGAGAACCAGGATATTTCGGGTGTCCTTGATATCACCAAGTGCTTCTACGATGCGATGGAGAAATTGGAGCGCGCCTACAGCTCGTCTCGGAAGCTCTACGACGCGCTGGAAGGTGTGCAGACGGAACTCGGCTCCAGCCAGCCCCAGCAGATCATTCAGTACGTGGAAGCGCTGCGGTCGAAAATGTCCGGGCCTACTCTGGAGACGGTCCTGGACGGCATGCCCCCGACCACCGTCTCGGTCCGTACCACCGTTAAGGATGCTGCGGCCCTGATGAAAGAGCATCACACCACTGCCCTGCTGGTGCAAGACCAGGGATCCATCACCGGTATCTTCACCAGTAAAGATATCGTGCTCCGTGTCATTGCGCCCGGCATGGACCCCGCTACCTGCAGCGTCGTTCGGGTGATGACGCCGCACCCTGACTTTGCTCCCAGCGACATGAGCATCCAGGCTGCGCTCCGCAAGATGCACGGTCCGTACACCCCAATCAAGCTGGAGGAATCCACCACATTGACTAACGTTGGTATACTTAGATGGCCACTACTTGAACCTGCCCGTTATGAATGAGGGCGGAGAAATCGTGGGAATGGTGGATGTGCTGAAGCTCACCTACGCTACCCTGGAACAGGTCAGTATACCAAGGAGGGACTGAGCTCCGCCATTGATCCAGCGTGGTCCGCTAACACTGCCTATTCTAGATCAACTCGATGTCAACTCAGGATGATGAAGGCCCTGCCTGGAACAAGTTCTGGCTGTCCATGGACCATGAGTCGGACTCGATGGTTTCGGGCAGCCAACAGCAAACTCATAACCGGTCAGTGATGAGCCCTGAGTCTCCCAAACGTGGTTATGACACCAGAGACAGCGTGCTCCCGAACGAGTCCGCCTCCCACCACGGGGGAGATGAGCACTCAGAGTTTATCGACCATCATCATTCTGAGCTTGCCCCGTTCCCCTTCAAGTTCAAGGCACCCAGCGGTCGTGTGCACCGGGTCAACGTTCTCCAGACAGCCGGCGTTGCTGATCTGATCTCTCAAGTCTCCGCCAAACTAGGCCAAGAGGTCGAAGCGGTCGGAGGCGCGGCCATTTGCGAGGACGGCAGGTTGAGCGACACAGGATATGCTTTGAGCTACTTGGACAACGAGGGTGACACCGTTTCGATCACTACCGATCAAGATCTTGCCGACGCCGTGACCCTTGCACGACAATCGCGCCGGGACAAAGTTGATCTCTTCGTTCACGATCCTACGCAACCCCCGATCCCTGTTACTGTGGAGCCGCAGCCAACGCCTGCCAAGCCCGTGGAAGAGAAGATCACTCCCATCTCTGAAGAGCTACCAAGCGAGGAGCCCATCGAGACGAAGCCACGGTCTCAGAGCTTCCAGTCGCATCACCACCAGGAGGAGCAGTTGATTGCCGGCGTTCCCAACGACCTGCTCCTGCCCGGCGCGATTGTGACATTGGCGGCCGTGATCGCAGGTGTGTTTGTGCTCAGTCGGGCCACTTCTCGGTAAATGAGAAGTTCCAGGGTCGAGGATGGTGGAGGACAGGAAATATTGTAAAACTTTTTTATCTTTTCCCTCGTGCTTTGTTCATGTTGGTTGGCCTTTTCTCGATCCCTTCAGCATTTTCTTCACTCTGTCATTGTTATGTCTTCTCTGTACCCCTCGTAGCGTTTTTTCATCCCAATTCCCTTTGATCGAAAACTTCCTGGTTTTAATATTTTCTCTTAGAGAGTTAGAGTATTAGGATACCTGATTGTATGCATACTAGCAGACATCCATATATACACATACATAGCTGTTTCTCTCTCTGACAGAGTAGTCCGTAGTAAGCGGCGTAGTCTGGCTGTGCCGGGGTGCCTGAATGCCTTGATGCCTGAACGCCTCACTTGGCGGGACGGCCCAAAGGGGACTAGCGCGGCGGTGCCTCGAAAGGCTGGAATTTTTTGGTTGGACCTTTTGGACTTCATCCCACATCCTTTATTCCCTCTCCCCCTCCCTTCTTCCCAGCACCTCTACTCTGGCTGGGATGCTGTGCCTGCCTACCTCTTCTGCCTGGAATTGAGTTCTCGTCGATTTCAACCCTCCGACCTCGTGGACTGCCAAGGGTCGTCTTAGCTTCCACTTCTTTCACGATCACCCCCACCAAAACAACCTCCTAAAAAATTCCCATTTAACGCCCTACCCCACTTACCACCTCGGACTCAGCGCCGACCTCCCGTGTCTTTTCTTCCCGTTTTACCACTGGGATCTTTGCACCTTCGACCTCCCATCCGTATCGTCAGGACCGAATCGGCGATATGTCATTGCTACCTCCCGAAGTTCACTCGGCGCTCTCGCAGCTCCTGCGCGCGTTGACCACCGCCGATAATACGATCCGTGCTCAGGCCGAAGAACAGTTGAACAATGATTGGATTGTCGCCCGTCCAGATGTGCTCTTAATGGGCCTGGTGGAACAGATTCAGGGCGCAGAAGATATTGCCGTAAGTGTCCCGGCTTTTCGCTTGAACTTCTGAACAGCAACGTCTTGTCTTCCCCCTCCCCCTCCATTGCATACCGGGGAGCTGGTTGGAGGAGCAGTCTCGTATTGATCGTGTCTTTCTATTCTGCAGACCCGGGCATTCGCCGCAGTATTGTTCAGAAGAATCGCGACCAAGACGCGAAAAGACCCCGTCACAAATGAGGCCCGGGAACTCTTCTCGACTCTGACCACAGACCAGCGCCTGGTCATTCGACAGAAACTGGTGACATGCCTGACCACGGAGTCCGCGACGGATGTGCGAAAGAAGATTGGAGACGCCGTTGCAGAGATTGCGAGACAGTACACCGACAATGGTATGCTCAACACCGACCGTCTGCTTTTATGATCCTTCCCTTGCACCCCGGAAATTCCTTTTCCGAACTTGATGAGTGACTCCTCTAGGTGACCAATGGCCCGAGCTCCTGGGAGTCCTCTTCCAGGCCAGTCAGTCGCCCGATGCCGGCCTGCGTGAGGCCTCGTTCCGCATCTTCTCGACCACTCCCGGTATCATCGAGAGGCCCCACGAGGATGCCGTTGTCGGCGTCTTCAGCAAGGGCTTCAAGGACGACCTTGTCACCGTGCGCATTGCCGCCATGGAGGCCTTCGCTTCCTTTTTCCGCTCCATCTCCAAGAAGTCCCAGCCCAAGTTCCACTCGCTCATGCCCGAATTGCTCAACATCCTGCCTCCGCTAAAGGAGTCGTCCGAGAGCGACGAGCTTTCGTCGGCTTTCCTGGCTTTGATTGAGCTGGCCGAAACCTCGCCGAAGATGTTCAAGAGCATGTTCAACAACCTGGTCAAGTTCAGTATCAGCGTCGTTGCCGACAAGGACCTGAGCGACCAGGTCCGACAGAATGCGTTGGAGCTGATGGCCACCTTTGCCGACTACGCCCCGGGCATGTGTAAGAAGGACCCCGAATTCGCCCGCGATATGGTGACTCAGTGTCTGAGCTTGATGACCGACATTGGCGTCGACGATGACGATGCTTCCGAGTGGAACTCGTCGGAGGATGTATGTGATGGCCCCACAACCGACTAGACTTCTTTTGTAGTTGATGCTGACTTTCAGAAAGCTTGACCTGGAAGAGAGCGATCTCAACCACGTCGCTGGTGAACAGTGCATGGATCGCCTGGCCAACAAGCTTGGCGGTCAGGCCGTGCTTCCCCCTACCTTCTCCTGGATCCCTCAGATGATGTCGTCCTCCGCCTGGCGTGATCGGCACGCAGCTCTCATGGCCATCTCCGCTATCTCTGAAGGTTGCCGCGACCTGATGATCGGTGAACTCGACCAGGTGTTGGGCCTGGTTGTGCCCGCTTTGCAGGATCCCCACCCTCGCGTCCGCTATGCCGGCTGCAACGCATTAGGCCAGATGAGCACTGATTTCGCCGGTACCATGCAGGAGAAGTACCACGGCATTGTGCTGAACAACATCATCCCCGTGCTGAACAGTGTGGAGCCCCGTGTCCAGGCACACGCCGCCGCGGCTCTGGTCAACTTCTGCGAAGAGGCCGAGAGACGGGTTCTCGAACCGTACCTCGCCGAGTTGCTGCGGCATTTGCTGCAGCTCCTGCGTAGTGAGCACCGCTATGTGCAGGAACAGGCCCTCTCCACGATCGCCACGATTGCGGACTCTGCTGAGAATGCATTCGACCAGTACTACGACACGCTGATGCCCTTGCTCTTCAACGTGCTCAAGGAAGAGCAGTCCAAGGAGTACCGCCTGCTGCGAGCCAAGGCCATGGAGTGCGCTACCCTGATCGCCCTGGCTGTGGGCAAGGAGAAGATGGGCCAGGACGCTCTGAACCTGGTGCAGCTGCTGGGTAACATCCAGCAGAACATTGTCGATGCGGACGACCCGCAGTCGCAATACCTGCTCCACTGCTGGGGCCGTATGTGCCGGGTTTTGGGCCAGGACTTCGTTCCCTACCTTCCCGGCGTCATGCCCCCTCTTCTGACGGTTGCGGCCGCCAAGGCGGATATTCAGTTGCTTGACGACGAGGACCAGATCGACCAGGTGGAGCAAGATGAGGGCTGGGAGCTGGTGCCTCTGAAGGGCAAGATTATTGGTATCAAGACCAGCGCGCTTGAGGACAAGAACACCGCCATTGAGTTGATCACCATCTACGCGCAGATCCTCGAGGCCGCCTTTGAGCCTTACGTCTTGGAGACGATGGAGAAGATCGCCGTGCCCGGTCTGGCCTTCTTCTTCCACGACCCCGTTCGGGTGTCGTCGGCGAAGTTGATCCCCCAGCTTCTGAACTCCTACCGGAAGGCCTACGGCGAGTCGTCGCCTGGTTTCGCGCAGATGTGGAACAAGGTGGCCGAGAAGATCATCGAGGTGCTCAGCGCCGAGCCCGCGGTCGATACGTTGGCCGAGATGTACCAGTGCTTCTACGAGTCCGTGGAGGTGGTCGGCAAGAACTGCCTCACCCAGCAGCACGTGCAAGCGTTCATCGAGTCGGCCAAGTCGACGTTAGAAGACTACCAGGTGCGCGTGAAGGCGCGACTAGAGGATCGGGCCGACGCCGAGGACGGCGACGAGGAGAACCTCGACTACGAATACGCAGTTGAGGACGACCAGAACTTGCTCAGCGACATGAACAAGGCCTTCCACACCATCTTCAAAAACCAGGGCACGTCATTCCTGCCCGCCTGGGAAACTCTCATGCCGTTCTACGACGCCTTCATCACGAGCCAAGACCCCACGCAACGCCAGTGGGCTCTTTGCATCATGGACGACGTGCTGGAATTCTGCGGAGCTGAGTCGTGGAAGTACAAAGACCACATCATGCAGCCGCTGGCCGCTGGACTGCGGGACCAGAACGCGGCCAACCGCCAGGCCGCTGCTTACGGAGTGGGAGTTGCTGCGCAGAAGGGTGGCGAGGCCTGGAGTGAGTTCGTCGCCGCTAGTATCCCGAGCCTGCTGCAGGTTACCCAGATCAACCAGGCGCGGTCAGAGGAGCATGTTTATGCGACCGAGAACGCCGCGGCCAGTATCGCCAAGATCTTGCACTTCAACAGCAGCAAGGTGCAGAACGCCAACGAGATCGTCGCCAGCTGGATCACCACTCTGCCCATCACGTTTGACGAGGAGGCCGCTCCCTATGCCTATTCCTTCTTGGCTCAGCTGATTGACCAGTAAGCTTTTTATTTCCTTCCTACTGGTCCTTTACTAACGCTTTGACTTCAACAGGCAACATCCCGTGGTGATGTCGAACGCCGACAAGGTGTTCGGGTATATCGTGCAAGCTCTGGAGAACGAGACTTTGCAGGGACAAACGGCCGGACGAGTGGCCACCGCGGCCAAGCAGCTGGTAGCCAGCACGGGGTTGAATGCCGACCAGATCCTGGCGGGTGTGAACCCAGACAACCAGGCGGCGGTGCGGAGTTATTTCCAGTAGAGACGGGCGCAGCAACGGAGGAAATTGGTTTATTAACAAAGGCGTGATATGGGAACGAGTGGGTGCCGGCTCTATTTGTCTACGTGAATTATGGTTGTTTCTAATTTCCCATTTGATTACCCCCCTGAATCTACAGCGTGTGCCCTCCGTTGGTCGGTGATTGTACACTGCGTAGACCGGATTCTTGTTCTTTCCCCCCCCCTTGTTCTCGCATTTCTTTTCGGTTCTTCAAGAAGAATATATACACAATATATGTTCATTTCATAAACTTCATGTGCTTCATTTCCTGCATGCGCTACTGCTGCTACTCTGACATACATACATATCCTTACTGCAGTTCTCTCTCTGTATTAGCCCACCACCAAGCTCAAGATGTCCAGCACCTGCTCCTTCTTGGTCAACGGCACAGGGTTCGTCTGACACCAGTGGTCATGCAAACTGTTAGCCGCCAGCGTATCGAGCTGCTCGGCTCCCACCCCGACCTCTTTCAGCGAGCGTGGCATTCCCAACTCACGGATCACCACGTCCAACACGTCGGCCAGATTGGCCTGCTGGCCGTCGACGCCGTGATCCTTCAGGGATCCCGCCACCGTGGGGTCTTCGACTAGGAAACGACGCAGACGGTCCTGGCGCTCGTTGTTGGCGTTGTGCGTGGCGTTGTACTTGCATACGGCTGGGAGGAGAATGCAGCTTGTTTCGCCGTGGCCGACGCCGAGGGGACCGAGCTTTTGCAAAGGAAATTAGCATCTTGGTCCTCTTCATATAAGAGACAAAGGGTTCGGGAGGAGGGAAAGGGGGCTTCTGAGAGAAAGAGGAAGAGAGAGAATACACACCTGATGACCAATCCCATGACTAGCACCCAACTGCACCGCCTCCCCACTCGTGCACGCCGCCATAGCATCCACGGACCCCAACTGGCACGACAAGCGAGCCTCCAAATCGCCCGGATCACGCTTACACCGCAGCAGCGACGGCACGAGCAGGCTCAGGGCATGACGGGCCAGGGCATCAGTCTTCTCACTCGTCGACTCCGACACGGCCACGTACGTCTCGACGCAGTGGTCGACGGCACGCACGCCCGTGCTCAACCAGATCCGCTCCGGCGTGGTGGTCGTCAGCGCCGGGTCGAGGATGATCAGCTCCGGGCCTTTCAGCGGGGCCTGAAATGCGTGCTTCCGCTTCGAGGCGTCGTCCGTGGCGCCGGCGAAGTTCGAGTATTCGCCGGCGGATAGAGACGTCGGAACGGAGATGATGGGGATCTGGGGCGCATGGATATCGAGGCGCTGGTCGGGTCCCACGGCGAGGGTGGAGAGGTCGGATGTGGTGGAGACGGAGTTGGCGAGGGCCTGAAGTTTGTTTATGGTCAGTTCTCAGTCAATCTAGTGGGTGGGTGTTGATGGATTTTTGTTTTGTTTGTTTTGTTTGCCATTGCTTAATAGATTGATTGAGGGAAAGAGAAAAAGGGAAAGGAAGAGACAGAGGGTAACGGAGAGAGAGAGAGAGAGAACATACCAAAGCAATAACCTTCGCCCCATCTGTCAAACTGCCCCCTCCAACAGTAATCAGAAGGTCCGCCTGTACACGGCGCACATCATGCACGATCTCCAACACCTCGGACCACAGGGTATGACTCTGCATGCCGACGCGGACGCCGACGAGCCTGTCGGGTCCCAGGGCCTGACGCATCCGATCCAGCACGTCGGTGTTGCGCGCCAGTGACCTCGAGCAAATCACGTAGACGCGCTCGGCATGGAAGGTTTCTTGCACGTGGTGGGCGGCGGCGGCGGGGAAGGGGATCCCGTAGGAGAGGATGGGCCGCGAGCGGTCGGAAAAGGCGGCGCGAACGGTTTCCATTCTAACCCCTAGGACTTTCTCTTGGGGTACTAGATGTAAAGAAAAGGGAGTGTATTGATGGATGTGTATGAAGAGAGGATGGAGGGGGAAGATATACTCCGATGGATGATGTGGGAGCGAAGAATGAAATCATCGGCGCTTGTTTCCATGTGGGGATGTGGGGCCGGTGGAGCGGAGCGGAGAGGAGTGGAATTTCTTGTCATCAGAGTCAGGGCATGCATGAACTCATCTTCAGATCCATTCTTATTATTGAACACCAGAAACGCCTTCCGGTAGGTCATCCCTTCCCGATTCATAAAGCCTGCAGAGAATGCCTCCGTCCTCTCGAATCCCTGTTCCAGGCAGATGGGTCACCGATAGATCTTCCTTACCAGTGCCATTAAATACATAGTTTGAAGAGTAAAAGAAAAGTGAAAGTCAAAGGATCATGAGGAGATCGTCCAGATTTTGAAGTAACCTATGAACCGCCCTCGTCCTCATCTACCACGGCCGCCCGCAGCTCCCAAACAATGTCGTAGCATTCCGCCAGCAACGCGTTGACACTTCCTTGTCCTTCGGGGATATCACTTCCTACGTAGAATTTGCCATCGACTCGCATGTTATCGATCGAGTTGAGCTACTACAGGTTAGCGACCCAATGTAGTGGTAGGCCTGGGGAACCTGGTACGGGGACCCACCTTCATGCTGTAGGGGTAGAGCTCGCGCGAGTTCGACACACCGCCGGACTCTTTGACCTCGAGCAGACATCGCCGCAGGGTTTGTAGCTGGTTGTAAACCGGCAGTAATGCCTCCGACACGGGCTCCGACGAGATCAGCAGCGCATAAATGTATCCGTAGCTTCTCCGGATCAGATACAACAGCGTCTAGACGGGTCGGTCAGTTCACGAGCCACAACCAGAAGTCTCACGGATGAATAATGCCTACCCTCTGTGCATGGATATCTGCCGGCTGCCCTTGTGCATCCACGAAGTTGCCGTTGATGCGCGCCTCGTCAATCCGATCGAGTTTGCGCTGGTAACCAAAGAGATCGGTCTCACGTAGCGACCACGCCTGCGTCACCGACAAGCGGTCCAACTGGTTGCGAATATCCAACAGACGCTCGTATTGCTCTTGGAATCGATCGTCGATTTTTCCCTCCCTGAGTCGCATTAGCCTTGGCAGGTTCTAATAGGGTCTTCGAAATGCATCATTCCCTACCGTTCGAGGACGATTTCCGTCCATCGCCAGCAGCGCTCCATCAGGCGCTTCGGTCCGTCCTGGCCGTTAAGCACAGATCCGTCGGGACCCACGAAATTGCCGTCTTTCATCGTGCCCTCGATCTTCTTCAGCTGGTTCCGAAGTCCGTTGACTTCCGTCGCGGAGAACTATAATCCCGTCAATGATCTGCCTGAGTCCGATGCTCAACCAAAGAGCAAGGCATACCTTAGACCGAGTATTGACAGCGGAGGTAGATCGCAGAATGGACACAAGAGTCTCATGTGTTGACGCGAGGTCGGGACTCAAAGCGGACAGACCGCTCCGCAGCTTCGTCAATAGCCGCTGGCATTTCTCCAAACGTCGCTCTAGGAGGGTGAGGAGCGCCGGTGAATATGCGTCGCGACAGCGTTCAATGGTCTCGGTCATGTTGGCCAGTGTTTTGGTGATCGAGTCCAGGTCTTTTGAGCTGTAGAAACCGGCCTCTTCAAGGTGGTCAAGCAATCGCTACGAAGAGTACACATTAGAATCACAAGATCATCTGCGAGCGGAACAGGGTCGGACATACTTGCACAGTGGTCGCAAGGGAGTAACTATGTTTCCACCGACCGATCGTTAGCCTCGGGTTGGAGAGAGTATGCCGCGGGGAGATCGGAGACAGTCCACATACACTGCGGGAGCTTCGTTGTTTCGCCCCACCGTCAGGAACAGCAGGGAAATCAATTGGAAACAGTCGTCCAAGACGTAGTCCACTATATAGTCGGATTCAGAACAGTCGCAGTCAGCCTAATATTCCCGAGAAAAGTTCACGTTCACGCGCAAGAGGCCCAGTCGGATGCTAACGTCGGTTATGTGACAGCCGGCGGTCTCCTTCTTTCCGCACGGCATTGAGCTTCTCCACTTCCCCAATCACTTCTTCGTATAAAGGGAGTACATCGCGAGATTTGATATATGAGGACTTGTCTTGTTTGATTAATATAAGGGCATCGCGAGTGTGCAGCAACCGGTCGAGAATCGGCTGTTCGTGCGGATCCAGCGGAGCGGGGACGGCGGGGGAATCCATGACGCCGGAGAGGGGGCAGGAGGGGAGGGGAGGAGGAGGAAATCACTAGAAGAGTCGAAACGAGGTTGAGGAAAGATAGTAATATGAAAGAATTATAAAGAATATCAATCCGCGGAGAGGAGGTAGTATACAAGACTCGGGAGAACGAAAGAAACGAAGGAAGAAGAAAGAGAGCAATCGGCAGCGACGCAAGCGACGGGGCGATCAGGCGATGATGGCATCGAGCAGCGACCGGGCCCGATGCGGACTAGCGCGTAGTCACGGGAGCACGTCCAGACTAATCCCGATCGGGGCAGCCCTAAGCGAGGTCACGCGGCGCCACACACAACATTCCTTCCGCTCTGGGCGAAGCGGCCAATTGACTCTCCACGACAGAAAAAAAGACCTCCTCTTCCCTTCTCTTCTCTTAATCTGCATCCCTCTCGACACTCCAGTCCTCAGTCAACCCTCACCCCGTCGACCATCATGTCTACTGCTGAGCTCGCTTGCTCCTACGCGGCCCTCATCCTCGCCGATGACGGTGTCGAGGTGACCGTACGTATTAACCCTGGATCTGATTTTCCCCGGAGATATTGGTGGTAGTGGACATACATGAGTGGCGATTCTGAGGAGGAGGACGAAACGCTTTGGATACTGGTCGCGACGCTGCAAGGAATGCGATGGAGGGGTGGTGGAAAGAATCTGCGCACGGAATCTGGGAAATACGAGTGGTGCATCTCGAAACATGTCAGGCTAATTGATCATCTTTTGGATTTATACAGGCCGACAAGCTCCAGACCCTCATCGGTGCCGCCAAGGTTCCCGAGATTGAGCCCATCTGGACCTCCATCTTCGCCAAGGTAAACTACATTCCGGAATGATTTTTCGACGCACGGAGTGATCGACACATCTTGCGAATATCGAATGACTTGGAAATGCGATCGGCTGCTTACGCTTTGGGTATCTATAGGCTCTTGAGGGCAAGGACATCAAGGACCTCCTGACCAACATTGGCTCCGCTGGTCCCGCTGCTGCCGCCCCCGCCGCCGGTGGTGCCGCCGCTGCCCCCGCTGAGGCTGCTGAGGAGAAGAAGGAGGAGGGTAAGAAACACTCGATGGACCCGGGCTTGTGCCGCCGGAGTGATGCAGAGACTAACGCATTGGCTTTACAGAGAAGGAGGAGTCCGACGAGGACATGGGCTTCGGTCTCTTCGACTAAGCGTCCTAATACGTTCGGCTTTTCTGTTTTTCCTTTATTCCTCGTTTCTTTCCTATCGAAATTTCCCCTTCGCTTTCCTTGTACCCGATACTGCGCGACTGCATGATGAACCAAAAGGGAAAACTAAAAAGAAGAATACACGGACAAGGACATCCGGTGGGACTGGGCGCTGGGCTTGCATGATGGGTTTCGTCGTGACAGAGGTACTGGTCCGGATGACGATAAGATTCTGGCTCGCAGGAAAATCAGGAATTAGTTGCATACATATCGATGGCCGGAGGCGAGATCCCGTTGGCCGTCTTCGACTCTCTGTATGATATGTTTCGAGTTTTAGCTAGTTTCGAGCTATAAGGTGCCCAGCTCTCATGCCATGTCTGTCATGCGACCATGAACAAAAGGTTTCCGTCTGCATTTTCTGTATCACTATAAAAGCTTCCTGTCTGGGGCAGAGGTAGAATCTATATTAAAGAAAAAAACACATGTAAGTCAAAGCAACGACGCCACGCCTATTCCCAACCGTCCAACTTTTTTTTGAGAAGTCGCAAGTAAAGCTCCAAAAGGTCAGGCTCCGAAATCCAATCAACTTTTTTATAGTCAAGCGCCAAATAAAAAGATAAAGCAAGAACAATCGATAAGCTGCGCGCAAATCACGTCCAAACGCGCTAACCTGTTAGCGTGTGGGATTTTACATCAAACACAAAAAAGGAAACAGTCAGCCCTAGTAGTTGTGCTGTTATACCACCGCAGCGGTCGAGTCGGCCGCGGCGTAGAGCCGAAATTGTATGAAAATCGCGATGTCTTCTACCATCGTTCCCAGAGACCCAATCAGCCAGGGGACATTGGTGATGACGTAGTTTCTCTCGGTAGAGTGGCACAGAATCTATACAAAAAATCATCGATTAGTCTGGAGTCACTGCGGTCGCGAATCAGTCCAAGTTGTTGGAGGAAGCATACCCCGGCACCGTAAGTCAGGTTTCCCATGAGAGATAGAATAAAGAACAAGAGAGACAAGCCTATCAAGATCATCGGGTTAGCGATCTCGTGTTGGATTTCCTTTGCTGCCTTGCGTCCGTAACCTGCATAGGTAATCACATCACATACCCTCGCATGATTTGTCACAGTAGTTCTTGTAGATCTGTGGGAGACGCGCACTGTTTTTATTTATCACTCAGGTCAGCACTTTATTCCAATTTTGTCTGCTGAGAGTGTCCAGTCATCCCATGGTACATTCGTTGCGCGTGCGCCAACTCCATATAAACCCAGGACCGGTGACTCACCCGAGATAGCAGATCGCGCTGAAATAGCCCACCAGCTGCGCTCCGGCTGCCATATCGACCCCGCCGTGGTTCTCCTGAGGAGCAGGTTTCCAGACCCCCGACTGCCACGCGACCGTCCACCCAGCCATCCCGATCACGCAGATAGCCAACACGCTGCTGAAATTCTTGAACCAAGCGTTGCGACCGGTGTCGTTCTCCTCGACGATCTTAGCCAGTGTCCCGTCGGCGCCGTTGGCCTGCTGCTGCTGTTGCTGCGCCGTCCATGAGCGACGACGTCCCGTCGCATTATCCGGCAGGTTGTCGCTGAAGCGCCGGCCTAGCAAGGGGGTCGTCGGGTCCGGGGTCTCGACGGAGGATCGGCGACGGTTGAGGGCGTAGGGGTTGGCGTTCCGCGCCTTGTAGTACAGACATTGCGTGATGAGCACCCCGTCCGCGATGCAGAAGTACACGGCGATGGCGATGATGACGGGGACCAGCCCGGCCCAGACGCCTCCGATCAGGTTGGCCACGTCGCCGACGAACCAAACGAACAGGAACAGAAAGGAGATGGCTTCGGCGTTACCGTTGCGGTAGTTCTCTATGAGTTGGGGCACCTAGGAAAGAGAGGGGGTCATGTGTGTCAATAGGGATGAGGATCTTATCTCGACCAGCATTTTCTCCTGCGCAGGCCGAGCGCAACAGCAGCGGTTTCCCACATACCAGTAGAAAGATCCAACAGGTGAGAGAAATCGAGCCCAGCAGACCCGATGCTGCCTCGCGCGGCGTCAACGGTACCGTCTCTGCGGCCGATGAACCGCTGACTTGGGTCCAGAGAGCGGACATTGTTGGATTCGAATGACGCAATTCTCAATTTCTCATGGGATTCTCTATGGCGATAGCGCAGGTCGAAATACAATTCACAACAGTCGATTTTGATGGCGCAGAAACTTGAAACCGTCGAAGGAGGGGGTTGGCGGTTTTTTCACGATGGTCTGATAAGAAGAATGAAAGCGAATCATGGAAGAGGATTAGTTAATTAATCAGTTGATTTAGTTCCGTTTAGCTCGTCGCGATGACGGGTGGAGCCGTTCGCTGCGAATGTTTGACTAAGCCGCAAAAAGGGGATTCGGAGATCAAGATTCTTTCATTCTTTTCCATGGGAACCCCTTTTCTTTGTCCTTTGGCTTTGAGTCATTAGATCGGTCGTGGCTGCTATTCGGATGGTGATGGGTTTGCGTTTGCATGGCAGCTCAGCCGACCTTCTATACTCGGTGTACTCCGTAGACTCGCGGGCGGAGTGGAAATTTAGAATGTTCTATGCTTCTACGGAGTAAAGACTAGTTGTTTTCGTTGGACCCCCTTTTGGACTTCGATTTCAAAACAAGTTTTCTGTACAACTTCACTGCACGGGGTATCCAGAGCTAGAATCAAACCTCTTCCTCTTCTTCATACTGCAGCAGCTGGAGCTCGTCTTGCAGCATGTCCAACACCAAGTCACCCAAGGCCACCTGAATGCCTTCGAACATCCTCGGGCGACTGTCTGGCGGGAGGACAGCCAGGGCATCCACATACTCGGTTAGTGGGGAGTAGTCCACCACGTCCCCCCAGTTCCCACGGTCCACTCCATACTGGCGAAGGAATTCTTCTAGAACGAACATGCCAGTGCCAAAGATCCAGGACTCCAAACGCGGCACATCGTCGGCCGGTGGGTGTTGGTGGGTTGGTTGATTTTCTGGATTTTCGTCCGGACTATATGGGGCATCGCCGGCCGCTTCGCCTTCGCCTTCGTCCTCACCCTCACCCCCACCTCCTTGGAAGGGAAAATGTAGTCCACCATTGTTGAGTTGGTCTAGGAGATCGCGAAGCCATTGGGGCCGGCCAACCTCCGGTACCTGAGACAGATATGACGGCGTGGGATCGGACTGTTGGCGGAAAGCCTCCGAATCATAGGGGGGCAGGGGGTCGGATGCCGATATCCGCCCGGAGACAAAACGCCCCGGGAGGTGAGTCGTAACACGAGGAATGTCGGAAAGGACGACGTGGCGAGCGATGTCAAGAGTGATCTCCGGCGGCTCCACCGGTTCCTCCTCTTCGCCCAAAGTGTCTGCGACCTCTACGATAAGGGAGACGGCCTCTGGAGTGTTCCAAAGATCCTTGGCTCGCGCGATGTAGAGTTCCGTAAACAATTCGTGAGCATCGGTGGGGGGCATCTTGCCCCAGATTCTTTTCGGCATGGGCTGAATATCCAGCTCCTGGGCCAGCTTGCAGAACACCCACGGGTAGCGTGACATGGCCCGGCGCAGCTGCTCCCGGCATTCCTTGGGTTTGTTGAGTCGGAGGTAGGCCAGCGCCAGGGAGCACTGAATGTTTGGCAGCGATGACCAATCCTTGCTCAATCGCGTTTGCGTGCAGAGCTCAACGAAGTGGGAATACTCCCGACCCCGAAGGGCCAAACTATCGATCAAAAGCCGGATACAATAAGGATCGCTGGCGTTTAGACTCAGCAGGAGCTTCGCCCATTCGTACGCAGTCCGCCAAGTCCCTTTCATTCCTAGATTAGCGATGTAGCGCCAACCAACCAGCCATAGCTCGCGGTTTTCTCCGTGTAAGAAGTCCAACTTGGCCTGACCTTCCTTGAGACGGGTGTTGAAGGTTGAGTGAGCCGAACGTCCAATGTTGAAAAGAGCCCGCTCAAGTAGGTCGGCGGAGACTGCGTGATCACCCTGATGCTTGGCAATCTCTGACACCTGAAGAAGGGTTGAGATATGGTACGGATTGTATTGCAACAGGGCGATCATCCTCTGAGGGTCCATCGACTCCACACAAATGTCAAACTGCCGCTGAATATCTTCATACGAAGCATTGTAAACAATCCGATAGACCGTAGCTCCGGTATCCAATTTCTCGGCTAACTCCATTCCTAGCCCTCCACTCGGCGCGCGGGGCCACTCATCCTTGCCTTGCATCAGAACATTCCGTCGTAGCGTGACACCGGCTAAGCTCTGTCCTCGACTGGCAGGACTATATCTACCCGTGAGCGCCTGTCCAAGATCGATGGTTTCCCGGTTCCGGTCTCTCCTACGGCCGGTGCCAGAATCCTGAGGCTGATCGAAATTCTCCAACACCACGTTGCCAAACAACTTGCGCATTTCATTGTTTGCATTGAGAGCCTTGGGTTCAATGGCCAGTAGATCCTCCGGTGTCTTTGCGAATGCAGCATCGCGTGCGGCCTGTGTCGAGGCAGCGCTGGTGTTTGCGGGCGCGGACGTAGGCTGATTGGGGTCGACTGCCAATTCTTTCAAGGCTCGATCAATTTCATCCAGCTCTGCGCCCTTTGATTTGGCGCCAGCCTGCTCACCCTGCGCAGCTTTCGGGGATGCCTTCTTCTTCTTGTTCTGCTTTTTCTTCTTCTTATAATCGGCGGGTTTCGGAGGAGCGGGCTCGCTTTTCACCGGCTGAGTGACGGGTTCTGGAGCCTCTTCCTCGGAGACTTGTTCATCGTCGTTGTCGTCGTTATCGTCATCATCAGCCGCATTGAGGAGATCAAAGGCGTTCAACTTTGGCTTTGATGGCCGTGCTACCGGCTCATCTTCGCTTGAGTCACGGTCTTCTTGCTCTGCTTGCTGCAACTCTTGGTCGCGCAGCTTTTGCAGCTTGCGAATTGCGCGGGAGGACATTCGGGATAGGGAAAGGGTGTGCGCGAAAGGGATAGAGGAGGTTTGGGTCGAGTAAAAGAAAGAGTAAAACCTCCAGAGAATCTTCGATCCGCGGGGAATGACGACACAGCCTGTTTGGGTTTAGTGCGGGACCATGGTATTTACCGTCCGTACCGTATTGTGTACGCTATGGCGTCACCTGACGTTGATGCCTGAGTGCCTGGACTCCGCTGACCTCCGCATGAATTCCCCGGAGAGAAGGACGGCCGGTCTTCTTCCATCCCTCTTCCTCTCCAGCGTCGCTGGATATCCTCCTCCTCCCCATTTATTACCCTCGCGTCTTCAGCCGCCTAAATGCGAGGTGCGGCTCTCCAGGCTTTCCGTACTGCTCGTCGTGCACCAGTACGGAAGGTCGTCACTAGGAAACCGTGCGCCGTCTCGTTCTCTAGCAGCCGGCCGTTCGGCCTCCGTCCTTCCTCCGCTGGTAAACATCCACCCTTCATTCCTGCATCCTTGCAGTCCTCCATGCATATTCGAAACTTCTCTATTGCCGTGATCTCGACCGTGGTGGCTTCCGGGGCCTGGTACGCTTATCAAGGCAACACCTCGCAGCCCATCCCGGTGGCAGGCTTGAACGCCACCTCGTCCTCGCAGCTACGTTCAATTACGACGTCGACTGCACATGCTGAGGACCTCCCAGAGTCAACCCGCCGAGCGCTTCTTGTCGATAATGATCAATTCTATACCGCAACCCTCTCGGGAGAACAGCCTCTATTCAAACAAACAGACGACTCCGACCGCCGCGTGCTCGAGATGCTGACGCCGGAACAAGCCACCCAGAAGCTGAGGAAGAATGAGGAGTCGTATTTGGTGAACCGTGGCAAGGGCGTTGTCCGTTACGACGTGGTTCAGGTTCCCAGCAACTCACCTATTGAAGACGACCATGCCGAGAAGGTCGTCGAGGTTCCTTCTACGGTCGCGGCGGCCAAGGAAGGCGACGCCAACAGTGATTGGATGTTCTGGGCTGTATTTGACGGCCACTCGTAAGTTACTCAACTAATCTTCGGGGAATGACTCGTCTAACTCAATCTTGTTCAGGGGCTGGACAACTTCGGCGAAGCTGCGCAACGTTCTCATCTCTTACGTTGCCCGTGAATTAAACTCTACCTACAAAGCTGCTGCGACCGACCCTTCACTGCTATCTCCGACGTCCAGTGCTGTGGATGCTGCCATCAAGCAGGGATTTGTTCGACTGGACAACGATATCGTGCACAACAGCGTCGACAAGGTTCTCAAGTCCAACTCGCGGCGAGTTGCGGCGGAGATGCTTGCCCCCGCCCTGTCAGGTTCCTGCGCTCTACTTGCTTTCTACGACTCGCAGTCCAAGGATCTGAAGGTGGCCGTCGCTGGAGATTCTAGAGCGGTTTTGGGCCGTCGTGCTTCGAACGGAAAGTGGTCGGCAACCGCCCTCTCCGAGGACCAGACCGGCGGCACTCCGTCCGAGATGAAGCGCCTACGGGAGGAACATCCTGGTGAACCGAATGTCGTGCGAAACGGGAGGATCCTCGGCCAGTTGGAACCGAGCCGTTCCTTCGGCGATGCGTTCTACAAGTGGAGCAAAGAGACTCAGGAAAAGATCAAGCGACAGTTCTTCGGAAGGACCCCCCACCCTCTTCTGAAAACCCCTCCTTACGTTACTGCCGAACCTATCATCACGACCACCAAGGTTGAACCCGGCAATGGTGATTTCGTTGTCCTCGCTACCGACGGTCTCTGGGAGATGCTGAGCAACGAAGAAGTCGTCGGTCTTGTAGGAGAGTGGATTGAGCAGCAGAGATCTGGAGCCGCGAACGGTAGCAACAAGAGCTGGCTGCCGAGTTGGTTGGGATTTGAGAACAAGCAACTTCCCGTGGAAGCGTCGAAGGAGGCAGGCACTGATGGCCAGCGCCGCCCTATCCGTCAGCAACAATACGATATTGCGGGTGCCGCCAGTCGGTTCACCGTCGAGGATAACAATGCCGCCACTCACCTTGTCCGAAACGCCATGGGCGGTAAAGACAAGGACATGGTTTGCGCTCTCTTGACCCTTCCCAGCCCGTATTCCCGCAGATATCGGTAAGTCTCCCTTTTGTACACACTTGTGGGGAAAGACCAATAACTAACTTTATCATCAGGGACGACGTAACCGTAGAGGTCATTTTCTTTGGCGATGGCCCTGACAACCGCAGCATTGCGATCAACGAGGAAGCCAGCGCATCGGAGGAAAATGTCAAGGCCAAGCTTTGATAGACAGACAGACAGACCCCTTGCCTACCTTACAACCACAACCTTTTATCTTTGCCGGCGTTAAGACTGTTTGATTGATTGATTGATTCTCTATTTTGAAAGAGGTTCTACCACGCCCTCTTTTCATGTCATTTTATGTTCTTCCCTGTTGCATTACCCTATGGTCAAGGATATCTATTTGGTGAGAGCTGGCGTTTCACTGCTAAAGCCCTGGGATGGCACTGTGCTGTATTGCATAAATAAAACAAGCATGCTTGTTCCGAAAATGATCGTTGTTGTTTATTCTGTCATACCATTTCTCCCCCTCTCACTCCTGATGGAATACATGTACGCTTTGACTACTATACTCTCTTCCTCCCAAAATAACAGGAGAAAGAAAAAAAAAATAGGGAAGGGTTCATTCACATGTCACGTGAAACCCGTGAATATCCTCACGTGAGGCTCACTGCCCTGGGAGATCTTTGTCTACTCTGTAAACTACATTTATCGACTTTCCAACGAGACTTCAGGTTTTGTGCTATGATATTACAAGAGTAATGGAGAATCAAGCAAGGACACCAAATATGATAAATTTACACAGTACTCTTACAACTCAACCACCATACAAATATATATACAAGAAGCCATAGAAATCCAAACAAGGCCACAAAGCCCACCAGTCACAACCAGAGAGAAAGCAAAGCAACATAAGAAGAGCTCGGAGAAAACCGAGTCACAAGAAATGAAGAAAGGTGCATTGTTGACGTGCCAGTGAACGCTACCACAAATCGCAACGTTGCGTTAGCCCAGCCGGCTTGATTTGGTGAAGCAAATGAAATTGATCGCACCACTGATCGCATCGTTGACCAAGACAGGAAAGATCAAAGAAAATGGAATCTCCCCCTCACTTTTTCTTCTCCTTCCCGCACTCATCTCCTCACCCAAGTCCTAAACTGTTTCGCTCGCTTTGTTCTCACCCTCACCTGTCTGGACCTTCTTTACATTCATAATTCAGCATGCTCTTTCTTGTTTTGCATTGAGCTAGGCCCCTGATTGCCTGCTTACTTCCGCCCTCATCTAGAGGGGAGGCTCTGTCTCTGTCTTTGTAATCAGACTGAGACTTTCTCTCCGACTCTCATTAAGACAAAGCTTCAGGCGCCCAAAAATCCCGTCGCATGCACCTCATTACTGTACTTGTCATTCGATCCTTCGGGTAAGTTCTCGGTCGACTTCAATCGGTAGCCCTTTCACCATCTGCAACAAGAGCTTCTAGCAGAAGCTGACCGCAATAAGCAGGAATTTGTTTGGCTGGGTTGTCATCTGCGGTTGTTGACGATAAACAGAAGCCGCGGTCAACCATGCCGGCTACTCCGACCCGTTCTACGGGCAGTCACGGTGACGAAGGCGACCGCAGTGAGAATGCTTCCAGTCGGCCGGGTACTCCAGACGGATCGGCCACTGTGCGGAGCATCCATGCCCCTAGACCGCGGCGCAACCTATATGGAATCACTGAGCACAACGGCATGATCATCGTCAATGGCGTAGACATAGTGGCCCGTGCAACTAATTGGCGCGAGCAAGGTCGAACGCAGGAGCAAGTCGAGAACCTGAGCCGCTTCATAGATTGGCTGATTATCGGCGGCCGAACAACAGAGCGTCCGAGTTCAATGCCGACGCCCCTGCCGAGGCAGAATGAGCGCCCGCCGAGCCCGCCCGACGAACTAATTGTCAGGTCGATGTACAATCGTCAATTGTACGGCTTGCCTCCAGAAGTCTTCCAGCGGGACCCATTCATACAAACGCGCCAATGGCAGCAGCACTCGATGGGCGGCAGAAGGAGCCCACCTCTGACGCCTCGAGAGCGCGAGGAGCGCAGGGCGGAGCAAGTTGCAGTTCCCCCGGTCCACCTGGACAATGAACCGAGCCGCGACACTTGGCCGGTCGGATGGGAACTTCACCATGATTACTACCTTTGGGCCTGTCGCGGGACCGTCGTCGACATCGCCGAGCACCTTCAGGTGGCCTTTGACTTCAACCCACCCATCCAGGAATCTTTTGTTGCCGACAGGCTGAGTGGCGTGAACGCCTTCAGACAACTCACTTATCTGCAAACGTATTTCCCGGGCGAGACCCACTCCATGCAGCGAGCTTTGGCGAGAGGCATTATCTATGAGGCTGGTATTGACCATGCGGAGATCCGCGGAGGCTTCCAGGAATTGGAGGTAGAGCAAGAAGACCCCAGCAATTTTGAGTACAGAGAGCCCGTATGCCCCAGCTTTGGACCGGCCGACTGGGATTGCAGGGACGATGCATATCTGGCTCTGTATCTGGGCCTGTCCCCAAGCACATTCATCCACGACTATGGATGGCTTTTCCCACACCCTATCTGCCCCGAATTCATCCGTCTGCGCATGGCCCAAATTCCCTATCTAGACCTGACTTCTTCGGACCTGCAGAGACAAGTGCGGCGACGTAAACGCTTCTTGAGCTGGGCTCCACGTCGACTTGCCAATGTCAGACCATGACTTGCCCCCAAAATGACTTTGCGACCAAGCAGACAATGATTATGACACATAGCTGGTAATGAATGTTCGGTTGTGTATCTCTTTGACTGTTTCTCCTCTCTTTTGAAACCCTTTTTTTAATGCTCGATGAAACATATCTCTCTTTTGTCTTTGCCACACCGAATTGCAATGGAGATGACTGGGTAAGAAGACAAGAGAAAAGATATGTTTATTTTGATTTCTCGGGCGATTGTTCATTTGGCAACGTGTACGCAATATGCATTTGTCTCCAAGGCTTCAGGGGCTGGTTGAAGATCATGTACTTGTCCAGAAGATAGGTCTGCAACGTGGCAGTGTTCGTACTAGTGATCCAATAGAGCATAAGCGCCGTAGGCAATTGATGATAATAAGACGATAGACCGACGTTCAGCGCGAGAATTTGAATGAATGCTCTGAGGCCTTTCACCGACAGCTTCTTCGCCAGCTCCAGGCGCGGGAGGTCCGACAATTCGGAAAGGGCCGGGGCCTTCCAGCCGGTCCGGATGTTGAGAATAATCGAGGCGGTCATCACGGCCGGAAGAATGCCCGTCGGGTCACCCGCCATCAGGTCCGGGAACCACAGCGCGCCCTCAGTAGCCAGAGAGGGCTCCACAGCCCCTTTCAGAGCGGCGCTTGCCTCAGGCGACTCCAGGAAGGTAAGAAGGTAGGGAACCAGCCCGCTCGTGCTGCCCGACATAGCTCGGATGCTTTCCATGATGGAGAGCCAGATCGGGATCTGCAGGAAGTTCAAGGGCTTCCAGAACCGAGCGACATTCCAGCGCTTGTGCAAGGCTCGCTGTTTCGTCGCCATGGCTTTTAGCACTTCCGTCCTGGCGCCTCCAGGGAGTGCGAGCTGGCCGGATGATTTGCGCTTTCTCAGGTCCTTCTGGTAGTACTCGCGCCAGGCGTGAAGAAGAGGAATCGTGTCACGCTCTCTCCGAGCTTGAATCTTGGTGTAGATTTGCAACGGCATGGCGACAGTCGTCCGCACCACCAATGCCGTCAATGGGAGGGATACCGCCCAAGGGAGACCGGTGACAGAATGGATAGCATAGATGAACCCAGATGAGACGCTAAGAGCCTCGGCGATAAAAGGCCTCGACCCAGTAGGGTGAAAGTGGCGGACCTGTTGTTGCTGGAAAGCAGTCCTCCGCATCGAGCGGAGTGAGCTATGAAACGATCTCATGATAGTAGCTGTGTGGACTTTGCACGGCTCAATTGAATAGTATACTATAAACAAACGATAGGATGAATATTATAGAAAGAAAAGATCAATATATGCGAAAGAAAAAGAATAATTGACACCAACACTAAGGAGCTCTCTCTCCTCCGGCAGCAGCGAATGGAAATCTGCAAAACAACAAGTGTCCACGTGATAGTCACGTGTATAGATAGGCACATCACGTGCTCAATGCCATACATCCATACCGATGATACCATACATACCATACCGTTATCGATAACGAGTCACGCCCCCCCCCCCCAAAAGAAGGCGGGAAATTCGCCAGGTGGAAAGATTGCATTTCTCCGCCGCTTCTTTCGCTGCTTTCCACCATCCGTCGTCTGGACGTTCGGATGTTATTCTAAACCTGTATTCGACCATGATGTTGTTTCTACTGAAATCCCTGATCACCGTCCTCGCCCTCCTGGCCACCTGCGTCCTAGTCCCGCAGCTCCCCTTGAGTCTTCTCCGCTTCGTACTCCGCGGTGTCGGTTGGGTCATCCAGAAGCGCACCAAGTCTCGGAGAGAACTGGTCCTCTCGCGGGTCCGTATCGAGGACGAGGAGTTTCAGGCCAGACGGTCGAAGCCGTCGTCCGGCGGTTCGGGAGAAGATGAAGATTGGGAAAAGGTCGATTCCTCCAGCTCCAGTTCCGGGACAGCTGGCAGTAAACAATCCGGCCGCGATGAGGACTGGGCTGGGATTATTGGCTTCTTCCACCCTTTTTGGTATGTCTGACACCATTTACCTATTTTCCCGTCCCATCGGGTTGTTTCAAATTGAACGGAATGTGGGTGATAGAAACACTGCTAACCCTGTTGGCGGCGAAACAGTAACGCAGGCGGAGGCGGAGAGCGTGTTCTTTGGGAAGCTGTGAGAGCTACCCAGAAGCGATGGCCCAGAGCTACTTGCGCCATATATACCGGAGATCATGAAGTCAACAAGACTACTATGTTGGAGAAGGTCCAAGTAAGTTTGGGGTCTTGCCGCTGCGACGAAAGTTGGCCTCTCTAACCCCATCTTCCTTTGCCTCAGAGCCGGTTCAATATTCAACTGCACGCCCCGACGGTGGTGTTGATGTATCTCACCACCCGCAAATATGTCCAGAGCAGCATGTATCCCCACATGACTTTGCTGGGCCAATCCCTCGGGTCGCTAGTTGTGGCCTACGATGCGTTTACCCTCCTGGTCCCCGACATCTTTGTCGATACGATGGGTTACGCCTTCACCCTGGCCTTGTCCAAGCTGTTGTTCCCGTCCGTCCCCACTGGCGCGTACGTCCACTATCCCACGATATCCACCGACATGCTGCAATCCCTGGACGACGCCACCGGAATTCAAGGCGTCAACGCCGGGGCTGGCAAGGGCCTAAGGGGCCAGATCAAGCGGAAATACTGGCTCGCGTTCGCTCGTCTCTACGGCTGGGTTGGTGGCCACGTGGATGTTGTCATGTGCAATTCCTCGTGGACGTCGGCGCACATCCGCACGATCTGGGGCCCCTCGCGGCGCACCAACCTCTATCAAGACCCTACCGTTGTCTTCCCCCCCACCGCCGTCTCGGAGCTCGAGTCGACCATCGCCGTCAACGCTGAGACCGAGCAACAGCGCAGCCCGGTCATCCTCTACATCGCGCAGTTCCGACCCGAGAAGAACCACCCGCTCGTCCTGCGCTCGTTCGCGCGCTTCCTCGAAGAGCGCGGCAAGAATCCCGCGACGCCGGCCTCGCAACCGCCGCCGAAACTGGTCCTCATCGGCTCCGTCCGCCACGCCAGCCCCGATGAAACCCACATCTATAACCTCCGGCTGCTGGCGCACGAGCTGCGCATCCGCGACCAGACCGAGTTCCTCTGCGACGCCAGCTGGCCCACCATCTTATCGCACCTGGGCACCGCCTCCATCGGCGTCAACGCCATGTGGAGCGAGCACTTCGGCATCTGCGTCGTCGAGTACCAAGCCGCCGGCCTAATCAGCGTGGTGCACGACTCCGGCGGTCCGCGCGAGGACATCGTCGTCGACCTAGGCGACGGCGCCACGGGCTTCCGCGCCTCCACCGAGGACGAGTTCGCCGCCGCCTTCGAAGCCGCCCTGGCTCTGCCCGAGGAGGAGAAGATCGCGATGCGTCTGCGAGCCCGCAAGTCCGCCCTGCGCTTCACCGAGGAAGAATTCGGAACCAAGTGGATCGGTGAGATCGGAAAACTGGTCCGGATGCAAGCGCGGTGAGATGGGTGGGTTATTAAAACACAAAAAAAAAAAACAAAAACACACCATACGTCCATATCCGGTATGACATGGTTTGCTTATTATATTTTTCAAAGAGCTCGGAAAAGGGAATTCGTAGACCTTGTACTACAATTGTCAACTCTATCATCGTTTTTCTTTGTAGGTCTAGACTCTAGACTCAGCCGTTATTGTCAGTTTGCGTGAAATAAGCGTTTGCCTACCCCCTTTGCTGTTTCGTATACCCCCCGTTACCTTTTTGCATTGTCTTAGCTAGATTGGCTTGGTTCTTAGATCTGACTGCGCCGGACTTATAGCAGGTGGGAAATACGTAGGAGCCTATTTATTCTTGACCCCAATAGAAGAAAGAATGGGGTTGAATGTCGAAATTCTCGAGATCTGGCATTGCGGGACTGTCCTGTTGTGTTGCATAGGCTACATCATATTCGGAGCCGCAATCTGATTGCAGGAACTACTTTGATATCCAGAAAGAGAGAAAGATAAGCAGCAGGCAGCAAGCAGGAAAAGAAAATCCAAGTTAAATCAAAATAAGAGTAAGTTACCCGATCTAGGAACCTCTGCATCAGAAAGCAGACGGTGTCCCTAGGTATAAAAACTCAGCCACATAACGACGGTCCGCAGCCCTTGCGGACCAAGGGGGAATCAAAACAAATGGTAGGTAGGCAGACGAATAAACAAAATGTTCGCGATGATGTTAGATGAAAAAGGGAAACAACAAGAAGAAAAAGAAAATAGAACGGTCGATAGAGAATGTCAACCCGCCGTGATCTGGGTGATTCCTGTGCACCAGCCTATATCTCAACGCCAATATTCCTCTATTGAATGAACAAAACCCACGACAAAACCGCAACCGACACAAGATACGGTTCCCAAAACCCCAAGGTAAAGAATATCAGTACCTACCTGGTGGCCACATGAATGAGATGAAGATGAAGAAACAGCGTCCATAACAGACAGAAGGGGAAACGATGAGCAAAAAAAGGGGGGGAAGTAAGAAAAACAAAAGAAATTTAAAATCAAACAGGAGCAGAAACGACTCAATGTCATTCTCTCCATTCCGTGTTGGCGTAATTTTCCCCAGAGTTGACTCCCAACATCTGGTTATTGACACCGTACATATTTTCTTGAGGGCTGTACCCCCCACTCATGCCAGAGACACTGCTCATAGCCGATTCGTCGTCTTCGAAGCCAAATTCGCCACCGGAGCTGGCGTCAAAGCTGCTGCGACCTCCAATATCACTCGGATCGTCCGCTGAAGCCGGGATTTGGTCCCACTGGAGTGTTTGGAGTGCGGGATACTGGGCGAGCAACGCAGCAGGAAGAACGAAACTGCTGGCATGCTGACCATCCATTCCCGACACCATGAGAGGCGGCGGGATTGGCTGCAAGTGACCGGCATGCGATGACTGCTGTTGATCAATCATCGAACGCTCGTGAGACTCTTCATCCAGCAACGGCTTGATACAAATGCGACCGGCTTCTGATCGGAAATGGCGGCCCAACGCGTCGGCCCGGGCAAATCGGCGCCCGCATCCCCATTGTCCGCCGCGGGACAGCTCTCCCCGGCAGACGAATTTTTTCTCGCCCGAATGCAGCCCTTCGTGTCGCTTACGATCGTGTTGCCGGGCAAAGGCTTTCCCGCAAACGGTGCAGACGAATGGCCGCTCGTCTGTGTGGGTGCGCAGGTGAGACCGTAGATTATAGGCTCGAGTGAAGCGCTTGGGGCAGAGGGTACACTGGAACGTGGCGGGATGCTTCTGGACACGCTTCGAGTCATTCGGATTCGCCCCGGGCCGCTGCGGATCAGCAAGGCCGAGGATGTAGTTGCGGCTGTCAATGGATGATGTGGACAGCCGACGAGATCGCGAGGGAGACGGATCGCGCGAACTGGGGTTGCTTTGCGGTTGGCGACCCACGGAATCAAAGGGCGACAGCGATCGGGGCGATGAAGGAGCCAAAGGCTCCAGGCTACTCGTCGTGGTCGCGGGGCTCCGAGAGCGGGAGGCGGGATGGGCGTACGGGTCAGACTTACTGCGCACGCGAGAGCCTATTAGGTGAGTTAGCATGGTTGCGTTCGACGCATGGAGAATAGAAAAGGAAAGGGTCCATACGCATGGAAGGAGGCGGACTCAACGAGTCCAGGTCTGCTGCTGGCTTGGACTGGGGGAAAATGGGGTTCCTCGAGGGCGGTGCCAATTCCACGTTGATAGACGGAGGCGCCATCTGGGACGCTTGTCCGATATCCTGGCCCAAAGGCATCCCCTGCGACATGACCGGGCCATCCGGACCATTGTTATACACGTCATTGACCGAAGGAGTGGCGTACTGCGGATTCTCTACCGGCGGGGAGATATATGGGATGTTCGGAATCATCTCCGGCCCCTGCTGGGGCATCAACTGCGGGGATATATAAGGGCTGTGGGCCGGACTGAAAGCATGCTGCTGCTGGTGCTGCTGATGCTCGGACAGCGTAAAGGACTCGATGGCCAGTGCATTCTCGTAGAGGCCGGGGTCGTTCTGCGGCGCCAACAGCGGGGAGGGATTATTATCGACGGCGTCAAACGTATCGTGCTGGGACATATACGGCGAATGGGCGGCGGAGGAAACCTCGGAGACCTCGGACGGAGCGCGTCGGTGGCCCTGGAAGGCCGCATTGCCCATGACGGCCTGCCAATCGGCGTGCGAGCCGCCGGTCAGGTAGTTTGCCGACGCAGGATCCAAGGAGGTGTGGCGAGAGTGCTGCGGAGTGTAAAAGGTGCCGGCCGTCGAGCTCAGGGGAGATATGGGGCTCGGAGAGGAGTGGTGCGCATGCTGCTCTTGCGGGGACATCTGCGGAGACGCCGAGGGATGGGGCGACGAGATCTGGCCCACGAGATCGGCGGGGTTTACGCCCTGGCTGACCGGTCGCGGCTGCCCGTGCATCTGGGGGTCCAGCATGAGGGAGGAGTCGTACTCGGGAGCGGTCGTGCTGTTCGGACTGTGGTTCTGGTAGACGGAGAAGTCGAACCCGGCGGGATCGGAGTTCAAGAGGTTGGAGAAGTTCTCCTCGGTCGACTGTTGTGATTGCGGGTGCTGTTGCAGCGAGATGCCGGAGGACTGATCAAATTGGTTGACCAAGCCCGGTTCGAAGGACTGCGGCAGCTGCAGGCCGTGGGAGAAGGTCTGATCCGGCGGGGCTAAGGACGGTGCGCCAGGCGGGGAAAGATAGCCGCCGGTGCTGTAGGTGTAGGAGTCGGCGCTTGGGGAGCTGGAGCTGGGATGATTGTGGAAAGAGGGCACAGCGACAGAGGGGTCCAAAGTTAGGCCAACGGAGGGGTGAGCGTTGTAAGGCTGCTGTTGGGGATGATGAAGATGAGCGGACGGGCTGACGCTGCGGTTTTTAACTCCCGCCGGAGATTGGCTCGAGTCCTCGTGTGAAGCCATCGCGAGCGAGTTGTATCCCAGAATAGATACTCGGCGAGGCAGGACAAAGGACGTTGCAGACGAGAGATTGATTGATCGAACGGTCGCGCCAGCAAGCAACGGCGGGTGGGGGGGAGAGCGACAGAAGAGGGCGGTGGAAAGGGAAGAAGCTGGAAGTGGGAGGGGCAGCGATTGTGATTGGGAAGATCACAAATAGATAGATGGGTTGGCAGGGCGCAGGGTGTGATTTCAGGCAAGGAATGACTTAATTAAATCAATTAGTGCCAGCCCTAAAAGGGGGGAAAGAAGGACAAGACAACCATCTGCAAGCTGACAGGGAATGAGAAGGTGAGAAAGAAAGAAAGAGGAGAGAGAGAGAGGAGGAAGGAGGAGAGGAAGGGGGAGTCCGAAGTGCACCTTGCGATTCAGCCTCGTGGCGCACGGTATCAGCGATCGGGACCGGGGGGAGGAGGTTTTACATTCTCCCCTCCAGGAGGGTGGGAATTGACTGATGGGGAGTTGACGATGGGTCAAGGGGACAAAGGAGGAGCGATGGATGGAAATGATAAAATGAGGGATGAAAAGAAAGAAGGAGGAAGTTGAAAAGGAAGAAGAAGCAGAGGAAGAAAGTACGGTAACTACAAAGTGTATGTTTGGTAACCATCGATTGCTGCCCGGCGATTCAGGCCGTTCAGGCAGCCCGCGGTATTTCAAGACTCGATTTATTTCTTATTCATCGCCCTCCGTTCTGGATGACTTATTACTATGATAATTCTCTCCGTCACTGTCAGAGCCCATCCGTGGAATGCCTCTCGAGAATACAGTCAAATACGAACCCAGGCAAGAAGAGCTGACATTACTATTATTGACTGAACTAAGGTAGTCTGGTTCAGAAGAGGAAATTCCGAAATACGAGATCCCCTGGTAGGGAGATTTTTAACTCTGGAGTACAGTGCATCTTGTCATTTCCAATTCTCCATACAAAGTGCATTGCGGCTCTAGGATTCTCGTTGTAACTACTGACTAGTTTAGAAGGTTATGATTGATTAAGGATCTCACCCCCCCGTCTCAGATCCTTTTGTCACGTTAGATGAGCTGGGGAATGTGACGGTTGACCTGTCACGGTCCCTCCTTCAATTAGCTTGCGTCGTTGATCTCAATTATTTGGTTAATGTAGTAATTCCAACTGGGCAGGGAGAACAAACATCTCGACCTGTTCAGCTGTTCAGCTCCCCCCTCGTGCCTGCAGCGTGCATACATAGCATAGCCATCATGAAGTCAATTCTATCCATTGGTACCACCTCCCACTACTCCGATAACGATGCACATACGGGGATCCCAGGTCAATTTAATAATAGAACCGAACGACTTCCATATCCAGATAACTAACTTAGTATGATGATTTACTAATTTCTCAACGATGGTTGCCTGGCTGGCTGCACCGTGCCCTAAAAGTCTACTCCGTAACTCGGTACACGCGACTCCAGTTCTACTCCCCGGTCAAAATCGAGGCTGAATATCATTGCGATTCCGGGAATAGACTGTCAGCCTGACCCCCTTATTAAATATTCTCCGGGTAGGTTCGTTGCCCTGATCGGCCGCCTTCTTGACCGAAGGTGGACTCGCCCGTAGCTTTCGCTACACAGCCACCTCAGCTGAAAATCGTCACTTTTCCATGGGTCGTCTGGATGCCACCAATACTTATCGGTCCGAGCACGGGCAAGGGTCGGGTTTTTTTTTTCTATAAGCTTGAGTTATCGAGAATCTTGAATCTCTTAGGTTCTGGCTAAACAGGTCTAGGGAAATGTAGGGTTCCGTTATGGTTATGGTTATGCAGTGTTCCTCTATAGGTACAAGTAAGATGAAATAAGTACTCCATAATACATCCTGATTAATGTTCACAAGTCCTATACTACTGTACATACAATTTCCTCCCTCCAGATCTACGGATCTAGATATCTCCAAACACCGTCACGCTCTCCCGCACCTGGTCGTTGTCGTAGTCCACCATCAAGTTGTCGTGGCAGCTAGATCCCAATCCTGCATTGTCCACCCACGCGGGTTCCCAGTAGTACAGACCGGCACCCCCGGTGACACCCGCCACCGTGTCGGCCACCTGCTGCACGAACGTTTTCTGCCCGGCCACGGAGAAGGGGATCGAGGTCAGATCGGACGGGAAGGCGAATTCCGGGTCAGGGCAGGACTCGGGCCAGTTGGTCTCGACCACCAGCACGTCCTTGGAGTAGGTCGACTGCAGGTTGCCCAGGCTGGTCTTCAGGGACGACAGGGTGGCGTCCTCGTTGTAGAAGGGGTAGTACGACACGCCGATGAGGTCGAAGTCCGACGAGACGAGCGTGCCGGCGTCCAGCACCGTGTCGTAGAAGTACTTCTGCGAGCCCCAGTCCCAGCCGTTGTCGAGGTGGATCAGGATCTTGGGCGTCGTCGCCTGCTTCGAGTCCTTGACGCCCCAGGCGCCCGAGTGCAGCAGCTGCGCGATGTTGTCATAGCTGCTGGTCCCGCCTAGCGGCCAGAGCAGGCCGTTGCGGATCTCGTTGCCGATCGACACGATCTCGAGATCGATGTTGTTGTCCGCAAACGTGTTGCACACTTCGAGCGTGTAGTTGTACACCTGCCCTGCGAGCGCGCCGATGTCCGTGGTGGACCAACCGGAGGGTGCGTCCTAGGATATCGTCTGTCAGCTGCGACGATCGCCACAGGAAAGGAAAGCGATCGACGTACCTGGTTCTTAGGATCGGCCCATGTGTCACTGTAGTGCAAGTCCAGATAAATCGACATCCCGGCTGCCTTGACTCGTTTGGCAAGCTCGATGTTGTAGTCCAAGTCGTATTCGCCGTCGCTGGGGTTCACCCACAGACGCTGTCGAATCGAATTGACACCATTATCCGCGAGGATCTCCTCCAGGGGCTGCGTCTCGCCATTCAGGTTCTTGTAGGCAATCCCTGCCTTTTCCTCCACCAGGAGAGACGAAATATCCGCGCCCCGATAGGTGAGGGCGGCGGAGGTGAGAAGAGGAAGGGAGGAGAGGAGGAGAGAGAAGAGCATTTTGGCGGAGATTCAGGCTCGAGCCTGAATTGTCGATTGAAAAAGAGAATAGAAACGAAGAGGAAACAGCGCCAGGCTACAGAAAAAGAAAAAGGGAGAGAGGATAGGGAGTACTTCGTCTCAAATTTAATGCGTTCATGGTCAAGATGAGTTTCTCCGAATATACCGCATGGTGTTTAGCACTAGGCGACGGAGCATACGATGTCAACCGGGGCTCCACGGGCCTTAATCAATATAGAACGGTGGAATCCGTCGACGCTCCTGTATTTGGCACGGGAGAATACCTCATCAGGCGACTTAGTGAGTTCACCAGGACAAGACGCTCGCATCATTGGTGGAGGATCATAGCCTGACACGCCGAGAGCGGACCGCCGATCTTAGGACGGACCTTCGCTGTCGCGCCTCTTGGCTTGTTTCAGCGTGCTCACCTCGCTTCGACAATCGACGGAGGGAGGTACGATGTCGGAGAAACTGCTCTGCTCAGGGAACAAATCATATGCGTCCAGGTGGATCGTCGGGTGAACGTTTGTATTCTCTCCTTTCTTCATCCCGTCTGCATAACCAAATCCTTGCGGGGCTTCATCTTCACTCTTCAATCCATCCCATGCAGAATGCCAAAATTGTCATCATCATCATCGTCATCAGGCTGGCTCTCCTGTATTGGAGCCAGCCACCAGGTATATCCCAATCCCAATCCTCCATGCCAACATTACGTACAAACAATCCTCAACCCCCTCCCTCCGAATGCCACAAACGCAGACAAGATATATATAGATATATATATGAACGCAACCGGAGAATCAAAAGAAAGAAAAAGCAAAAGGAAGAAAAAAGAAGAGAGAAAGAAAAACAAAGAAGTTCTCAGCGTCTTTTGAAAACCAGTCCACAAGAAGCCAACAGGCAAAGGAAATGTAGAAACACAGAAGCCAAATATAGACGTGCCACCAATGCGAATATATGTACAAGCAGAGAACCGGTGTCTTGGTCACAGCCCAAGATAAACAAAACGAAAGCCTCCGTAGGCCCGCTGTATGCTCGCAAAGCCTGAAAGAGCAGACAAGAGAAACCCAGTAATAAAAATGATATACATGCAAAAAGCCCAGATCCAGTAAAATAGAAGTCATTGAAATGGGAACCATTGCTCCGGTATATTGGGGCAGGAGAGAAAGAGAAAAGAGAAAAGGAAATTAAAAAGAATCTCAGAGCAGGAAAGCCATCCCAAGATAGGGACGACGGGACCAAGAAAGACGAAAGGACCCACTAGTGCAAGGGAAGAGTTGGGACTTGAAACCCTTCTTTCATGCTGGTTGGCCGATATCTCGCTGGCATAATACTATTGCGATGTGTGATTGCGACGAAGAATCGGTTTCTGGGGGGTGGTGGCCTTCTTTTTCCCAATGGTAAGACCTTCATCTTCCGAATCATCGTCGAAGTCATCTTCATCATCGCAATAATACCGAGATTCGTCTTCTTCAATTGGTCGCGGTGGGCTTAGACGCCGTGCTTTGACGGTTTCGCCCGTGCGCAGAATGGAAGGAACCTCGATCGCCGGCTCGCAGTCTTTTTCCTTGGGCAGACCTTCGCCGAAAAGTGAGGATGCGCCCGAGATAACAGACGGAATGCTGGGGTGCGATGTACTTTGAGAAATTCCGCTGGTATAGTCGTCAACGGATGACGAAGAGATCGTCGCGGCGGACGGAGGGGACGTGGTAAGGCCAACAGTGGATTGGTCAGGGGAGGCGCTTTCAACCGCATATTCAGCGTCACGGGCTTCATGCCCAGTAATCGCACAAGGCTCACTATTGCTGTGGGAGATCGATTGGCCCTTGCTGGAGACAGGATCAGACTCGTTCCGTCTCTGGCGCAAAAGCGTTTCCTTGGTAAGATATAGGGGTTCACCAGACACCTTGCCAGGTAGCTGATGCGATCGGTTGCGCCGATGTCCCAGGGCCTCGACACGTAATGACGACGATTCCTCGTCAAGCAACAAGTTGGAATGATGGCCGACTGCAGAGGCAACGCTCAGAGCCAGACTGGGCTCAGAGTGGCGGTCGCCATCAAGAGACACAACCTCTGACAACGGTCTGTCAAGGCGCCGCTCTCCACTCTGAAGGCCTCTTGCGAGTCTGCGACTGGCACCGCCAAACAGACCACTGACATTGGTGGTCCCGGGAGTTTCGACACGTGCTGGGGCCCCGGATTTGACAACATTGGACGGCTTGACCGTTTTCGCAGACTCGGCAGTCGACAAGGTTGATGTTGCGCGTTCCGGAGGGTCTGGTCGCGGGGTTCGCCCGTTCGATGGTATCGTCTCGAACTGTACATCCTGGAAGTAGGATGTCTGCTCATCCCGTCCCACGGGACTTGCGCTGACGCTTTGCGACAGTGGATGTTCGCCATCTCTAGTCAGGCGTGAAGGCCGAAGAAAGTCTTCTTCCTTGAAACTGCCACGGCGGTTATCCCAAAGAATCTTTCCAATGGAGGTACCACTCGACACAGAAGATTCCAACGAAGGCGCTGCACTAGGTGTACGCTTCCGATCGTCCTTTTCCTTTTCCTTGCTCCTACCAGTGAGGTAATTGGACCATTTGGCAACGTTAGATCGTACCCGTTGGATGAAAGGAACCTTGCTGACGGCAGTGGTGACTTCTTCGTTGGACACCTCAATTTTGCTTTGATAGTGCGGATCAGTCTCCTCCACCCACGCTCGAGGATTCGGCAAGCCGCTTAAGATCCACGGATGGTGCTTGATTTCTTTCACGGTGATCCGTTTTATCGGGTCCTTGGTGAGCAGACGTTTCAAGAGATCATAGAGCTCGTCATCGATTTCTTCGTAAACAAGTTCATGCTCCATGCGCTTGCTGTTGTCCGCACACCGGGGCCATTGGCTGACGGTATCCGGGTCATCCTCAACGGGCTTTAAGCGTTTGCGCGGGATAAAGACCTCCTTTTTCACGATGGTCTGGAACATGCTATATTCGTCATCCGAGACAAATGGCAGGCGCCCAAAAATCATGCCGTAAAGAGTCACACCGAGTGACCAGACATCGATAGCACCGGTGATCTGGGGGATATTGCCAATGGTATCCACAAAGTCTTCACCCGTATAGCACAGTTCGGGTGCGTAAAACGCGGGAGTTCCAACGGTTTTGGATAGCTCTCGGGCATCGTCAAGCTCAGTGGCATCGGTCTCTCCGACCTGCTCTTCTTCCTCGTCCCTGATGGGGCGTCCTAAGTAAGAAACGCCGAAATCCGATATTTTCACGCGATGATCGCGCGTGACCAGCAAGTTCGCAGGTTTTATGTCACGGTGAATGATGCCTTGATAATGTAGGTACTCGAGACCAAGAAGAGAATCCCGGAAGGCATTGCGTGCTTCGGTAAAGGTCAAACAAGGGACGTATGACGTGTCGTCATCATCGGAGAACCACTCAGGCTCGGAAGGCGCGTATCCAAAACTGCTGGAAGCGGTGCTAAAGCGCCTATCAGAGTTGTAATCGGCATAGGCACCATACATGCTGCCTTCCACCGCAGCCAAGGCTGATTCATGAGCCGACATGAAGGAGTGCGGTGGCGAGGCCTGGAATTCTTCTTGGCTCATCATAGAGCGACTGGATGTACGGGCAATCGCCAACTCAGGCCCTTCCTCTTCCTCCTCGTCTGATTCGGCACCATGCTCCAAGCTCCAGGCCGGGATAGGGCCTTGCTGTGCGTATGCTGCCTGCGCTTGACGGCGCTCGCGTGCCTTTTCACGCTGATGGCGAAGGTGCTGAGCAGTTCGGACATAATGCAAACTCTCCTCCATAAACGACGGCGAATCGGGGATTCCTGCTTTCTCACGCTCAAGCCGGTTCTTATCGACGTGCACAATTTCTCGTAAGCCTCGACGCCGCCATATGATTTCGCCATTCTCGACGTATTCGAGGACTATATAAACTTTTTGTCGATTTGGGTCGTCGATCACTTCCAATAAACTGACCACATTGGGGTGCCGCGCTTTCTTTAGAATGGCAACCTCTTTCTTGACTTTGTCTTCGGGGTTGCCTAGCTTTCCCAAGCGACGCCTTTTCGAATAACGCTGGACAATTTTGATGGCAACCTTTTGGCGGGTGGCCACATGACGACCGAGTTTCACTTTTCCATGCTCGCCACGTCCGAGTTCTTTGAGAATCTCGTATTCATTGATCAATTTGTTCCCGGTCACAAGATCGCGATCTACCTCCGCAGTGTGGGTCCTAGTAATTCATCGTTAGTCTTGGCCGTGCTGAGGGGGAATATATTGGTATGTTGAAGTGCTTGGACCGATTGGTCAACTTACTCTTTTGGTGGTTGAAGGTGTGTTGGGTGAAGGTACGGACTGCTCATACGACCTTCGTCATCGGAGCCGAACGGCGGCGTCGAGCGTGGGCTGCGTACAGAGAAAAGCCCAGGGCTGGAAATAGGGGTATTCCCTGCCGTTCGAGAGATCCGCGACGGTGCAATCCGGGTTAGAACCTCAGCGCGCGATGGATAGGAACTCCGAGAACGAAGATGTGGAGGCTGATAGGTAGGGTGAACCTGAGATTGGAGAACGGCATAGGACTGATCGGGATAAACTGGGTATTCGGGGGTTTGCGTATCAGACTGGGACAGGTGCGACGTTCTCCGGGGCAGTGATGGCCGCCACAAAAGGCCATCCGACCGAGCATCAACCACAGCATCTTCATTTAACGCTTGGAGCGAGCTGGAGGATGTCCTGGTGGAGGGTGACCTGGAGGTACTCGAGGAATGGTAGACATGGGAGAACGGATGGCGAAGAGACGCTTGGCCCTCTGCTACATCGGTTGGTAGGGGAAGTTTGGCGGTTGGAGGCCGAGTGACAGCCGGTCTTGCATCTGAATCCGTTGAAGCCGAAAACAATTGTCCCGAAGCCTCGTTGGACTTATCCGAGCCCCGTCTGCGAACATTACTCAAACCCTTGCCATTTAGAATACCGAGAGTAATGGGTTCCTCCAATGCGGGTGCTGAAGGGGGGCGATCAGTCATTTTCATGTCTTAGATAGCCAAACCAACTCGGTACAGGTCGCAACTTAGCATCCTCCTCTTTGATCCCTTCTCTTTTGCCTTGCTCCGGTTATTATATCCTTTCCTTATCGTTCTCGTTTCTGATGATTCCTTCTTTCGATATTTGTTTTATATGTATTGCGGATGGCGCCCGAATGGACCACTCGATTTAGGCGGAGCTAGGTAAGAGCTCAGGTGGTGTGCACGAATGAACCAGCATTACTCCCAGAGTTGAACTCGGCCGACAACCATGACAACTATGCAGGTCGACCTGGCGGGGGAAAAAAAACCGTGTGCCCGACAGCGGCGATGACGCGGGAAACGACTTCCGGGCAATAGACCTGCTACAGCTCCAGGATGCAGTCGGAGATCGATTGTCTCGCTCGGGGGTATGAACTTCGGTGCAGCGTTGAGTATCGGACGAATTCGCAGTCGGATGAGAGGGGAGGTTTGGTTTCGAGCGCGGTTGCGAGAAAGACTGTGCTAAGTATAGAAGCTAGGGAGCGGATGGTAATTGGTACCAATAGGACGGGTGCTCCCAAAAGAATTGGCGGGGATCGAAGAGGATATAAAAATCAATATAGATAAAATGAGATAAATTATGAGACTGTATATCGGAGATTGAAAATATTAAAAATCAAAGGAAAAGAAGTGAAACAATAGGAAAGGAGGAGAGAAGTAGTATGTAAGGCGAGGGAAGTAAAAGAGGAAGAGGAGGAAAGAAAGAGAAAGGAGGAAGAAGTGGTTGGTTGGCGGTAAGTGTTGGTGAGAGTTACTAGGGGGGAAAGGGAAAAAGAAAAAAAGAGAGCGAGAGAGAGAGAGGGAGAGAGGATGGATGATGACGACTGTGGTGGTAGTAACCTTAGTTGTGGTAGTAAGAATCTCTCAGGTCCAACTGTGGGTGAGAGCAGGCTTTTGTCAGGCGGATGGGGGGGTGGTGTGGGAAAGAAGAGGAAAGGAGGGGGGATCAGTATTAAGAGGAATGAATGTATGGGTGGTGTACGGGCCATACAACCTGAAGTACCGGGGGGTGGTGGGGGGACACTGGTGGTCTTGTCACCATCAGTAAGGTACAGTAACGGGCAGGTCGAGGCACTGACTGACATACATGCCTTAGGAATTTAGGATATATTTTCTTTTTCTTTTTCTTTTTTTCCCTTTCTACAATACTTTGGTTCTGATACACTGTCAAGGAATCGAGGAGTCAAAACACTTACCAAAATTTCCAATAGTGATCAAATGAACATGCGAACCGAAGGCTAATTTTACTGTGATATTACTCGGAAATCATTCTCTGTTATTTCTTTATTTTTGGCCTACCTATACCAGGGGGAGATATAGATCTATGCACAGGTCAGGTACATCCCTCGTAGGTACAGTACTTCGTAGTCGGAGGGCACGGTATTGTAAGTTGTAACGGGAGCGTAAGAGCCCCGTTCCCTGCGATCGGACGAGAGAGTCCACACGATGGAATATTAATTATAATGCATCTCGGCCGACCATCCGGCGCAGGCGAATGGGTTCTTGGCAGCTGGAAGAGTGAATCTCTGATATCGTATTGTATCTGTGCTGGATATTCCGTTCCCCATGGTAGAAACTAGAACTTACTAGCGAGCATTACTAGTACGGAGTTGGTAGATTCTCGACACTACTAGCCAGGGAGGTTCTCCATACCGGCCCCATAATAGCTACCTCGAAGTCGAAGGCTAGAATTAGTCCTCCGTTTACGGAGGACTTTAAGTGTTCTACCCATCGGAGTCGGTCGACCTAGACCAAAGCCTTCCCAAATGGTAAATATAAGAAGCTTTTTGGGGCTACCATACAATGATCTTTATCGCAGGGCACTAAAAGGTATGGCAATACAATGAAAAAAGGCGAAGAAAAAAAAAGAAAAAGTAAAGAAAGGACAGAACGGGCCACCCGCACCGTCCGTGTACTCGGTAGAACTCCCAGGCGAGTGGCGGATTTCTCTTGCCAAGCGCCCTTTACTTGCGTTCATTACGTAGGGGACTCTTTCTCCGTCCATTGTCATCGAGTCATGGTTCTTTACTACATCACCACCGCTAAAGCCACGCCCTCCTCTCCTTGTCTGTAGCTTATTGTTACCATGGGAGGATCAACAGCAGCTTCGCTACCCGCCGGACAACTTTTAATGCTGGAACTTATTCCAGTCAGGTATAGATGGAGTTTAGGCATGCTAATGCTAATGGCCTCTGTATGTACCTGTCCATTTTATCATACACCGCCATCTCACTTACAGTAGTGAATGGTAGAGCGAGACGGTCCGAAACACAACAGGGGGGGCAAAGGAGGAAAAAGAAAAAGAAAAAAGAAAAAAAGAAAAAGAAGAGGATGAAAAGTTAATCCATGACAGCTGTCACTCAAGTTCTCAACGACAACGTGAACAGCCACCCAAAGGATCTGTTCTGGATCTCCAGAGTCATGGGTGTTCCGTGGGTCTGGCGTTCATCGCCAACTTAACTTTTTACCCGTCCTTTGTTTCGAGGGTCTAGCCAGTATTTTCGATTCTCTATCTTCAAATTTCATCTTCTTTCTTCGAATCATTGACTCCGTATGAATCCTGGTTAACCCTGGGGTCCGTATTGGCGAGCCTCCGCTGGAACCGGATCTAAACACTACTCACTGGACTTGAACTAACAAGAGGTACCTGGACTTGACTCTGGACTGGTAATTGGTAAATGGTAAATGGTAAATGGTAATACATATTAGCATTACATATATCCATGTCAACCAATAGCACGGTCGCAGGTTGATTTAGTGTCGCGCGATAAGTTTGGTCTGGAGGGGTCTGTGTTCTCCAACGGGTTTCTCAACCATTGGAACTGGAGAGCAAACCCAGATAGTCAATGCTCGTTGGCCCCCAAAGGACATGGAACTCTTTCCCTACCTTGCCTACCTACTTTCTGGCTATTACTCGAATGGGATGGAATTTTTCGACCTCAAATTGATCGGACAACAATTAAAACCCAACCTAATGTGTTCCCGTCGGCAGGGTTGGGAAAATCGCATTAGTTCTTCCCCCCCTCCTTTTCCTTCTGCGTTTTTCCTTCCCGTGCTCCCGGCTCTATTGGAAAGTCGCCGAAACTTCCAGTCAATTTCTCCATCTCTAATTTCCTCATGCGTAGCAGCCTAATCGGTCGACGAGGAGGCATGGGCTAGTGCTGCTGCTACTACTCTACTACCACCACTCTTCGAAGCGAAGAGAACTCTTCCTATCGGACCGCTGTTTCCTTCCTTCCCGTCTTTCTCTCTCGGAGACGATGGGTCGACTAAGTCCCTATAGAACTGTCCATTATGTCAGTGTCAGCCTATGGGTAGATTTCCTTCCCGTCCGCCAGACCATGCAAGTGTTTGAATCTATTTAAAATAATATGGAAACAAAAATGAAAAAAAAAAGGACCACAGACCAGAAACATCACGGCTGGCAGGGGCTTTCATGGGTAACCTTCCCGAATGGGACGGGGATGGCCCAGAGGGAGGTAGGCAATAATGAATCGTGAGAATGCCCCGATAATCCTACTGAATGTCGCGCATACGACTGGGTTAGCAGTGTATTGGCGTGCATCGCGCTTTTCGGCTCGTCTCTCAGGTTCCCTCTCTCGGTGATTGGAGGGTTACGTCATTGGAGCCCAATGTTTTTCCGTTTCCTCGAGGTATAAGACAAGTCCACCTACCAACACAGTATAGGTAGTAACTATCTTACCTTAGTACATATCCCTGGGTATGACCGTAAATATCATAATAAGGATTCTGCCGGGGTGTCATCCAGTTTTACCGGGAAAAAGGGCAGCGGGCCCGACCAAAGCAGGGAATCTGAGACAAAGCTGGCCGGGGTAATTATCCAGGTTGACCGGCTGCTGGGTTGGATATCCCAGCTGCTGTCTGTTCATTCTATAGTGACTAGGTAATCCATAACCAAAGATAATATACCTCAGTAAGCATCCCAGCAGGTACCGCACGTAGGTACTACGGAGTAGTAACTACACTTGGGTACTCCGTATTATTGCTACCCTTTCAAGGTGCCTCCAGTCAATAATCAATAATCATCCAACATCCCTGTCAATTTTGGAAGACAGTGGAGGTGTTGCGCACAGGACAACTTCCTAGGTGCATGTACCCAGGTGGACCATCCGCTCTGTTGTTGCCTCCTGAACGGACGACGACTGCCAGTTTCATGTTTGATACTCGTCTCTTTTGCCACAGGGACCAGACTAGTAGACACTGAGTTCTACTAGGAATAGTAGTACAGGACATATTGGCTCAGGAGTACAGTCTGAGACTGTGGAGATCACAAGTGCACCTTCCTCGAGCAAGCCGTCCACGCTTTTTCTCCTCTCCTCATGGCCATCCCCAGTTCGGCGTCTTGCATGGCAACCCCGATTCTGACTCGCGGCCATTGGCTCTCCATGTCCGAACCAAGCTTTTTAGCGTCGCCCGGTTGTTCAACCAAGAGGGAAGAACTGCAATTTCACCAAGTGTCCTCGGTCCCAGTCCCCCCCTGCTCCTCCTATACCCTCGGGTCTCCTCTCTGGAGAGGGGAGGCGAGAAGAGGAGATGAGAAAAGAAGAGGTGGGGGGTATCACCGACCGGGAAGAGAGCGCAAGATACAGAGAAATGAGAAAGCCAAGGCAAAGAGTCAAACATGGCCACGGACGATGATGTCCCATCAAGACGCTAGATCCAACACAGACTCACCCGCAGCATTCACTAGTGAGCGAATTCATCCAGGTTCCCGTCGTACAGCAGCGTCCGTGCCTCGTTAGCCAGTCTAGGCTATACTACATTTACCTGCCACAGTCATTGTATCGTACTGAATCACTACCTACACCCACTCCGGTCCTGGCTGCTTCTTATTTGTCTCTTGATAGCAAATCGGGCTCGCTCTTTCTGTCTCTCTGAACCGGTCCTGCTGCGGTTCCTCCAACCACCGAGCCCAATCGACCCCCTGGTTTGGATACGAGTTCCGCCCCAATCTCTGTCGCTTGGACATACTTTTGCGCCACGCTGATAGGTAGATTCCACCATATACCAGCCACAACTAAGATGGACAATGACTGTTGGTTCGGTCCATGCGCGCTATTTGAACAATAGACCTCGCATAGCATGGCATGACATATCCGCCCAGGATATTGCATTCAGGATACGCGAACGCCTCGAAGAAGGTTCTGACTAGTGTCCTGGTTCGCCCGCGACGCCTGGAGCGCAGTCTTATTCTGCTGTCAGGGGCCCTTGCGCTCTGTTCGACTCTGATATATCAGACCGAATGGCACTGGTCGTCTCTCCGACGCCTAACCGGTTGTTCCCGAAGCGGCTGAAGGCGGCAAGGATACCTACTGCCATAATCATAATTATCTACCTATACGTCCGCCACTAGGCGCTATCAAATACATGTCGACTTGAGCATGAGAGGGATCGAGCTGGAAACTCTAATCTTCTCATCGTCTCTCAGCTTTCCCCAAAACAATTTTTATCTCGCTCTCTCTATCACCTCCACGGAAGATCATCATGACACCCCTTTTCGAAACAAGCTAGTCATAATATGGGTGACCCTAGAACTCCCCTGTCGTTTTCCCGGGGGTCAGGAGGCATCTGGAGAATGCGGGACCACCCGAGGAGGTGAACCAAAAGGCGATCAAGCGACAGGGAGTGCATCCACCATGGGAGTAGATGAAGGTATCATCGAGAGGGATGGTGTAACCCGTCTCAGCCGGGATGATTTTGGGGGGTGAGTGAGCCGACGGTGAGTCGACATGATGCTAGTCGTATAACCGGATCTGCTATGCCTCCCTCCCTGCCTCCCTTCCCTCCCTCTTTGTGCTCCGGTGAGATCAGGCCGACAGTAATTAAGGCCGTCTTGAAAAAACGCCACCGCAGCGCATCGAACCGCATCTTCTCAGCCCTTGTGGGTTCACCACGTTCAAACTAAAGTTGCTACTAGTCGCTGACAGCTGCGATCGTTAACCCAATGTGGGAAGAGACGGAGCACTGACCCGCGGGCATTAAATCATCATCCATCACATCTTTGCCTGTCAGTATCGAAGGCATTGACGATGGACGCTCGGACAGACCCTGGACTCGTCATTTTTTCCCTCCTGCTCTCTGGTCGGATCAATGAACCCCGCATTCGCCCCACGAGATTCCCCGTGACTTGAGGGGGGGGGGGGGGGGGGGGGGGGGGACAAGTCGTGCAACGGAAGATATGGAGCTGACCCTTTTGCTTTTCTTTTCTTGAAAATCCCCGATACGGTGTCTGTCGAATCATGTTCCGCCGACAGGGAGGTAGGGATATCTCGGTCTCACGGTGAGTGGTCTGGTCTCTAGACGGAGTAACTTTCCTTGGTCTACAGTCCAGACGGCTAGCATCGCTCAACACGCATTGGTAACGATGAACACGTGCGACTATCGGGGTCTGGTTGCAAATGCCAGCTCTGACGTAGAAGGTCAAGGTGTCGACCGTCGACAGGCTGAGATGGAGCTGAGAAATGCTTCTGCCATAATCCGCCCTAGTAGTTAGTCCCCTGAGTCCAATAATAACTGTTGGCTTATAGGTCTAACCCCAAACGTAATGGCTTTCCCATGCCTTCTGGTGTCGCTCTGGACGAAGAGGATTGCAACGTTTACTGAATCGTGCGTTAACTCCGTCATGGGTGGAATCTTTACCATCAAGGTAGAATCTCCTTTGACAAGGAAGCATCAGGTCGTACAGGCGCTGATGGCCTTATCACAAGAATTCTCCAAATTTTTCGTTCACCTCATTCTCTTTCCTGTTCGAACCGGAAAGATAAACATTTGACTCGGTAGTCGAGTCAAACAAGGCCATTCCTATTAACCCCACAATTGTCACCTCAAGACGTTCTCTTTACAGCATAGTTCCAGCATCCTGTTTTTCAATCGCAAGGGGTACCATATCCAAAATCACCATGATGCGCTCAATCTTACTATCGTAAAACGAACGCCGTCCTTTGCTCGCTTGTATGGAATAGTTCCTTTTCAAGTTTCAGATAGGCACAGTGGGCCGTGCCATTTCCATAATAGGTGATGCTCATGAAAGCTTTCCTCGTAAGGCTTCCCAACTATGACGAACCTCCCTAACTAATAGGCGGGCTGTACCTGAGCTCTCGCAGCATAAGGGTAGCAAAGGTTACCTAGCCAAAAGATGTTGTATACCTGCACGGTATCGCCTAATATCGTGACCGTACTCGCCTGGGGTTTCGCTTCGGGGAGGAGTGATTCCTGGATTGTTGAAAAGCCTTATCTCGGTTCAAAAAGTCGATATCAAGCAATCTTACTGCAATTAGGCACTTCTCTCTTCAAGGTTTGCGAATCTTGCAACCAGAGATTCCTTCCAAACCGCCTCTCGCTTCATGTGGACTCTTGAGTAAGGGCCTCGGTCCCAATCAGACGCGCCTCACTATTGACAATACTGGTTCTCTGGTATTTGGTCTAGACCCTGTCAGAATCCTGCTATGAAATGACGTATCTGGGTAGACTCACCTTGCGATCACCAGCTTAAAATATGCTCTGATGCACTGTAAAACCGGGTCACACGACAAACGTGTTTGACTGCTAGTTTGAATGGGCTCATGCCAGGCCTGAATTCGAAAGGACCCATCGTCGAGCTTGGATTCCGGCTCAAGTCCAAGAAGGCCCAAGAAGGAGGCGTCATAGTGCCCATCGAGATTCCCTCGGGAAATCTTGGGTAGCAAACAATACTTCGCACCGAGTCAGGAAGTGAATGAGGCTCAACCTAGGCTTTCATCAACTCGGGACGGTGCTGCCCAAACCCTTACATTAGCTCCGAGTATACTCCGGAGTACGGAGTAGTGAATCGACTATAGAATATAGGGCTGTCCCGGCAAATCGATCCCAAAATGGAGTCGATGGATCCCGAGCAACCAATAGTCCAAAAATGACAAGTCGATGTGAAACATCTCGAAGCATGCTAGTAGGCAATGACTAGTTCGGGCAGAGGGAAGAAGCATGGAATGCATTTCACGATGCCGTGTCTCACATTCCCCACATGGCCTGCAGAATGCCCGAGGAAGTTTGAAAGTGGTGATAGAATGACAGGTGCCGATGAAATTACGACTCCAAAACCTTTGAGGAATGTGCAAACAACAACCCGAAGAACCAAAGCCATCTTACGCAACCCTTTTCCTTGGTACCGTGGACGAGGCACGAAGACGATGCACGTTGCCGGTGCAACCAGCCGTCTGTTTACGCGCAATTCGTCCAGCCCCTCCATTAAACCAATGGCGGATGTCATCACGATCCAACGTCGCACAGCCCAGACCAAGGGCCATGACGATGGCTTTAATTTATTGTTCGAGTCGGATGCATTGATTGATTGATTGATCTTGCACTTCGGCCCCGATCGGCCATGGCTTCGACATGGTCTTGTTGACTGTCGCCTGGCGCATCTCCCCACTTTGCTACTCCAGGACTTCCTTTCAATTTGCGACCACAAGCTGCTTCGTTTTCTTCTTCTACCTTCTCATATTCATAGAGAATTCCCCTCGTACACGGTCAAGCTGTTCTATCTAAATCTCCCCACTTGACACCGCGTCGAAAAGACGCCGGGCACGTGGGTCCCTCATCCAACACGATTCTCTCTCCATGCCGGCCGAACTAGCCTCGAGACGCCTTTATTCAAGTTAAACTAAGATCGACGGGCTCCCTCTAGATGCAGTGGTCTGTCTCAGGACGTCAGAGTGCCCCTCAACTTGGTTGAAACTCCTGTCGTCTCTCATGGATGATCGAATACCCCGAATCAACGGAATGCGCAAACCTGACGGCGTCAATCTGGCGTCGACCTTCTTTCTACTCGTCGTGCTTCTAATTGGCCCTGCCGTTGCTGCTATTCCATACACCCCGTCATACCTTCTATACGACTTGCAGAACAACGCCTCTTTCAGCTATCTGTTACGGCCTGGTAGCGCCCAAGGTACCACCGAGCTGCTGTCTCTGAACGTGTCCAGGAACGTCCAGGGTTCAGAACCACGCTATGAGACCCTCTCGAAGGAGGTCCCGTTCCAAACCGAAAATCAGACATCATCATTCGTTCCGGTAATCGATCAACACGGCGTTATCAAAGTCTATAGCGGTGATTGCCAGTGCGCGCGGGAAAATTCTACGGTATGGCAATTCACGCCTAGTAGCAGCAGCTCGATTGGAAATGGGACGTGGGAGAGGTACTCGGTGGCTGGAACGAACGATCCAGCGGTCTCTGGGACGAGTGGGCCGAATTATCTGTCCGCGGGGTTTGCGTATTCTAGCTCCAACGAGAGCGAGAGCGCCATTTACGCCTTTGGTGGAATGTGTCCATTACCAGTCCAATGGGAGCAAACTTGGATGGCCGCTGCGAACTATTCTCGGGCTATGGTGGTCTTGAACCCTTCCGACTCGGACAAGCCTTCTTCGTATCAAATCTCGACTGCCGGCGAGCGCGCACCCCCGATCCCAGAAGCCGGGTTTACGATTACTCCCTTACTGCCGGCGTATGCGTCTACTCCGACGGGCCGGTTGTTGAAACAGCAGGATTTTCTGCTGATTGGAGGTCATACCCAGAAGGCCTTCATCAATATGTCGCAGCTGGCTCTCTTCTCGCTTCCGCAGAACAGTTGGAGCATTGTCAATATCGACTCGTCGCTTGACTCGCTCAAAACCGACCTTGCAGCTCGCACGGCCCCGGTGATCGAGCCGCGATCCGGACATACCGCTGTTCTCTCACCGGATGGTAACAAGGTGATTGTTTTTGGAGGCTGGGTCGGCAATACCGGTGTCCCTGCCCAACCTCAGTTGGCCGTCCTTGAGATCGGAGAAGACTATACAAGCTCAGGTGGCTGGAAATGGACCGCCCCATCCAAGGAACGCAGCCCACTGGCGGAAGGAACCGGCATCTATGGCCACGGCGTGACGATGCTTCCTGGCGGCGTGATGATGATCGCAGGCGGATATCGCATTTCACCATCGTCCAAAAGATCGGCCGCCGGCCCGCAGTTGAACACCCAAGTGCAGCTGTATAACGTCACATCGGGCGACTGGGTCTCGTCGTATGCAAACCCAAACGCTGTCTCCGACCCGCCACCATCCGACGAGCCCAGCGACGCGGGTGTGAATACCAACTCCCATTCCCATTCGTCCACCTCCCGAACAATCGGACTTAGTGCAGGACTCGGGGCTGGAATTCCGGCTCTCGCGGGCGCCGCGATACTGGTCTGGTTCTATTGGCGGAGGCGACGAGTCCGCCGCGCGCGCGATCAAAGTCTCCGGAAGCTGGCCTTAGAGGCGCAACGCGCACACTTCTGGGGTCAAGATGATCCTTCCATGGCTAGCAGCATCCGCAGGCCCTCCACGCGAGAGACCAACAGGGACTACCCATGGAACAACAATCCAAGCACCAGCCGGTCATCGAACTGGCAGGATAACGGCGATGCCGTCGCCGAAAGAACGGGACTGCTCATGGATATCCCATCTCCGACCAAGACCTGTCGCTCAGGCTTGAATGCAAGAATGTACCGGCCGCCTGCACCGTACGAGTACCGACGAAGTGACGGAACGGCCGATATCCACCCGATAGACGAGCGAGAGGAGGACGAGATCCAAGACTCCGAGCAGAGAGCAGCGCGAGACTCGATGGATCCGTTCCTCACTCCCCGAAGCACCATCGTTGGCGAAGAACAACTCTATCCCAACGGCGTCGTACCAGCGTTGACTCCCAGTGCTGCATTCGAGCGCGACGAGCCCTCGTCTCCGGACAAGAACGACCGCACTTCCTCGAATCTATCGGATTCCTCGACCTCCGCCAAATCCGCCCATCAGTACCACGGCGCGATCTTCAACAACCCATCCAGTCAACCGAGCAGTGGGCGTGTATCCCCCGAAAAGCCCAGCTCTTCCTCTGGATACCAAAACCGACCCGACAGCGCAACCCTTCCGCAAGAAAAGCGCTATTCCTCCGATTCCTTCTCCACCGCCCACACAACCCTCTCCCAACGTCAGGTCGAAGGCGAGCATCTCCTCCAACAAGAAGGAGGAGCCGCCGCCGCCGCCGCCGCCGCAGCAGGACCTCAATCACCGACTGTTGATCTATTCCCACGACCGCTTTCCATCTCCAAACCCCGAACCTCAGACTGGATGGGCAATGTCCGACGCGTGCTCTCTGTCACGCGAAAGCGCCCACCAACCAGTGATGACTGGAACGATACCTCGCTAGCCTCGGGAGTCGATCACCGCGGCACAGTTCTCGGAGCGACTCAGAAACCACTCGAGTCAGGCAGTGCTTCAAGTTTAACAACCTCAACCTCGCAAATGCCCCGTCGCTCGGTCAGTGCGTCGGCCGAACTGTTCCGGCGTAAGCAGAGCAGTGCCAGGGAGTGGAGCGCAGGCAACCGGTCTTCGCGAGAGATGACATTCCAGCCGCCCATCCGCGATGATTTCGCTCTCGACGGACTCCTCGATAACATGATTGGGGTAGACGACAATAACGATGACGATGACGATGACGAGGACTGGGACGTCGAGGGCGCGATAGAAGGGCGACGCGTCCAGATGACATATACGGTGCCGAAGGAGCGATTGCGAGTCGTCAATGCCACTGCACGAGATATGGATAACTATTCCGAGAAATCTATCAGTCGGAGCAACAGTGAAGCGTAAGACGAAGAGAGAAGGTATATGAAGATATACGATTGTGGCGTTGACAGGGGCTTCGTCCATTTATTTCCCTTCACACATTTTGATATTTTTGCTGAGTTAGCGTTTGTCATCTTTTATGGTTGAATTTCCCTGTTCTGAGATCTCTTTTTGTTTCTTGCTCACGTGTCATACGCTCGTCACGATGATCGGATTGTATGTGTATGTTCCATTCGTTTATGTGGGGATTTGATATCCCCCCTGTGTGTTTAAATAGCTCCTTTTCTCCTGGACTTTGCCGTTCATGTCGATAAAGTGATTACGATGGAAATGAAATCAGATTGTGAATGACCTTGAGAGGTACTACGGGGTATAGAAGATCCGGACGGTAAACACTAACCTTGTATTATCTAGATTGGATACTCAATATGATTCATTCTATAATGCTCTGAAAAGGTCAGATGGACAAAACAAATTATTTTATAACCCCCGAAATTGGAACATAAATGCAAGATCAAAAAGCAGAAGTTTTCATAAACGCCATAACAAACGGTCCGAAACAGACTCTCTACACGGAGCCATTCGCTGCCGTCGTGGGACGGGTGGGAATGGTCTTGGGAAGCGGCGGCAGGAGAGACTTGGCGCTCTCGCGGGCATACTGGGCCATCAAGGCGTCCATGATGACCAGAGCGGACATGGTCTCGACAATGGGGACGGCGCGGGGCACGACGCAAGGGTCGTGGCGGCCCTTGGCCTCCAGGGTACCTTGCTCGAGGTCGTAAGTAGCGGTGGTCTGGGCCTGGCCGATGGTGGCAGGGGGCTTGAAGGCGACACGGAAGTAGATCGAGGCGCCGTTGGAGATACCGCCCTGAATACCGCCGGAGTTGTTGGTCTTGGTGGTCAGTCGCTGGCCGCTGGTGGTGTTGCTGCCGTTGCGGGTTTCCACGTTCGCCGCCACAAAGGGGTCGTTGTGGATGGAGCCGGGCACCTCGCAGCCACCGAAGCCGGAGCCGATCTCGAAGCCCTTGGTGGCGGGGATGCTGAGCATGGCGTGCGCGATCTTCGCCTCGAGCTTGTCGAAGCAGGGCTCGCCCAGACCCACGGGCACGTTGCGGATGACGCAGGTCACAGTGCCGCCGATACTGTCGTGGTTGTCACGGAAATGCTCGATCACCTTGGTCATACGCGCGGCAGCCTCTTCGTTGGGGCAACGGGTCGGGACGAACGAGTCGACCATGTTGCGATCAATCTTTTCGAGGAGGTCCAGGTATTCGGGGTTGGTCGAAGCGGTGGGGTGCTCCGGGGTGGGGGGGAACAGGTGCTCATTGCCGACGGAGGAGACGAAGGCCACGATCTCAACGCCGTGGGAAAGACGCAAGTACTTTTCGGCGATGGCACCGGCGGCGACACGGCCTATGGAAATTGATCTCGTCAGCATGGCCTGTTTCTCTTTTGTGTCTGTGCCCTCATATAGTTCGAGCAAGGCGGGGTAGAGGGGCGCTCTCACCGATGGTTTCCCGAGCACTGCTACGACCACCTCCACTGCTTGCCTTCACGCCGTATTTCTCGAGGTAGGTGAAGTCGGCATGGCTGGGACGGGGGTACAAGTCCATGGTGCTACCGCCATAGTCCTTAGGCCGCTGGTCCTCGTTGCGAACCATCATGCCAATCGGGGTGCCCAGGGTGACGCCGAACTCGGTACCCGACTGGATTTCCACGCGGTCCTTCTCATTCCGGGGCGTCGTCAGAGCGCTCTGGCCGGGACGTCTCCGAGTCATCTGAGGCTGAACATCGTCCTCGGTGAGCTCCATGCCAGGGGGGCAGCCATCGACGATACAGCCGACGGAGCGGCAGTGGGATTCACCGTAACTGTTCGCGGTCGAAACGCCATCATGTCAGTCATTGCGATTGCTGTTTCGATTCTCATTTCGGCCTCTCGACTAGAAGTAGACTTACGTGGTGACTCTGAAGTGTTCACCCCACGTCGACATGGTGAGTCAATCGAATGATCCCTTGCGCGGAAGAAAGGGAGAGAAAGGGCGGGGGTAGTGAGTTGGAAGGGAGGGGCTTTGTAGGTATCCAACAGCGGAGGAAGATAAATAGACAGCGGACACGAAGAGAATATGAATCAAGGGGGTGAGGAAGGAAAGAAGAGGAAGAAGAAGAGAGGAACGACAGGGGAATAACCTTTTCCTGGGTGGAACCACACGAATCGTGACTGCCGCAGAATTATGTTCAGGCGAACCCGAAGCGGCATCTTTTTCAGGTCGATCGCAGCCCGGGAATCCTCAAAGTGGCCTTAGTGCCCGGCGATCGGAGTTGCTCGTCCTGTACGGATCTCTTACGGGGAGGGACTGCAGATCCGGTATGGTTTGGTATGATACAGGTGGTATCAGTGACTTCTACAGTAGTGGACCTTAGGTACTGACTACTGGATAACTCAATCTTTCTTTCCTTCTCTCCTCCCCTCCCCTCCCCTTCTTCCACCTCCCCTCCTCACTCTCAATGCTCCCCTTCCTTCCTCTCACTCCATGCCTGCGATCATCCTCTCGCACTCTCTACCGGCATGGTCGTCTCTCCCGCCGACATAACTCCTCCTTTCCTTCCGACCACTTCGCCCAGCTAGCCAGTCGCCAATCCGCCCGGCACCAAATCTACCAATCCCTTTCCACAGATCCCTACGTCAACCTCTCCATTGAACACTTTCTGCTCGAGAATGCGCCCGCGGAGTCGAGCATCCTATTTCTCTACATCAACCGTCCGTGTGTCGTCATCGGTCGCAACCAGAATCCATGGCTAGAAACCAATCTACATGCCCTGCACAATGATCGGGTGCAGCGCGAACCCGGCGACTCCAACGGCAGCGATGTGGTGTATGTGCGACGGCGATCCGGGGGAGGCGCAGTATATCATGACGAGGGCAATCTGAACTATAGCGTCATTTCGCCGCGGACGACGTTCACGCGAAACAAGCATGCGGAGATGGTAGTGCGGGCACTCCATCGCGTGGGGGCCATTAACACCAGCGTCAACGACCGCCATGACATTGTCCTGTCATCCGGTGAAACCCAGCCTCGGAAGATCTCTGGGTCGGCTTTCAAGTTGACGCGACAACGTGCGCTTCATCATGGGACCTGTCTGTTGGACACCCCGAACATCGACCGGCTGGGCGTCTTTTTGCGATCGGGCGCGCGGGATTATATCAAGGCCAAGGGTGTCGAAAGTGTGCGGTCTCCCGTAGCCAATGTCTCTTCGATGTTTGCCGACGCGTTGACCCCGTTCTCAATCCAAAACGTCATCACCAGCGTCATGGAGGAATTTGCAGCCCTATACGAGGTCAACCCGGACGCCGTGCGCCGTGCGCAGCGGGCCCACGCCCACGATCCGGAATTATACGCGGGAGAGGACTGGGTCGCAGGAGCTGTGGGAGAACCCGAGGGTTACGGGGAACCCAAGATCAAGTCCGGAATTGACGAGCTCATGGTAGGTGTCCCCGTTGATGCGGACGTGTGCATCACAGCTAACCTTGGACGTCCGAGCAGTCGTTGGAGTGGAAATACACACAAACGCCCCAATTCACCTTCTCTACTTACCCTATTGAGGACGATCCTCGGGAGAGGCCAGCTCTGCCGGCCTCTTTGCCGCCTGCGGTAAGGCACCCAACAGTTCCGCTCTGAGGTTTCTTGGCGACTCACTAATTACATCACATCAGACGCGTGCATTCCTTCGCCTGAAACACGGCGCTATCATTGAAAGCTGCATTTCGACCGCGTCAGAGCCCACGCTGGCCGATCAACAGGCAAACCGCGTGCATGAGGCCTTAAACGGCCGGAACCTCCACGAGATCCAGCAAACACACTGGGATGAGATCTTGCTAGATCGCTTGAGCCCTGAAGTGGACGCAGCCACCATCAAAGAGCTCTCGGAGTTCATCGGCAGCAAGATGGGCTGCTCATAGTTCCCCAATTATAAAAGATGGGAGGCATTTGATAGATAGAAACTGTATTATATACTCAGACCTGATGTACATTATGGTTACTACAAGCGCTAGATATGCAGTACATGTTAGAAATTTGCGTGATGAGTCGCATGTCCTTGTGGGTGTTCGGCAGTCCGCACCGTCATGATTGCGGAACTTCCCCAATATGACACAAGACAAGACACATTCGAGAGAACCTGTTTCAATCAATGACGAGAGATGAGCCATGTGGTTGCGCCCAATGGAACCGGTCAAGACAGGAACGAATCAATGAACGAGGACCGTTGGTATCACCACCTACCAACCTGGTTCGATCATGGCTAACATACGGTGCCAAATACGAGTACGACTCGGGTTATCAAACCGCCGAGGAAATCGCTGGAGCCTTGAAAATAGGGGCACATCTACAGTTCAAGACAGTCAAGACTACAACTCGGATTACCCGAAGTAACAACCCCGCAAGGAGCGTTCGCTTGCGGGGTGCATGCAGAAGTTGGGGTTCTCCGCAACGGAATCGTCACAGTTTGACCCTAAATGACCCTAAATAATGGGTACCCGTTTCATAAGAACGCTTGCGACTGGACCAAATGACATTACGATCATCTGCCGCGGGAAGAGCGCAAGCCAGCGTTCGGTCTGTATTCCAACGAGGGCCGAACTTCCCACAGGAAATGGATGGTTTGGACTGAAGAAGCCAAGAAAATTTGGCTCTACGAGTCATTTGCAACATGCGGGGGCGCGTTTTTGCAAGCTGATGAGGAGGTCGAAAGAAGAGGACCTGGACGAGTATTTGAAGGATGCTGGGTCGTTCGCAAGGGGTTCTTGAAATCCAGAATTTCTGCAGAAGCCCGGTTGGTGAAGGTTGCGGAGCCAACTATCCTCCATCATGGCTCTATCCATCTCTCAGGTTTCCTTTGAGCATCATCGTACCGCCCTTGGAATCGGCGAGACAACTCCTCGGATCTCCTGGCGGTTCCAAGGGAACGTGTCCGACTGGGAACAGAGTGCCTATGACCTGGAAATCAAGCGCAGAGGGCAGGAGCCCGACACCTTCCATGTCGACTCCTCCGATTCTGTCTTGGTCCCTTGGCCTAGTTCTCCGTTGAAATCCGGCGAGGAGGCTACTGTGCGCGTGCGATCTTCTGGGCAGGACGACCAGGTTAACACAGCTTGGTCTCATTCTTTCACCGTCGAACCAGGCCTTCTCAGTCCCGAAGACTGGCAGGATGCTGCAGCCATCGTGTCCGATCGACCTACGGAAGTCAACCAAACCCACCGGCCGATCTTGTTCCGGAAGGATTTCAAGCTGGATGATTCGATTGATTCGGCCCGGCTATACATCACGGCTCTAGGCCTGTACGAAGCCCAAATCAACGGAAAGCGGGTGGGAGACCACGTCCTGGCCCCCGGTTGGCAAACCTACACCAGTCGCCATGAGTACAACACTTATGACGTCACCGAGCATTTGCGAGACGGGGCAAACACAATCGGAGTAACTGTCGGAGAAGGCTGGTATGCCGGTCGCTTGGGGTTTAATGGAGGACGGCGCAATATCTATGGCGATACCCTGGGAGTGCTCTGCTTGCTAGTCGTTACCAAAGCGGATGGCAGTAAGGAGTATATCCGCAGCGACCAGACGTGGAAATCAGGAATCGGCCCCATTATCACTTCTGAGATCTATGACGGTGAAAGATATGATTCGAGATTGGAGCGCAGTGGATGGTCGAGTCCCGGCTTCAATAGTACCGGCTGGCGTGGGGTCCACGAGGTCTCATTTGACAAAGGCAAATTGGCCTCGCCAGATGCTCCCCCGGTTCGACGAGTTGACGAGCATAAACTCATCAATGTTTTCAAGAGCGACTCGGGCAAGACGGTTCTGGACTTTGGCCAAAATCTGGTGGGATGGTTACGTGTTCGGGTCAAAGGACCGAGCGGGCAAACAATCAAGTTTGTCCATACAGAGGGTACGTGCTATTCGATTCGCCTTGCTTAGGCAATGGCAGGACGCGACCACCGTGGCGCCAAAACTAACCTTTCGATACGCAGTCATGGAAGACGGAGAAGTAGCAACTCGTCCGTTGAGAGTTGCGAAGGCCACTGATCACCTCATTCTCTCGGGAAAAGTGCAGGAATGGGAGCCGTCGTTCACCTTCCATGGCTTCCGTTATGTTGAGGTGGACGGTTGGCCGACCGACACCACTCCTATAGATGAAGACTCCATTACGGCCATTGTCGTGCACACGGATATGGAGCGAACCGGACACTTCGAGTGTTCGAATCCACTCATCAACAAGCTCCATCAAAACATCGTCTGGGGCATGCGAGGAAACTTCCTGAGTATCCCGACCGACTGCCCTCAGCGTGACGAAAGACTCGGCTGGACCGGTGACATTCATGCCTTTGCCCGTACTGCGAACTTCCTGTATGACACGGCTGGCTTCCTCCGGGGCTGGCTGAAGGACGTCCATTCAGAACAAAAGAATAACTCGAGTGAGTGATACCAAGATCACCTGTGGACCGTGGATAAGAGCGCGAGTGCTGACCACCCTAGACATTGTGCCCTTTGTCGTTCCCAACATTCTCGGGGAGGCGACGCCGACCTCCATCTGGGGCGATAGCATAGTTACTGTCCCTTGGGATCTCTTCCAAGCCTTCGGGGATAAAGTCATGCTCGGCGAGCAATACCAGGCAGCCAAAGACTGGGTCGACAAAGGCATCTCCCGAAATGGCGTTGGACTTTGGAACCGCTCAACCTTCCAGTATGCGGACTGGCTCGATCCCAAAGCGCCCGCTGACAGTCCCGGAGAAGCCACCACAGACAAGTTCCTAGTTTCCGACGCATACTTGCTGCATAGCACAGAACTGCTTGCCAACATCTCCTCCGTTCTTTCATTTGCCGGCAATGCCTCGACTTACTCCGAGCAGCATACTAAACTCACCAAGGAATTCCAGAAGGCGTGGATTTCCTCGAGTGGAGTCATGGAGAACGAAACGCAGACCGGTCTCGCCTTACCCCTTTTCTATGAACTCTTCTCTAGCCCCGAGCATTATGAATCTGCCCTTGAGCGCTTGGTGAAAATCATTCAGAAGAACGACTATAAGGTCGGAACTGGGTTTGCCGGAACGCACCTACTCGGACATGCATTGTCGAAATACGGTGCGTCGGATACTTTCTACCAGATGTTGCTGCAGAAGGAAACTCCCTCGTGGCTCTACCAGGTGGTGATGAATGCCACCACCACCTGGGAACGTTGGGACAGCATGCTGCCTAATGGCACCGTCAATCCCGGCGAGATGACTTCATTCAACCATTATGCCGTTGGCTCCGTTGCCAGTTGGATCCATTCGGTTATTGGAGGTCTCAATCCTGCCGAACCGGGGTACAAGAAGATCAACATCGAGCCAGTTCCCGGTGGTGAGCTGCGCAGGGCGTCCGCTAGATTGCAGACGCCGTACGGCCTGGCCTCCACCAAGTGGTGGCTGGATGATCGTCCGGGGCGAAACTGCAACGGAAGCGATTTCCATCTGGTGGCACAAGTTCCACCCAACACGCGAGCCACCGTCGTGCTCCCGGTATCAAATGGCAAGAAGAAGAAGAAGAAGAGTGTGGAAGTCGGGTCGGGCACTCATCGCTACCGGGTTAAATGTCTCCAGGTCAATTGATCGCTCCCTAGAGCCGTACATGTATATAGCCTGTCTAGCTTTAGCCAGCACGACAGTCCAACAGACTTTCGGATAAATTTCGACATATAAATAACCAGGCTACTGATGCATGCCGGCTGGAGGGGCAGATCATCGTCGCCACAGGGTCTTTTTCCCGTTCGCGGTAAAACTGCTTCCTGTCCATTCCGCCAATCGTCACAGAGCGTATAAGAGGAGATGCGATGCCGAGCATGTCGGACTTCATTCCGATCTTGAATTTCCCCTCACCCGATTAGACTCGAGCAGGATTGATCGACGGTTTGATATAAATACACACAGTTGTCGATCGGTCTCCTGAGAAATCGGGTTGCTGTTCACGTCACAAACCATGTCTGTTCACGCCAACGGAAAGACTCGCGCCCACGCGTTCAGTCAATCCCCCTTTCGCTCTCGCAGTGACTTCCAGAATGCCTGCCAGGCATTTCTGGACCCTCTGACCCCCCACTTCACCCCCGGAGGCAGTCGCGTGAAGATCGGGACTTCAACCACTCGATTCGACGAAGGCGGCGCCCAGATCGAGGGCTTTGCGCGCCCTCTCTGGGGGCTGGCTGCCCTACTGGGAGGAGGATACAAATATTCAGAGGCAGCGCGCTGGCGAGAGGGTCTCATCAATGGCACCGATCCACAGAGCCCCGAGTTCTGGGGCACAATCGAAGATTCCGACCAGCGCATGGTGGAGATGTGTCCCATTGGATTTACTCTCGCGGTGGCGCCTCATGAGTTCTGGGATCCCTTGACGGATCAGCAGAGGGAGAATGTTACGAATTGGCTGGCTAGTATTAATGATAAAGAGATGCCGAATACAAACTGGTACGTTGCGTCCGTCGCCTGTTGGGCGTTTGTTCTTGCGTTGAGGCTCACGATACCTTTTTTTTCCACAACGACAGGCTCTGGTTCCGAGTCTTCGCCAACCTGGGTCTTCGGAGGAACGGCGCATCATACTCTCTTGCGCGTATTGAAGCGGACATGGATCACTTGGACACATTTCACGTCGGAGGAGGTTGGAGCAACGACGGCCCCAAGAGCCATCACCAGATGGACTACTATTCGGGCTCGTTTGCCATCCAGTTCTTACAACTGCTGTATGCCAAATTGGCGGCGGATTTTGACGAACCCCGAGCTGAGCGGTACAAGGAGCGTGCCAGGAATTTTGCCCAGGATTTCGTGCATTACTTTGACCCGGACGGTGAGTTTTGCCCGCTCTCGTAATAGCATTCGGTGCGTGATACAAAGCAGAAGACTGATTCGATATTCTCATCCCCAGGCAGTGCCATTCCCTTCGGACGATCGATGACATACCGCTTTGCCATGGCCGGGTTCTGGGGTGCGCTTGGGTTCGCGGACGTCGAGCTCCCTGCTCCGCTGACCTGGGGCGTGGTCAAAGGTTTGCTGCTGCGACACTTTCGCTGGTGGGCGACCCAACGAGACATTTTCAACAGCGATGGAACACTCAATCTCGGCTACTCCTACGCGAATATGTATCTGACCGAGAACTACAACTCCCCCGGGTCGCCATACTGGTGCTGTTTGTCTTTCGTGCCTCTCGTCCTCCCCGAATCGCATCCATTTTGGACTGCCCAGGAAGAACCGTATCCCAGTGCCTCCCTTCCGACCGTTGCGGCTCTGGAGTATCCCAAGCACCTTGTGGTGCACCGCGGGGGACACTCCTTCTTGCTTTCGTCGGGACAGGCCTGTCACTATCCCTTGAAAGCGACGCAAGCCAAGTACGGCAAATTCGCCTACAGCGCATCGTTCGGATACTCCGTGCCCACCGGCGGGTATCAACTCGAACAACACGCGCCCGACAGTATGTTGGCCCTGTCCGAGGACGGCGGCGATATTTGGCAAACCCGACGACTTGCGCTGAATGCTCGCATTGAACGGCGAGGCGACATCCCCATTCTCGTCTCGGAGTGGAAGCCCTGGCCGGACGTCGAGGTCGAGACGTTCCTGATTCCGCCGTCTGATGATAGTGAGAACTGGCATATTCGCGCCCATCGCGTACGCACGGGGAGAGCACTCATGACTTCAGAAGGCGCGTTCGCAATTTATGGTTGTCGCAAGGACAACGGTCGCATCCTGGGACCATTCACCGAACAGTCAGAGGAGGGAACCCTCCACGAGTCGCGACGCGCCCTCACAGTCTCGTCGGCCGGGGCCGTTGGAATCGTCGAGCTCCAAGCCCATGTGGAAAGATCTGGACGAATCGTGTTAGCCGATCCCAACTCAAATCTACTCCATGGTCGTACGTTGCTCCCTTCGTTGGGAGCCAATTTGCCGTCGGGGACTGACTGCTGGTTCGTGAGCGCGGTGTTCGCCATGCCGGAAAAAGAGAAGAATACGAACAGATGGCAAGAAGGATGGGACAAGCCACCAGTCATTCCCCAGTGGTTGGCACAGCAGATGACAGTCGGATAAAGAAGGAATGGGTCGTTGGTGCCCTCGGGGGGGGTGGCTTTTTGCCAATGCTCTGAACGTGGGGGAGTGATAGTGTATCTCTAGCGAAGAACTAGAAATCGAATGTATGATGCCATTTAATTTGTGGGAAATTGAGACCAAGGAGGAATTCCTCCTGAGCCATGGCAAGAGGGCGAGATTGTTAGGGTTGACGATATCAGCAGACCTGCCAAGTCGGGGTCAAATCTCTCCTTCCCTCTCCTTTCTTGTCTCTCCCATCCATCGATCCCATCAGCCATCGTGATACGACTGATTCTCTCCGCAGATCATTTCTCGGGGTCTTTTCCCCGCAATCACTAGTTGCTGACCAGCTCATCTAGCGTCTCGTCATCCCATTCGTCGCGCTAACTCTATCCCAGCGCTGCACGAGGCACAGTGCAACGCTGCCCAGACGGGATCCGATCCTCCCTTGTCTTTCCCCTCCGCGAATCTGTCCATGCCATGGCTTGGGGGGCGCTGCCAGCCATGTCCAGGGATTCGTGGAATTCATTTCACCTCCTTCTCGCCTTGTTTCTCCGTGCCAGGCGTCATCACTCGTCCCGGCTATTGTTGAAAGGCAATAGCCGTTGGTTGAGAGCGATGGCAATACGACCTGGTTATCTATCGCGCTTTTAATATAATTATCAAATTCATACTTATAATATATCCTCTTCTCCGCCATACGTCCGGTGCTAATCAGCTGGAGTGGAGACCTCGTCAAGTACGCATGCGCGGTGGTTGATCTCTCTTCTAGACTCTTATATGAGACTATTTCAACCCGCTTGGTCTACTGTTTATTTTGACTGAGTGTCTTCTTCACACGGTCTTCATATCAAAGGACCCCCAAATATACCGACAAGATGTCCGTCATCCTGAGGAGACTCGTCCACAATGATGCGATGCGATCAGATCCCAAGGAGATCTACGGATGGCGAGTCTACATGCTTGCGTGCTCGGTCGGTTTTCCACGCTCGTTGCTCTTTCTTTTCGCATGTGGTCCCAATCAGACCCGTCAACTAACCCTATCCAGGCATGCTTTGGTGGAATGCTTTTCGGGATGGAGACCGGTATCATTGGAGGTGTCCTGACCATGGCCCCTTTCAAAGCGTAAGTCAACCTTCCGATCCTCAAGCAGCCGATCATCAACAAACCAACCCCGCAAATAGGAAATACGGTCTCGAGAATATCGGCGAGGTAGCGGCGGCCAATTTGTCCGCCAATATCGTCTCTACCCTACAGGCAGGGTGCTTCTTCGGTGCCTTGGTCGCCTCCATCATCGCCGATAAATGGGGTCGAAAGCTCGGTTTGATCACGGCGTCGTTGCTCTCCATCGTCGGTGTCGTCATGCAGGTCGCTGCCTCGGGTCATCTTGAGGCCATGTATATTGGGCGGTATGTCATTCTCCCGTCATATACCATCATCCTTCCCATATTACCGTTCAGTTGTGGCTAATAGGGATAATCAAACCGTCCAGGCTGATAACCGGTTTCGGTGTCGGAGTTGCCTCCATGGTCAACCCTCTCTACGTCTCCGAGAACGCCCCTCGTGCCATCCGTGGCGGTTTGACTGGTCTGTACCAGCTTTTTATCACGCTCGGTATTATGCTTGCCTTCTGGATCAACTACGGGTCTGTTCTGCATATCGAAGGTACCGCCCAGTACATGGTCCCGCTCGCCATGCAGGCGCTGCCAGCTATCTTACTTTTCATTGGCATGATGCTTTGCAATGAATCGCCTCGGTGGCTCGCCAAACAAGATCGCTGGGAAGACGCCCGGAAGACCCTCTCCCGCGTGCGGAATCTGCCTTCCACTCACCCGTACGTTGAGAATGAATTCCAGGAAATCCAACAGCAGCTGGAACACGAACGGAACTTGGTCGGCGGATCCGGTTTCATGGATCTCATGAAGGAGATGTGGTTGATTCCCGGAAACCGCAAGCGTGCGATGATCAGTATCTTCCTGATGATCTGCCAGCAGATGACCGGTACCAACGCGATCAACTACTACGCACCCCAGATCTTCGAGAATTTGGGAATCAATGGTAACGCTACCGGCCTTTTTGCCACCGGTGTCTACGGCATCGTCAAGGTGGTCGGCTGCGCCGTTTTCCTCGTGTTCGTCGCCGACTCGCTCGGTCGTCGCCGCTCTCTGCTGTGGACGTCCGCCGTCCAGGGTCTCACCATGCTCTACATTGGCCTGTACATCCGGATCGCTCCCCCGGAGGAAGGCGCCCCCGTCATCCCCGCCGGCTACGTTGCCCTCGTCTGCATCTTCCTCTTCGCCGCTACCTTCCAGTTCGGATGGGGTCCGGTCTGCTGGATCTACGTGTCGGAGATCCCGACGGCCCGACTGAGAGGTCTCAATGTCTCCTTCGCCGCCGCAACTCAGTGGCTGTTCAACTTCGTGGTTGCCAGAGCCGTGCCTAACATGTTAGCCACTGTCGGTGCGAATGGCTATGGGTACGTTCTCCTCTTCCAAGCTCTATAAATAATACAGGATGCTAATTCACTCGCTCTAGTACATACATCATCTTCTCATGCTTCTGTCTCTCCATGGGCGTCTTCGTCTGGTTCTTCATCCCCGAAACCAAAGGTACTTTACTCCTTAATTTTTTTTTAACTTTTTGTATCATCCCCGGCTAACTAATCATCTCACTTTCTATAGGTCTCGCTCTCGAAAAGATGGACGAACTCTTCGGTGTCACGACCCTGGTGGACAACAAGACCGCCGACGCGGAGCGAAACATGTCGGAAGGAGGAAGCAGTAAAGCGGACCATAAGACGACGGAGACGAGAATGGAGTCGGTTTAGAGAAAAAAAAAAGGGGGGTTCCATTTGATGTGTTGTTTTTTGTTCGCTTTGCTTGGTTTTGCTATGCGGTTTCTTATACATTTGGTAGGGGGTGGGGGGAAAGATTGGTTGTCGTATTTGTTTGACTCTATTTTATTTTATGATATTGTTATATCAGTTTCCGATCATGAGCACTTGTTCTATTGTTTCTGATTACGTCTCTAGCGAAGGGTACATACATGTGATCGTGACGGTCATTAGATAACACATGATCTAATATTCAAAATGAAAATAAGGACGGAAAGTTCAAGATGGTAGATTGACGGCGAATGGTTAAGATGAATCCCTGACATATCTATCCAAAAATAATCATCCTAGAGAGTCGAGGAAGGTCGTAAATCATATTCGAGGTATGTATGTATGTTTGTATGCTCATCCATCTATCCATCCATCCATGTCGCACAGAGAATAGGAGTGGAAAAGAGATTGGATAAGCAAACAAAGACGATGTAAGAATCAACGCTAATCAACGGCCATGCAAGGAAACAAACGAGAAAGAAGTTGATGAAGACAGATGGGAGACACTACCAAGTACAGGATCAAAAGGGTCTCAACATGAAAAACAGAAATCGAAAAAAGAAACGGAACTAGAAACAAGAAGCAAAAGATACAAATGAATAGCATCGCTTATCCAAATACATAACCAACAAGCTCGACTCCTGAGTGCTAATCAATCACAGTTAGAAAAGTAGGGAAAGAGACGCGTAGACAATCTCTCGGTGTCGAGACACTGTATACACAATTTGAACAAGAAAAGAATCAGGAATTAAAGATATGTTGAAAGTATACAGCGGGAGTCCGGATCAAAGGTCTATCAAATCCGACCAAAGGTCCTCGCTGGAGTTCGGCGGCTTTGGAGCCGCTGCGTCTGACTGCGGGTCATTCGGCGAGGGTTGTCCTCGAGACTCAGGCCCCCGATCCCGGAGCCAAGTTCAGACTTTCGGGGCGAGAAGGTGTTATCGATGTTGTCCCGTCCATATCGGATGTTCCGGATGGTATTGCTGGTGGCCGTGGTAGTAGCCGTGGCGGTAGTCTCGGTGTCGGAATCGCGGTCAAACGCGTCAGAAGTGTCGGACTCGTTATCCTTCAAGCTGTTCAGGCTGAAGCTATGATCCCTGTTGAATCCGCTACCGAACCCACTGTTGAGTGGTGCAAAGGCGGATCGCTGCTGAACCTCAACGGGTTGGTTGAAGCTGGAGTTCAAAGTGGAAGAAAAGGACAGAGGCGGCACAGTCGACGGAGACGCAACTGAAGGAGAACCTAAGCCGCTGCCATTCTCTATCAGAGCGGGACTGCGCGGTGGTGGGCCAGCGTGCGAGGTCGAGGTCGATGTAGGCGGCCTGCTCTGGGTCTGCGCTTGGGATCCTGAGTTTCTGGCTGCGAGCTGATAGAGGGAAAGCAGACCCAGCGCCTCCTGTACGGCCATAAAGATCAGGAGTAGCTTGCCGTACCGGTCGAAGTAATGGCGCTCGAAGGAGACTCGGGGGAGGTTTCCGCCCAAGTGGACGGCCGCCACGAGTTCGGCGAAATAAACAAGAATCTCCATGCCGTTCCATTGCACAATTGGCTGCTTCAACACCTCCAGCAGTGCAAACCCAGCGAGAAGACTTGCGCTGCCAAGTGAGCCAACCTCGATATAGTTCCCAGGCACCGCGATCAGCTCGTGCTGTGAGAGCAACCATGAACCAATTGAAGCTAGCAACAATCCGAACCGAAGATACTGAACGATGAAGTAGCCCTTTAGATCTGTCGAAGCTTGAGGTCGTGTATCTGCCGCCTCTGGGCGCGGTTGCCAGCCGTCACCGTCCTCGTCTTCCGGGGACTTGATGGTGAAAGTGCGATCGAATAGGTTCTCCAGTCCGGTTGACGCAACATGGTCACTCATGGGGAAGAACTTTGGCGGCGCAAATACGTTGTCAGCTGGGTCATTATCGCGCTGCCACGTTTTGGACGTTTGCGTGGGTGTGCGGTGGAAGGGGTTTGGCGCGACGATTTGTTCAAGAGGCTTCTGGCGCTGGGCGGGTTGATTTCGCAGCGTCCATGAAGGAGGTTGAGGGGCAGCAGGTAGCGCCCCGTAAAAAGGCAGAGGGCCATCAAGGATGGAGCTTTGATCTTTCGACTGGACACTGACTGCCGGTCGGATGTTATGTTGCACCGAAGGAGTCCAGTCCATATCATCTCCTTCCGGAGGCGGAGTGGGTATAGCTGGTTCCCTCTGAGGAGTAGGCTGGGGAGTAGCCAATTTCTCAAGAGGAAACCGCGGCGTAGTTTGAAATAAGTTTCCATTTGGAGTCATAGACGACACCTTGCTACTGTTACCCGGCAGAGGCGGCGCGTCGACTTTGCGCTGTGGAGTAGGTGCGGGCGTGAGATCATTCCATGTCACCAGTGGCCGAGTATCGTACTGCACAATGCGCCGGGAGATTACAACGGACTGTGATTCGGTTAGTGCTGTGAGTTAGGAGAGTCAGACTGGAAGGGGGGACTTACCAAGACTGTAAACAGGATCATAAACCAGTGGAGGGCAGATGGCAGCGACGGATCGAGTCCGCTCGACGAGGGATCTCTGAGTACACCCCAGAAGACGCATCGCACCACCATAACTATCAGCTGTACCTTGTAGTACTCGCCAAGGCCCACGAAGCGGCCCCCTCGTCCTTCGACCTTCAGTCGCAGTTTCGGGTTATACCACAACGAAAGAATACCCGCAATAAGAGACAGGCCGGCGTAGGGCGCGAGGTCGACCATGCAGTCACTCGGTAGTTGACGCGTCCATAGCGCCTGCGAAGCACAGGAAACTATTGATGGCGACGGCTGGCCAAACGCGTCCGGATCTCTTAGCGAGTCATCCTCGGCGACCGCCAGAGCACTCCACAAGTCCCAGGAAAGTTGACCAGCAATACTAGTCCAGGAGCCTATGGCACCCGCAAACACCAATAAACTCCTCCAGTTCCAGTTGCGGGCCTGTCTCGCCGCCCTCCCCTCTTTGCTGCGTTCCATCATCCGTCGGAGGTGGTCGGATTTCGCCTCATACCCCGTCTGGCGGATGCGCTGTCTGACTCGAGGCTCGCATCTGACACACACCTGCGGATACCGCTCTTCGAGGTTTTTTCGGAATTTCGGGTACTCTCGCTCATATGCACCATATTCGGGGTCGTCAGCAGCGGGGAAGTAGGAGGCCAAGCCACTCGTAAACAGATGTTGATTGCGGACACAGTGGGAACAGAATAGGCCGGACCCCGTCAGGTCGGCGGACTCGAACGGGGGATCTGGTGCGCCGGGACCGTATACATTGGGATTCGTTTCGGTAGCCGGGGGATCTGTGATCTCTCCTTTCTAATGGAGTGGTTAACTGACGTCGGGCCACTCGGAGGGGAGAGAAAAGGCGACCTACTTCATCTAGATAGTTAACGGCTTCGCAGTGGGCGCAACGCCATTTGCGGACGGAGTCGCGATCAGTCTGAGCAGATCGACGCCCACAGTAGAAGCAATTCAGTCGCTTGGCGAAAAGGGGAGCCATTTCGAGGCCGAGAGCAAGGGGACATGGCAGAGATGAATGTTGTTGACGGCGAAGGAGTTAAGCCAACCCAGAAAATAATCGCCGAACTGCACGGACCACGTGCCGTCACCCGCGCCTTCTTTCGGTCCTTCTGTCCTTATTCTTTCCTTCTTCTCTTCTCTCCGTGAGCGCTCCAGATTGAGATTTCGACCCAATTCCTCTGCTGTACCTCCAACAAGACTTTGGGGAACGACCCCGGCACCATGGCGGCACCTCCGCTCCCACTTGCCCCTCTGTCGCTGGCGGTGTTGCTCGGCGGCCTGGGTAGTCTCGTCATGCTAGTAAGTTGTTGTCGCCCTATCCACCCAGCATTAAACGAGGCTGAGAGTAACCGTATAATATTTCCAGCTTACCCTTTACGTCCTTCCTGCTACTCTCTCCTCGGTCGTCCCCCAATGGCGCGCCCGACAAACCCCAGCCCATCTTCTAGTCGTCCTAGGCAGCGGCGGACATACCGCCGAGATGTTTTCGATGCTCCGGCGCATGAAGCTCGATCCGTCGCAGTATACGTATCGCACCTACGTGGTGAGCTCGGGGGATGATTTCAGTGCTCGAGCGGCGACTCGGTTCGAAACCGACTACCTCGGACTCGCCGCATCGTACACCATCGTGACGGTGCCACGCGCGCGTCGCGTGCACCAGTCCTACGTGACAGCTCCTTTCTCCACCTTGAAATGCTTCTACGCATGTCTTCTGGTGCTGTGCGGGCGTCATCCCGATCAACCTTCCCGGCCTCCCTTGCTGGTCTCCCCGTATCCGGATCTCATCCTCACTAACGGTCCTGCCACGGGAGTCTGCGTCATTCTGGCCGCCAGGCTCCTCCGGTTGTACCATGCCCTGGTTGCCTGTTTCACGCGCAGTAATAGGCTGAATGTCGTCCACGCGGACCGAGCACCGGACAACCGATTGCTAATACGGGACAGTTTCCAGCTTCGTACGATCTTTGTAGAGTCCTGGGCGCGAGTGACCAGCTTGAGTCTCTCGGGCAAGCTACTACTTCCTTTCGCCGATCGATTCCTCGTCCAATGGCCGGCCTTGGAAGGAAAGCGGGCGTGGAAGGGCATGAGGCCGACAGAGTATGTTGGTACTCTTGTGGAATGACAAACAAATGTCGTCCATAGACTGTTTGCTCGCTTGTTGGCTGCTCCAGAGACGGATCAGCCGCCGTCGTTATCCTGTACAGTATAATACATGCTTGTAGATCATCCATGAATCTAATGATTTGTGACTCCCGGCATCGATGTGTTGTCAACGTAGGATTCGGCATGGATGTCGGATCGACTAGTCGCAATCACAAGCAAGTCGGAGCGTTCCGAGTGGGGTTTGGCCGGGCTTCTCCTCACTTCTCGGACTCGGTCCTACTCTCGCTCTCTCCTACAGCTTACAATCTCGAGTCCGAAATAGCTCCAACTATTATTCCGTCGCCTCAGATTCCCTGAAACATACAGTCATGACGTACTCTCTCCGCGATCGCAATGCGCTGATCACCGCTGGCTCTCGGTACAAACCACCCACTTCCTGTATATAGTATGTGACATTAATCGATCCTCAGGGGATTGGGCGCCGTCGTAGCCCAGAAGTTCGCTGCGGAGGGATGCAACGTCGCCATCAACTACGTTTCAAGCAAGGATGCTGCCGAGAAGCTGGCATCGGATCTGCAGACTCAGTACAACGTCAAGGCTATTGTCATTCAAGGTGTAGGTCTTTTCAAGGCATATCGCAGTGGCCAAAGTGATGGAGATAGCTCATGTATTCTGGTGGACTTTTAGGATGCAAGTCTCCAGGGTGATTGTAGCAGGGCTGTCAAAACCACCATCGAGCAATTGGGAGGCCTGGATATCGTCGTGTCAAATGCAGTAAGTCCCAGGAAACGTCCCCGGATATAGTCAAGACTAATCAATGGCAAAGGGCTGGACAAGAATCACCCAGTTTGCAGATCTGGATGCCACAACCGATGAAGACTGGGACAGGGTACGCAAATCCCTCGACAAATTGGTATAGAGTTACCGTCTAATCAGTCCAATACCAGTGCTGGTCTACCAATGTCAAGAGCAATCTGTGGCTTTTCAAGGAAGCCCTTCCCACCTTTAACGCAAACCCGGAGGGTGGTGTGTTCCTGATCACCTCCTCGACCGCGGTAAGTGACCAGCCCCAGAAAAACGGGGAGAAGAGCCGCTCATCATCTGTATTCTCAGGCTGTAATGGCCATGGGGAGTAGCTTGCCATACTCCGTGACCAAAGCAGCAGGTAAGATCTTTCATATCTGATGGCCCAATACCAAGCATGTCGAGCGGGGCTAAATCGGAGTGCCCAGGGCTGCACCTCATGAAATGTCTTGCGCAGACACAAGGCAACAAAGTCCGGGTCAACGCGGTTCTGCCTGGACTGTTACTCACCGAATGGGTAAGCATGCCGATGCCCTCCGTAGAGATCGGAAAGCTAATACTCCTTCAGGGTCAGCGTTTCCCTCCTGAGAGTGTCGAGCGCTACAAGGAGAAGGCAGTTCTCAATCGAGTGGTCAGAATCCTGGTCTCCCTGTAAAGGCCACCGCGCTAACGTTGAGGTTGCTAGGTCGACGTTGAGGACACTGCCAATGCGTACGTGGTGCTCGCCCAGAACTCGTCTATGACGGGACAGTCCATCCAAATCGGTGAGTCTTCCATGATCTTGCAGACACTGTCGTCTAAAGTGACACTAATTCCCCAGATTCCGGCGTCTTTATAAAATGATTCAATGCCCTAGAAAGTTGAAACAAACTCCGTGCCACCAACTGGCAGAAGACAATGTAACATTCTAGTAACATTATTTTAGTGGTGATCAGAATGGTCAATCTCCGGGATGATCTTCCGTTTGGGTTTATCGTAGAGGTTCGTAGAAGGATGTATATTGGGAGGCGCCCGACGAGAATGTTCGATCGCCAACCATGCGAGCCTTGAGCGCAGCTGTGAAAGCATCTGCAGTTGGCTCTCCTTCCACCTTCATCTGGTGCACGCGCAACAGACTCCCATCCTGGGTGGAAACGTAGAGGCCTTTGCCCTGACGAGGCTCGAACGGAGGAATGCCATCTACAAAAGGTGTTCCGGGCACAGCACCAAATGTGCGAGGGTCTGTAGTTGATTCAACTTTTTCGATCTCCGTTAAGATCACCCGTCGTTGCTGGAGAGATTGCACGCCCGTAGAATCGCCGCTGGCCACCAGAGCATTACTCCAGAGGGGGCCCACCACGCGGCTGCGTCTGCTGATCTCTGCCCAAGTCCAGTTGGCCCAGTCGACATGTCGGTCTTCTGGTCGTATCTTGCCTGCATGAAGCAGGGGCTCATCTGTACCAGACTGACGCCAGCCGACATCCTGCAGTGGCTGAACGAAGAGTCCCTTCCTAATGCCATCAACGAGAATGTTGGCCGCCTTCGGGGTCACAATATCCAATAATTTCGGAATGGTGCAATCTTCGGGTATTTCGAGTCCGGGCGAAGGCGTTTGGTCGAGGATCACGCCATGGTCGAATGCCACAGGATCTAAGGTCTGAAGGGTAACGCCAGTTCTGGTTCTCCCAGCCAGGAGTGTATGGTGCAACGGTGCAGGGCCCCGGAAACTATGGTTGCGCACGGTCAGACTTGGGCTAGGATTTACGGAAGGGTGATAATAAACATACTCAGGAAGCAATGAAGGGTGGACATTCAGTCCCCCGTAACGCGCCTCGTTGAGAAGGCGCGGTGGCACGAATAACCCAAACGAAACAGCTACTATCAAGTTGATGGGATCTCCATGTGACATAGGCAGCTAGAAAGTGTCAGTAGCAATACCTTGCGTCGACGATGACAATTCAGCGTACTTTCCAGCCTTTGAATGTATCAATCTCGTGGATGGGAAGCGACAATTGCTCTGCGGCTGCCTTGACGGGGACTATTGGAGCGCATTGTTAGCTAACACATCGCCTCGTAGACTTCTTCCCAGTTTAATTACCCTCGCGTATTTTCTTCAGCCCTCTTCCAAATCGTTTCCCTGGTCTACAGGCGACTTCAATGGAAGCAATCCGATCTGGTCGGTTCACATGCTCCTCGTGGAGAGCTTTCAGGGAAGCTATGCTGAAGTCGTCCGATCCGCAGAAGAGAATGCGAAGTGGCGCGTAGGATTTCGTAGTGAGAGACCGAGGAGCGAGGTTCCGAAGAGAGACGCCATTGTGCCTGCGAAAACAGAGGGCACCCGGTCCTCGTAGGAGAAACATAGCGTGGACAGCAATCGTGAAGTCCAGACCGAAGCGCATGCTCGCCGGCGGAAACAGAAACTCCGCAATCTCCAACCACGTGATGTCACCGCCATCATCACCCCAGGACGACCTCCGCAAGACATCCGCAAGACATCCGCTCCTCTGCGTTGATCGTGCAAGTATCCTGTGAGCCGTGGCTCTCGTTCTAAATGATGCGATGCCAGGGGACGATCTTACTTCGGTAGTTCCTGCTCAGCTCTCCTACCTTACCATCTACAACCCCCTTCTCGGACCGACCGACGAAACCATCCAGGACCAGGTCGTCTTCTATACCTCCAGAGCGGCTCGATTGCGACGGCGCGAGGACTCCGCGGCCGGGATCGATGACAATGATTCAAACGGCGAACACAATGAAAAGTTGCGCCAGATAGGACTGGCGCAGGGGATGGTGAGCTTCGCCAGGTGGGAGCTCCTGACGAACTGCGGCAAGAGTTGCACTGAACAAATATTCCAGGAACTTTTCGCAGGGGAAACCGGTGGAATATATAGAAACGGAGAAGACAACCATAGTACTTCATGAATTGGAAAAGGACTGGTGGATCTTAGCCGTAAGTAACGCCTGAAACATGGACACCGAAGTGTCGTGATGACAGCAGGCGCTGAGATCCTTACAGTGTATCGACCTGACTCGTCTACCTACCGACGCTTCCAACGGATCCTCTTCGCAGCGCGATGCCTCGGATTCCACGTCCGTTCAGTATTCATCGCGGGAGATGTGCCCCCCACACCTGCTGATCCAGCAACTACGCCGGGCTCATTCCATCTTCCTACTTCACCATGATATTACACTGGACGCACTGTATCAACACGTGGGCAGATCTGCGCTCTGCTCCCTCCTTGATGGCTTCTGGCGAAAATTCTCGAAGAACTGGGAAGTTCTTCTTAGCGGAAACCCCGCCGTGGACATGTACAACGGGATCAAGCTCTCTGCCGGCGGCGAGCTTGGCATCGGCGTTGGCGAAGAAGAGTGGGGGAGCGGAGAACGAGAGGTATTTGAAGATTTTGTGGTCCGAACAGACGGTCTTGTGGACCTGGTGATATCGAGATTTGGCGATCCATCGGTGCCAGACGATGGCCAGGCGACCACAAACAAGGCGGGGTCTACCAACGAAGACGAGAGCAACACACGATGGCTTGGCTTAGACACCCACCCAAGGCCATCGGATGGCATCATATTCTCGGGGATGGGGGCACTTTCTAGGCGATCTGTCGCGCGGGTCTCTCAGTGGATGGAATGGATCTACCGATATGGCCCTGACACCTACGGGGTGGGCGATGACCCAAGCTCGCCGCGACGTCGAAAGCGACGCAGAAAACCACGGTGTCGATCATCAAAGAATAACAATGAACACGGAATCCCCTTTGATAATGCAAGCGTCGATGCTAGCTTCTCTCCCGGTATACCTCGTCCACTAGTTACGGGCCAAAGTCCCGCTCCGCAACGAGACTCCGAGGCAGATTCTCAGGCCAGTGGCGAAAGCTCTTCGTCACAAAACGAGGGTGGGAAGGATTGGATCGGCTTCAAACCGGAGACGTTTGTGAAATACCTGACACTTGGCTACGGCTCAGCGTGGGGCCCCTCTTCTGGCACACCTAGCCCGCATCCTCGCGTCGAAGCCCTGAAGCAAGAAGATGGGTCGACCGGCGCAAACAAAAAAACGGCCTCCCCTGCAAGTGCACAGCAGATACCGGACGGGGATTCATTCAGGACCAAAGATAATGTGAAACCTAAGAGCCTAGGGAAGTTCCTCATTGGTTTGCACGAGAACCCAGCCACTGCAGTCACCCAATCTTCGGATGACCCCAATCAGACGAACAAATCACCAGTGAATTCGGAAGAGACGATCGTTCAACGAACATTAATTTTGCAGATGGCAGATCCTCGTGAAGACGCCACCGCAGATGGACAGCGCCCAGGCCCTACGAAACTGCGAGTAGTGGTCTATGTAGTAAGTCCCACCATGCAGGATCATCCAGGGATTCTAGAACGCCACTTCTAACTCCAGAAACCAGCACCAACCGTTCGTGTACACATTCCTCTTTGACCCCGAGGCCCCTTCGCTGGTGGACCCCTCACTCTACCAAAGCATTCATCACCAGCTTACTCCCCTCCACAAGACGCTCGTCAACTCCACATCACCGGCGAATGCGGCCGCCCGGATTTCCATGTCGGAGGGTGCGTTCGACGTCAATCGACGCTTCATCACGAAGAACCAACCCGTCTACGACCTCGTCTATGACCCCTCTAATCTGACCGTCCGTACCTCAATCCCCAACATCCCCGACCTAGGCGCGCATCCCCCTGAAACTCGCGATCCGAACGCAGCGCCTTGGTCCCGAGTGGAAAGCCTAAACATCCACCACCGACTCCTCAGCACGTATGTCGAGACCCGATCCCGAGCCCTGGAGGTAGAGAGAACGTGCAAGACCAGTCGCGGTTGGTGGATTGTCTGGGTGCGGTTTCCCGGCTCAGGCAGCGGTAGCAGCGACGACGGCGACGCCGTCCAGGAGACGCCAAGTCCCGATGGCAGCGAGGCCGCTTGTCAGGAAGCATTCCTCATCCGCAAATCGAGCGACCACGTTCCCTCGGTCTCGCATGGACGCAGCGGCAGCGGATCCCGATTCTTCAGGGATCTAGGCGGAGCGACGTCGCCGGGACTTGCCTCGTCACGGGCAGACACCGGCCCCGGCAAGCTGGTGGAGGGACTAGGACTGGATGCGAGACGATACATTGAGAATTTACTGAGCCTGAATAGATGAATTATTTCAAAACCAAGCTTGGGTCATTTGCACAACTCATTACATGATATTTATTGAAGGTAGCCTCCGTTGAGTTTAGTAAATATCCGAACTAAATAGATACATTGACAGGTATGTACATAGGTGCCTAGTTAGTAGACGCAGTACACAGGTAAATCGCCTCCCTGGATACAACATACGCCCAGTAATTATTTCTATTTTCATCCTGTAAAGTTTACACCATGTTGCCTAACAGTCAACACAGAACACATGTCTCTCGAGTCCGCCACAGTGCCTTCCTGCCTGGTCTACCTCAAGAGGGATCCTTGTATTAAAGTAAACACAATCCAGTCGAAACGGGGTGAGCTCCAGCTAGCTCTTTTGAAACCCACTGTACCGATTTCTTTTTCTGAAGTGTTAAGAGCTCACCCCTATGAGCACCATTACAACACTCTATAGTCCAAGCAGTCTGATGAAGTAATCCACTTATGACGCTGTGTTCAGCATATGGAACGTGCATCTTGGATCCAACTAGCATGTCTTTTGAACTATTCATCTTGGTATCATGCTCCCAGTTTGATCGAATGTCTAATCTGGTTGTCCCACCGTGATTTGAAACCGCAGAGTCTCAGCATTCATACCCTCCAACAGCTCCGGGTATTTGCTGATAAACTCCGGAGTCAATCCCCAGCCACTTTCCTTGGTGAAGACGTCGAGAAACTCCTGGTGGATTTGCAGTTCATCGAACTCATCCCGTTCGAGAATCTCCTGCCCCCAGGGCCACCGCACTTTCATACAGCAGCTCAGATAACTCGTTAGTTCCGTGTAGTCATATCTGTGCCAGTTCTGAGCCAGGTTCAAACGCAGCTGCGGCCAGGGGAGGAGATCGATGCCGACGGGATGGTCATGCTGGAGCTGAGCTAGGGTCGGGTTCTGGAAGCTCACGAGGCGTGCAAATGTCGCTGGGCTTGGAGATACTCGCCACTTACTGTAGTTGTATGCCAGCCAGGCCACGGCGAGACACTCCGAATCCCGGATGGCGCGGAGCCGGATGGAGCGGTGGATTTCGTCAGCGAGCCAGTTTCGTCGGGTTCCGTAGAGTAGAGCTAGAGGCGATGGCTGCGGAGGACAGGTGACGATCAGATCTGGGCGGGAGAACCAGGAGCAAACGATGGAGGCGTTAGTGTTCACGGGGACCAGTGACCAGATGGGGGTAGCGCTGGGCAGGATCCCGGGTATGGTTTCGCGCGGAGAGACAGCAGTAGTAGTCGGTATTGGTATTCCCGGCTGGCTATGCTCTGCAGATATGAAGAGCCGGTTAGGAGGAATCAATGGCTCCGTTGCACCAATGCCTGGGCGCCGTCTGCGTCTTTCTCTTGGTGCGGACTGGCCGTCGTCATCTTCGTCGTCCCACGAGTGGAGTACGTTTCGTAGAGACTCGAGACACGCCCGCAGTCTCTCGTTCTCGTAATAGAGCTTCTCCGTCTGGGTTGGTACGTTCTGGTTGGCCTGTTGGGTCCCGATATTCCCATGATGTCTGTCACAAAAGGATACTCTTTCTTCCAAGCCCCGAATTCGGCTCTCCCTCTTGTCCCTTAGTGTTTGCTGAGCCTTCCTGTCCCGAAGACGCTTCCTCTCGGACGAGGTCAAGGAGATAGTTTGTCTCTGGGAATTCATCTCGCCATGCAGGTGTAATCTCTGACTGCTGGCTTTGACAAATGAGAAAGGAAGAGGTAAGTTTGTGCCGCCGAGATGGAGTCAATGATTCAGGATCGGCGGCGCTGATTCAGCCCTTCGACCCACATGGATATACTCCCAGGCACAGTACAAGGTACGCTGCACTATTCATATGCATAGTCATAGGGCATTAGTATTCCGGCTCGGGAGAATACATCTAAATGATCTGCGGAGAAGTCAGGACATTGTTACTACTACCACCCTCCTTCCCCAATGGGTGGTACTTATCTTTTAGAGTTAAATATTCCCTTGCAGTCTCATCCTGATTTCTCTCAAATCCCTACAGCTAAAATTGTTTACTGCGACTGATTCTTGCCCCAATCAGTATGTTGCATTCTCTAACTGTGCAGGCAGGTCTTGCCATATTTCTTCTTTATTACTGCCTCAGCGCTATACACTCGCTCTACCTCCACTCCTTGCGACGTGTTCCTGGACCCAGACTCTGGATCGTCTTTCCAATCACACGGCATATTTCGGCGATTCGAGGACGGCTGGATAGTGACTTGCGTCAGCTTCATAATAAGTACGGCCCTGTGGTGCGCTACAGCCATGACGAAATGTCTTTCATTACTCCGGAAGCGTGGAAGGCCATATACGGACATGGTCACCAGCAGTTGCCCAAAGTAAAGACCTCCGTCAGCAACCCAATGGACATCATCAGCTCCAATGACGCTGACCATAGTCGGTTTCGCAAAGCCCTATCTCACGCCTTTTCTGCCAAGGCCCTACAAGCGCAGGAGCCCCTCATGAACGGGTATATCGTTAGACTGATCTCTCGGTTGACGGATATTGCGGAGAGTCAGCTGCCAGTCGACCTCGTCAAGTGGTACAACTTGACCACCTTTGATATCATTGGTGACTTAGCCTTTGGGGAGCCTTTTGGTGGTCTGGAGAATTCGCAATATCACCATTGGGTTACGACCATCTTTGAGTCCGTGAAGCTCATCCCATTCGTCAAGACAGGCGATGCTTATCCTGTGTTCTTCAAACTCTTGTCTCTCCTCGTGCCTAAGAAGCTATTGGATGCACGGAAGCAGCAGCATGCGCACACCAGGACCACGGTCCAGAAAAGACTTCAGAACTCTTCTGCCTACAACCGCGACGACTTCATGGACTCGATGCTGCGGCACCGTGGCGGAAAGGACGGCTTGAGTGACGAAGAGCTCGTCGCTAATGCTAATATCCTTATCATTGCTGGCAGCGAGACAACGGCCACTTTACTCTCCGGCGTTACATACTGGCTTCTACGAAGCCCTGATGCGCTCGCAAAAGTGATGACGGAGGTTCGCTCCGCCATGAAGACAGAGGCCGATATCATCTCTACCTCTGCGGCTACTAACCTCCCCTACATGCTCGCTTGCATTGAGGAAGCGTTCCGAATGTATCCTCCCGTTCCGACCGGACTGCAACGCATGACCCTCACCTCGACTTTCATATCAGGCTATGAGATTCCCCCTCGGGTGAGTGAAACCCCCACCCCTCGGAGATTAGGAACCAGTGGCTAACCTCTCGATATAGACAAAGGTGTCAGTCAACCAACTAGCCGCATACCAGTCCCCTCTTAACTTCCATGCGCCAGAGCGCTTTCTCCCCGAGCGATGGTTGCCCGAAGCGAAATCCGACCCAGCTTCGCCGTTCTTTTCGGATAAGCGTGACGTCCCTCAGCCATTCTCTGCGGGGCCACGGAACTGCATTGGGCGGAACCTGGCGTTTGCTGAGATGCGAGTAATTCTTGCCCGTGTGTTGTGGAACTTTGATATGGAGATTTGCGAGGAGAGTCGACAGTGGGCGGACCAGAAGACTTATACTTTGTGGGAGAAACCGCCTTTGATATGTAAGTTGGTTTTGAGGAACCCTAATGTGTAAAGCGCTCTTTGGTTGTCTTGTGTTTAGCATATCTATGATGCTGTTCCGGGGGGGGGAGCATTCACAGTAGTATATCTAGCATTCAAAAATGTACATACGTACTTTCTAAGCATTGAAGGTCCACTGCACACGGCAGTTGATTGTGAATGTGCCAGTTACATTATCTAGTAACACACTAAGCTATACAACAGTTTATCTTCTACAGATCAACTCTCACTTGAACAGTCCCCAGTGCGACATGGCCATGTCTAGTTTTGGGTTTTTGTAGTAGAACAACTACTCATCTATGACTATCTTCTATAATTCATCCCCTAACTCCAATGCAACCCATAACAGATCTAACCCAGACTCCCAGCCCGTGTCTAGTTCCCAAACAGCACCTTCTGCATATCATACTGATACACCAACTCTCCATGCCAAAACCTCGCAGCATCAGCCTTGGTCATATACCATGCCTGATCCAACGCCTCAACAAGCTCCTCGGGCAACGGCCCTTTCTCCAGATCCTCCAAATTACTTTCCAACTGACCCAGACTACTAAACCCCGTAATAACCCCATGCTGGCCATCCGTCACCCGCAGCGCCGAGTGATGCACACACCACCGCAACGCCACCTCCACCAGCGTAAGACCGTGTCTCGTCACCAGGGGCTCCAGGAACGACAGGGCGCTGAACACGCTGGACTTGCAGTATCGGTCTCGGTACATCTGTCCCATAAGGGGGTGGTTGTTGCTGAATCGACCGTCGGATGGCAGTTCCGTGGACTTGTACTTGCCGGAGAAGAACCCTCCCGGCGAGGGGGTTGAAGATCACGATGTCGATCCCGTAGCGGCGACAGCAGGGTATGAGTTCGTCTTCGATGTTTCGGGCTTAATGTCGTTCAAGAACATACCCGTGATGAACGATTTGACTCCGTGGCAAGGACCAGCCTCGACATACCTATTTATATATAGTACCTAAAGGTACTGCGACGAGAGAGAACACGGATTCGGGTCTGTTGATGCCGCCATGGGGACTCGGATTTGTCGAGATTCCGAGTGGTAGATAGACAGCTCGTCCGGAAGTATCGTGGTCCATAGAGCATACATTGAAAGCAATGAATAGCAATGATTCAGCGGACTGATCTGTGAAGTTGTGAACTACCTTGAGCGTCGATTTGACTCGTCGGAAGGCAAAGTCTAAGTGGAGCCGCTGAATCAGTGTCCCCATAGCTCTCTTAGAATTAGGGCATCCCATCCGATGAAAGATGATGACTATATAGAATCCCTAGACGATACAAACAGACATTAAACTCCATCCAGATGGCAACTTCAGGCAGTGCCCCGTTCCACCTCGCCACTAGATGGATCCTTCCACGCCTCCCATCCCAGTCGAACAATATCTGCCTGTTGCAAAGCCCAAACCCCCGGCTCCCTCTTCCCCTCCACGGCCTGCAAACCCGCACTCACAGCTGCCCTTGCAATTGTCTCAGCATGTTGCGCCCACGATTGCATAAGCGCACCGTTCTGGAACCGTCCCAGGAAGCCCGCAATGCCCCTCGCAACAGCCTCCATGGGCCGTCTATCTGCCCTCTTCCTCGACAAATCAGCCCACGATGTAAAATTATCGTATACTTGAACCCCAGCGCCTTCACTGCCTCGACGAGTTCGCCCTTCATGCAGAGCAAGGCGAGTCGGCTGTTTACGTCAGGCTGGCCCGAGGAAATCAGGACGTAGGTTTCCACTCCGGCGTTCTTTGCAGCTTGCGCGAGCGTCAGGTTCAAGCCGAGGTCGATCATGCGTTGGGTTTTGAGGCTGCCAGCTTGGGCGCGCGTTGTGCCTAGTTGCCGAAAAGAAGATACGTGCGTTAGAGGGGAAGATAGATGGCCATGCGCTGGAATCCGCATTGTCGAGGACGGTCAGCTTGGGTCTTGATGACAGCTTCTTGCGAGAGTATGCGTGAACCGCGGAGATAGAGGGTTGCGCAAGGAGTGTAGTCAGAATGTGAGAGCCCTGTTCATTATATGGTACCTCTGAATACAGATATCGATCAGGAGGAGATGGCAGACCACTTACCACAAGACCGGTGACGCCTACTTCCGCCGCGAGTAACATTTTGGATGGAAGGGGAAACGTGCAACTGAGGAACAACGGTTTGACATCGGAGTGCTGAACTATATATGGATCAAACTTCCCGTGACGCGAGTCAGCGTCCAAAGCTTGCTCGTCATCTCGCGTCTATTTCCTATTTCAGTTACCTTGTTAACTCCTTAAGCTTTGGGTAATCAGACTTAAATTGACGGGTGTATGTCTAATCAGGTCGAAGGACTAGCTACTTAAGTACCGGAGCTGTAGAAAGACCCTGAAATGTAATGGGTCTAGTATTACGATATAGCTCAATCTACAATTCTCGAAAGACTTAACCGAGTAAACAAAATATCCAATATCAGATTCGAGTGCTCCTTTTCTCTCTCCACTTTCGATTATGTGGCCATTCGAATAGAACAACAACCTTCCCAATATGGACATCCTTGAGCCGCTACCTATACCTTCAATTACACTGAGGCATTTGGTCAGTCAGACTTTTCCGCTCCTAATGGAGAACAGGAGTGTATCGCGCGAATTCAACAACAACAACAACAACAACAGGAGGAATACTATCCCAGTCACCATATGAACTCCCCCCCCCCCCCGAAACATTAATGTCGAAGAGCTCGCTTCATCAGCTTCCCATTCCTACTCACTGAATGTGAATCAATAGAGAGCAGAGTGTAGACGATCAGGCTTCTTATCAACAAATGTTGAGGAAAGCATCAACCCTGTCCCCATCCCACTCCAATCTCCTTTAAGGCCGGTTTCATCGTCTCGTCACAGACAGCGTCAATCACATTTGACAGGGCCGTGCTTGGATTTCGGGAGACTTCCTTCCAAGGTTCGATGGTGGAGGTACGTCCTACCTATTGGAATGCAGTGTAATGTCTTGACAGATGGTACCAGTGTTGGCACCGTAATGAGTATACACCTTTTTCGTCAGTCATTGTAGTGGGTTATTAACATCATAAGTATTATCGTGCGTAAAGAGAGGAACTCCAGTCGATGGATTGGAATTGAGACGAGAAGGGGTGGGGGATGATGATGTGGATTCGTGCTTCAGCCCCGGTACGAAGGGATGTGATATCACATGCCATGAAGGGTGGCCTCGGATACGAATGTCATACTAGACCCGCCATGAAACGGAAACTGAGCGGCACAAAAGAGCATTGATTATAGTAGATAATAACTGAGTGGTTTGTACTTGGGGACTCCCTTTAAGTCTCAGATTGTCACCGCGCCTCCCGTCCATAAGGCGCGCCCTCGAGGTCAAAACGAAGCAGCAGAAGAGCCCAAGCACCAAAGACAAATGCATTCATTCTCTTCTAACCGGAAGAAGGAAGCGAGTTCGACTCTGGCGGGAAAGAAGACAGACGAGGCTTCGATAGAACCATCAAACGATTGCCCATCACGACTTTTCCGACTTCCTTCGCTCCAGACCCTCCCGATGAATTCGTTTGACGGGCCGGTGGACACACGTAGGGAAAAAACGCCCATCCTCAATTGCTCCGTTTGCGATCATGCACCGACTCCGGGGTAGCCATGACCGTTTGTTGTTCTCTTGCCAGCAAATCCGAAAGTGTCTTGCCATGGTGATCAAAGAAACTGCCCCGTAGGCGCTATGGAGAGCTGGAAAAAGAGAAGAAAAACCCACGAGGTTATGAAGACAACGCCTCCCTAGAAATAAGAAAATAGAAAAAATAGAACAACGTCTGCAAAATCAGAAAGTCGACCAACTGCATAGCCAGATAATCCCATAACCCTCATGTGCCCGTGATTGAACATTATCCACACTCGCATCCAGGCACATATCGGAACACGCCAACGGAAGACCCCTTCTGAGTAAAAGAAAACAACCAAATAGTCGAGACGCTTATCCGTTCATATAATCTCCGCATGAAACAGACCCTTCACGAAGGAGGCAAAACTAGTTTACAGAATGGTGCACTTCTTCTTGCTCTTGTGAGTCTTGGTCAAGAGCGCGGCCCGGGTGGCGGCCTCAAAGACCTCACGGACACCCTCGTTGGTTCGTGCAGAGCACTCGAGGTACTTGTAGGCACCGATCTTCTTGCGAACCTCCTCACCCTAGTGGCACGTCAGAATCGGTCCGGACGCTGGGTACACAGCAAGGGCACTTACCTGTTCGGGGCTGACGGGCTTCTGAGAAGTCTTGTTCAGCTCCTCGTTGGTCTTGGGGTCGTGACGCAGATCCATCTTGCAGCCGACGAGGATGATGGGAAGACCCTGGCAGAAGTGAAGAACTTCGGAAATCCACTGGAGATATGGTCAGCCGATCTGCTCCGGATTTGCCTCCTTTTATAGAAAGGAGAGAAGAAAGATGTCGGTCGGGCTTATCAAGACTCACCTTCTCCTGAACGTTGTCAAGCGAATCGGGAGAGTCGACAGCGAAACAGATCAAGATAACGTGGGAGTCGGGGTAGGAAAGAGGGCGGAGACGGTCATAATCTTCCTGACCAGCCGTATCCCAAAGGGCGAGTTCAACGTGCTTGTTATCAACCTCGACATCGGCGACGTAGTTCTCGAAGACGGTGGGGACGTAGACCTGAGAAAGGGATCAGTTAATTTGATGTCCGTCAGGTTGGATCCGGCTCTCCAGATCTCGGCTTTCGATCACGAGGGGGGAGTGTTGTTCCGGATGGCAGTCGATAATAGAGGGGGGCAGCTGACCTCAGGGAAGGTACCCTTGGAGAAGACACTATCGAAGAGAATGAAATCAGTTCCGAAGCTCATTTCTTTCCCGACCAGGTCGGGGTGTCAATAAATCAGGGAAACTTACATCAACAGACAGGTCTTACCGCAGGCACCATCGCCAACGATAACGAGCTTGCGACGGATCTCAGCCATCTTTGAGGAAAAGCGGATCAGCAAACGATGAAAATTGAACAGACGATCCTCAGGAAGGGTGAAAGTGATAGGGGAAGGAAGAGAGGCTTGTTGCGGGAGATGATGGATGATGGGCGGTGGGAAGATGGAGCAAAGGCTGAGAAGGGGACAGGTCAGGCGCCCGAGGAAAAGGGTTAGTTCGGTAGGTTGGTTAGTGATCACATACGGTGCAGTGCAACGGCGCAGATTAATATACTGAGGAAAGGAGAGAGAAGCGAAGAGAGAATGAATGAGAGAAACTCAAGGAACCAGAGTTTCGGTTTGACAACAAGAAAGTGAATGGGTGGGTGGGAACGACAATAGAATAGATTATGATGAAGTCTCCAGGGGGTGGAGGGAGCTTGTTGGTTGACGGGGGAGAGAGAGGAAAAAGAAAGGACGGGGATGAATTGATGATGGATGGGCGGAAGGGAAGGACAATAACCGCTGGGCTGTACGGGGAGTATGGGAAGGTCAGTAACTTACACTAACTTAGCCCAAGCTGGTTGAACTTATCGGTCGGCCCCGGTGCTTTTTTTTTTTTTATTCTTTCTTTTCTTTCTTTTTTTTGGTTTTAATTTCCTTATCTTTTTTTTTATCTCTTTCTTTCGTACGGGTGATTGTTCTCCGACTGGTTCTAACTTCTATTTCTTTTTCTCTTTCCTTTTCTTTACTCATTTACTGAGGCTCCCTGGTCTTGTACGAAGTACCTAGTTGACTAAGTAACTTAACCAAATTAACTAGGTAACTAAAAGCTTTGAAACGGTTGGCAAGCGATGTTTTGCCCAGCCCCATCAGCTTGAAGCTATGTGGCTGTGAATATTTTCAATTTTACTTTTTCTTTTTTTTTTCTTTTTCGGTTTCTGTGGTTTGGTACTCCGTGCTCCGAAGAGATAATTAACTTTGGCCTTTGATCTTCTACTTCTCAAGTAGTTCTCCTACTGTGTACTATTTTCGTGTGGAGGATGTCTTAGTTCTATGAACGAGAGGAGGGGGGAAGAAGAAAAGGGGATCCAATACATTTCCAGACCTCCTTTTCGCAGCTTATTTCGATGCCTAGTTTTGGTGTCGTCCATTCCTATTGAAGCCACCGTGGCTGAAAAAACCGGGTCATCCTCGTAATTTTCATTACCTTACCGTATGTACTGTAGTATCGTCCTGGTAAACGGTACTTTGACGGTTTGACATCCTTCCTCTTCCTTTCCTCTTCCTTCTGGATTCATTCTCTTTGACTATGGGATATTATTGCTCCTCCGTAACTCTTCTCTACACCGTATGGATACTGATCATCGCCTCCGATCCACTTATCTCCGAATGCCGTCTATGTCATCGTCTTCATCTTCCTCATCTTCCTTCGCAGCCAGACTAGCACTCCTAGCACTCTGAGCATCCACATAGGTATTCAACAACTGACATTACGTATGTGCACGAAGTTCTGTGCTACACAGCAGCAGCAGCATTCAACAGATTTTCATTATTGCGTGGACACGTCAGACCGTTAGCTAAGTGCTAGAGCCTAGAAGCTGGTGGATTCCCTCGACGCTCGGGGTTAATGATTGATATCATGGCTCCAGTCTGAAAGATGAGACGGTCTTTATACAGAGCTATGTTAAGGACCTTCCATGTTGACTAGACCCGATCCGATAGGCCAAACCTGCAATCTTCCAGCTGTCCAGGGAGTCATGACCAGGAACACACATGCTTGGCTTGCACGGACACCTCGCTATCAGGATATCAGAATGGACGGACTCTGGTCTCACGGGAGATGATTACTTTTAATCACGCTCTTGTCCTGTCAGGAGGAGCTGGTCTAGTAGCTAAAGCCTTCGACTTGTTTTCCCCGGCCATTCCAGCTTCAGGATTAGCGACGGGTCCCATCGGCACGCCCACTTCAACGACACTTCAGGTCTCCGTAGTTGGTACTTTGGTGGTAGTTCGTACCGTATAACATTAACCGTACGCTGAAACTGACTATATAAATAAACATACGTGGCGGTGCAGAGGGATCTGCCACAGCCCCTTTATTATCGTATAGTACGGAGTATTAATAGTTAATACTGGACAACGTCAACCTGAGCGACAAGGCAGCAAATCAGGCAAAGCTCACTACGACGTACGATACCGTCTTGTACTGTTATACTTGTACCTGGGAAACCACCAGCCACAGCGGGCGCGCCTTACAGACATCCTGGCGCAGCTCTGCGTTAGTCGCATGTATCTTCTCCTCCTTCTCCTACAGCGGGAGGACTTGCTGCTTCCTCCCATCTCCAGCATAAAACCGAAACCCCCAATGACTCGGGCCAGATCAAAATCCCATCCTTGGTCTGTTCTTCCATCCGCTTAGCCCCGGCTGTTTTTCTTTCTTTCCTTTCCCTTTCTTCTCTCCCAGGCCACAAACGGGCCCCGTTCGTGTTTCAATGTTTATTTCAGAAGCCAACTGCAGCCGACATCTGACATGGCCTAGGACGTGCCACTGACTCATCCTCTGATAGGAGCCAAAATCCCTTGAGCATGCGGTCTCACTGCATTGCTTTGCCGATTCTATCCTTTCTATTGACCATGACATCATGATTGGCAGAATTGCGTGCAAGCTGATGCCTACATGTACGCTCTTGTCATGTGAAGCACCCATTGGTGGACCGACGCCTCTTCCTGTGTCTTCCTGTGTTGTTTCCCTTTTTTTTTTTTTTTTTTTTTTATTGCTTTTGTTTTTCTGCTTTTGCCCCCCCTTAACTCCGTAATCCGTTTCGGTCTCTCTCAATTGCATGCTCATCAAGGGATCAAGCCTTCCCGAGGGATTTATCATATGCTCTCGATTAGGGCCTGCTGTGGAATGATACGCTAAAATCCAGGCCTCGCGCGTCCCGGCGTAGATCCTGCTTGGGCGCAGATCCAGCGTACGGAGTGCATCCAGACAATACGAGCTACCTGGCAGTGGCAACGAACCAGAATCAAGCCATATATTGTGGCCTATGCCGACGGGAATCTGGGGCAAACGAGCCGCCGGCCCTTGACGTGTCTTCTCAACACAGGTGTACAGTAGTAAACTCGGGGCTTCCGATCCTGTGCTATTTGTCCGTCAAGAAGGTACGGAGTTCGCCGTACACATGTCCAGGATTACCTGGTACTGGACGGAAATTATGTTCCATGTTGCATTGTCTGATGTCGGACGATAGGACCCGGTCGTTCTTTTGCTGTGGTCGCCCTTGCTCTCTTCCTTCCTTGAGGGTTTGAAGAGAAGACCAGCAATGATCAACTTAGCTACACCTCAGTAAAAGTCTCGAGCATAAGTAGTAGCATTCTTTTGGCAGCAAGCACCTACCGCATGGCTATTTGAACGACCGAGATGCTATCGATACAGACACTTCATGGATAATCCTACCCAGGCGAACAGAATTTAGTTAGGATGTAGGCTGTCAGGCACTTCATGTTCTTTTCTACATCACGGTTTAAGCATAAACTAGACCGAAGATAGAAAGATAACCAATTATATACCTTCTTGTTCTAAAGAAAGGCGGACTTCTCAGTGGCCCGTGCACTGTGTCCACGTGATCTTTCAGGGCCGCAATTTTCCCTCGCGGCCATCGGGCTACTTCCAGTTGCTCCCGCGGAAATCGTCGACCGGCCACCCCAAGACACACGCCCGTCACGATGCAGAAGGTTATTCGAAGGACGGCCCTGGCCCGGAACCAGGCTCAACGGAAGGCCATCCGCGCCGCCAAAACCGCCGAGCGCGAGGAATTGAAGGACACGCTGCGCCAGCGGTTCGCCTATAACCGCATACAGCTCGATGCCATCCGCTCCGAGCGAGAACGCCGCCGCGAAGATTGGTTGCGAGGACCCCTGGCGCCTCAGCGGGACGCAGGACCCGATGGTGCCTCATTCGGTGCCTTGAGTCCGCAGGCCATGAACCCCCCGAGCATCCCCAAGCACCTCCGCCGGAAATATATCAACATTGCTCCCGGCGACCGGGTGTGTATCATCAAGGGCAAGGATAAAGGCAAGATCAACGAGGTCACTCGGGTCGATGAATCCAACGAGACCGTCACGGTGAAAGACCTGAACATGGTATGCGTGCTGCTTCTCCCGGGCGCCGTGGCTTCCTCTCTCTCTCCGCTTGGCAACTCGTGAACTGACCGAACCGGTGTCCTTACAGGCCGACGTACATTTCCCCGAATGGCTGAACGAACAATACGGCAGCAAGACCCCCTTTCAAACAGTGAGCCTGCCGATCTCCATAGACAACGTCAAACTGGTGGTGGCTCTGGATGACCCGGCCACCGGCCAAACGCGAGACGTCTTGGTCGACCACGTTCGCGGCGGAGAGCCTTTCCTGGAGCGCGAGTACGCTACCAACACTCCCCGTCATACCCGATACATTGCCGGCGAGAACATTGAGATCCCGTGGCCTCGCAACGAGCCGCTCAACCTGAAGGACGAGGAATGGGACACTCTCCGTATGGAGGTTGAGACGCCCACGTGGGTTCCGTCCCTGCACAACTCGCCGTTCCCTCCCAGCGTCATGGACGAACTACGCAACAAATTCTCGAAATACCGAACAAGGCACGACCCCGAATGGGTGGAGGCGAAGAAGATGGAAGATTACAAAAAGGAATACCTTCAAAGCAGGTCTTTGTGGACACCCAAGGGAGAGCTCCTGGCCATGATCCGGGCCAAGAAGGAAGCCAATCTGAAGGCCAGAAAGGACGCCAACGGCAATTACCTGATGGATACCCAAACGATTGGATTCATTGAGGAGTTCATGAAGGGGAAGACGGCAAACAAGGCTTGAGGAAGGGGTCCGAAAAGATCTGTTTGGCTGAGGGATTTTCTTTAATATTTTGTTTTCTTTTCGTTTCCATATCTTGTCCCACACGCGTGTATACAAGCTGTATTTCCTGTAGCATAGAAATGACTGTATAAGATTTACTACCAGCGAGACTTGTAGGGGCTGTGTTCCTGGCCTAAGGGACAGTTTATCTAGGTACATAGTAACTATCCAGCCCTGTTTAGATCGCAGCAGCTCGGCGAATAGGAGGAATTACTGGAATCCCCCTGATTGCGTGTGGATTGCGCCGGGTCGACAAGCCACCAGGGGAGGGAGCGAGAGCGAGTGAGTTTCGCATCCCATCTTCTTTCTTATCCGCGGCCCTGAACTCTTCTCTCCAACCCACCTCTCTCGATCCTCCCACCAACTGCCTAATGTGTATGATTATTTGCTTTTAGTTTTTCTGCTGTTGATCGCCTTCTTCAATCATGGCCTTTGCCACCATCAACTCCTCGACCCCGAAGAGTATTCCGGCCATTGAAGATGCCTTTGCCGCCGAACCTTCTCTGAAGAAACGAGTTTACGAGGCGATCGGTGCGTCCCCTTCCCCAACGCGATTCCGGTCCCTGCGCGAATCAATCCTAAGGATTTCCAATCCCGCGCTGGATGAAACAAAAAAAAGCTAATCGTCCCCTTCCTCTTCTCCAGGAACGACCCCGCAATATATACCTTTATTCGAGGACATCGCGCGATACACCTCCAGCCTGCTGGCCAGGAACACGAACCCCATCATCCCTCAACCTGTACAGGCCGCCGCCGCCGCTGTCCCCGACGGCCCTGCGGCGAAGAAACGCAAACTCGAAAAGGGCGATGCTGCCACCGGCAACGCCCAAACGCCGGGAGACTTGAAAGCCGACCTGCCTTTACAATTCTACATGCCGGATGTGTCATTTGCTATTCCGCAGCGGAAAAAGTTGACGCTGGAGTCTACGGCCGGGCGCGGGTTTCTGCGCGCGAGGAATCAGACGTCGAAGGAGGTTGAGTTTGGGGTCGCGTGGGATAAGATACGTATGTTTTTCCTTTTTCCTGTTATCTGTTCTTTCGCGTTCGGTTTTCCCCTCTATTTTGATTCTGATCCCGTACTGATTATACTGTTTTCAAAATCCAGAACATGTCCTGTGTCTCCCAGTCCCCGAGAAAAACCAACGTCAAACCAACTTTTGCATAATTCCCCAATACGGCGACGGCATCAATCCTCCCCCCAACGGGGAGCCTGCACCCGAGTCGATCGTATGGACGGTGGCCGACGGGCCTCCCAAAGCGGGCGCCTTCACGGGGAACGGGCAACAGATCGCGACCACGGAGGGCGAGACGGCCGAGCAATTGGTGCGGAAGACACTGAACGAGAACCTCTCGCAGACGCAGGTGGTGCGTCCGGACGAGAGGGAGTTCGTGAGTGCGATGCCCGAGGCGCATCGCAAGGGCGAGAAGGCATACCATGTCAAGGCGTTCCGTGGGAGTAAAGAAGGTATGAACAGTTCATGTCTCCCTTCATGCCTCCGAGTGCTAATACATTATCTCTTTTTTGCGACAGGTTACTTATTCCTTCTGTCTACGGGTATCCTATTCGGATTCAAGAAGCCATTGCTCTTCTTCGCCTTTGAAACCATCGACTCGATCTCCTACACGTCGGTCCTCCAGCGCACATTCAACCTAAACGTCATGGCCCGTCCGCTCGCCAGCGAGGAGACACAGGAATTCGAATTCTCCATGATCGACCAGGCCGACTTCAGCGGCATCGACGCTTACATCAAGAAACACGGCCTTCAAGACGCCAGTCTCGCCGAGGCCCGCCGCGCGAAGCGGTATAACATCAACGGCGTAAAGACCGAGGACGGGAACACCACCACCACCGGGGAAGGGGTCGCCGGGGAGGGTGAGGAGGAGAGCGAACTACAAAAGGCACAGCGCGAGCTCGAGGACCAGGAAGATGAAGACGAAGAGGACTACGATCCCGGTAGCGACTCCGATAGCGACGGCAGCGGCTCCTCCAGTGACGGTGAAGACAGTGAAGACGGTGAGGGCCGGGCCGACAACGAAGATGACGATGACGACGACGATGGAGATCGAGACCTCGTGGCCGATGAGCTCGGGAGTCAGGCGGAAGATATTCCAGACGATCAGCTGTGATTTGATTTACCCCGAGGAAATGGCGGGGCATGTACTTTTTTTTCTAATAGATTGTCCGGGACACAGCTTAAGGCATCCATGGAAACTCTTTTTTTTGGAGGGAGGCAAAAGTAATTAGGGCTTCTGTGGGACGGAGAACATGTCCTCTTATCTACCTAGATGTAACACTACACAGGCCTTGACATTGAAGTATGAGAATGGCACGCGACACAACCCAGGACAATCAATCCACTATTTATGATCACAGAGCTCTCTTTCCTGTCACATTTCTTTCAGATTTCCATCACCTATATCGGTACCTTTAAGAAGAAGAAAAAAGGAAAGAGAAAAGAGGAAACCAAACCCTACAGCCTACAACGGTAGAGCCATGGAAAAATGGGCACGCGACAAGCACTTTTGCACGGAGGCAAAAAACGGGTCAGATACACTTTCCCCAAAGACCCGATCTATTACAGAATGGTTCCCCAGATAGGAAGGTTGTGATATAAAGTTTCATCATCTATCAATGGGTGGGCCATGGTTACAACCTCCGTCCTGTTCCACTGTAGCTTACTTACTTTCCTTCTCTGTCGCATACTTCGCACGCGCGCAACTCTCTCTCTCTCTCTCTCGTCCGTCAAGGACCGAAAACTAGATCAGAATGTCCCTTCCACCTGCATAATATCATTATTACTTTCGTTTATCGTTCGCTTGACTCCCCTTCTATACATACATCTACATTATACATATATAAATTGTCGGTTTATGTCCCGTTCTTCTAAATGGGATGGGTTACAGAGGGCATTAGTATGTGCCCCGTGGAGAAAATCGATGACGTCGTCGAATCGATCGAGGACTACCACCCCGGGGGATACCATCCAGTTCACCTAAACGATGTGTTCAATCGGCGATACGAAGTCGTTGGGAAGCTGGCTTTTGGTCAGACGTCGACGGTATGGTTGGCCTGGGATCGACGGTATGTATAAATCACCCTTGTGGTTGAATCCTGTGAGGATAGGTCAGGATCGAATTGACGCCCATGGTTGTGGAACTGCAGGTTGGAGCAGCAAGTGGCCTTGAAGATCGTCAAAGCCGCCGCATCCAAGGATAACAAGGAGCTTGAGATCCTTCGGCACCTGTCGGACCCCGGCCTGGAGCATATGGGCAAAAGGCATGTCGTGAAGTTGTTGGATCACTTCGAGCATCACGGCCCCAACGGTACTCACCTGTGCCTTGTCTTTCCGGTACTGATATCCGATGGCAAGGAAATGGTTCGCGCGGGCAAACCGTGTCAGATCAGCAGTGTTCAGGCGATTGCTAAACAGATCCTGCTGGGACTAGATTTTCTCCATTCGCAGAGCATCATTCACTGCGGTAAGGACCTATCCCACGGTTTCAGACAAAATGAAGTCCGGGCACTGATCAATCTCGTGGTTTGCAGATCTGAAACCTGCAAACATCATGTTTGTTCTGGAGGGCGTCGCCTCCTGCGACGGCTTCATCAATCCTCCCAAATTCGTGTCCGTCGAGCCCTCGAACGGGCTCCGGAGAGATCGAAGCGTGCCGGAGTATTTGATGGCTTCTCAGAGAGGGCAGGTGACATTTGAGGACGTTGACCCTGCCAATCTCTTGGTTCAGTTGGGCGATCTGGGCGGAGGTAAACTTTTCCTCCCCAGCCCTCCCTTTGTTTGTTCTCGTCGCATCAATATTCACTGATGATGACAGCTGCATGGTGTGACCAATGTCCACAGCGGCCGGTGACACTGATCCCTTTGCGCGCGCCGGAATTGATCCAGCGAACAACTTGGGATTGGAGAATTGACATCTGGACCTTGGGTTGTCTGGTAACGTTGTCCACTTTTCCCCTCCTCAGGATGTCCCTAGGGGGGCTGTCCAATCCTGTTTTCTCCCGTGGACAGTAGACTAATGACCTGCGATATTGAAGATATATGAACTAGCGACAAATGAGCAGCTATTCCCGGTATCAGATCTAGGCACATCGGAACAGATCGACCGAGAACATGGAAGGCTTGTCGACAATATGATGGGACACAGCCCTCAGATGTTCGAGGCGTTTGCTTTCTTCCTCCAGGAGAGGCTTCGATCCAACTGGGGGCCTATGGACGTGCAGCAGGATCCTGCATCGTTCCTGTGCTCGATGCTGCAGCGAGACCCTCAGGCACGAAAGTCAACGACGGAGTTGCTCCAGCATCCTTGGATGATGGAGGAAACGGCGTGGTAATTAGCAACCCAAACATACTGTGTAATACTATGGTGACAGTGTACTTTGTGTCGATGATTCAAGCTGTGGCGAGTGCATCCTGCATACTGCTCGATCGAGTAGAGGTATCATCCAGTCATCCAGACCAATCGTGCATCCTGATGGTCGGGGAAGATTTTCTGTTCTGGCGATGATCACTCTGTTCTTTTTCTTCAGTTTTGCCCTTGAATTCCTTTTCCTGGTTGGGTCAATGCGGTCTGTGTGGATCGTGTACTATGTATGCATGCGTATCTTCAGCGACTCGTCTCCATTTACAATCAGACAAGTTATGACTAGGCATGTCTCGGTCACACACCATGGAGGAGGGGAAGTTCGACTCCACAACCACGCAGTCATCGAACGTAAACCAATGACCCCTCAACATGTGTAGACGCCCCGTCCAGAGCTGGCCTGACAATGTGTTTCAGACCAAGGACAATGAGTGCACCGTACATACTCCGTGGAGAGGACGGAGTCAGATCAGGCGATTTGGCAAGCGGTCGACCACCATTCACGATCGGCCAACATTCGAAACTCCAATCCGAGTGGGGAGTGGGTGTGTCCATTGACGTGTCAGATGCATGGCCCTGGCATCTTTGACCGTTTTTTTTTTATTCTTTTTTCGTGTGTCAGGCCCCGATCGACGGCTCCGTGAGGCGCTAGGAAGGGTGCTGGTCGTTTCAGCTTATCCTGGCGGTGTGCATATGGAGTACTACTCCGTAGAGAATAAAAATACAATTTGAAGTGGAGATGGGGCAGGGCAGTGCAAGAAAACTGGAATATAAATTGATGATAGACGGAGTGTGATAAAACATATTTAAAAGAAGCAAAAAAGGAAATCCAATGGTCCCAGAGAGGCTCGAACTCTCGACTTCGGAGTTATTAGCTCCGCACTCTAACCGACTGAGTTATGGGACCATTTGTTGATGATGCCGCTTATTTTTTGGCTCTATGGATCTAGGATATACTTCGGTGTCAATTGTCCAGGGACGGGTGCCTTTTTTTACTTCCCTCGGGTGGTGTTTGCCATGATGTGTCAGACGATGGAGACTCGGTCTGTTAAGCTTATTTCATAAGAAGAACATGGTGTATGCATCATATCGGTGAATACCTGTTCCATTTCGCTCTGTGATTCTTGCGTGCACGGCGGCTAGTCGTATCCCCGTGCCAGCCGGTTTCTCTTTCTGGTGGTCTGGTATGGCTCGTTGGGTTAGTCCATTTACATTGAGCTGATATACATACCCTATCCCTGGCTTATCGGTGGAGCCTTGCTCTGGGGATTTTCGTTGAAGGCCCGTTGGCCGGTTACTCTACCCGCGAGATACAGGTTGATATATACTGGCGGGTCATCATCGTGGCTCGCATAAGTAGAAGCCGGGAAGCCACCCACGAAAACCAAATCTGTGGATGCAATTGAACAGAGTGACTACGAAGGTGGTTATCGAGGAAGAAGAGGTTGCAGGTGTTGCCATTTAGGATAAGCAACTGGTGAATTGACCTGACCGTCTACACCCCAGGCATCCAATAAACAAATGAGTGAGTTACCCTAGTAGCTTGATGAGAAAAGAGTACAAAGACCGTCCAGGACTTAGATATACTATGCAGAACCGTACCATGATCTCACCCCCGCCCCCTCATACATATCTAACACGGGAATCTGCTCCGCACGGCAGAGATCCAGAACAGATGCCTTAGTTGACTCGCCAGGTCATCATGACCGTCTACCCCATTCATCCTGTCCCGGGAGGGGATCTCTTCGCACATACAAGACCATTGTCAGTGCTATCCTTTCTGCGGCCCTAGTGACACCTTAAGGGTAGATTCCGCCGGGGAACCTGAACCAGGGCGTACTGGACTGATGCCCGAGCCAGACATGGTATCCATGCGTTTTGAGATTTTTTTTGACAAACAGGATGGATGGAATAGATACACAAGCATTTGCAGGCTGTGCTGATGCTAGGAATCTTTTCATATCTGGCTCGGTTTTATATGCCGTCTGATTATCAATGGATTCAGTAGTAAGGTATTCGAAGTCTTCCTGGTGTTAGTCCCACCAAAAGCACTTTACCAACACATGAAGATAACCTACACTTATTTCATGTGTGAATAATCTGTAACGTGCCAATGAGATGAGAATGAAAACCTAATGTGATCCCAATCCCTATGAGCAAGAAACACGGCATTAAAGTCAACGATATAGTCCCGTCCAGGTGGATGTGCAAAATGACTGGGAACAAGGATGCAAAAGTTCGGCGCCTTCATCCCATCAAGGTCCCATAACTCAGTCGGTTAGAGTGCGGAGCTAATAACTCCGAAGTCGAGAGTTCGAGCCTCTCTGGGACCAGCGTTTCTTTTTTTTGTTTTTGTCTCTCTTCTGTGCCTGCCAATTCATTCGATCCGACCACGATATCCGAAAGATAGGAGGAGGGTCGGCTTTTTGCCGGCTCCGGGGGCGTCAATGTACTCCGTAAATGCATCTGTCAGGTCCCGCCAAGGCTCTAGGATTGAAAGAGGGATAGACGGCTCTAAAAAAAAAATCCTGGTCAGGCTACATGGGCCGAGGGCTTGCGCTAGGTCCGTGGTTCACAGCGCCCTAAGGGATTATTCCACCTGATAAGACACGCCGTAAGCAGCGTTTGTGGTACAGCGATGCCGCCTCGATGCATTCACTGTATAATTGGCTAGAATGGTCAATGGAAGATGTCCGTACCTGAATTAGGTAGAAGCATTGCAGGACCTAAAGGTACGATAAAAAAATGAATAACCAAAAAAAGAAATTGCTGGTCCCAGAGAGGCTCGAACTCTCGACTTCGGAGTTATTAGCTCCGCACTCTAACCGACTGAGTTATGGGACCGCTTGTTGATGTCTGCCGCCAAATGTTTGACGATATAAGCCTAAAACTGCAGACTGGCAAACCGTTCGATCTTGCGGGACCAACAAATGACAAGTGACAAGTGACTCGTTGCTGGCATTGTTTACTCCGTCTCTCTCTCTCTCTCTCTCTCTCTCTTCTATCGACCACATTCCCAAGTCTCCCGATTCACATGGAGCGCCCGTTGTCGAGTCCGGAGCTCCCCGATCACCGGGATCGACTGTGTCAATGCTTTTCTTTTTCGGCCCCCTGAACCCAGAAAGTATTAGGGATTTTGTGATCCACGATCGGACTACAGCAAATAATAGAGCCATTATTGGTGGCTGTATCGATGGTACGATACGCCATGGATACGGTACTCCGATCACTGCCATGTCTCAAAGCTTTGCAGTAATCTGTAGGCTGTCTGTTCCCCTCTGAAGACTGAAGACAAAGCGATGATAAGTTTGCATGGGCGTTGTCCCTCGGCCGCTAAGAATTCGGGGGCGACAATTCGAGCACGCGAATTGGCTGAGCGCAGCGTCTACGGCCACTTGACTACTGTGCGGATTAATTAGGGTACCTGACTAGAGATACGGACGGAGTCTTTGGACGGATATTAAATAGTAAGACTAAGATTAAAATTACCTACCTACGGAGTAGTAGCACTGTAGACTGTACACCGTAGTAGACTAGTAGTACACACCCCTAGGGTTACCATACCAGATGGAATTCCCATGGATCCATGGCATTCCGGCGTTGCAGTCCTTTCTGGTTTAACTCAGATCCTGACAGAATGGAAGCATGAGAGAGAGAAAAAGAGATGGAGAGGAAGTAACCATGGTAACAAATGAGAAGCGTCCCAATCCCTTACACAAGACATCAAAGACTCCTCCGGGATCATCACCTCATGGCTGCCCGGTTCAGGTTTGTCGGGTCCGTCGGTGACATCAATGATACCACCGGCAGGGAGAAAGGAAACAGGGTCGACAGCTTTCTTAGCTGGCCAGAACCCACTCTGGCCGCGGTTAGTCTCCAGCTCTCAACCGTTCGTCGCCCAACAGCCCACGCGCTAAGGGGGCCGCTAAAGACAGTAGTTTAAAGTAGTCCCTGGGTCAGGACGAGTCCAGGCCGGAATCCAGATTTCCGCTTTGCACGGGGGGGAGGAATGATAGATAAATAGTCGAGAGGGAGGAAGAAGACGGAGGGGGAGAGGGGAGGAGGGGAAGGGGAAGGGGATGGGGATAAATAGGTGCAATATTATTGACCGGGGGGGAGGAAGCAACTAAATAAGAAGAGGAAGAGGAAGAGGAAGACGAGAAGAAAGAGAAGAAAGGGTAGAAATAATTACCGCCCATCCCCTGACACTGGTACGGATACCGTATAGATACTCGAGGGAAATTTACACAGCCTGTCCTGTATGTATGTAAGTTCCTCGGGTACAGTACCTAACCAGTAGGGGTGTAGGTATCGTATGGTATTCTTCTACTGTAGAGCAGATGAAAATTACTGCTGCCTGTTTTGATACGGTAACTCCCTCATCGCCTTCTCCGCCTCATTTTGCTTTCCCTTTTTTTTTTTTTTTGGTGTCAGTCAGTCCATCCTCGTCCCGGCCATTCGTTCTCTCCCTCTCCCTCTCTCCCTCTCTCTGCTCTCTTCGCGCTATCCACTCATCCACTCATCGCTCTCCATCGCTCTCCTCCTCCCATCTCCCTCTTTTGTTTTCTCCTCATTCCTTTCCCTTTTCCACTTTCCCTCTGTTCCCCCCCCCAATCCTCGTCAACCGCTGCTCCAGTGCGGTCTATCGTACTGCCACGCAGTTGGTTTAGTCCTCGGGAGTCCTTTTTCTCTTCGCTTTTTCTTCTTTCTTTATTTTCTTTTTTATAATTTTCTTTTTTTTTTATTAAAACTCCCTCCCCCTTCATCCCTCCCCTTTCAGCATTCGTACCGAATTGTCAGCCCGCAGACCCAGCTGTCGGCCCCCGAGTTTCGCCAGTTCCTATCACGCCCTTCCTGTCAATCACCTTGTCTGGAGGTTTCCCCCCCATAGTATTTTCTCTCCGCTTAGTACCACCGGCGCGGTCATCCGAACTCGCCCTCGTTTTGCTGTCCTCCCTCGGCTCGACTCTA